AATAATAATAATAATAATAATAATAATAATAATAATAATAATAATAATAATAATAATAATAATAATAATAATAATAATAATAATAATAATAATAATCATAATCATAACCAACCTAATGATCAAATTAAAGAAGATATTTCAGGTTCAAAACATGATTACATTGACGATTATTTTTCTCACAAAGTAAATCTCCAACTTCCTAAAAGATCAAATAAGTTTGGTGAACCCACTACCGAAATAAATATATTTAATGTTACTTCAAAAAATCATTCAATTCCATCTTTTAATAGTGAATCTTATCAGAAAAAAATTTCGGAATTTAAAAAAAGTGATAATAGCAAAAAATTTAATCATGATTCGTCTTGTAATATCATAAAGAGGCCTGAAGAAAATGAACCTGAAAGTTACCATTTTGAACCAAGAAAGCAGATTAGTCTTTTGAAAAGTTTTGATCAATCAATTGCTATTCAAAGGCAAAACTCAGAACTATTGGTTAACGGATTAGGTAGCTCTTTGATAATCAACCCTAATATTTTATCAAAGCTGAATTTTACTAATTTTGAAGGCATAGAAGAGAATATTGAAGCAGAAAGCATTACCTCACATTTTACTAATGATTCTCCCAATAATGATCATGAAGACGATAGTTTTAGTACAGATGAAAGCGATGGAGACAATGAAAGTATTGATGATCTGCCATTAAAAAAGGTAGAAGAAATACGATCGACTTTTAATGCTAAAAGGAATCTTGTTGATACTGATAATTGTTTAGGTCATACGAATTTACTTAAAAATTCTTCTTTAGAGATATCTAGTTCAAACTCAACATTTTTAGATGATGATGATGATGACGATGATGACGATGATGACGATGACAATGATGACGAAAATAATGATAATGACGATGATTTATATGATGATTATCCTGAATATCCAACTTATAATTTCGGTGGAGTCAAAAACTCGTATTTTAGAAATGGGACTGGGAATAATATAAACTCATTAATGGTGCCGTTGAATTTGGGTTTAAATAGAGTCTCGAATATGATTGAAGATTTTTCGGATACAGGCTTTGTAACTGGTGAAAGAAATGATGATTCTGAAAGAGTTGTTGAATTCAGTGAAGATGAAGATGAGGACGAAGAGTATAATGCAATTCCTCAATCTAACAAACGCAAAAGTTCAATGAGATTGAATAAGAATACTATTTCAATAATTTTACCTCGACGTTCTGATCAATATTCACCCAAAAGAACTAGAAGGCATTCAATGTCACTAGATACAAAACCTGTTTTAATAACTCCCCAAAGAAGAGTAAATTATGAACTTCCAGGAAATAATTTTCAAAGAAATTCAATAAAAAGTTTTGTTGCCACTACTCCGGTTATATATAATAAAAGCCCTAATAATAATAATAATAATAATAATAAGGTACTATTTTCTGATGAAAGAAAAGTATCCACGTCAATTCTAGTAAAAGATAATGTTAATGAAGGCGTTAAATTTAAAATAAGTAATGGTAATATGAATGGAGTTTCTCAAAATAAAAAAACTCATTTCCCAGATGCAGTAATTAATAAAAAAAAAACTCACAGGTCATTACCGAAAACACCATTACCTATAGCAGATAATTCCCAAACTGAAATCAGTTCTTCCTTTATTGATTTGAGCGATGTTGAATACGACGAAGGTTATGGTGGTTATTATGGCAACAATGATTTTAAAAAAGATTCTATTAGCTTTGTTTCTAATTCTGTTTTAAATTCTAGTCCAATTTTAGAGAAAAAAGATATAAACCCAAATCCTAAAGTTGAAAATAGATTCAGTTTGAATAACAATGATATTACAACAAAGAAGATTAACTTTGGGTTGGATTTAAATAGTTCAAAGGTTATGTCGCAACCTAAAAAAGTGGTTAGTTCAAATTCATCTTCCTGCACCCATCTATCGGATATTAACACTGCAACTTTCAATTTAAATATTTCTGAATCTTCAATGTTCAACAGAAGAAAAAATAAGTTAAATCAAGCCAATCTGACATTGTTAAATTTTCCGAAATCTCCTAATACCAATAAAATAAATTAAACTCGAATATACAAGATCAAAACAATACAATCATCTTTATTTCAAATTATTCACTTTTCATGCTTCAAATGTTTTTTTATGCTTTTCTACTTATTTATTTATTTACTTATTCGTTTTTTATTTTGTTTTCGGATTTTCTAAAAATGAAATGCAATTTATTTCAGCTTATAAAGAATGTTTTTCAAGATTTTAATTAAAAATTAAATTTTTGTTTGATTTCTCTTTTACAGTTTACCTGTTCAGTTTATTCATCACCTACATTTTAATAGTTTTTATTTTTTTTTTGACAATCTTTTCAACGAATTTTCAGTTTTGGCGTTAACTTTAAGTTTTTCTTATTTATTTTATATTTTTTATATTTTCATTACATCATTCTTTTATCATTTTATCCATTTTATATCACTATATATTCATTCAATTACGAATTTCATTCACATTCTGTGAGGTCACAATTCTGTAACAGCATGCATACTTCGAATATAAAATGCAAAAGTGCATAGATGCATTTAAAACATATTCATGCGTGAGCTTGAGATTTATATTTTGCTATTTTTGGAAAAAATGCTGTTTATACTGTCCCATAAACAAAGGGCCGACTCACATGTATAGTTGCTATATAATTAGAAGGTAGGCTTTTGAACGCAATAAAGGTTAACAGAAACTAAAAAACTCTTTGGAATTAAACAACTCGAAGTGATTAAACTGATTAAATTTTGTAGAAGGTGAAATGGGGTAGTCAAAAAAATAAAGAAAAATGATTTAGAACGAACTCTGATGATTAAAAAATTAACAAAAAAAATTAACAAAAAAAGTATTGGGATATACTTGAGAAATAATAAAAAATGATTAGAGAAGGACAAAAAGTATTAAAATAGAAAAAAAGCTGTAAAATATATAATTGTAAAAGAAACAGTCAAAAACTTTTTGATATTCTCAAAATTCTTAAATTGTTTTTCTTACAGATCTTGATGGCTGGTTATTGTTTTATTTATTTTGGTTTTAGTGTTTTCAGATTGATTTATTTTACCAAAACTAAAAATTTATAGCTTGATTAATTGTTGATGGTCTTGCCCTATTAAGATCTCCATTATATCTGTCAGAATCAACATCGTTATTTATAAAATTAAAGTCTTCCAGATTATTATCATGTTGGAGACGTATGTTTTCATCTGCGTTTAAGTTTTCTGAATTTCTGGATTTTCTCCAATTCCATGGAGCGAGTTTTGAATTTCTTTTTGTTTCATTCGATTTTTTTTCGCTTGCACGAGCAACTGCTTGATTATTTAATTCGTCATCTGGATTACCATTTTTAGAAACCCATAAACCCTCAGAGTTAACATATCTAACTTCTTTTTTAGATTTATAGTACTTGAACCAAATAAAGAAGAAAGTTGATAAAAGTAAGAAGAAGCCAATTATACCAACAACACAGCCAATAACAATTTTTTTGTTTTTAGAAGATAGACCACCATCTGAAGTAACAGAATTGTTCTCTTCGACAGAGTATGTTGCTACAACGGTTGTTGAAGTAACATATGTTGAAGTTCTTGTTAAATTTTCAATTGTTTGAGTGGTTGAAACGTTAATAATAATAGTTTGATCTCGATTATTAACAGTTGTCAAACCTTCAATAATATCCGATGGTGTTGAAACGATTGTAGTAACAACAGTAGTTCTACTAATTGTCGTTGATGAAGAGATTGAATATGATATTGATTCAGAGCTTGATTCGGAGCTTGACTGTGAACTTGATTCAGAGCTAGTACTTGAACTACTCAGAAATGAAGGAGATGGGGATGCAAGTGACGATGATGATGAAGAGGAAGAGGAGGAAGAATCGGTGATGGTTATCGAACTTCTGGAACTAGAAGAAGTTGATGATGATTCCAGTCGAGAAGATGATTCTTCAGTAGATGATTCATCACTGGATGATGATGAGGTTATTGTATTAGATCTAGAAGTGGAAGATGTAGAAGATGTTGATTCTTCAGTATTAGAAGATGTGGAGGATGTAGAAGATGCAGAGGATGTTGATTCTTCACTATTAGAAGATGTAGAAGATGTAGAAGATGTGGAGGATGTTGATGAAACAGATATAGCACGAGAGGTCAGAGAAGTCAGAGAGCTTTCTTCATCTGATGTGGAAGAAGTAGTTGTGGTTGACGAAAGTGCTCGAGAGTTGCTTGAAGCACTTGAGGTACCTGAAGTACTTGAAGCGCTGGGAGTAGTTGAGGTTGAAGAAACTGAAGAGTCAGTATCTATAATAGTAGAAGAGGGAGAACTAGAGGATATGGATGTTGAATTTAAGTCTTCATCAGCTCTTTTTGCAATTATAGGAGAACCTAAATGAAGATTATTTAAATCGACATTATTGTTATTGTTATCGTTGTTATTATTGTTATTATTGTCATTGTTATTATTATCATTGTTATTATTATTATTTTTGGAATCCTTATTAATATTGAATCTTGGAGTTGCAAAGTCTTCGATTAGGAAAGATTTTGACAAAATTTGGATGCTCTTTTCAGTTTTCAATTTAATTTGAAATTCATCTTGTTCTTCATCGTCATTGTCATGATTTATAAAGCTTTTGATGTTCATATTTGGGTTGTCATTGTTTTTATTTTTATTATTGATGTTGTTGTTATTGTTGTTGATAATAGTTGATAAGAAATTTAGATTTAGTTTTGATTGAAAATTTGATTTTAATTTTAGTTTTGGAAGGTTTAAATTAAAAATAGAGGTGAAAAGAGAAGTGAATTTTGAATTTTGGGTTTTATTTAAATTTAGATCATTATTATCGGTAATTTCATTATTGTTATTATTATTAGAAGGGGCGGCAATATATTTGATATTTAAATGGTTATTTAATATATCAACCAAGTTGATGAATAAGTTCTTGAAAGACAATTTTAGAAATCTTAATAGATTTTTAAAATTTTCCAACTCATGGTTAATATCAAGAGGCAAATTTAAATCAGAATCTCGATTCGAATTGTTATTGTTATTGTTATTGTTATTGTTGTTCTTTCTGATGGAATTAATTTGTTGTTGAATTTTGATTTTCAAGTTATTTTGATCGTTGAGTTGGAGTTTTAAATTAGATAGATAATTTTGATAATTTTGTAGTTTTAGTCTATTGATGTTGTCAGTGTAATAAGATTGGTCGAAATGATTTGTTTTGGGAAAATTGATTAAATAATCTTTGTCATCATTATCGTGATTGTTGTTGTCAGTAATGGTATTGTTATTATAGTTGATGTTTTTGTTAGATAGAAACAAAAAAAATAGGAGAGAGAAAATAGAAAAATACAATAATATTAAATAGAATAGTTTAGATTTATTGGATTTCTTTAATTTCTTTACCAGATTATGGTTTTTTTTAAAATTGAAATGTATGGAACTATTTTGTAATGATTTTTCATCATTAATGTAATTATTATTATTATTGTTATTGTTATTGTTATTGTTATTGTTATTGTTATTATCATTATTGTTATTATTATTATTGGGGAAATGAATGTATTGATTATTGTAAAATTTATTGGTTAAATGGTCATAATAATAGGGAGATAAATCTTTTGGAGAATTTGAAGGAGAATAATAAATTGTATTAGTCGATTGTAAAGAAACATTTGAAAAACTTCTTGAATGAGAGTTTTTATTGTGTTTGGTATTTGTAGTGTCGTTGTTTTTGAAGTTTGTTATTATAGGAGATAGAAAAGGCTTTGGAATAATGATATCTGAATGATCAGTTGTTTTTTCATGGTTGATATTATTATTTAAGTGATCCTTGGAGTGGATTATCAGAGTTGTGCTGATCTTCTTGTAGTGTTTATTTACACTTTCAACATCAAGAAATAAATTCATTGATTCATCTTTCATTTTCAATCAAACCAAAGAAAATGTAAAGAATAGAATGAAGTAGTGTAAACTAGGAGAAAGTGTTCTTGGCTATGGATATTAGCTTATAGTAATAATGCAAACAAAAGAATATATAAGTAGCCCCAGCCAGTAGATAAATGAGTATAATATAAAAGATGTGGAAGAACAAAAGATATGAAAGTGGAAGAAAAGAAAAATGTAAAAGCTATCAAAGACCAGAGAATCTCCTTGACGAAAAAATGGAACTGGTTGAAATCGCTTTCATTGAGACGAAAGAGTTGGAGTAATTGGAAAGATTGAGAGAAATTCCAACCAAAAAGACAAATTACTTGAGCAAGACCAAAAGGACCACAGTTGGAAGTAGTTGAGCTTCTTGAAACAGGAATTCTGTAGAATCAACCGAAAAGCAGGCACAGCCGCAAACAGCAGCGAGAGAAGGCAGCACCGGCGGCACACGCAGCAGCACAGGAAGAGGACCACACAGAAGCAGCAGCAGCAGCAGAAGAAGAAGCACAGGCACCACAGACACCAGGCGACTTCCTTGTCTTTTCTCGTGGTCCTGGTCTGCTTCTCAAAACTGTTTTGAGATCGCCGGCCGCTGTGCAGGTGCGTGAACATGCAGTGCTATATTTAGCATCCGCGGCGGAACACAGCCGCGGCAGTCCGGGCGCGGATGCGGCCGGCGTTTGAAGGGAGATTAGATTAGATGGGAGAGGTGGGAGCAGAAGTAGATTAGATGGTGATGCAGTGGATGGTGATGAGTAGCGAGCCTCGTTATATCGTTTGCAAGTGCCCCTCTTCTCTGAGGTCGCTTATGAAGTATTCCTTTATGCTGTCTATCATTCCGTCGGCGGAGTAGTGTATCTCGACTTCCCTGTCGTTCTTCAAGTGTTCTGCAATGAGTTTTTCCCAGTAGCTGTTGTCGTGTTGGGGTGTTCCTCCAGCTGGCTTTCGACCATTGCCCTTGACGCCTTGCCTGTCTGTTTTGAAGTACATCTTCAAAACTTCGACCAAGAAGTAGCCGATCAAGTTGTCGTTTTTCTCGATCAAATACATGTCGAAAAGCCTTTCGATCATTTCGATTTTGTGACTCTGAACTTGTTCAATATGCTCATTATCCTGTTCATTATCATTGCCATTATTTGCCTCTTGTTTTTGTTCTTTTTCTTTTTCAAAGATCTTTAAAAATTTCTGCTTTATTAATATTTCAATCAATCTAACAAATTCTTTATTGCTAAAATTCAATTCATTCACCAATTCATTATAGACAGTTTTTAGGTTCTTAGAGACTAGTCTAGTAAATCTATTGGCAAATTTCTCCATTTTGTTATTAAATTTATCTTCAAATCCACCTCCATTGAAGTATTCATTATTTGTTAACAATTCGCTCAAGAAATAGTCTTTACTGAATACTTTTAAGAAAATATTAAAACTCTTATATTCATCATAGTTTAAGTTTTGGAATATTAAATATAGTATTATTAATTTGTTAGGGTTATAATTAATTTTATAATCTTTATAGCTGTAGCAACTCTCTTTCAAATTATTAAAATTATCAAAATTAATTAACATTTTAAATAATTTATACTTGTTATAAACTATTTGTTCTTTTATTTCATTTTCATTTTTATTGATTTTAACTTTTTTATTAACAATTTTGTTAATATTATTGAATTCTTGGTTGATTAGTTTTAATGCTTTCTCATTTTTCATGAAAAACTCATTGTCCTCTTCATGTATAAATTCTTCGATTTCGTATGTTATTTTATCCATCTTTGAGTATAAATAATTTAGTTTGGTATTAATATTTTGCTCTCCATCATTATTCTTTTGTTTCAAATTTTCATAATATTCAATTGCGTTTTCAAGATTATCAAGCCCATCTAACTTCTTGATAAGAAAAATAATCTTGTTCTCATCTTTATTGCATTTATTTCCCTCATTGAAGTATTTAAAATTCAAACAAATACTTTTATATGTTTTCAAATCAACATTAAATTTGGTTGATATATTTGTCAAATACCAAATAATCCCACGAAAATTGACATTCGAATCCTTCATAACAAAATATGATGAAGAATTAGATGATAGCGATATCAAAGGCAAGTTTGTTGTAGATAAACCATTCCACCAATTTGGAAACTCTTTGTTGCTAAATTTTATCAATTTGTTCTTGCTATCAGCGTTATTGTTATAATTTGAAAAAAACGATGAAATGGATGAAGCAATCGATACAATTGATGGTCTTCTATTATTCTTTTTGAGGTTGTTATCATTGTTATTATCGACTTCATTATGTGTCAAGTTATCACTAGATTCATTATAATTGGAAAAGCTTTCATTGCTATGACTATAACTATTATTGTTAAAGCTAGATTTACTAAAATTACTGGTTTCACTGACCATACTAGTATTGAGATGATTTCCAATTGATGAATTTTCAGATATGGAAGAATTACTTGATAATGAAAATGTGGAAGAAAAAGGAGAGGGAGGAATTGAATTCAGATTGTATAGACTTGAATCATTCAGTGAGCTTGGATTTGATGAATTGATTTTATTACTTAAATCCGAGTTTAAACTCTTTAAAGATGAGGAATCATTAATTGATTTGAATGATACAGGCAATGAGTATCTCTTTTTTAGATATAATGAAGAATCCAGTGATTCATTAAGCAAGTAATCGTCAAAGTTATATTTTGAGGATGAAGAATAGTTACAAGAATAGTGGCTGTTGTTTTTCATTAGTTTATATGGTTTTTGTAGAACATCATCATTTGTATTGTATAGGTTATTTGATGAATGGCTATAAGGGACTTTTAAGTGATTATCGATTTTAAGTTTGTCATTGGAATGGTTTTTTGTAGATTGAGAATGGTTTTTCTTTATATTTGATAGTATAAATGATTGTTGTTTTTTCGAAAACTCGTTTAGCAAGACTAGTAAATTAATTTTGAAATTGGCTAAAAAATTTGAATTATCATTGTTTGTTGAATTTGAATTTGAAATCGAATTTGAATTTGAGTAATTTTTTGAGATATTTAAATGAGAAATTTCATTATTGATGAAAAATTGTAAAAATAAATCTAAATTTAATAAAGAGTTGAGATTGATGTGTTTATGTTTATAGATTGAGATGATATTGTTTTTCTTGTTTTTAGACGAGATGAGATTTAGGTTTGAGTTTAGGTTTTGTGGATGGTTTAGGTTTGAATTTAAGTTTGAAGTTGAGCTTGAATTTTTGAAGTATTTTGAGTCAGTAGTTGTTGGTAAATAAGAGCCATTTTTAGACAATAGTATGGATGAGTTGAAAGAATTTATGATAAAGTTGATCCAGAATTTAAGTAATTTGAAATTTGAGTTATTGTTTAGAGAGGATATAAAATTTGATAGATTTATATTGTTGAATTCACCTTGGTAGATTTCGTTGTTTATTATAAAGTTGATGTTTGAGTTAAATTCTATAGTTAGGTCTTTGGCATCGCTTGATAGGTTGTTGAAAGAGGATATGTTATTGTAGATTGAGGAATTTAGTAGTAGTTTTTTGTTTTCTAGTAATTTCAAGGTGTTTAAGTTTGAGTTTGAGTTTTCAGTAGGAGATGAAGAATTGTTTAAATTTTTGATTTTGGTTGAGGTTAAAGTTGATAATGTGTTTGACGGTGCATTTGACGATGTGGTTGAGTGTTGATTGGAGAGGGTTGTTGTTGAGTTGCTTTGTATTGTTTTTAGAGAGTTATTTGAGTTGATTGAATCATTTCTTAATAGATTTGAGTTGGAGGAATTTATAAACGTATCGTTATTTAATAGTTTATAGGAAGATTGGGATATTGGAACATTAAAACAGACGAAATCGTTTGGAATCTGATCATCATTGTAGTCAAGCTCGTTGTTGTTGTTGTTGTTATTTTTATTTTTATTTTTATTTTTGTTGTTGTTGTTGTTGATTTTTTTATTTGATAGTTTATTGTTTAGTTTTGAGTTTATATTTTTGAGATTGAAGATATTCTTTTTTTGTTGATAATGGATGTTTTCATAATTTGGTGATATTTTGCGATTATTATTATTGTTGTTGTTGCTGTTGTTGCTGTTGTTGCTGTTGTTATGAGTATGATTAATGTTATGGATATTTTTTGATTTAGTGTTTAATTTTAGTTTTAAAGGCTGATTAATATCATTGAGTGAATTGTTATTTGAATTATTAGAATTATTAGTGTTATTAGTAGTGTTGAGGAAATTATTATTAATTTTAATTGAAATTGTATCGGCGGTTGATGGATTATTATTAAAATTGACAGATTTGAAGGAAGCCTTTTTTGGGGAAGAAGGTCTATTTAAAGAATTTTTGTATTTATCATTTAAGATTGATTTTCTTGATGGAGATGAGAGAAGTTGATTAGTATTTTTGTTGAATTTTAAATCTTCAAAGATTTCATCTTGGTTCAAGTTGTAATTTTTCAAGATACTTGGAGGGTTGGCCAAAGTTGACATTATATATTAGAATAAAATGGACTAAAAGAATTGCAGAAATCAAAAAGTGAGGGCGTTTAATTTGGGAAAGATTGGCTGGATTGTGAATTGAACGATAAGCGGTTTGAAAAGAGAATGTATGTTAGGAGAATAGAACAGAATAGAATAGTGATGAAAGAGAGTGAGTAAATGAAAATCAATAATGATTTTGGTAATGTAGAGAGAGATGATTGGGAGGTGTTTGAGTGGTGTTTGAGTGGGATTGAGAGATGAGTGAGTGAAGAAAGGGTATTTGAAATAAACGAAATGGGAAGGTAGATTGGGAAAAGAGAAGGTGGAAGGTGTTCCCAGAATAGTGGGCGATAGTAGGCGATAGTAGGATATGTGAGTAGGCCAGGAAGTGACAGTGGTGGTTATAAAAACAGGAACTGAGATGGATATTTCAAATATAGAGCAACTGCAGCTCAAATAGAAATATATTTATATTGTTATATTGCAAATATCTGTTCAAACAGAACGAGAGAGAATAAATGGGAAAGTGCAGTAATGGAGGATTACTTATAAAAAAAGAGAATCGGTGCTAATTTTAGATTGGACGAGTTCTACGTGTGCAGGTGAAATAAACAAGGCAGAACCAGGCAATTTACAACAATTTACAACAATTTACAACAGTGCAAAACCTCGCAACTACTCGCAACGATCGACAACAACTGCAGCAGAATCTAGCGACGGAGTGAAACAAGTGCAGACAATACCCATGAGCCTGGGGGAATACGAGCCAGAGCTGAGCCGAGCACCACAGCACCCCCGGAACAGTGCACCACGGCCACAGCGCTCTGCGGCACTCGCCGAGCGTGCTGGAGCCAGCGCGCTTGCTTCCGGCACTCTTTGTTTGTTGTGCTTTCCCAATCCGTTGATCGTTAAATACCCGACTGTTACACGTGCATGGTATCTCATGTTCACTAGCAGGGCTGTTTTGTCAGAGCCCTGCTATGCTCTCTTGGATTCCCAGTCACACTAGCGCCGCTCTGCACGTGTGGTCTTTCTGGACCACGCGGCCTAACTTTGCACAGGGTAAGCAGAAGATCGCTGTGCTGGATGCAGGACGTACTTCTCAAAACGGACGCAGTCTTGTACCTGTTCACCTGACCTGTGTGTGGCCTGGAGGTTTTTCTTCATCTTCGCATTCTACATTGTGCTGAAAGGTCCTTCGTATCTGTTGAAGTTTGTGCTTACATCGAGTATACTACCAATACAAATATAATATAAGTATGTTTTTTTGTCTCTTCCAACACAAGTGTCGCCCTCCCCTGTGCTGCCCTTTTCCACCACACTCCCTTGTCTCAATACATCTTATCTTCCGATTCAATCTCCATTTTTCACTTTGATTCACTAACTAATTCATTCATCCGGTTCACCATCTCCTCAGAATGCCACCAAAAGTTCAACAATCAAAAGCTGCTAAGGCTGCCGCCGCCATGGCCGGTGGTAAAAAATCAAAAAAGAAGTGGTCCAAGAAATCCGTCAAAGATAAAGCTCAACATGTTGTTGTTCTTGATCAAGAAAAATATGACCGTATCATGAAAGAAGTACCAAACTACAGATATATCTCAGTCTCTGTTTTGGTCGATCGTCTTAAAATTGGTGGTTCAATTGCAAGAGTAGCCATCAAACAATTGGAAAATGAAGGTGTCATCAAACCAATCTCAAGACACTCAACTCAATTAATTTACGCTCGTGCCGCTGGTATTGACTAATCTATTTTATATCTATATCTATTATTATCCCATTGTTTAAGTATAATAACACAATTCCATATAATAAACATGCTATAAATATATTATAAACTTTATAAACATAATCATTATAAACTTTATAAATCAATATCACAATATTCATGAAACTACATTATCTTTCCATTTTCCTTTTCCAATTTTATTCATGTCACGTGTGTATATCTTCAACTGCCCTATAAATATTTTTTTTTTTCCATCTTAGATTTATATTTCACAATTTTTCGATTATGCCTTCTCTTTATTTTATTCCATCGCTAATAAGCTAATTGTCGTTTTAACAGTAATATTATAGTACGTTTTAATCACTTCATACTTCATCCACTTTTCTTTATATAAACTTTTATTAAAGAAATGATTTTAAATCTTTTTCTAAGGAAGTAAATGCAAGACAAATTAATAAGTTAGGAATTCTTCGTTTATGATCTTAAATAAATTTATATAATTGCAAAAAAAAAAAAAAAAAAAAACAAATGACAAATGACATGACATTAAAATTAATCTGTTTTTATTTTTTATTTTCTTGATTACTAATATTTTATATTCAGTTTGGTATGTCTTTACCTCTCCCTTCTTTATCCTTTGTTTATTACATAACTTTTCATGATGATAATTTCACATCTTTTTCTGGTGAATATAATGAGCCTTGGAAAATAACATGCATCACCAACTGATCAATTTTATTCAATATTATTCAATATTATTTAATTTACGTCCCATTCAATACTCTATAAATATCAATTTCATTTAATACTAACTTTCTACTTCATAAAGATTAATTACCATTATATTGCTCAATTGACTTATATTAAGGTATGTTTTTATTTCATTTAACTTAACTTAAATTAACTCAATCCAATTCTTTCTGATGAAAAAAACTACTATCAGTTCTGCTTCTGAATCAATTTTTCATGAAGACAACACCATACCAAAAGCTTACTATTTCTGATTTATCTTTTAATTTAATTTAATTTAATTTAATTTAATTTAATTTAATTTAATTCAGCTCAACTCAATTTAACTCAATTTATTCTCCCTCTATAGCTTCTCAAACTAACACACACACAGTCTCGCCAAATTTATAGCATCTATATACACAATACATTTCTCTCTTATTCCCATTTCGTTTTATGTAGCTTTTTTTTTGACTCCAGAAAACGAGCCTCGTTTCACTCGCCACACTTTCTTCTGCCATTCTCCTCGCTCTTTTCCACTTCCTACCCATCTCACTTTCCTAATAAGGTCTTTTGCGGCGGTGCACTTGACCTCGTCTAATTGGCCTTCTTCTCGACTCACCTATTTATATTTATATTTCATCTTCTTTGTATTGATATTTATGTCTATATTTATATTCATTACCATGACTTTCTATCGATCCACATCTCGATTGCTCTCATCTCATTGTCTCGTTTAACATTAACCATGTTTGCACCCACTATCCTTATAAATTATAATCTCTACCTGCTATTTTCTTTTCTTTCTCTCTTTCTCTCTTTATTTCTCGAATACTACTTAACATAATCTGCTTCAACACAACACAATATATTTGATTATTATCATCTATTAATTCCTCAATCCTCTTTTTTTTTTGTTTCTCTTTAGCTTGCTTTCTCCCATCTCAATTCAGAAATGTTCATACAGCCTCTACTCTTCTCGACCATTTGGTCTTTAACTTCAAAACTCATATCTGCTGCTTCTTCTGATATCTTTGATTTATATGCTACAACAACATCATCATCCTCAATTCAATTAAACCCACTCGGTGTTACCTCAGACAATGTAATAGCAATCGGTGCCGATGTAACAAAATTAGACATTCAAATTCTTGAAGATGGTAAAGCAAAAATTCAAAATACAAATTATTACCTATATGTTAACCAAGATAACCAATTAACCTACAATAGCCAAGGTTCTTCAATCTTTTTCATATCTGGTAAACATTTGCATTATAACGAATACTACACCTTTTTGGCTTGCTCAATATCTGACAATAACTATGAAATCTATCTCGATGATCAATCTTCGGCTTCTCCTTGCGATAGCCCAATTTCTTTCTCTTTCAGACCAAGAAAAACTGATAATAATAATATAATAACTAGCTATGTTCCATCTGCTTTAGGCTCGACTCAGACTAATTTCGATGAAACTATTTTTACTGCTGATTCAACTGATGATGGCTCTTTGGTTTTCACTTCTGATTCTGATGGAACAACTGGTCTCCCTTTAACTGCTGATGATAATGACGATGATTCAAATACAAATTCAGTAACTACAATTTATTCCACTAAAACCTTAGGTGGAGGCGTTATCCCAATTACTACTATTAGCGGCGATGTAAAAACCTCTTTATCAACTGGCTATAGTGTTTTAACTTATACAAGTACTGTTATGGTCCCAGTTACTGAGACATTCACTTCAAAAGGTCAAGATACAGTTATAATGGTTACAACATATTTAACTCCCCTAGAGACTTGTATTACTACAACAAGGCTTTCAACGATTTACTCTGCTGTTTCCACTGAAACTATAACTTATTTGACTTGTGCTGATGATGCTTGCAAAACTACTTTAACTTCCACTTTAGAATTGGTTCATGGTTCTACTCTTTACACAAAAACTTTTAAAAATGAATCATCCACTATTTCCCAAACCAGTTCCGGAAATCGTGCCCTTCCAACTTCTAATTCTGGAGATGATTCTGAAGATGATTCATCTTCAACTGAATCTAATACAAGATTTAACTCATTAGTCACTGTTTTCAGCTCTTTAACCTCTGTAGCTGGTAACTTCACTGATGAACTCTTTGGTAATTCAAGTTCTGCAAATGACGCTCATGTCTTGAAAGGATTTTCACTTGTTTCTTTGATTACTATATTTGGTTTAATATTAATTTAATCAAAAATCTAAGAAACAAATTTTCATTTTTTTTATTTTTTTCATTATTTTTATTTGATTCTTTTATGTGGTTTTTGGTTTTTTTTATTTACTAATGGTTTTTGCAACATGTAGAGAGACCTTCCATTGGTCATTTTGGAATTTTAATTGTTTTTTTATTCACAAATAGTTCTTTTATATTTCAATTTAACTAGATGGCAATATTTTTATAATCTCGTAAGTTTTCATTTGTTTTCTTAACTAAACTTTCCATCATTTTATCAAAATTGTAAACCATAGGTATCAAGCAAATATTCTTAAAACATTCAAACTTTTTAATAAATTATATATTTTTTAATAGTTTTGGTGTCTTTCAATAAATTTTTCAATTAAATCACCATCAGCGTTCCCATTACCACCGCCGTCAATGCCATTACTTATCCGTTTCTTCAAAGTCCCCTGCTAAAACATAATTGTTTAATGGTTAAATTGTAGCATTAATATCAAGGCTCACAGGATTCGATACAATACTTTTTGTAGTGTTGACCTCATATCTATTGATTCCATTGACATAAACTGTAGACATATTTTTATGAGTATTGCTATCAAAAATAGCTACTTCGATAGTTTTGCCATTTTCTATATCATTTGTCGTGTATTTTTGAAGATTTAGAGGGCAATGGTATATTTGAAGACGAAGAATTCCCTGATGTATCAATTTGAAGCCGAAATGCACTTTAATTTTGAAAATAAACCATTTTGGTTGTCAATAACACCTGTTTGACATTGCACTAGCTGTTAAAACCGTTGAAATTTCTAGTATTATTAATCCTCAGGGTTTTTGGGCTGTTGTGCTGTTTGCCTTTATTCCACATTTGACCTCACAGTTGCTGGTTTCTCTAGGATTATTCAGACTGCTAATTCTGCTGGAATTGATGTTGTCTGTACGAAGATCTAACAGATAAAAAGAAAACTTGATGTCGCTTCGAATATTTCGACAAACTCCACTATCACCCTCGATATGGCACCGCTGTAAGAGGAAATATTGCTAATTAGCTCTTTGAGCCCGTTATTTGCTGTAAATTTCTTTGAATTTCCTGATTATCGATCATCAAACCCATTAATTCCATAGGAACCAGTAATATCGCTATTAATACCCAAACTAATAAAATTAGTACCATCAATGCCATAAAAAACATAGACAGCGTGAATAACATGTTTGCTATTCGAAAAGTGACTACTAATGTTGCATTTTGAGCGTGCTTTTTGGTGTGATTCTGGGCATCAGTAAGAATCTACTATATTGTAAATTTATTGATACAAATCATATAGTTGTTTATTCTTTCTTATTCGTGTCTCGGTAATTGTTAGCACCAAAAAAGGGTAAAATAGGCACCATTTCCTTCATTATTATCGAATTATTATCGTATACCAAAGACTTCTAATAATCTTATCGAAAAGACCTGTCTATTTCAGAGAGTCAAGAACCAAATCTGTTGGGCATCGAGAATAAATTTTTCTTCTTCCAAACTTAAATCAAACATTCTTTTGAACTTTTCTTACTTTTACTGATATTTTTATTTTAAACATTATTAATAATAAAAATATAACAAAGAAATTGAATTCCCGCTAATAATAATTAATGATTATCGTGAGGTATGTTATGATATATCTAGCATGAATCGAAGCCATTTAACTTACTTAAATCATCTGGTAACAACAAATTGAAGATCAATTGCAAAGCACATACAGTTTCTTTTGTCCTGGAAATGAAACATGCAACAATAAAATTGTCTCTATCCCCCTTCAAGCTCACAAAATTTCTTGTGATGTGGTAATGTGGGTTATTATCTGTATTCTCGTTACGATTATTATTAAGATTATTCAAAAAACTCTAATCTAGGGTCAAAAATGGCCAAACTTATTTCAATTATACTGTTATAGTCGAACTTATAGGCTTGAATATCAAAATAAATGAGCATTTTTTTTCTATTTTGTATTGAGTTAAGGGAATTTAATAAGTTTTTAATTTATGAGGCATTGAAAAATTTGACCTAATTGAAATTAATAATTCTTGATCATCAACTTTCTTTTTCTTAACATCCTAATAATTGATTATGTTTTTGTACCACTTAAAGAGATTGGTTTTAAGCCTGCAAAATCTTTAATCAGGATCTTAGTTAAGTTTTGGAATTAAAAGTATTTGTGTTTTAAGTCTATTTTTTTCGAGACTTTATTATAAGGTATTTTCAAATCATAATTCTAAGGTTATCTGTTTTGTTTATGGAAGATAAATTTCCTAAATTATTTCAAATTATTTCAAAACAAAATTGGATAATTTATCAAAATTTAAAATTTCTTGTTAGAAGAGATCTTTTTACTCAAATAAACTAAACAGGCAGCTATAATCCATTTCAATAGGTTTTAAACTTAGAAAACCAAATTATCGACATTAAATTATTTTTCTTGGATTAGCTGGTAATATTAAAAAGTTTAGATGAAATGAACTGATTAAAACTAAAAAGATTGAAAGAAAAAAGAAAGAAAGACAGAAATGAAAAAGAACTTCTAATGTTTTACTCTTTTCTTTCTAGAAAAATGTTCAATTTAAAGATTAATCAGATTTAGTTTCGAATGATCTCATTTTATCATGATATTTTCGTTTTCCTTTAATATTCTGGTCTTTTCTTCTTTTTTTTTTCTGCCCTCTTTTAATTATTAGACATATTAAGCATTACTTTGCTGCACAGGGGTTTTTTTCAAATATAATTTCCAATAATTCTATTTTAATTGCAAGGTAATGAGAATAACCAGTTTTGTTGAGCCAACACCATAAAACAATAAAGAGAAATTAAATACATACTAGATTAAAACCAATCGGGTTAAAGATGTTTTATAACGTTTTAAGATCCTCTAAAGGAGAGAATGAATACAAAGCATTTAATAACAATATAAAGCTGCTAATAGCGCTTCTTGAGAAATGAATATAGTTGTTAATTGAAGCCAAAACATATTCAAAAAGCATCCAAAGAGAATCACAGATGAGGAAGATCATCCAGCTCTCTGTTTATCGCTGTTAAGGGGTTTAGAGGGTGGTGAGAAAGGGGTTACAGTGCACAGGATCCAATGCACAAACGCATGTGCCCGCGCTTTAGGTTTTTTTATTAGAAATTCCGGGATTTGTGTTCGTATTTCCTTTTCTGTTGTTTTCCAGTTTAAGTTTGATTCAGCAGCTTTGTGCATAAATATGTAAGTCTGTGAATTCAGGATTGGTTTAGAAATGTATTTTTTTGAATGATTTTTTTGGTGTCTCTAATAGTGTCTCTAATGGTGATTTTATTTGAATTTTATTTGAATCCTGTTTAAGATTTTGGAGTGGTATTAAACGAAAACTATCATATGGTGAAATATTGAACAAAGCTATCATTTTTTTTATTAAGCAATTAAATCAAATGAACGAGAAAAGTCAAGACAGATTATTTTGTGAACAAGCATTTAAGATATTAATCATTTCAGTTAATAAGCTACTGAATTTTGTAAAATTAATAAATAATTTACGATTTCATGTTTTATGATTCAAGTGAAAAAAACAAAGACCAAAATACCAATAAAAATAAAAATAAGTTCAACTGACGGACATTAAGATTGAAAATAAAAGTTTTTAGAATTTTTAGTTTACAAGTAATAATCAATAAGCTGATGAATCTGATTAAATCTTGTTAGATTAACAATCTTTTTAAATTAATTTTTATATTTAAATTAATTTCATCTTTATAGAAGCTGCACTCTAATACTTATTTCAGTTGTGGAACTTGAATGCACTTTGATATTTGAACCAATAGCTAATGGTCTGTACAACTGCAGAATATGCATAAATCATATCAATATATGATGATTGTTGAATTTTAATAAAGATTATTTATTCTAAAAATTATTTTGCATTGATTGTTATCTACATTTAAATAGATGAATAAGTTATCAAAGAAATAAAAGTGATAAAAGTGATAAAAGTGATAAATAATAAACTGTTAATGGAGATAGACTAGTAAATAGGGCAGTTTTTCTTTTAGTAATATGATATAAGTGAAATGGTGTCTAGTGAATTTTGAGCTTAGTGATTGATTGAATCAAACTCCTTTTTCAGTGAATTAATAATGGATAATTTCATTTGGTGACTTTTTTTTTTGTTTCTAAGTGTTAGTGATTGATTGTTAAGATTGTTAATTACGAGGTTCTTTAATAATACAAAAGATAAACAAACGAAGTCTAGAAATAATTAAAAGCAAAGTAATATATAAAATATAGAAACATGGTAAGAAAATTGGCAAGAGTGGTAAAATGACAGTGATTGAAATTAAGTGAAGATTCATTTATGAGATCTGATAATATCGTATTGTCAATATCATTAATTCATTATTTAATATACTATCATATCATAAAAATATATATCATTTGATAGAATCTGGATTTATCTTAAATATACGCTATTAGTAGGCTAACCTAAATCTTAAATTGGTGATGATTACGAAAAATGACGAATATTTTGAATAGTAAATAACATTAGGTTAAATTTTATAGTAAAATACATTGAATTGAATTAAATAGAATTAGATTGAATTAGATTGAATTAGATTATACATTGAATTAAAATTGTTGGACAAAAAACAAAAAAAACAGAAAAATATGAAAGTTTAAACAATTGTCTTAAATAATATTAAAAATCAGTATCTTGTTACGCATTCTCGTTATTAGTAGCTAAGACTAAAAACAGGTTAAAGGACCAAAGAGATATTGGGAAATCGATAATTTAATAGATATATTAAATAATTAACAAAGAATTTTTATTTTTAAGAATTTCATAATAATTTCCTGGTAATTTTAATTAAAATCTATTGTTGTAATATTAAATAATAAAGGGAAATAAAACAATGTGCAGTACCTTCACAAACGGGATATTAATTCATAGGGAGCTGCAAAAAATGTAAAATGTGCAAAAAGCAGCAATAATAAATAAAACAAATAATAAAATTTATTGTCCATGTAGGATTACTTAGGACAGTTGAAGTCAAATAATATAATATAATGTGTTATTATATATTATTATGTATTATTATATAATAATTTTAATTACTAATGGGTTGAACCGTTTTTTTTACGACTATTGACTTGATTATCTTAGAGGGTGGAAATGTTTGGGTTGCAATCCCCTGCGGAATGGGAGGACTGGAGATAATCGTAGAGTATAAAAGAAAATAGGAGCGCAAATAAGAGTGAAAAAAGAAAAGTAAAAAAAGTCAATTAAGCAGCACAAGTAGCAACGTGAAATAGAGTAGTTTGTTAATATGAGTGAAAGTTGGTGTGAATTAGTAGATCAACAGAGCAACGGATTAGTAAATTGTGAGACATGACTAGAATTGGATGGAAATATTTCTAATTAACGATAAAATCAAAAACAAAAAAAAATAAAGTGGATTGTGTGATATCAAAGAGAGATATTTGTGAAATACTGTATTCTGGTGCTTAAAATGTGGTATGAATATCATAAAATATGGTATAAGAACATAATAAGGTAACAGTTTCTTAATTGAATCCAATGTCTTATTCAGTTGAACTGGATTCAATTAAGACAATCATAGATAGATTTGCAGACCTGAAATAATTTCATCATAGTGATTAGAATTTAGAGTAATGAAATGAAAGGCAGAGTAAAGGAAAATTGATTAGCGCAACAAATGGAAGCTGTATTACCATAAATATTTTCACTGATTTGAGAGGTTGGGCGAACGAGATACAGAGATTGGGCTGATCAATTGGCTGGTAGCAGTTGTGATTGCGATATCAACAACGATGGGCTCTCGAGCGGCAGAGCCAATCAGAACGGGCATTTGGGCATCCTCTGGAGGGTGACTTTGCTCTGGGCTCCAACTGCAGCACACGCAGCACACGCAGCACACGCAGCTCTCCAATTATTGTTTGTTGCAACGCCAGGCAGCAGGAACCACCTCAGCAGCAAATCCAGATATACCAAAGCTTGAGCCTAGCAGCCGTCGAGCTGGAGAGGATTTGAAAAGCAGACGCTGCTCATGGCCCATCTTCTCGTGGATATAGTGCCATAGTGTTGTAAAAGTGTAAAAGTGAACTGATCCGCTCGCGATTCCAGAAAAACTGGGGCCATTCTGGTTGCCGGTGCTGCTGGTAGAAAAGGTTCCGTGCCGACCAGTACCGGAAAGCGCAGTGCGAGCTGGCGCCCTAGCCGCATACAGGTCCAGAACAGACCTGCAGCACGCTGCGGCGCGTGTTTTTTTGTCTGACGCAGACCTCCGGCTAACGCGGGCGTATTGGGCTGCAGACATCCTGTTTGAAGATATATCCCGTTATGGTAGACTTGAAGTCTCGTCCCCTTTGGGCAGCCTTCTGTTTTCCTTTTTTGTCGCTTCCTTATCCTATTATTCTTTTATTCTTTTATTATATTATTTTTTATCAATTGTAACTTCTCTCATATTTCATCTGCCATTACCATAATAACGATTGCAAATCTCCCTGATTAAACTCAGTAACTTGGGTTTAACTATTTTCCTTTTATTTATCATTTTCTGCAAAAGTTAGAATTCTAAAATTCTTATAATTTTTATAATTTTTCCATCTACTATTTTTCTTTCTTTATCTTCCTTCGAAATATTATAAATACACATCTCCTTCATCTACTTTTTATTGGTTTTCTTTTTTAATTTTAGCTTATATACATCTCATTTAAATCTTCTGCTTTTCTTTATTGAAACTTTCTTTATCATCACCTTTTAGGTTTACATCATTAAAACATCTATCTGAATATTAAACAATAAAGTAAGTATACATATTATTGACTCTTGTTGTATTATACTTTTACTAATATAACCAATATTAACATTATTTTATTCCAATTTATCCTATCCTATCCATAGTTCGTGAAATTAACATTTAAACATTAGTTCAAATTAAAGGTATAAATATATTTTTGTTTCTTTATATCTTTATAATTTATAATTTATTTGAAAATTAATGAGAAAGAAGATCAATTTTAAATATCAGTTTTAATCTCCTAATATTTTTTATTACATCGATTCAAATTTTTTTTTCTTTTCTTGATCTTTTCTGATCTTTTTTTTTACTTTTACTTTTTTTTTTTTGGTTTTATTTCTTCCTACCTATATTATTATTATTATTATTATTATTATTATTATTATTATTATTATTGTCATCATTATCATTATCATTATCATCGTCATTACCATCACCGAGTTAATCAGAACCATTAAATTTGCATTTATACTTTTACATATCATTATAAATATCAATATTATAAATTATATATTCATTATATAATAGACTTTCTGTGTTTTCATTCCTGCCACCAAATTAGATTTCAATCTTGATTTTCATACTAGCTTCACTACCATAATATTTTATTTCTCAACTTGATTCTTTGATTGATTATTCGCCTGGATTAATGAATTCTGTTATATCTGATCTAAATTCATATAACCACCATTTATTTCTATCTTCAAAGATGAATAACCCTAATATCAATTCAATCAATAATAACATCAATACAAACATCACTCACAACGTTAATTCCATTAATAATATTAACAACTTAACTAATCTTACTAACGATATCAACAATATCAACGGCATCAACAGTATCAATAATATTAATAATATAAACAATATAAACAATATCAATACCAATTATAACATTGAAAATAATGACCAAGATGACCTATCCACATATTACTCAAATTATAATGTATTAAATAATCAAGGCATAAATTACAACCAAAACATCAATCCTTTCCTCCAACAAAACCAAAACCAAAGTCAAAACCAAAGTCAAAACCAAAACCAAAGATCACAAATAAACACTCAGTTACCTCCTTTGCAACTCCCGTTACCACCTTTGCAGCAAATACCGCAACAGCAAATGTCTGAGCTGCAAATACTGCCACAACAATCACAACCACAGGCTCAGTCTCAACACCAGCAACAACCCCAATCCCAATCACAGTCCCCGGCTCAACAACAATTTCCACAGTATCTGACTTTTCCTTCCACCTTCCAAAACCTAAATTCTCTATCAAATAATAATATTCAACTATTGAACAACATAAACTTCAACAGCCCATTGGTGGCAATGCCATACCAACTATCCTTGAACTCAAGCCCAATTCAGAATTTCATCACCTCCGAACCCTTAACTATCCTCCAGCAAATGAACCAGTACACCAACCAACCTGTGCTACTAGGTGGGTTTGTTCAATCAGGCCCGGCCCAACTATCCCAGGTCCTACCTCCCTCAACATCAACGTCGAGCTTAAATGCCCTTGGTAATACTCAGTCGACTCCCATCCAACATATATCCATCAAGTCTGAAGGCTCGCTGGCAATTCCCTCCGATCTAGCCTTTTCGGCACCAAACCCCCCAGAACAAGACCTCCTGAAGAACGCCACCCATCCTTCATCCTCCTCCCCCAAACGCACCGCTAAAATCGCTTCCAAACCCCTCAAGAACACTCCAGCTTCAAAGGATCCCAAATCCTCCCGCCGAACCCCCAGAAAAAACACCGACAAAAGACGCGTGAAGGCAGAGGCATCACCTGACCTGCCGGAGGAAGAGGAGCTTTCTGCTTCTGAGGACGCTGCTGCTCAGAACAAGAAGAGGAAATACAAAGCCAAATGCTGTCCTATCTGTGGTAAATACTTGCAACGAGACTTGACCAGACACTTGCGAATCCACCAGGAGATAGGCAGGTTCAAGTGTATTTTTCCCAAGGAGTCCTGCTCCCACAAGACAGGATATTTTAACAGACCCTACGACTTCAAGAAGCATTTGCTTCATTGCCACTTCCAGTTCTTCGATTACAATGCCACCAAGTTGATCAAGCTCTCTGAAAAGGAAGAACAGATTGGCGTGTGTTTGTCTTGTGGCCTACGGTGCAAAGCTGGCTACTGGCTCAACAAACATGTTCTCTGTGCTGACTGTCCAGAAAAATGCCCCATTTTAAGGATCACCAACGCCAGCTACATTACTCCAAATTACAACAACTTGAGCATCATCAGCACCTCTGCTTCTGCATCCACCATCAATCCCTCTTACTTTAATTCAAACTACTCTCGTTCTTCAGATGCCTCTTCCTCGCATTCTGTTCATTGACGCTCGATCATCCAGTTTTCAAGACTATTTCTATATTCTTTGTTTGTGTTTTTACTTTGATTTCCACTTCTTTTTTTTCTCTTTTGTTACTATTATCGTGTTGTGTTATTCTTTTTTTCTTCTTTCTTTCTGGTTGTTCATGCCATTTTTTAAAAAAAACCACGTCATTTTTTTGTCATTAGTTATCATTTTTCACTCCCATCTAGAAAGCACTGATTTATTTTTTTTCTCTGTCTTCCAATTTTCTTCATTAAATTATATATTTGACTGCATCTATAGTATTATTAACAGTCTTCACAGATTTATTTTATTTTTTGACATTCTTGTTTTTTACTTTTTATCATTTGAACTGCTTTCATTAAATTGTTTATATTCTTAACTACATTCATTTTTTTTTTTCATTTTTTTGTTGTTGTTTTTTTGTCTGAGATTTAATATATAGGAACTTAATTTTGAAACAATTCAAAGCACTATAATTCAAAGCACTATAATTCAATGAGAGTACCTAAAATTTTTTAAACTGTTTGCATTTATTTAAAGATACTATAGAATTTAATTAAATATTATAAAAAAAGTAAAATAAAATAAAATAAAAAAAATTTTAATTTGTTTTAAGATCTAGTCCTGATTCTGGGGTTGCAACTAAACTTGTATTTTCAGTTTTAGGAATTAAACGTTTATAAGAATTCATACCTCTATCAACACCAGAGTAATTTCGAACTCTTTCAGTGATTTGCCATGGTAAAGCCCTAAAGATTGGAAGAAAATTTCCATAAAACGGCAACTTTACTTCACCTCTTCTACCTAATTGCACAGATGATAAAACAAATTTTGCAAGATAATGAGGGTCAAGCTCAGGAGCTAAAATAGGATTAGGTGTTGTCACTCCATTAAACATATTAGTTCTCAATTGACCTGGACAAACAAGCAACGTCTTAACCCCAGTTGGAGTTAACGAAGGAGGACCTAATTCGTATGTTAGAGACTCATGAAGAGCAATCAATCCAGATTTTGAAGCACCATAAGCGCCTATTTTATAATAATTAGTTGAACGAGTTCATTTAGAGATGGTAGCATGATACAATATGAGTGAGGATATTATCAATTGAAAAATGGTAACCACATACTAAGTCTGGCTGGAGACATATACCCAAGTACAGATGCAATTGTAACAATGTAGCCTCTTCTTATTTTCAACATATCAGGAAGAAATGCCTTGATAGTATAAAAATTCGACAACAAGTTAATTTGTATAGTCTTTTCGATTTCCTGATAGCTTAAATCCACAATGCTTTTTCCTGTAGTAATGCCAGCATTATTGATCAATATAGTTATAATCCCAATGTCCTTCTTAACTAAATCAGCGTTTTTTAAAACTTGTTTTCGATCGCTAACATCGCATTTATAGTAATGAACACCTTCAAACTTATTAGAAGAGTTTGATATGTCAATGTCAAACACAACAACTTTGGCGCCCTTTTTGCGAAATACAGAAACCAATTCTTTTCCTAGACCAGAACAACCACCAGTGATTAAAACAACATCTCTATATGGATCGAAAACAGTGCCAATTATATTATCTGATAGCTGTCTATACCTTCTATTCAATTGGTATAAGAGGAAAGATAACGCGATAATGCCAGTCATCTAGAAATACCTGGAAATACTTTAAATCGAACTGATGAGAATAATAAGCAAGAAACTCCTTTTGGAAGTGGAAGAAAGCAAATTAACCTAATTTATTACTGCAAGATTATTAATTTTCAAGAAAACTTAGATATGAAGCTGCAAAATTGATTGATTGATGGATTCTTCTTATAACTAGGTACTAAGAAAAAACAATTGAGATAACAACAGAAGCACTCTTAAAACGAGCCATTTCAAAGAAAATATTCAAGTCTGATAACTGTGCAAACAACAGCAAAAGACCGCCATTTCAATCGCACAAAAAACACCTGGAAGATATACCACAAAAGAACAAAAAAACAAAAAAAACCAGAGCAGCAAAACACTTCTTCTATAAAAGGTCCTGTCGTAAAAATACCATCCAAATTCCACAAACAGATTCCAAAAAGCAGAACTTGACCTGTTTCTTCAACAACAAAAGGTAGCAATATTTTTTGAAACAGTTAAATGGATTAAATCACCAACATGAAATGTCTGGAATGAATCAGCAATTCTCTAAAAGTTCACCGCAGATCCGGCACCTAGACGCGCCATTGCTGCTGACACATGTGCAAATATGCACCCTGTTTTGAAATGGCTTGAAAGAAATTATCCCAATTGAAGAGGTGAGTGTACTATTGCCGACAGTCGTATTTTCTTTTCAGGAATTGTGCCAATCAACAGTACACGGGTGATCTCTCCTGTTTTAATTGGATGCATTTGTCTCTTCATCACTGCTTTAGCAGTTTTCATTTTGCTTGCCTTCTGTGTGGTTTCTCATCACTTCTGTCTCTCTTTGCTATGCTATTACCTTCCATCGGCAGATCTGTTTATGAATCATGTGCTGAAGCTCATCTGACTAGTCTTTGAGATGAGTGTTTACGAAACCTCCAATAATCCAAGTCCTGAAATGATCAACATGTTAATCAGCAATTCCATTGGTCAAAAACTCTAAAACAAACCAACCCTAAAACAAATCACAGCTTGAGTTAAATAATTCTTTCAAATAATCTGATAATTTGATAATCTAATAATATGATAATATGACGATATGGCAATATGGTAGAATACAAAATTAAAACTGATCATGTAATTATTTTTTCCAATTGAAACACTATTTGTAAGCTAGCCACCTGCTGGAAAGCAAAAATCATAATCAAAACCTTATGGCTGTTGTTCTTAAAAGCCAACTTATAAGTTAAAATTTTTAATAATGTTACAATTATTTTTTTACAGAAGATAAACGCTTACACAAATCCAAATGTACAACTCCCATTCCGGGTAATTCCTTGGAAGGAATCGACATATCAATGAAAATTAAGCTTTGACAACCTTCCTAACTAATTGTGCATAATTATCGGTCTTTTTAGAGAGTAATTGGTTTGTTATAGCACGATTACATGTGAAATGTTCTTTCATTTTATCTAACAACAACAAAATAGCAAATTTTTTAAAAGTAAAATTTTTGCTAATCGCTCAAATAATTTTTACCTTCAATTTGAAAAACTAAAATGGTCGTTTGATTGCTAAGAAATTTATTTTTTTTGTCCAACTTTTTGTAAACATTTCACATCTTTTAATTCAACGTCATCTTTTGAAAATTAAAATTTCAAATATAACTGATTCTTTCGTTGTAGAAGACTAAACAACTTTAAAATCTTTAAACACATGATGCGATATTTTTCTTTCCACTATAAAATGTCTCCCTACCCAATATCATACAACACTGTCCACCATTCGTAATAAAAATTCATCGAGTATTATTCATCAGGTAGAAAGCAAATACTGTATTGATTTAAATTCAAGAATGCTAGATAATAATAATCACTCATCATGAAATTTATCAATATCGATAAAACACACTAGTTATTTGAGACACTGTTCTATTATGGATCACGGGAAACTGTACCGGTCCCTCCCGGATATTCCATAACCACATGATTTGATGGCCTTCCGAGGATTCAATCACAGATTACGAACTACGAGCTCTTGATCGAAAATAGAAGTAAAAAAATTATAATTTCGGTTGAACTATTTGTTTGCATTTGCTTGTTTTGTGCTGCACTTTATTAAAATTACTGGAAATTTAAATCCCTGAAAAAGCACATATTCTTCCTAAAACATAATCAAACAATAGAGTGTTTTTCCCTCCCTACATCATCACCACATTCAAGCATCTTGTCAATTCAACAATAAACCGAAGGTTAATACTTTTACGCAGCAGGTATACAAACCAAAATGCAATAGATACAACCAATTAGAGTTAGAAAAAATTCGATTTAATTTTTTGTTTTGTAAAAATCAATATCACAAAAGGCAAATATAGCTCGATTATAAAAATCGCACAAACAAATTGGGTAATGTCTTCTAATTCCTCAATTTTTTATTTTATTTAAGCTACCTCTTTATCTTTTGCAAAAGAAAACAACAATAACAACATAATCTTTGTTTGTGTATAAGGTTAACAATTTTCTGTTTTTATCAAACATAATAAATGTAATTAATACTCATATAACGAATAGAATTGATGATTCAAAAATATCAAACTTCAACTTTGCTCAGAAACAAAAATTTATGTGAAAATAAACTTAATTTCTATTGTTCATATAATAAAGCAAAATAAAACAACAAAACAACAAAACAACAAAACAAATAAAGTCAATCCACTAACACACTCAAAACAATTAATAAAAATTAATAGCTATTAGTAAAAACAAAATCCAAAAAAGGTCTTAAAATATTTTGAAGTATCCAGGTACTATTTTGCAACAATAACTAGAATTTATTGTGGGTTTATGTTTGAAGATTGATTGTTGTAAATTTATTATATTTAAATAAACAAAGCTATCAATGTTTATTTCTTGCAACGGTAAAATATTTTAAAATGTTCTTAAAACCATTATGTTTTTATTCCTTAACTCTGAATATAATACTAAAAAGAAGTTTCTGTTAAAATAATTTTCTACTAAATAGCAATCGGCAGCAACAAATGATAATTGAAATTAATATTGTAAGCAAAATAATAATTATTGTCCAAACTTAAAATAGTTTGACTATCAATAAACATTAAAATAATTTGGCATTGACTGCAAAACATCCTTTAATATAAATTGTATCAATTTATATTAAATAAAGGAAGTTCACAAGTATCATCCATAAAGTGTTCTTTGTTTTAAAGACACCAAATGGCGGATCTGGAGGAAGAGTAAGCAAATAATTTATTATCTGGATCTATAGAGTTTGATGTGACCAGTTGTTAACACACAGCACAAGCAGTTTCAGAAACAATAGTGGGGTTTTTCCGAACAACACTGACCGTGCTATCAAAATATGCCTAATTACGCCCTTTAAAATAGGAAACATCGAAAACTGAATTGCCTATTTCAATATCACTGTTTTGAGCTTATAAACGTGATCTGTTGACCAAACGCTCCCAACCCTTCTTGATATGGATGTTTACTTTTTGAGCATCCAAAATTAAAAAAAAAATAAATATCACAAAGCATAATCTGGGAATTGGTGCTTTATATAATCCAAAGAATTGCTAGCCGATACCTCTATTATTAATTTTGCAAGACTATTTACATCATACCACACTTTTCGGATTGAATAAAACTTACTGCTTCACTCTAGTATGGCGCAGATGAGCAATTATTCAAGAGACTCCTATCCAGTAAAAATGAAAAGACATTCTTCAAATGATTCCATGGATTCCTCCTCCAATAAAAGAACTAGAGCCTCAATGGACACCAGCTTTAATAATAAGCTATCTGGATCAAAGAGAAGTAGTAATACGGGCAATTACAATTTTTCAAAAAATCAAAATAATTCCAACAACCAACGCAATCAGGATAAGACTATCAAACGAGAATCTATAAACTCTTTTTCAAAACCAAAATTAATTCATAATCGTGGTCAATCAAATAATCTAAATAATAACAACAACAATAATAATGGTATTTCTAGAAATACAAGTAATTTTGAGGAATCGAATATATCTGTATTTGTTCGATGTCGTTCAAGAAATGAAAGAGAAATTAAAGAAAATAGTGGTGTGGTTGTTTCAACACTAGGGCATATGGGTAAAGATGTCATTTTAAAAACTGGAAATCTGTCTTGTGGTAAAACTAAAACATATACATTTGACAGAGTTTTTGGATTTGAATCGGATCAAGAAACAATTTTTGATTCAGTAGCCTCTAATTTTTTAGATGAAGTCTTAGATGGGTATAATTGTACTGTTTTTGCATATGGCCAAACTGGCACAGGCAAAACATATACCATGTCGGGTGATATACAAATTCCACCAAGTGACTCAAAATCTTCTTCAGCAACTTCTTCAGCAACTTGTTCTCCATCAACTTCAATTGATAATACAGAAAACGATTCTATAAAACTTAGTGAAAATGCTGGGATAATACCAAGAACATTAGTAAAACTATTCAAAATTCTTAAAAAGTTTCCTGAGCACATTGTAAAGGTTTCATTTATAGAATTGTATAATGAAGAATTAAAAGATTTATTACTTAGTGAGTACTCAAGTGAAAGAAGGGTTAAAATATATGACGATCCAAGCAAAAAATCAATTATTGTGCAAGGAATGGAAGAAATTTTTATCAAGAATGCTGTGGAGGGTCTAAAATTATTATCCGAGGGATCTTATAAAAGACAAGTCGCTGCTACTCATTGTAACGATCTTTCATCAAGATCTCATACAGTGTTCACAATAACAGTAATGATTAAACAAGATAACGATAACTCCAAAGATACAAATTTTAATTTAGATGGTGCCAATGAATACTATAAGGTTGGAAAATTGAATCTTGTTGACTTAGCAGGATCTGAAAATATAAATCGATCTGGTGCTGAAAATAAAAGAGCTAGAGAAGCTGGAATCAACAACCAGAGCTTATTAACATTAGGAAGAGTTATCAATGCTTTGGTGGATAATCTTTCACACATTCCTTATAGAGAATCAAAACTTACAAGGTTATTGCAAGATTCTTTAGGAGGACAAACTAAAACTTGTATAATTGCTACGATTTCACCAGCAAAAGTTAGCCTTGAGGAGACATTGAGCACATTAGAATACGCAAATAGAGCTAAAAATATAAAAAATAAACCTCAGATTAATCAGTCTGTTTCTAAAAAACTTCTTATTAAAGAGTATATTCAAGAAATTGGAAAATTAAGAGATGAACTTTCTGCCACAAGATTAAAAAATGGGATATATCTATCAGCAGACAGCTACAAGGAAATAACTGAAGAGAGTGAAAGTCGGAAAATTATGATTGATGACCAAAAACTACGAATCAATTACTTAGAATCGAATATTAAAAAAATTAAAGAAAAAAATGAGGAACTGGCAGTAGAGTTAGAAAAGAAAACATTACAGTTAGAAGCATTAAAGGAAAATTTTAGAAATTTGCAGCAAAACTTTGATGAGATTGAAAAAAATTTGAAAATATCAATAAAGAAATTTTTACTCGAAAGTAAAGTTAAAATGAACCATCAAAACAATGAAAAACAATTGGAAGATATTTCATTAAATTTAATAAATACTTTGAATCAGATACTGTTGCAAAAAAGCAAAATGCACAACTTGATTATTTCAAAAAATATGCTACTAAAAAAGAATTCTGTTATCGTGCAAAATTTGAAAAAAAAGACTATAAAATTAAAGCCTGAATTGGAAAAATACATGAAAAACCATTTTACAAATATAAACAGTCTTAGCTCCAATATCGAAGAATTTATTCAAGTGAAAAATAGCGATTTAGCTGAATTAGCAGATGAATTGAATAAAATATCGGAAAAAGTGAAGAATAATATAATTACTATGACAAATAAAACGGCTACAAACACAGAAAGCATGATTAAAAATGTCACTGAGATTCAAAATATTAAAAAGGATATTAAAGAAAAGATTATTTCAAGATTGAATGAAATCTTGTCTAATTTTAAAACTTTTGAGGAAAACTTAACCGAAAATTTGTTATCCATTAATCAAGATTTAAATGATAATTTTGCTAAAATTAAAACAGAAATAAACTCGACATTCAACTATATAAGTGATAGATTGGTGGAACAGGAGCAACAAATACAGGATCTTAAGGGAAAGTTAATAACTAGTAGAACCAGCTATTCAAATTTATTGAAAAACACCACGAAGCAAATAATAGATTTTATTGCAAATGAAGATCAAATTAGCAAAGATTCAAATGATGTATTGTTGAAAGAAATAACGAAATTGATAGAAAATCATAAAACTAAAAATAATGAAAGAATTCAAAATAATCTTAACAAAATTTCAAATAAATTAGGAGATATTAGCAATGGGTTTGGTTTAGAAATGCAATCTCATCAAAAAACAATTGAAAAAATAGTAGAATCTAAACAAAAGCTTCGAAATGAAAGCATTAATAATCAAGAATTAAAGAAACTAGAAGAAGTGATCAATGGGGCTTCTCAAGAGACAAACGGAAAATTTGAAAAATTTAAACAGTTTATTCATAATGAAAATATCCGACAAAATAACGATATAATGAAAACCTTTTTGAGTAACATTGACAAGACAATATATTTAGATAAACTAGACAGTTATCTGAATAGTATCGTGGAGGATAATAAACAAAATGCGAAAGGTATTAATCAAATCGTTAGTTTGCTAGATTTAAATCAAAAAAGTTCATTTGATTTAATGGATGAAAGTATTAACAAATTAAAGCAAAACATTACTGAAAGTATAAAAGAAAGAATTATCAAAGAATTTATTGATGATGACAAAATGAAGAAGGAAGAATATAGAAAACTATCTAATAATCAGTTTGATAAAATAGCAGGAACAATTGGACAAGCAGAATTTTTATTAGAAAGTGAGGAAGAAAAAAAAATTGAGAAAGAAATTGAAGAAAATAAAATTACCAGTTACCCAAAAGTTTTACCAAAATTTAAAAGTGATCAAGATATAATATTTGAGTTGAATGAGTTACATGGATTTAAACAAATTGAAAACTTAAAATTAGAAGATGTATATGAATTGGCAAATGAGTTGGCATTGCAAGACAAGAATGAAAACGATGAAAATGGTGGTGATATTAAAGATGTTGGACCCTTGGACAAATATAATGGTGGCAAAGGAAAACATAGTAAAGAACAGATCGAGGATACCTTATTGGATGTTTCAAAAAATAAAATGTATAAGATTAAAAAGGATAACAATGAAAACAAACAGACGAACAATATAAAACAACAGTTAAAAGAACTAAGAGTAGCATTAACACCGATACATTTCAGTGATATCAATTCTAAAGCCAACAATAGATTTTTCATGAAGGGTAGTAATAAAATCTCACGACCAATTTTAGTAGACAAAGATGAGCAAGAGAATCAAATTAAAATACCAATACCGATAGCAGATACACCAATTCATAAATCTATGATGAATAATATAAACATTATCAATGGTAAACCAAAAAAAGGATAAAAATAAACAATTTAAAGAATTTACATATTAATGGCTTTTGATATGTTAATGATGTGTTGCTAATGTAATAACAATGTATCAACAGTGTATTTTATCGTTTCAATCAATGTATTTCAATTCAGTTTTTTTTTTCTATCAAGGATTTTTTAGATTTGATTGAGATATAGTAATCTTTTGGAGTAGTAGTATAGAGTTCTTTTTTTTTTTTTTTTTCATTCCTTTTAAAAGTTATTTTTTTAAGCGTTATTAGTTAGTTTTTTGTTGGGGTTGATATAATTATTTTTGATGCATATATTGTTTATTTTGTGATTTATATCATCATTAAATTTATTTTGTAAATAATCAAATACTGGTTTTTTCTCTAGTTGAATTCTTTTTCTTTCTGAATTGATGGAATCGATTGATTTTCTTTTTTTGGAAATTTGGTGATTGAGATTGTTGTTTATTAGATATTGATTGTAGTTATTATTTGAGTCCCAAAATTTTTTTTCATGGTTGATGAAGGATAAAGATACTTTTAAAGCATCCAAGCGATTGATTGAATATGCTAGTGATGTGTATAATTTGGTGAAATCGACATTACCAGAAGATTCATCGAAAAATACTTGGTATCTATTCAAATCAATTCCAGATTCTAGAGGGATGTCTATGTTATCGAAATTGGTGTCACCGTTGTAGATTTTATCGTGGTATTTTGATTCCAAACGCTTAATGTCATTTAGAATGGTTGAGTTAATAGCAGCATTAGCATTAGTATTGGTATTGGTATTGGTATTGGTATTATTATGAGTAGTTTGATTATTGTAATGAAAGGGTTCTTCTAGGATTGATTCCAACTTGGGATGATATTTTTTAACCTTTATGGTCAGTAGTTCTTTATCAATGATTGACTGGATGTTTATTTTTTCAGAACCAGATATATCCTCGTCGATATCTAAGTGATCAATAGAAAGGTTTATGGGTTGTTAATGTGTTAGTCACCAAGTCCGGAAAAAACCAAGCTGGAAAAGCAAGAGAAACTGGAGAACCAGCAGTAAAGGGAGACTTACAACTCAACAAATCCAAGGGCTGATGTCTAATGTAGTTCATGTCGGGGCAATCAAGAATGTGATTTTATATTTTTGCTGGTGTGCTGGAGATTGTTCTGGTGTAGTGAGTTTCAGGTGCAGTGCATTGAAAGTATTTGAAAGTATTATATTGAAAGACGACGAAGCCAAATTGAAGAGAGAAAAATAAACAAGAACAAAGAAAGGCGGGCGCGTCCGTCGACATGTACACGCAGCACACCGCACGCATAACGGACTCTGTTGGACAAAAAGACAAAAAAGAAAAACAATCGAAAAACAGAAAAAAAGTAGCGCCGCCTGGTTTCGATCCAGGGACATCAGGGTTATGAGCCCTGCGCGCTTCCGCTGCGCCACGGCGCTCTTTTCCGTTGTTCTAGGTTCTCCCTAAACCACACACACCATGTGACGCTTCCGTTTTTGTGGTTTTGTGCATACCCGCGCTTATGCGCTTATTACTACTGTTGTCTTGCGATTCTCTCGATGCTCTGCCTGTTTTACCCCTTCTTTTCGGAGCTCTAATCGGATGTGTCAGACTTTGGGGAAATATCCACTTTTCGACTTCTTTTTGTGATTGGTCCAGCCGATAACTGCACTGAGATATCTTTTTACAATGCGACTGATTAGCATGAAATTTCCGAATTCGTCACCAAACCAACCAGAGGTTAATGACTTGAACAAAGAAAGAACTCGACGAGGGTGTTTTATAAACGTGAAAGAAGCTGGAGCAAGCACAGCAATCTAGAAGGCATCAAATGATTTGAATTCTATTTTAGTTCAATTGTCTCTGGATATTATTTGGGTATATTTTGGGGGTTTGCTTGGAATTTTGTGAACTCCGAAGAGCAAGTAAAAGGAGAGAAAAGAAAGGTGAAGCCAAGTGTTAGTTCTATCATGGAGTACTTTTGTTGCACTTTATATTTTATTTATTCAATATTGAAGACAAGTACATGATGCAATGGAAAAATGGAATAGATTTTGTGGGAGGGCATTTCTGTATAAATATAAACCAACAGACTGTTGGTTTTCAATTCAACAAAAATATTATTCTACATTTCTATATTCTATATTCAATATATTTTTGATTATAACCCAATTAACTCAATTAACTCAATTAACTCAACTAAATAACCAAATTAAATATATATATATACGCAATTTATCAAAATGACATCAATGAAAGCATTAGTTTACGAAGGTCCAACAAAGAAATCATGGAAACTGGTGGATAAACCAACTATTGAAAAGCCTACAGACGCAATTATCAAAATTGAATCAACGACCATATGTGGTACAGATTTGCATATTTTAAAGGGAGATGTTCCTGAAGTCGAAGAAGGTACTATTTTAGGACATGAAGGAATTGGATATATCGAAGAAGTTGGGTCCAGCGTTAAGAATTTCAAAAAAGGTGATAAGGTGATAATTTCATGTATTACCTCATGTGGAAATTGCACATATTGCAAAAGAGATATCCAAGCTCATTGTAACGATGGTGGATGGATTTTAGGACACAATATTAACGGTACCCAAAGTGAATTTGTTAGAATTCCTCATGCAGATTATTCATTAATCAATGCGCCAAAGGATGTTAAAAACGAAGCATTATTAATGTTGAGTGATATCTTGCCTACTGGTAATGAGGTTGGTGCAATTTGCAGCAAGATTGAAGAAGGTGACATCGTTGCAATTATCGGATGTGGGCCAGTTGGTATTGCGGCCTTATTGGCAGCTGAAGTGTACAAGCCCAGAGCAATTATAATGGTTGATATGGACGAAGAACGTCTTAAGATTGCCAAAGAAACTTTTGGTGCAACACATTCAATTAATCCAGTCGAGTTGAAAAAACAAGGTATTAAATTTACTGACGCAATAAAGAAAATCACAGAGGAATTTAAAGAAGAAAGACCTGGATTGAAAGATGGGGTCGATGCCGCTATTGAGTGTGTTGGAATTCCCCAGACTTTTGATATGTGTCAACAAATTATTGCTCCAGGTGGTAGAATTGCTAACGTGGGTGTTCATGGAGCCAAGGTCGACTTACAATTGCAGGATTTATGGATTAAAAACATTACAATTTCCACCGGATTAGTGTCTGCGTACTCCACAAAGACATTGTTGAAGAATATTGAAGATGGTGAATTGAAACCAGAGAAGTTGGTCACCCATGAATTCAAGTTGAACGATATTGAAAATGCATACCATACGTTCAGTAATGCAGCCACAGAAAAATGCATTAAAGTGATATTAAACAACTGAACTGCTGAGCCGCTGGGTAAATGAGCAGCTGGTGAAACTATAGACAGCAGTCTAATAATGAAAAATAATAACGAAATATACTAATGAAATATAATGGGTTTTTTTCTTTACTTTTTTTCTATGATTTTTTAGTGATTTAATACATGTTTTTGAAGAAGCGACAAACCGTCCCAAAAGAGACCTAAACCCCCGAAAATGATTATGGGAGCACTCCTGATATGGTGGGTGTGCGTCTAAAACACACAAACAATAGAGCCGCATATGCGTACACTGAGCGCGTGACAATGCACAATTTACAACAGACGCACACGCACATTGCATGTCTGCTAAAAGCATCAGCCAATCAGAGCCGATAACCGCGTGTCTAGCGAACTGCCGAACATTCCACCGTGCGTGCGAAGTGCGTAAGAGTGCGCAGAAGGTGCGTGTCGCGTCCAACCGCAGAATAGCGAGGCGACACAAAGACACAAAACAGCTGGAACAATTCCAGATATAATCGCAGACGAGAGACTCAAAGAGGAGACCTAAAGCTTTCAGAGCTTTCAACGAGTTTCTCAGAGATATTTCCACGACCTCCTTCGCTGATAGTTGATAGTCTTTTGATAACCACTTCGTTTTGCTTTTGGAGCACCATTCCTATTCCACTATCTGCTTTGCTCTGGTTTCTGTGCTACTATTTCATGACTCTGCAATTGGTATTTAACAACTAACTGGTATTTCCCTGCTTCTACACCTACCAAGATCACATCCAAGATCTTATCCAGCATCACTGTTGTGTCAACATTATACCAACATTATACCAACATCATATCCAATCTCTTACATCTGCTCTCTGCTCTTATATTCTCATTTATTTCTTGTCAAAATCTAGCAACAAAAGTCATTAAACTCTGAAGGCTCCACTCTCTGATACCCAAATTTTATTCTCTTGCTAATAGTCCTGTTTTCACTCCTCTCACAAAATTTAATCCAACAACTAATTGAATAGTATCTTTCAATTTAATTGGTTCTTTTTCTGCTTTTATTTGCCCTTTTTCTCACTTGTGTTTATTAGCTTGTTTTCAGTTTCCTTTTTTTAATTTTCATTCTAAACTAAAAGAAAAAAAGTTTTGCTGTTATTCTCCTGTTTTAAAGATATTACCACCTTACTATAATATAATATACTATAATATAATATAAGATAAGATAAGATAAGATAATCAAATCACATTACATTATAACATACGTAATATAATATCATATAATATAACAGTGTTCTTTATATTACAATCTTATACTATAATTTGTCCCAGATATTTCCTTTTTCCTCATTTCCTTATTTCCTTATTTCCTTATTTCCTTATTTCCTCGATTTCTTGTCTCCTTGATTACCTTTTAATTTCTTTTTACTTTCCTTAGCTACTGTTTAGCTTATAATGAGTTACTCCCCAAATAGCTTTAAAACAGCATCCTTTGAAAGTTTAAACAGATCAACTTCTTCTTTTACAAACACCTCATATACAAACAATAACAGCAATAATAGCAATAACAATAGCAATAGCAATAACACCAACACCAACACTAACAATAATAATCCTATTCAAAAAATGAATTCAAAAAGAAAGAAAAATTTAGAAATTTTATTAAATGATGACCTGATCAAAACTGAAATTGATCTTGAATTAAAAAAACAAAAGCAATTAAATCAACTCAACAACAACAACATCTCCCCAAATACTTCTTATACTGCTAATTTCTACGATAATTCAAATGCCAATTCAAATTCAAATTCAAATTCAAATCCAAATCCAAATTCCTATTCAGTTACAAACTCCCCAATAGTTAACAGCTTTCTTCAAAACCTCTCGTCAAATCCAAACCAACTTTCCAGCTCCTCTTCTAACAATAACAATTATACAAACTACAGCCCTTCAGTCACCTCTTCTCCAAAAATTTCTGCAAATTCAAGAGTAAGAGCCTTGCAAGAAAAGATAAAGAAAGACTTGGATTTAAAGGATACCCCAAACCCTTCAAAATTCTCTTTACCAAATAGATCCTATTTATCAAGATCAAACTCTTCAAATTCTGTTAAAAATTTGGCAAAAGATTTCAATAATTCTTCAAATTTAAACTTATCCTCAATTAACTCTATCAACAACATCAATCCAGTTAATAACATTTACAATTCCCCAGTTTTTTCAAACTCTTCTTCAAATTTAAATTCTCCCTACACAACAGATATCAATAACGAAGATTTAGAAATCCCAAGAAGAAGCTCTTCAAGAATCAAAAAAAATCCTCCTCCAATTATAGTACTTCCAGAGAATGAAGACCTTCCCAAAAGATCCTCCTCAAGAAGCCAAACTTCTTCATCCTCATCTTCCTCAATCAAGTCCCAACCTCAATCTCTATCTCATTCACAATCTCAATCTCAATTGCAATCCCATTCACAATCACAGTCTCAATCACAGTTCCAATCGTTATCCCAACCCCAACCACCCCATTCACCTTTATTCGAGGTCGACGAAATCCCAACTACTCCAACATCAATTTATAGTAACGATAATATCTCAACAAATTCTTTAAATTATTCCGTAACTTCATCTGGTAAAAAACTAATAAAACCAAGATTTAAAGTCACTGTCAAAAAATCAGCTTCAGTCATAAAATCTTCAATCCGCAAAAGTAAATCAAATTTATCGAGTCCAAATTCTTTATCTGAAAATTCAAGTATCCCAGTTGATAATACCCCAACTTCTTCAGAAATTGCTGCAAAAACCTTAAGAACTCTTCAAGCAAAGGATAAAGAAATTAACAACAGAATTAAAAAATTCAAGTCCGAAGTCGATTTCATTGATAAATCTTTACCTCCTTATTCATGTTCTCAAGATTTTAATGACCAAAAAAAACTACTAATAGCAAAAGAAAAATTATTAAAAAATTTAGAGTATTGGGAAAAGAAAAAATATGAAAATGGTATTCTAATCTCAAGATACTCGAGAAAATGCATTTATAGTGGAGGAGACGATGTTACTTCCTTTTGGGCTGGAAGAAATGATTGATATCAAAAGTAAGTTTGACTAAAATAAAATGAAAGAAAAAAAAATTATTCCTTTTTTATTATTCACTTCATTTATTATTTTTTCAATGTGTTTTTTATCTCAAAAGGTTTTTCCTTTTTTTTACCAATTCAAAAAGAATTTTTTTTGTTTTTTTTTTGTGTTTTTTTGTTTTTTTTGATTTAATATTTAATATTTAATATCTAATACCTAATATCCAAATTTTGATTTTTTCCACTTTTAATTTTGATTTTTAATTTTGATTTTTAATTTTTAATTTTTAATTTTGTTTTCTATTTTCTATTTTTTATTTTTTATTTTTATTTTTGATTTTTGATTTTATTGATTTTAATTTTTGTTACTTAACACTTTTGTTTCATATCATGCCTTTGTTTTATTTGTTCAGTCATTTTTTTTAAAACTTTTTCATTTGTTTTTTTATTTATTTATATAACTTTTTCAAGTTGTTTGCTTTGATTTGTTTTTACATGCTAAGTTGTTTATCCTATAATCTCAATTTATATCATTGAAAGATTTTTAGCATTATAAAAGAAAAGTGAGTTCTTTATCTACATCAAGATTTTACTTATAGCTCTATTCTGATATGTTTTAAATAGTTTATACAACTCATCATTGAATTCTTGATTTATACCTTATCTAGTCTTTGTATAACTAAACTAATTTACTTTATTTTATTTATTTAATAAACCAGTAAATAATTGAAATTTCTTTTACACTTTTACACAAGATTATCTGCAATCGTTTTAAAACACAATAAAACTTTGCAACAAAAAGTAAAACAAATTTATGTATATTCACTGATCACCTCTATAATTTAAATGCATTATCATTAAATAAAAAATAACAAAAATAAATAGAAATAAATGCACAAAAAGAATCTTTTTCAACTAATTAACATACTCACAATGAAGAAAAAAACTAAGAAAAACAAAACAACTTTTTCTGTCAAAAAGAACTGAAATAAAAATAAAAATGAAAATAAAAATGAAAATAAAAATAAAAATAAAAATAAAAATAAAAATAAAAATAAAAACAAGAATGAGAATAATAAAAATAAAAAACACAACTATAAAACAATTTTAAAATATAAAACAATTTTAAAATATAAAAAATAATAATTATTATCATATTAAACAATGTAAATGCTAAAGGTTCATGCAAAGTGCTTTAATAGTTACCAGTACTATTAGTATCAAAATAGACCATTTCTATATTGGTATCAAGCCATAAGACCCCACAAAGTAATCGTTGAAATTTCTGTTGAATGCACTGTTTTCTTTATTGGATTTTGATTCGAGTATTTGAGAAGTATTATTATAAGGTTTAATTCTTCTGTGATATGCACTATTAATAAGCGCATGTTTAGGAGGACCAGAAACTTCCTTAACAAGTCGAGCATTAAGCCATGAATCGTTAGCTCTCAAAAAACTCATACTTTTCAAAGCATCCTTAACAACTCTTTTTTTAGATGGTAAATGATCAATAGGTGACCATTTTTCTTCATCAGTGTTGTCATAACTGTCGGCAATATTAAAGATGAAATCATTAAATTCATCATCGTCATCTTCTTCGGCATAGCCTTCCACTTCTTCAATATCATCTCTTTCATCCTCTTCCTCTTGGCTTTCATGATCATACAGAGCTCTATTTGTATTTGCATTAGAACTTGAATTTAAATTTAAATTTGAATTTAGGTTTGCATTTTCAAGAGAGAAAAAATCTGTATGATTGCTTGAAGAAAACTGCAAAGTTTCATTATTTTTGTCTGAGGATAAAACAACTGTTTTATTTAATCCAGAGACTGACATGTTACTGTTGCTAGCTTCAAGTATTGATTCTTCCAAGGAAAATTTCCTATTGTGAACTTGATATTTTTCTTGAGATTCGCCTTCAATCGAACTTAAAATTCTCTCAAATGAGCTGATGTGAGAATTGTTAGAATGAATAGACTCTGCTCCAGATGTAGCCGAATCTGATCTAAACCGACTGTCTTCGTTATCGGGAAAAGAGTTGATGTTAAGAAAGCTTTCGCCAAACAAATCAACTCTAGCTGGTGGCTGTACTAGAGGCATCATCAGATATGCTTCTGTTTTTTCCTTGATAGGCGAAGGTATGGAATAAGAAAAGAAACTGTTTAGATTATCAGTGCTGTGAGTCTCTTGAATTTTAGTATCAATTGAGGATTTATTTTTTGAAGTAGAAGTGTGGTTTTTTTCAAAATTGGCATTAATGGAATTGTCAGAGTGATCACTTGTATTGGTGGAATTCAAAACAAAAGGAAATTCTTTAGATAAATGCATATTATTACAACCATCACTTAAACAATTGGTCTTATCGTCAAGTGTTTCGTCATTGTCATTATGGACGATTGTGGCATCATTAGATTGAATATTAACTAGCTTTAGCGATAAGTTTGATTTTGTTAACTCTTTGTTCTGATAAGTATCAAAATTGGGAGGTTCTAGATGATTAGAGTTTACGATTTTATTTTGAGTTTTCTCAAACTTTCCTTTAGTGTTTTGTTTTTCCTCTTTTGTTGGTGATGTGGCATTGTATGAGTCGATGGGATCGATGGGGTCAATAGGGCTGGTGGGAGTGATGTATGCATTTTGAGTAACGGATAATTTTCTAGGATTCAAATTGCTTGAACTAATTTTTGAATGGAGTTTGAAAAGATTTGAAAAAGAAGCGGTTTTAAATTTAGATGGGTTTGAATAAGGGTTTGCATTGGGACTCAAATTTAGATTTGAAGATGAAATTGTATTGTTAGAAAACTCTGAACCAAAAAAATTGAATAAAGTTGAATGATTTCTTTGTGAGGAAGCAGAGTAAATTCCGTTTGAGTTTTGACTTTGATTTTGATTTTGATTTTGTTGGAAATTATTTTGAGCACTTGCCAAACTTACAAAGGATCTTGTAGCTTGATTATAAGCCTGAGAGATATTAAAGTGATTTTCTGAAGGAGCAGTTATTTGGTTAACGGATCTTGCAATTGAATTTGTTGTATTTCTTCTTGATCTTGTGATATTGATAATTTTTTCGGCAACAGCAAAGGGGTTATTTTTTTTTGATTGGCGAACTCTCCTTCTTCTTCTGGGGACGTTATTAAACTTGGGCATTTCTCTTATTGATAAGTCTGAGGAGATGTCAATACCGTTGATGATTAAATTGAACCAGGAGATGAGTTCATTTAGATGTTTGAAATTGATTAAGATTTGGAAAATTTCCAAACGAAGTCTGATCATGTTGAAGACACTTAGATTGTTTTTTGTTGATATAGTGTAAGAGTTGATGTTACCGAATAGTTTAGTGATAAATTCGTGTTCTTTTCGAGTTGATTTAAAGTCATTAACTAGGCCGATTTTGCCGAATTGTAGGGATAAGGATTTGACTAGTTTATCATGGGCCATAAAGTAGGAAGGGTTTGATATGACTTTTTTTAACATTTTGTAGGTGTTTAGGTTGTTGACCAAGTTATTAAAATTTAGGCTTGCAGAGCTGTTTTTCCTTGATTTGTTGTTTATTTTTAGTATGTTTGTTGAAGAGTTGAAAGAGGAGTTTAGTAGTTTGAATTTTGATCTTAAATTTGAGGTTGAGTTGTTTAATTTTGAGTAAAAGTTGTTTGGAGGAGATAGGATTTTTTTTGAGGATTTATTGAAATTGAGGGAGAATTGTGTAGCAGAGCCTAGAGGGATGATACCATTTTCGTTATTTATGGCGTGAAATAGGTTAACGCCAGTAAAGTTTTTAAAGTGTTGTTTGTTATTCCAAATTGAATTTTTGGAGGAGGGAGAGTTTTTTGAATTTGAATTTGAATTTGAATTTGAATTTGAATTGATGAAATCGTTATCAGATTTGATTTCTTTGATTTTTGAGTATTCGTCGTAGGAATTTAGATCTGAGGGATCGAAATCATTTAGATTTAGCTTGTAGAAGTTCAATTGGGTTGAGTTGAGTTCCATTATGACCAATTGCCAGTAGTTTAGATCGTTGATGTTGTGAATGATGTTGTCGTCATTTAGAAGGTCGTTTAGAGGGTTTTTTTCGAATTTGATTAGGACTATATTTAGTTTGTATAGACTTGGGATGTAAGGGGGAGGGTTGATTTTGTTGTTGATTATGTTCAAGTGTTCATTTTGGTCTAGTAGGAGGTCTAGTTGTTGGTTTGATTTGTAGAAAAGAGAGGGATGGTTGTTGTCGAGAAGGTTAAATTGGGGGATGTTTAGGTTGATGGTGTGGTTGTAGGAAGGTGGGAGGGATAGGTTGAGTAGGGAGTCAGTTGAGTTTGCAGGAGAAGTGATTGCAGTGTCGATTGTTATGGTGTTTGTTGGAATATTGCTTTGGTTACTTTGATTACTTTGATTACTTTGGTTACTTTGGTTACTCTGGTCGCTTGTTGAATCGTCAGTGTTTGATAAGTCAGATTTGATGTTGATGTTGATGTCTAAGTCGTGGTTGCTGTTTGGAGAATTAGATGAAGGTAGTAGTCTTAGAGGAATTGGGTGAGATAAAGGGTCTAGAGAGAAAGGTTTCGATGGAGAAGAAGTATGGATAAGCATAGGATTAAAATGAGTAGAAGTGGTGTGAGAGTGAGAGTGAGAGTGAGAGGAAGAATGAGAATGAGATTCAGAAGTAGATTCATGAGATTTGAGTATATTATTACTTGATATGTTATGTATATTATTTATGGGATTATTTATGGGATTGTGTATGGGATTATTTATTGGATTATTTATTGGATCGTTTATGGGATCGTTTATGGGATCGTTTATGAGATTGTTATTATTATTATTGTTATTTTTAGAGGTGGAGCCGGTTGGTCCATCGGAGTGATTAATCACAACAAAATCATTGAAAAAGTTTTTATCATGAGAATGAGTGAAAGAATGGGGTTGATTATTATTATTTATGGGATTTGATGTATATTTTATGGTTCGCTTTGCATAAGCAGTAGTAGTAGAGCGAGTGATGTGAGAGGAGTGGTTTAGATTTTTGTAGATGTTGTGGTTGTAGTGGTGGTAGTTGTTGAAGCTGTTTAGAGAGTTTGAGAGGTTTAGAAAAGAGGAGGATAATTTTGATTTTAATTTTGATGTTTTTGATGTTTTTGATAGCTTTTGGTCGTTGTTGAAGACCATTTTGTTGGGATCACTTAAATTATTCAAGTTGTTAAAGTTGTTCAAGTTGCTGTTGTTGTTGTTTGAAATTTTTTTGAACATTTTGAACAATTTAAATGAGGTGAGTGAGAAAAAGATGAAACAGGAAATGAAATGAAATGGAAAGAGAAAGGAAGAGAAAAAGAAAATGGAAATGGAAAGAAGTGAAGTGAAAGAAAAGAAAAGAAAAGAAAAGAAAAGAAAAGAGAATAAGGAAAGATGATATAAAAGAGATTAGACAGAGGCAGACATGCAATAAAAGAAAGATAAAGGAAGTATAAACAGGAGCAGCAGTGGATAGAGATACAAGATCAAAGATGAAATAAAAACAGCGTTAGAAAATAGTGCTCTAGGCCTTGATGGGATTGCTGATTATATCTTCATCAGTCGGCCAGCCAGGGGGTGCGCACGTGGAACGGTGCAGTTTGCACAGGGCTGTTTGTGTGAACACGTCACGAGACTGCGCGCTGAAGAGAGGGAGCACGCGCAGCGCTTGCTGGCCAATGCCGTTTGCACGGGTAATAATAGAAAGCGGAAGGGAATAAGGAACAGAAGACGAGCAGCGTAAGCAGATAAACGGCGATAAGCAGCGACAAGCAGCAACAAGCAGAGAGCGCTGTGGCTAGTGAGCGGCAAGCCAGCCGAGAACGTCAGCACTGAGGCTGGAGAAAACCGTCTCGACCTCGATGAAAAGCGAGTGGCGTGCGTGCGGGTAGAGCACGAGCTTCTTGTCGGCAATGGGACACACCCTCATGAAGTCCTCCGAGGCCTTGGGGTCGTTCACCTCATCGTTCTCGCCATGCACAATCAAAATGGCCTTTTCGCTGAGCTGCTGGGGCGTGAGCTTCTGGCTGGCATAGAACTCCTGGTCGAGCAACCTCCGGCCCCTCTCGAACATGTCGGCGAACTGCCTCACAGTGCCCACTGGATTGGACAAGCTCTCCTCAAAGAGGTACTTTTGCCACGCTTCGCACGACGTCGCGAGCTCCTTGTCCAATTTGGAGTCGATCTGGAGCGTGGGAAGCAAGCCTGGAAGCACCTTCAACCCAAGCTTGAGCACAAAATTAGGATCCACCTTGGGATGCAAGCGGATTAGGGGCCCACTCACAACAACGCCGTTGACCTTGTCCTTGTATGTTCCGAGAACCAAGTAGTTTAACGCAATGCCACCTCCCATGGAGTGCCCAACCAAGTAGAAGTTGTCGTTCTTGATGGCTTTAGCCTCCAATCTGGGCAAAATTTTCACCTCAATTAACCTGTCAATATCCTTCATCACAAGCTCCTCATTTGTCAAACCCTTGAATTTACCAACAGAGGTCCTACCTGCACCTCGTTGATCAAAAAACAAACACTCGTAGCCATTAGTAGACAAGAGGTCCAAGATAGTGTAGTAGAGGTTTGAAAACTCAGCAAAACCGTGCATAACCAACACAATGCCTTTCACTTCTCCATTATTGGGAACAGACCAGGTCTCAGTGTAGATATCCAAGTTGTTGATATTAACAACCTCAACGATCGGGGTATTTGTTGGTTTGTATGGTTGTTCAGCGACTTTTACATCCATTGTGCTTCGGGAAATAGAGTAGGTGGAAACAATTCATAGTAAACTTGGTGGCAATGGCTATTTATATGGATTTCAGCCTAGTTCATCTTTTCTTTTCTTCTTGATGCTAACATCAAGATGATTGTGGAGCTGTTTGATGCAAGCACCGCTTTTAAGTTTGGCCCAACTCCTCTCACGTGAATTACTGACATGACTGTGCGAGATAGTGCTGGTAACAGACCCACATCTTTGGTTTTTTGCAGTAGTACGTCTGAACACCTTTCTATGCTGTATTACACACAAGTGACCTGAAAATAGAGCCGAAATGCTTCCGTTTCCGTTGTATTTCAGAAGTTATTCCGAAGCCGTTCCAGCATCCGCCAAGGTGGGAAACGGAGCCAGACTCCGAATCTTTGGAGCGGAGCACGGGCCTTCGAAGGAGCTTGACAGCAGCTAAAACTTTGCCGGAGCTGGGTTTTGCAAGTGAAGAGGATGAGTGATAACCGGCAATTGATAGTCAGTCGTCATATTCACTGTCTACAGATACACATGTAACCATATATCTTTTTATATATATACCCATTCATTGCATCCAAGAAAGAGGGCCTTAATGGTACTGCAGATTGCTATTTCAATCTCTTGCTCAGTTCTTTGTTTATCCTCGACTGCACCTTATCATACCATACATCATACAATACCATACAATATCATACTACACAATACCATACATACTACATAATACAATACAATACAATACGATACAATACAATACGATACAATACAATACGATACAATACGATACGATACGATACGATACGATACGATACGATAATGAAACTATTTAAGAAGAAACAAGATGCCTGGTGGTGCTGTCAATGCCATAAATACCAATCAATTCGTGTTAATAATGAGTCTGATTTGAATGATCTCAATTTTAATGTGGAATGTCTGATGTGCACCCATAGATATTGCGATACCTGTCAGTATATAAATTCAACTCAGAATGATAAAAATAGCACCATTAGACACAAGTGCTGTTCATGTATAATTACCTAATCTATTTTCACTTAACTATTTGATTATTTGATTACTCAATTATTCAATTACTTAATTCAATTAATTACTTAATTACTTAATAACTTTTTTACGTTTTTACTTTTTTAATTCTTTAATTTAATTTAATATCATATTATATTATATTATATTAGATATACTATACAAGAATCATAATTAAATAAAATCATCTGTAAAAAATATATATATAAAAATGACGATGAAAGATGAAGATAAGCTAGAATAAAGATTTAAAATGATCTGGATGAGGCTGAGAATAAAAAGAAATGAAAAAATTTAATTATGAGTTAGAGTTAATGATACAATATAATAAAATAAAATAAAATAAAATAAAAATAAGAGTAGAGTAAAGAGTAAAATAAGAATAAGACTGGAAGTAAACTTAAAAATAATGCAAAACTAACGGATAATAAAAAAATAACAATATAAAATAAAACAAATAGCTGAACACACTATTCATTAGAATTAAAATATGATTTAATGTAATATGGTGTAATTGGATTTTAGTAAAACAGGTTAAGATTTAGCAATTATTATCGCCCTGTTTACATCTTTTGAATATCCTTTAACGATTTAACATTTCTATAGTCATAGAGACTTGGAGAACTTGGACCACCCAACATTGGAACTGACAACTTCTTTCTTAAAGTCTTCTTTAATGTAATCTTTTCATTTGGGTAAAAAACATTAGAAACTGGTCCGGCTAAAATATATTTGGGTTCGGTATTCTTGGTGGAGGTCAAATTGGAATATAACACTGGACTGTCTGGTCCGCCTAAAACAACCAAATTGGCGTTGAAACAATCCTTTCTAGTAACATGCACATTTTCGTTGCTCTTTCCTGGAGCTCTTAAACAAACTGGAGCAGTTTTAGGATACGAATTTTCATTAATGATTTCCCTATCATCATCATCATCACTATTATTATTATTTTTGGTATTTTCTTGATTACTGCCAATGTGCTGGCTTAAACTCTTTAATGAGCTCCTGGAACCGAAATCAACAAGCGACATGTTGGAGAAAATTTGAAAAAAGAGTAATAGGAATGTAGAGATGATTTCAAAGAGATTTTGTTTCTTGAATGATGAAACACTAGAACCGGAATAAATTGAATTCATTTCACGAGTATATATATGAAAACTTGTCAATCAAGTGAAAAATTTGCTGTTGCTTAAAGGTAATGAAAAATAGCTGAAAAATCAAAAAAAGCAATTAATGGCTCTTTGTTGGCTGTTTGGATTTGAGGGTTGAGATGAAAAATATAAAAAAGAAATCATCGCTTCTTAAAATAAAGCAAAATCAACTATATTTATATGTGCAAAATAGAAAAGAAATAATCTAAAAAAAAAAACACAGAACAAAATATGCTACATCCCAATTGGGAAACTCTCTTACAGTCCAGGCTCTGCTTATATGGAATTATTCTCTTGAGCCACCGGACAGGCCCCTCCTCAATCATAGCGCTTTAGTGTGTGCGCAGGAAGAGCCCAATCCGCCCACATCTCTGGCTGGCGCAGACCCACCTTGTGACGAGCGGGACCTAAGAGAGTACTCCTCTTCGCGCGTGGCATGGCCCTCCCTCCCATGGCGGTGGTACGGCATATGCACAAACCAGCGGTCGCGGTGCACCACTCCGCCCCGCATCCGCGCCACATCCGCACTTGTGTCTTTACCAGCGACCGCGGCGTAAACCGGTTTCTTCACGTGCACACGTGCTCCGTGACCGTAGCCGCGGATATAGACGGGCGAAGAGAACAGGTTTTGAATTCCCAAAGCGGATAGATATAATCAGCGTCCACAGACAAACCTCCAGAGCTCAGAGCCCACCAACAGCACCTAGCGCTGATGCCCCTTTGCTGAGTTATCTTTAAGCCTTCCCTGCTGAATTCTTTCTGTTGTCCTCTTCTTTCTGTGTCTCTGCTGCTGCCGCTGCTGCTGCTTTGTTGTGTCTATTTCTACAATGTCTCTCAAGAAGCCCTTATTCAAGACACACCATTCTCTCCTATCAAAGAATTCCATTGACGATTCTCTTGTTGTCCAGTGGGACGATGACTTGTCTTTCACAATTGACAAATTGAATCAAATATTGGTCCACTACAACCTGTTCACAGACCACTGGTTGCAATTTCTAACCAACCAACTCGCAATAGCCTCCACCTTTATCGACCTTCATTCCTCAAATCAGGACGATGACGATACCATCAATGACAAAAATAATGATAAAAATAATGACCACACAAAAAATCAAATCGACAAGATCTTCATATCAACTTCCGATAATTTACTGAAAATTGACAATAAATTCTACTTGTCTCAAGTATCAATAGACGAAATCAACCACTTTAAATCTTTAGTTTCAAATTTAAACAACCAGTTTACCTCAAATTTCAAAAAATTTAATTCAACTTTATCTTCAAATTTCTCTGACTTGATCAAATACTTGAACCTATTCAAATCCTTAATCAAGTCTCGCTCAACTAAAAAAAACAACCTCTCAAGCTACCAAAAAAAGATCCAATCTTCTACCTCAATCAAAAATAACCTAAATAAACCTCTATCTCAAAAGGAAACTAAACACCTTAACGATTTAATTCAACTTTTCAACACTGCTGATCTAAAAACTAAACAAATTTTACCAATTGTCTTGTCTCTATTAGATGATTTCCTCAATTACACTTTAAAAACAATCTATTACCAAAATTTACAACTACTTAATCACATTACAAAAAATTTATCTTTTTTTGCTCAAAATTACGGTCTAATACTAAACAATAACAACAACAACTATAACGATATAGTTCAATCCTATAACACAGATTTTAATCCAATTCAATCTCGTATATTATCTTTAAAACTTCTAATCACTCCCTACACTTCAATTCCTACAATTAATAAACTATCTCCCATAGATTCTTTTCCATCTAATAATATTGTATCTAACAACAACAATAACAATAACAATAACAATAACAACTTGACTGCATCAAATCTAATATCTAATGAAAATTTCAACCAAATTATAATTTCAACTCCCAATTCAGCTTCTAACTCTAATCAATCCCAATTTCAAAATTACAACCACAATCCTAATAACATTAGCAAATCAAACCGTAATCTGTTAGATGTCCCTAAAAATAACATTGTCAAAAGAAGTCTATCCCTAAAAGTTAAAAAAAATAAATTTGACCCAACTCCTGTCATGAAACCACTAAATTTAAATAGATCGCATACTAAAAATCTAAAATCACACTCAAATTTAGCTTCAATTATCTCTCCAAAGGAAGATCATTTTTTCTTCAACACTAACACTACAAATACAAACACAAACAACAACACAAACACCAACAACAATAACATTGATAGTGACATTACTACCATCACAACCACTACTAACAACTTATCCATCAATAACGAAAATATCAGTTTGCCTCCATCTCAAAGAAAATACTCACATAACCGCGGTAGCTCTGTAAGCCTATTAAACGCACTACAACCTCCTCCAAGCCTTTCTAATGCTTCTTCAAAAAATAATTCAGAAGAATCTCTTTCAAGAACTTCAACTAAAAGATTATCCACTATGAGTGAAAGAAGTGAAAGAAGATTAAAAACTTCCTCCTATATTACTCCAAATTCTGCTTTTCAATTCGGTTCTCCTAAAAAAGACGACAATGCTAGTACCTTAAGTTTAAAATTAAACAACAACAGCAACAACAATCATGGCGAAAACTGGTTAAGACCTTTATCTTTAGTTAGAAATTCAAACGCTCCTCCACTTTTTCCTCAATTCGATAAAGACGATAAAGACTTTGCTAACGATGACCTGTTTTCATTTAAATCTTCAAACTCTTCAAATTCTTTGATTGGAAATGACACTATAGCCGCTACAAGCGATTCCAACACCAATACAACCTCAATAGATCAAATAATGAACAATAATCATAATCACCATATCACTGAATCTAATGATACTTCGCCCTTTCAATCTCCATCAAAACATTCAAGTTCGAATAGATTGAGCATAATATCATCTTTTTCAATGAATCAAAATAACCAAAATATTCAAAATATCCAAAATAGTCAAAATAGATTCAGTATGATGTCAACTACTTCAACCAATAAAAGATTGAGTATTTTCTCAAATAATTCTTTATCCGCTCCTATCAATCTAAATTTATTGCCTCCTAATAACAATTCTCAATTGAATTCTGCATCTCTTTACACAAATACTCCCACATCTTCTGTTAAAAATTTTATAACAAAATGTCCTATTACTACTAATTTTAATAATAAAAATAATTATCATTTAGTAGACGACAAAATTAAGTTATTATCATATGCTGATACATCTTTATCCGGCTATTTGTATAAAAACTTCAATAAATACTATAATAATAGTTTATTACTGGAAAATGATTTTACCCGAAATCAAAAGGATCGAAAGGACCGAAAAAACCAAAAAGAGGACAGTTATATTGCTCAGTATCCATTTAAGGGTATTGAAATTGGGGATTTATCCTTTAATAAAGGAGACATGATTAAGATTTTGTCAAAACATACACCTGACAAAAATTGGTGGATCGGCGAATTACCAGATGGTAGGGTTGGTTTGCTTCCATCCAACTATATTAGCATCCATTCCACCTAAGCATTTACCTTGTTTCTTAAACTTATTAAAATAATTAAATTAATGAAATTAATTTTTTTATTTGTCTATTTTCATGGTTGAATTCTAGTTGGTTTTCTGTGTAAGAGTATTTGTATATTGCATTGTTTTTTATAAGTTTTATTTTCCATTATTCTATATTGTGTTTTTATTATCAGCATTTCCTATAGATAAATTTGAATATAATGATTTTCATTATTGAATCTTTTTTTTTTTTGATTCTTGTTGAGTATTATCTAAGTTCTATTTGTTTTCTTTTATCATTTGTTTTTATAACAATTTTCTGATTTTTTCAGATATGTTGCATATTATAATTTTTTACTATCAATAATATCATAATATTATGTTTATAAGAGATAAGAGTATGACATAGTAATAAATTGCCTATATCAATTTAGAGAATATTAAATATATATTAATTTAACAATGAATTAAAGAATAATTAAAATTATGAACTGGCCAAAACTTGAAAATAAATCTTCTGCGGCAAAATAAATCAAAATAAAATAAAATAAAATAAAACAAAAACAAAAACAAAAACAAAAACAAAAATAAAAATAAATCCACCAAAAAAATACCAAAAAAAGAAAAAAAAATCACCAATAAAATAAAAAAAATGCAAATTAACCCCTTTTTTTTGTTTCCAGCAACACCAAATTAAACATAATGAGAGGAAAAAAGAAATTGAACCAACCAATTCTGACCAAAAAAACTTAGTCAGAAAAGACAAACAAATTAAAAACTAAAATTAAAATAAAAATATACCAGTAAACCAGACCAAGAACAGTAAGAAACCCAATGGAAACACTGGAAAAGCCTTATAGAAACCAAATAAAAACAATATATTAAATACATCACTCTTTTCAATTGAGCAGTATGAAATAGGTTTAATAATAAGTGAATGTGCTGTATAAAATACTGGTCAGAGTAACAGTATATTCAGCAGTAAGATAATAACCACTCTCGCCAGTGCAAGTGTAATCAGGGAATTCATAAATAATTTTATCATAGGAGCTATAAAAGTAGTCTTCATCGACATAAGAAGTAGTACAGATAGTACCATTCATTAAAAAATAAGAATTTGAATCCAAGTCAAAGTCATAATCATAGATAGAATTGTAATCATAACCAGAATCACAATCAGAGATTGAATTAGTGATTTGTGGGGCATCTGTAGTTTGAACTGTGTTAGGTGTTGAACAGACTAAAGATAATTTCAAAGTTGTTTCAAGAGGAAAAGCTGTATCCTTGAATTGAGTGACAGAGGGAGTAACAGTCGAAAGCACAGTTGAACAATACTCGTCTGAAGGCCGGGAGTGAGTAGTTCTATAGCTGTCATCATCATAAGATTTAGTAGAAGTAGACAAGGAAACAATTGGATTTGAATAAGTAGTAGATATTGGAGTCTCACTAATGGATTCAAGAGTTGTCGACTCAGTAGTTTTAGCAGTTGTCAACTCAGCTGTCTCAGTAGCTGTTTCAGTGGTTGTTGAATCGATAGACCCAATAGTAGACTCAATAGTAGTCGAACCAGTAAGTTCGAAAGTTTCTGAATCAAAATCTTCTGGATTACCATAGACATAAACAACACTTGTGGAATCAGGTAGCCTTGTGGTAAAAGTTAAAGTTTGTGTTGTAAAAATACTTGTATAAAGAACAGTTTCACCAGCTTGGATTTGAAAAATTGTTTTATAACCAATTGATGTGACAAGCTCTGGAATTGGAGCAGCATTGGTAAAGATTAAAAAATTTATCACTAATACTAAAGAGAAAAAGTCAATTTTATTGAAGAACATGTTTGTAATGGTGATGTGATTTTCAATAGCAGCAAATTGTATAATGTGATATTTCTTTATAATCGGATGATTGATTAATAACCAAAAACAAATGACAAAAAGAATAAGAATAAGAAATAAATACCAAATATTAAATAAAGAAGAAGACCATCATTGAAGAGCTTTGGTACTTAATTTATATAATTAATTTGTTGACCTGCGTAGCATGTCCAGCAAAAACACCACTGCTGGCAGATATATATAAGTTAAAACCGGCCATTTGAGTAAATAAAGCAAAGTGTGGTAAACCAAGAATCAAAAGTGATTAAATCACACTCGATTTTCAGTACTATTTTGAAATGAACCGAATGGGACAAATGTCTGGAGAGTGATCTTTTCCTAACTGGTGTGAAAATATAATCAAGATTTGACGAAGATGAGTGAAAGAATGGCTGGTATTATTGTTAACAGAGCCCTATTTCTGGTCTGGGCATCTTCTAGGGCTTTTGCGTGTGTACATGTTATTTGCTGTGCTCAACTGTGATAATATGTTAAAGCGCATTAAATCCGTACTGATGGTCATATTTAAAGCCGAGTGCTGTTTTATGTGTGTATATGTTATATATCGTCTCACACTGCAGAGATGCATTGATATTGCATTTACACCGGTTTGCTGGCTCTTCATTACATCTTGCTGAATGATGAAATAATCTCAAAGCAACATCATAGCAATGTTTAGAACTTGGACCAATATAATTATTGCTCACAAACCAACTCAGCAATCCAGTTATAGCAATCGTTGTGCAAATGATCATTTAATTTTAGAAATGGACACAGTTTCAATGATTTTAAATTGATATTTAAACCAAAGAATTTCTTTCATTTTACCCCGATTAAAATAGATTATCAACAATAATTATAATTACACAAATAATTATAACAATCCCAATTTTTCTGAATCACTTCACCTAACTTACTAAATTTATCAATTCTCTTACTCAATTGACAATGTCTGACTGTAAGTTTAATTTTTTGATTTTTAAAAACTGATAACAATATAATTGGATACTAACGAATTTTAATTTTAATTTTAATTATTAATAGTCGGTAGAAAAAACTTTACTCAAAAGGCTTCTGAAGCTGTAAAACCAAATTCTGAAAAAACATATGCTGAACAAACTAAGGAAAAAGCTACTGGTCTTGCTGATTCAATTGGAAAGACTGTTCAACCAGAAAGCCAAAAATCATATGGTCAAAAGGCCAGTGATACCCTTGGAAACAAAAAAGATGAGGCTCAAGACAGTGGAAAGACAGTTTTAGACACAGCTGGAGAATATGTTGAAGCTGCTAAAAATTATGTTGCTGAAACCTTTGCTGGAGACAATACCGCTACCACAACACATCCCAATCAAACCACTCAAACCACTACAACTAAAGTTAATAAACCAAGTTCTGGTTTATAAATTGGAAATTTATGAAAATAAAAACAGAAATTGAAATATAGAATGTGAAAAATAAAAGATGATATTTTGATGTTTTGATATTTCGTCGTTTTACTTTTTGTTCTATTTTTGTTCTTTCTATAATTTAATGAAATATTAGTATAAATTAATATTAATAAGAAAACTGTAGGGTTGTTAAAATAAAGTTAAAAGGCAAGACCATATAAAACAAAAAAATTTATAATTGACAAAGTAAATAATAAAGAAGAAAAGAGAAATTTAGTAATTGAAGAACAAACAGTATCTATTTTATTTACAGAGGAATATCGCCGTTGGATTAACCACACCATGAAAAATTGATCAACATCCCATAACCGATAAATTATAATTTATAACTTATGATTGGATATAAGAAATGGTTACTATTTGTAGAATCTTCTGAATTTGATAAGATAGTAGATTTGTGCTTTAAATATTCAGTCAGTTGTATTTAATAGTAGAACGTATTATATTAATTATTTTTTATAATTTGGTGTTGTATTTTTTTTCTTTCTTTTTAATCAATTAATTAATTAATGAATGAATGAAACCCAAGAAAAATATTATAAAATAAATTACACTAAATAATGCTAGTAATTGGTAAATCACTTAATAGTGAAATGATTTGCAAAAACTGAAAAGGCTGAAAATTTTACAATAGTATGGATAAATTTGTTAAACAACTTTTGAGAGCAGAAAGAGAAAATCATCAAATTGGCATCATAGATTTCAATATTCATTAAACCTATAACCTGACAAATACAAATTTAAAAAAATAAGACAGAAATTATAGAACTTGAATAAGATTAAAAATTAAGATAATTGTATAATAATATAATATCAAGGTAATAATGATATAAGATACTAAGATAAAAACATGATATGATGATATGGTAATAAGATAATAAGATAATATGTTATTACGATATTATGACATTATGACAATAATTTAAACTATTTGCAATAGATTTTCAAGCATTTTAACTTGAAAATTACAACATTTGTAAAAAATTCAACACAATTTTTTGCCGTATTATTTTGTATAGTAGTTGAGTACTAAAGATGCAAATTGTGAAAGATTGTTTGAGATTTCCCAGTAATTTAAACAAAGTGGATTATTTCACCATTTCAGAAAATGGAAGTAGAAGATAATATGTGAATATGGATTATGGATTATGGATTATGGATAATCATAAAATATTCTGAATAAATACCTGATATCAATTGTTATGATAACAGTCTCATTAGCTGCAGAACGTGATTGGATAGAGGAATAGTGTTGATATACTGGAGAAACAGGTCTTTCAAATCCCCAGGAGAAACCAAAAAGCTGCTTGGGCTAAGTGGGAACTTTAGCACCAGCAGCAGTTTCGTATCAAACAAAACACACTGAGAAAATTGAAAAGACCCAAAAGACTCAGAAGATTCAGAAGACTCAGAAGACTCAGAAGAAGCCTCCAAGTGATGCTCAGTTTGGGAGCACTGAAACTTGCGTGCGGATCCTTCCTGATCAAGCACTAGGCGATGCGCTGCGATGCGTTCGGTGGCGTGTAGATGGCCGCAAACCTCCGTAACGCGCTTACGGAAATCTCTTTTACATCGAAAACGGTGACTCAGCTCTTCGGCCACAGCAGAGCCGATACCGTAAGTAACAGAAGAAGCAGAAGAAACATATAAGTCTAGAGCTGCATGGCAACGCTCAACTAGCTTCCGGAAAACCTTTCTGTTGTCGTGCTTGCCGGTTTACGGAAATATATCCAAAATCCTCTATCATCCTTCTCTCAAAAAACAGTTAACCAAATGCTTTGAATGTTCTACAACATTTTATCTTATCTTTTGTTCATACTCCAACTATAATATTTTTTGCTTTTTGCTTAGTTTTGGTTCAGTTGTTTCCAGTTTTTTTTTGATTTTTGTAAATCAATAGTAATGTATAAATTACAATTATTTCCAACTTTCTTTGATATTCTGTTAGAATTTTTAGATTAAGATTCTTGGGAAATTATTCTTTCTAATTTCATTTCAGATCTTTTCTGTTTGTTTTGTCTCCTTGTTTTAATTCATCGCTATTTGTTTTTCTATTTTTCATTTCAATTTTCAGACTTCAATTTCTATATTCCAATTTTTATATTCCAATTTTTCTGATTGGAATCTTGTTGTTGGAGATTTCCAATCTGAATTTTGCAATCTGAAATTTGAAATTTCCACTCCCAGCTCTCACTCTGAAATCAAAAAATTGGATTCACCGAAACCATCTGCTTGTAACAATATTAATACCTATAATACTATCATACCCATGTTAAATACCTATAATACCGTTCAATACCTCTAATATACCTTTACTATTTTCAATCCCTTTAATGATTCAATACCTCCATGACTATTAAGCCGGACTAATGACTGGTTTTCCTGAACCATCTCAACCTCTCTGCCCGTCACACTTTTAACGTCATTTTTCTTTGTTCAACGAAAATTTTGAAATAGTTCAAAGGTTTCAAATTGATAAATAAAACCTTTTTGTCCAAACGCACACCCATGTTTTTCAACGCATAATATTTCCTGTCAGAATTCAATTTTCCTTGAATAATCATTAGAGTTCAAGACATCAGCACATATTGTTTAAGATTTGGCTTTGTTGAGCTAATTATTTTTTTTGAACAACCAATAAGACTTTTTGATTCTTCTACCTGATAATATTATTACATGCTTTTCAGAATTTTTGGAAAACCCAATACCTATAATACCTGAACTCTTAATTAAGTTAGGATCTATTTAATTTCATTTCTACTTGTCCCAAACTATTTTTTCAGATTTTAATTAATACCCGTTTTTTACTTCCACCTCTATATCCATTTCAAATTTACAAAAATTTTCATTACAATAATTTATCTCTCAACAATTATTCAATCTTTAACTTTCTTTCAATAAGCGATTTTCTTTTCATTCGTTTAAATGGGTGTATTTCATTTTTTTGTTTTTTCTGTTTTGTCTTCTGTTACTCCATCTTCATATTAACGACTATTTTTTTTATTGATTTTCATTCTAAAAGTTTACTAGTGTAATAGTAACCGACGGTAAATACTTCAAAATCTTTATTTTTTATTAGCAATTTATCATTTAATGATTAGCAATCGAAAAGATTTTCAAAATCCTCTATCCTTTTAGCAAGTTTTATTCATATACTTCTATTTCAATTGATTTATAAAAGCAAATATTTAAATATCAAATTAATCTATAATAGACTATAATTGCACATTAATCTCATTTAATCACTTTAATTATTTGATTCAATTATTAACTAATTTGAAACCAATTTAAATTTTCTTGTCTTAAACAATAAAAGTAAATAAATAAATAAATAAGTAAACAAATAAGCAAACAAATCAATCAATCAATCAATAAAAATTATGGAAGTATGTAGTTTGAAAATTTGAAAATTCAGGCACATTTCACTTATTTTTTATTAACCAGACAACTAATTTATTCTTATTTTGTTCATTTTATTAATAAAATCCTTATAAATAACATATTTCTTCAAAAAAGAATTTTAAATAATAAGTAAAACAATATTCTAATCATATTCTAAGCATATTCATTGATACCAAATCTTGTTCAATTTTCTAAAATTATAATTGGTTTATTTCAATCTCAATTCATATATCGATTCCATTCCATCTTCATCATTATTCTAATTAAATCCATCATTTTTATTAAAATAAACCCATCATTTCTACTTATTTCAAATTTTTCTGTCTATCAATTATCAATTTTATTATTGCTCATATGTGAATAATAATAGTTATTACTTGTAATATCAATCTTTCAATAATTTATACCTTTTAATTTTTATACATAAAAATAAATCAAATTAAATCAAATTAAAATAAATAAAACAAAAATGTAAGAAAAATCTTACTTATTGCAATTGCTGCAACAATTTACTCAATTATATTAATTTTTTTCCCATGTTATCTGTAGCATCAATAATCAAGTTCTGGTAGATAGATAATTTTTAATGTTTCAAGATTAAATATGACACGAGTTTGGATTATGTAACTGTGTTTGATAGTTAAAATAAGATAATCATAATCATCTACTTATCTATTGATATGGAAAGCCAATAGAAATTATATAATACAATATAGTATAAAAGTAACAAAAAAAAATAATAATTTTAGATGAAAAGATAAAATACTTTTCAAACTCTTTTTCCCAATAAAGCAAAAAAATCCTAGTTCTATAAAAAGTGAGACTAAAGAAATATCAGAATTCAAAGCATTTGAAGCTGTTAAAGAATTATGAATCGTAAAATGGTCAAAACAATTAAAGCAGTCAAAATCTACTCGTCTGCAAGACTAGTAAACCAACAAGAGAGTAAGCTAGTAAAGATCACAGGCTAGTAAATTAGCTAGCAGCCAAAAAGAAAAAGAAAACATAGGAAAACACTGAATAATCAAGATTTGTCTCTAAACAAAGTTAGGTTAGGTTAAGCTAAATAAATTGAATTCGTTTGCTAGTGAGTAGAATAGTAGACTAATTATGCAGAAACTTTGGGCATAAGTTACATTTACGCGTTTTTTAGTCAATATTGCTACCATAACTGATAATCTTAGTAATTAATAGTGGATTATTAATAATTTTATATAACCTTTGATATAGTTGAATAATATTTGAAAATGTTACTATGCAGTACATTACAAATACTAAATAGTGAATAATAAGAGGTATAAATAAAAATTTTCTTTTTTTCAATTATCAGTAACTTTAATTAAGCGAATCTGAAAAATTTATTAAAATTATTTTATTTCATCATTCGTAATTGTGAAAGAATTAATGGTTAACAAATGAATTGAGTTTGAATTCTTCAGGGAATTTTTTTAATGAATCTGTAGCTTAATCTTTGGAGTTTATATTGAGAAATTTGACAGATGACAAAGGAACTCTGAGATTTGGAAGAAAACAACTACGAATTAAGAAGAAACTGCAACAAAAGTAGAAAGAAAGGTATTATTATTGAAAGTATTGAAATGTATAAGACAAACCCTATGAAGCTTATAGAATATATGGTGGTGAAATTAAGGAAACTCAATTAACATACAAAGAAAACACAAATAAAAAGAATAAAAAGCAAAATTCAAAATATGAATTGAGCGTTTTTTTTCTCTATTTTTTTTTTTGTTTTGCTTTGTTATTATAAAAATAAAACTTTTTTTTAAGAAAATTAGTATTTCAGTTCTCCATCAAGAAGAGTTCTATTTATCATTTATTGAGTAACCAAATATTTTGAACAATAAGAAATAAAATATATTGAACTAAAAAAAATGAAGTGTCGAAAACCAGTGAGGAATTTACATAGTTTAAAGTAATACCACAAAGGTGTAAGAAAGTTTACAACTTAATAATCAAAAAAAGCACGTTACATTGTAATTGAATGATAAAATTATTATATTGAATTTCAACATAAAAATGAATGTAAATTGCAGAAATATAACAAAAAACAAGTTGTGGTTTTGTTTTTTTGTTTTTTTGCTTTACCAATGTATAATTTTTATATTAAAATTTTTTATTCGATTATTGGAAACGAATTAGTCTGGAGTCAAAATTACAACTACATCTGAGACATGTGGTGTAAAAAAGTTGGGTTGTTAGATATTGGAAATAATAAAGCAAAATATTATTTAAAATTTAATAAAATTAAGTAAAATAAAATAAAATAAAATAAAAATAGAAAAACCAAACACTACTGGCGCAATAGGAAATACGATAATTGGAGCCAAGCTATTCAACTAATTGAAGTCAATTGTCAATTTCCTGTTTAATTTGTTATTCAGGTAGAATCTTGATAATTTCGAAACAATTAACTCTTTGTTTGAAATCCATTTTTAAGTATGTTGCAATCTGTCAAAACTGGAATGGTTGAAATTCAGTGAAATGAAATTAATTCTAAAAATACCCATTTGAAATAAAGTACATTGTTGGATGTGGAGTGTGGTAGCGTAGCGTAGGATATCGATATTCAGTGAAATGACATCCAAACGTCGAGATATTTCAGCGTAGTATTCCACTGCACCACTGGAGGGTGTGGTGGAGCACACAGAGTATGGTGCTACTGGAGCACCACAATATAAGCGTGTGGCCATAATCTCGCATAGGCTATTACTGGCCAGAGCCAGGATTGTTGGTGTTTCCTATTGTTGACCGGTGTTATTGTTATTTTTTGTTGACACCTGCAAGTGGTGGGGCTCGTGAATAAAACGTCTGACAGAAAAATTGAGAGCAAATAAACGGTTTTTGAATTTTAATCTAAAAGCCCAACCGTTTAACGAGTACTATGGTGGTTTTAGCTAGAAGACACCTCCTGGCAATGGAGCCATTTGCCCATAACGTAGCTGAGAGAGACGAGAAACGTTGGATCGATTACATTCAGCTAGCAGCTAGCTAACTGGCTAACTAGCCAAGTGGAAGAGCTTCCAATCCTACCCTAGACTCGGAAGGTATTAATTATCCTGAACATTGAAAGCATTTCAAAGCATGATATGATTTGCTGAACGTGAAAAACTCTATCTGAAAGTTTTGAATTTGTACTAGACTAAATAGTTCAATTTTAGATAAAATTTTAGATATATTATTTAGCAAATAATTTTTTCTTGTTTTAAAGGAAATAAATATTATCTAAGTATAAGAATCGAACCATTAAATGTTTTTCTTGTGCAAATCCTTGATTAATAAATGGTTAATGCAAAAGCTAGCAATGCAATAAATCCCACCAAAGCAACAAGTATTGCTGGAAAATCACAGTGATTCTGTATCTGAAGAATGGGGCATATGGAAAGATTGCATAGTTTTCTTGATATGGATATCTAACAGAATATTTGAAATCCATTTGTTAGATAGTTGGGACAACCTTCAATCTTAATATTTGAATTTCTCATGTTGTGTTGTTATGCTATATATTTATGTTATGTTATTTTCTTAGCGATATATTATGTTGGTGATTTGTCACTTTATTATCCTGTTATTCATGCAGTGAAATCAACAAATTATTTCCAGTCAATGTCAAAATTAGATGCTTTTGCTCTCACCAAAGTCTGATCAATTTGTGATTCATTTTGCGATCGCTTTTGTGGTGTTTTGTCCTCAAGTTCAGGGAAAAACAGGACCTCAGTGCCGCCATGTGCACATCCCAGTTCCACAGTGTGTCACGCGCCTTGTACTTGCCTATAGAACGTGACATATCTGTTTTACCTGATCCTCTCTTGTCTCTCGTTTCAGTTCTCAAGGTGAACGTGGTTCCCAAACTTTGCACCTGCCCCAATAATGTAGCACCAAATTTTCAGTCCTATCAATTATTCATTAATATTTAAAATTTATCATTTATTTTTAATACCATAATATTTTATATTTAATAATATTTTTAACAAGTTCAAAACAATTGTTATTTGCTGAGATATCGTAACCAAAAAAACGATAAACCCAACTTTTTGTTTTAGTAATTCGCTATAATCATAAATCTATTCTGATCTTGGGTAATAAAATATATTTTGGGTAAAATTAATCAAATTGCACCAATATTTAATTTTATTAAATGATATTGAATGATATTGAACGATATATGACAAATAAGCATGGAATTATAGATTTTGCCATTAAATAAAGTTTCAACAAATGGTATTTCATCTCTTAAATATTTGTTCTTGATTTCATTGTAATTTCCTTTTGAAAACATTCTACAAAGCTAAATTAATCAATTAATAAGTTAATTAAGTTTTTTTGCTTTTTTTTCTTTCTTTTATTTTTTTGAAAATAATTTCAATGTCATTTTTTATGTCAGTTGAATATTATTTCAATCTGTTTTCATGATCATATATATGTCTCTAGGTATTTCAAGATAGAACTTATTTTATATTATTGAGAAAGAACAAGAAACCAGCAAATTTTGAATAAAAAATGTTTTTTTGGTTTTTGGTTTTGATTTTTGAATTTTTAATCTTTAACACCTTGTAAGATTTATTTAATATTCTGGTGACTTTTAAAAGTTAAATAGGAAATAGCTCTTTGAATATGTTGAGTTCTGTACATACCTTTATTTTTAAATTAATTATTCTCGAAAATTGCTTAAATTGTGATCATTTTGAGTAATAAATTATTAAAAAGTATTCTACAAATACAAAAGAAACCCAAGATAGATAAGAAATTAAAGATACAGCATAAGTAGGAGGTAAACTGAAATAAATTAAATGATGATGAAAAAAGAAAGCTCTGAGAAAGCAAAAAAATTCCAGAAATTTCAAAAAGAATTTCAAAACAAATCCCAAAATACTCAGCATGATAAATCTAAAGCAACAAAAGAACAATTAATGCAAAATCATTAGTTAGCCACAAAATAAAATCCACTTAAATGAATAATATGGATTAACCCATGATTGCCATTTACCTCATATAATATGAAATTCAATCATGAATTGAGTCATTTTCCACTATAGAAATGAAACAATCCAACAAAAAACACAGAAAACAACTTAGAACAGTCAATTTCCAGCAACATAAATATCACAAATATAATAAAAAAAGCTGGTGGAAATCAGAAACAGACACAGACCCCAGACCGCCGCCGAGACCCCAGACACGCTCGTGCTTGCTCTGGGGGAGCTGACAGTCTCGGAGCTTCGGGACGGCATGCCAAACGGGCAACCTGCAGCAGAAACAGCAGAAACAACAGAAACAGCAAAAACAACACCGACAAACACAACTCGTGACTCGTGCTCGATCCATGGTGGCGGATTTGGTTCTGGGCCGCCATTGCTACCGCGTTTGGGTGGCGGCATGGTCCAATCTTATAATTGGGAGATACGAGGATTTGCTCTGTCATACATGCTTGCTGCACAGTTGACGCATGGTTGGACTGGACAATCGGTTCTTTAATGTTTTAATTTTCAAAGCTCCCTTTTAAGTAATTAGTTATGTTGGTCTAGTTACCTAACGTTTAATGGTCAAGCTGATTCTTGTGCTGATTCAGAGCGTTTTGTTTCATCCAATGATTATTCTATTGGCCCTCCTGTTGCCAAATATAGTGAGTACCTTGTTGATTTTACATAATTTTATTTTTGGACAGCAGAATGATGCATGAACTTAGTCAAATTCTGATACAGCAGTACATATCCAACTCTACAACTTTCAAACTCTACTTTTCATGCTAAATTCTGAACATTTTCACTTTTTTATGAACTCTTACTGTGTTATTAAGGTTTAAGATCTGAGATTCCAAATAATTAAAACCTTAGTTTAAATCTTAATATAAAACCTTGTATTAAAACCTTATTTACAACATTCATATCACATTTTATATCATATTTTATATCAGTTTTTGTGATAAGTCTAATTTTGGTTTAGAATTTGAACTTGATTCTAGTTTATTCAATTACAAATTGATAGATAGCTTTTACAAAAAAAATGTCAAAATTTTTTAAATTTTATATGAGAATGTTTGGAAATCTTATTACTCTGTTTATATTCCCCTTTCATTATAATTTTTATTTTTTATTCTGTCTTTAAGATCTACAAACAAGTATTATTTTAAAATTTTATCAGTCCTGCTAATCTGAATTAATCTTTTACTTTGGTAAGACTACCAATTTGTTTTTTTCACTTTTTTTTTTGGGTTTTCTGCTTTTCTGTTTTTTATTCTTATATTTTTAAGTTTCCATTTTTTTTCTAAGTTAAACTTTTATCACATATTCAATATTATGAGATTTTTCTACCTAGCACCTCCTCTTATTTACTATTGTTTTTTTTTATTCATAAATCCTTCTGGTTTTATTTCTTCTTTCAATCTTTTATCCATTTTCAAATTATATATAACCTGATAATTCTCTCTGCTTTTTTCTATCAGTAAATTCATCTATTTTCTTCAATTACAAATTTCAATTGTTATCTTTTTCATATTCAATTTGCTTATTCAATTGTTATATACTCATAATATATTCGTACTTCATACACACATTTTATCTTTTGCACCTCATAACTACATCGCTCTATATTTAATATAGTTTCTAATTCATAATGAATCAAATCAACCAGATGATAAATCTTCCTCAATCCTCTAATAATGAACACTATTTAGGTCCTTCATTTAATTATCAAACCGTTCAAAATATCCAAAATATTCAAAACATCCAAAATATTCAAAATTTTCCAGCCATTTCGAATAATCAAAATTTATTCCTTGACTATTCTAATATTTCCTTAAATTATTTGCCATCCCAACATCCAATTAACGAAAACATCTCTGATAATGCCGATATTCAAACCATGCTAAGTCAGGTATCTCAAGTTGATTGCAATTTTCCCAATGAAATAAACAATTTGATAACTGAAGACCTAAATAACAGTGATATAATCGCTCTTTTGAACACTAATAACAATAATAGCCATAATAGTAGTAGTAATAGCACTAATAGCACTAATGGCACTAATGGCACTAACAATAATAATAGCAATAATTTTGCTGACCCTAATACTCCTAATATTTTTATTAACTCAATCCAGCCTCAAAATCCCGAAATAAATCAAAATTTAATTACAAATCCCATTTTGGAATCAAATGCTATTAGTCAGAGCAATTTTATAACTAGTAACACTTTTATTAACCTTAATAATAATTTTAATCTCAGAAATAACTTACAATTAGATAATAATATTCACAGCCCATTAGAACCCATATCAGATTTCCCTTCGTTTTGTTCTACTCCATGCACTGAAAATGGCGACTCTCCAATTACTCCCTCAGACAGTTGTATTAATCTCAATGTTATCCAACCTTTTGAATATTTTCAATTCCAACCAGCAGCCATTTGCAATCAATTACCAAACCAAATTCACCCTCAAGTACAACCTCAATTGCAATCAATACCTCAAATTCCACAGCAAGCTCTTCCAAATAACTTAGTTGATAATAGTTGCTTAATTGATCAAAATCTAATTAGTAATCGCAATTTAATTAACCACAATGAAGATAGTACCAGCAACTCCAATCAAATACAGATTCAAAATACTCGACCTGCTTGTGAGCAGCAATTTTTTGAACAGCAAATCATTCATCAACACCATCATGACGCTCAGCAGATTGATTCCCAACAGCAACTTATAAACCAACAACCAATAAATAACCAACAAAATTATTTGTATGAGTATGATTTTGCGAGTCCTAATTTAAAGCTCTCCTTGCCTTCATCGAATTTATCTTCAAGCCATTATCAAGGCAAAACTGGCAGAAGAACCAAATCACTTTCGTCAAAAGAAATTGATAAGACATGCCCAGTTTGTCGCAGAGTATTTGTTAGAGATTTAAAACGTCACATCAGAATCCACGATGATAAACCCAGATTCAAATGTGTTTTTCATAGAAAGGATAAAACAAATGGTTTGAAAATGTGTTTACATTCAACTGGCAGATTCAATCGTCCTTACGATCACAAAAAACACTTGTTGAATAATCATTTCACGTTTGAGGACCCTCATGGCAAAAAAGAAGCCAACTTGGGCCCAAAGCTTGATTGCAGAGGTTCTTGTAACTACTGTGGAAAGCATATGACTGGTCAAGAGTTCATTGAGCATGTTGACCATCAAAATAACCAAAAAAACTTATGTCCATATCTTACAAAGTTACTATCAAAAGACTAGTTTTTTAGTACTATATATTAGACTATATTTTATTCCTTTCATTAGCATTTTCTCTTTATTTTGTTTTTATTTCTGTATACATTTCTTTTACTTCATTTTTCTTATATTATATTGCAGACATTTCAACCATTTACACAAATATTTTGATTTATTTTCAATTTCATTTTCTTTACTTGGAAGATTCAAGAATAATTATCTCCGGTATATTTTGATATAATATTTGCTGATATCCTACTCAGCATCCTTCAGTTTTTCAATTAATTTAACAATTAATTATCCTTTTTACAAATCTTTAGTTTTTTTTGTTCATAGTTTCAATAAATATTGCATTTTTTTTCCTATTAAACTTGATTTTTTCAGTAAGAAACAAAGCTTTTAATGCTTTTCTTGTTTTTTAAAAAAAACCAAATTGTTTCTTACTTTTCTAATTTTTGCATTTAAAATTTGGTTTTTCTTTTTTTTAGCTATTTTGGTTTTGCTGGATTGTTTTTTGTTTTTTTTACAGCCAAAAGTTTAACTCTTCCTTTTCTTTTGAATTATAGAGTATCATTAAGCAAGAACAAATCTGAATGCAATTAAAATTATAATTGGATTGGATTGGATTGTACAAGTGAGACTATTTGAATCGTTTGGAGAGAAATTCTAAAAAATTTTCGGGTTAGTACATTTGATTGAATTTTAAGATCCAAGATTCCAAATTTTTTTTGCTGTAAAATCAGTTGATCTGTTTAAGACATGTTTATCAATTTGCATACAACTCTAGCTTAACATTTAGAATGGTTTAAGTAATTCGTTAAAAATTATATGAATTTCGTAAGAATTCATATGAATTTTTTGAATAGAAAAAAAAGCAGAATAAAAACTAATGTGTAATAAACTTGGAAGTAATTAGTAACAATATAATTATATAGTATAAATTTTAGTTTAATTCAATTTAATTTAATTTAATTTTGACAAGTGGAATTAAACTAATCAAGTAATTGAGTAAATAAGAAATTAAGTATTACTTTTTGTTAGTGAGAATTAAAGATTATCAAGATGTTTAACAATTATAGTGATAATGTAATAATGTAATAATGTAATAGTGTAATAGTGTAATAAAAATGAACCTAATAAAAAATAAATTCGTAACGGGGATAGTATTGAATAATAATTTACAATTAATAATAAGAGAACGACTGCAACACAAACAGAAAAAAAAAGAGTCGAGAATTGGATCTTGACAGTTTCAGCACAATAATTATGGTAACAAATTATTGTATAAAATGAAAAATAAAAACAAGAAACAAATCAGAAACAAGAGAAGCAAAAACCCCAAAAAAACCCACGAAAAAGTAGAGAAAGTTGAAGAAAAATTGGAAAAAAGTGAAAAAAAAAATTTTATCAAACATTGAAAAATCCTTATTTGAAAAACGATGATTGGCAATATTTTTAACAAATCAACTAAATTTAAGACATTTCAGATTCAAGTTCAATGTTGGAGCCAAATTATGAGAATAAATTGCTAATTATTTATTAGTTAATAGACTAACAGATTAGATGTCTAAGATATTAATATTAGGCAAGTAGAATGAAAACAAATGGGACTTGAAAGAAGTAAGAAAAATTAAATTCAAGAATGAGATTATGACTCAAAAAGATTTCATTAGGTAGTGATTAATTATTAAGAAGAATGTGTAGTTTGTAGGATTATGAATAAAAAAAAACAGCCAAACTCATTAGTTTGTTAATGACTTGTAATAAGAATATTAAAATTAATGATGGAATCAGTTGAAAAAATCTGTGAAGCAAAGAATTATGACAGTAGTAGAAAATAAGAAAGATTCATTATTTAAGTTGAAATAATGAAATAAAGGAAAAAAAGACTAAAAAGTAAGAAAAGTTTAAAAGTAAAAGTGGAAAGTAAAATTGGAAAGTAAATTGAAATTCGTAAGCAAAGCAAGTCAAATAAAATTATGAGAATAAAAAACAAAGAAACAAGGAAAGTTATGGTTTAGTGAAGGAAGGAAAAAAAAGTAGGAATATCCAAAATGAAATGAAATTAAGTAAAATAAGGAAATAAACAAGTAAATAGAAAAGTAGATGAATTGAAACATGTTTGGAGAAGAAATACAATGAAATCCAGTAAGAGATAATAATAATAATTATATAGGATAATAATAGCCAACGAAATTAAACAGTCATTTAGGTCTCAAGAGATTCGAGTTTTCTGAATCGATAATCTATAAAATAATATATATTAAATAAGAATAAACAGATCTCATAATAAGATTTTTTAAAAGAAACGTAATTGGGCTGAGCTGAGTAGACCTTAGGAATCCAAATTTTGTTCCTAATTGAACCAAACGAGACTCTGAGCAAGAGTTGCAAAATGGTAGAAAAAAAAGGAAAAGAAATAGAGGAATTGCAGTAGATTGGAGATAAAGTGGGAACTAAAAGGGGATTACATAGGAATTTGGGCTGGGAAGGGAAATTGGAGCTGGAATTGTTGATTTTTGAGGAAACAGTGATCGATTTGGGGTGCAGATATCAGATATCAGATACTGGCAAACAACAGTTTAGTAGATTTGTAGCACTAAATATCTAAGAACCAACAAAACGCGAGAGCATTGGCGATGGAACAATGAGTATTTAACGAGATCCAGCAGGATTATGGAGCGAATAAATTCTCTCGCAGGACAGCAGCATGTCGAAGGTTGGAACCAATTTCAAATGGAAAGCACAAATCGAAGAAGAGCACGTAGAGCACTGTGGGAGAAAGTGCACAGGCGAAAATGAGGGCATGGGAGAGAAGCGTGGAAGCAGAGGCAGCAGAAGCAGCACCGGCTGGGTCTGTGCTGCTTCTTGTGGCCAGGCACTGCTCTGCAGGCAGTGGAATGCTACGAGATCCTTTGACAACAGGCTATTGTAATTGCAGCTGAAGCTGGGGACATATCAACAGCTCGGATTCCAGGGCTGGTCTTCCTGTGTCCCATCGTTAGCTCTCCAGTTCGAGAGGAAGAGCAAATGCAATGGGCTTGGAGGATGTTTTACTTATTATTGTGCTCGAAAGATGGAGAACGATCTACGCTGTGTAAACAGTCGCTGGACAGTTGAACAGTCGAGTGCATTGGCGCTTTGGCAAGGGAAAGCTGGGGTATATTTCCTTGGTGACACAGCAAATTACATTAGATATTAGAAGAATGAGTAGAGAGAGGAAGTAAACATTATTAGGGTGCTAGAGCAAGTAACGAAAAGTTGGAAACATAAAAAAAATAAGTGGAAACAACTAAAAAAAGCAATTATGTATATAATACTCGATTAAAAACTCAACAGAAAATATGATTGGGAAAAAGGAACAATTACAACCAGAAAACAACAAAAACAAACAAAAACAAAAACAAAAACAAAAACAAAAACAAAAACAAAGACAATAATAACAAAAACAATAACGGTAACAGAGATACAGAAAGAAAAAAAAATTAATTAAAAGATATTTTTTTTTTTTATTTTATTTATTTTTTGTAAATTTTTAAATTTTTTAAGCTTGGTTTCGTTTTTTAGCCTCATTTAATGTAAATGTAACTTGGTATAACTTGAAATAGGTTGGTTTGAATTGGAGTGATTTATTGTTGAACGTTTTCAGGGTTGATATCAGAATTTGGGGTGAGGTTGGAGGCATAAACTCTGTTTTGCTCTTGCAATTGCAATAATTTCTTTTTCAATTCCTTTTCCTTTTCAGCTTGAAGCATCAATTTCTGTTCTCTAGCTTTTAATTCAGCGGCTTTCTTTTCCAAAGCAGCAGCTCTAAAGGCCAATTCCTTAGCTGATTGGGCCTCTAGTTCTTCCAATCTTTGTTGTTGTTTTCTGATTCTTTCCTGACTAAGAGCGTATGGAACAGTTTCTGATAATACTCTCAATTGGGATCTATTTACATTTGGCGAGTCGGCGACAGAGGTAGGAAGTGTTGTACTATTGAAGGTATTGGGGGTTCCTGGTGGTTTCAATTCATTGGATGAGATACCTCTTGGTGTCTCGTTTGTCTTGAGAGATGCATTATCAGCCGAAGCATCAAAGTTGAAGTTTTGTGGGTTATCGAAGATTATCGTGTCTCTTTGAGCGGCTATTTTGGTCAAGCTGGATAAAGTTGGAGGTTCAGGAATAAATGAGTCCCTATTATTGTCATATTCATCGACTCCTGGGACCGATTTTAATTTTTCAGTTCTGTAGTTTTCATAAAGGAAGTCGTGAGTTAGGTCTTTTAGATCTTGTAGATGAGAGCCCAATAAGACAGATTTCAAGGTTGAAAAATCGCTTACGTGTGGGTCATCTATATCAATGAAACCCCAGGGGTATTTTCTGCCACGAACTTTTCTGCCATTAAGAGAAAAAGTGTCTTCAGAACATATAACAGCAAATGGTTGAATCTCTTGCAAATACTTGTTTTCATCAATGGTTTCAGGATCGTCTTCTTCTTCGTCGTAGGTGAATTGGAAAACTGGCACATTGAATTTTTCAATATCCCTGACAATATTTTCTTTGAATAATTTTAGCTCTTCTTCTGTAAATGAATCGGCTCTTGTAATGACTGGAATGACGTTGACGTATTTTGATAGTTTCTTGATGGTTTCAACATCCAATTCTCTCAATCCATGGCCAGTTGCTGGAATGAAATAGAGACAGACGTGGACTCTTGTATCTTGGAATTTTGGATTTCTTCTAACTCTGGTCTCCTCTGCTAAAACATTGTCAAACTGGGCTTGCAAGTATGATATGATTTCACTAAAACAGACGTCGTTGTCAATGTTTTCCCCAAACCCAGGAGTATCAATTATGGTCAATAGTAGCTTGGAGTCTTCGTCAATGAGTTCTATGTTTGCCTCAGTTATGGCAATGCCAGGCTCTTCATGGGCGCTTGTAGGATTGAACTCTCGTTCAAAAGTAGCAGCGTTGATGGTGGAGACGCCCTTGCCACCAGTAAAGGACAACGTCTTGGGCTCTTCAATTGAGGTGCCAACAGGCTGGAATTTGTGGGGGATGGTTTTCCTACCCAACAAGCAATTGATGAAGGTGGTTCTGCCGGAGCCAGAGGCGCCCACAGTCATGATTGAAAACTTGATACCACGCCTGGTATCCTTCTTACGACGTAGCAACGAGGAGGAGGTGAAGTTCATGGTCAACGAGAGTCAGAGTTGGAAACAGGAGAGTGGAGTGCAAAAGCAATGGCTGGGCTGTTGATGGAGGAGCGAGCAATGGAAGCACACAGGGAAACAAAGTAAAGGCGCTAAACAGACAAAATGAAGGACGAGTATCCGAGGAAGGATCGTGTCCAGGGAGTTGGTGGAGCTGGCGAAGTTGGCGACGTTGGAGAAGTTGGGGAAGAAGAAAGAAGAAACGCCAGAATTTAAAACCTGGCCTCTACTGCGAAGGGTAATTTCAGCTCAGAGCTGCCTCGCCCAAACGTTCTGATCTCCTGCTGTTTACAACCTCAATGCTGTGCTATCGCAGAATGAAGCTCCAGACCCTAACAACTACACCTCCTGCTGCTGCTGGAGCCGGTGAGAGTAGTCTATCTTCAAGGGCTGCGAAACGTCCTCCTGCTCCACCACGTCGTGCCCATCCTTCGAGATCTGCCCAAACACCTTGAGTCCATCCACCATCTCTTCGTGTCTAGAGCCTGTTCTCTCGCTAATGAGTCGATTCACCACGTCCTTGCTGGCCTCGCTGTCGTCGAGATCCTCGTATTCTTGGTAGCTGAGATCTTCGCTGCTGGCTTTGAGCTCCATGTCTGCCAAAGGCTTCTCGCTTTGGAACCTGTTCCATTGCTGCTTCTGCCCAGAATCTACTGCTTCATCTCCATCTCCAGCTCTATCACCATCACCAGCGCCAGCGCCAGCTCCATTGCTGGATCTGTACTTGTCTTGTGGACTCACATCGTTTGTTCGTTCATCTATCATCTTGATCTCATGGTAAAACTCGTTGTCCACTCCATCCTCGTCGACCACTGCTGTATCGCTCCTCATACCCTTTATCCTATTGGGACTAATATTGCTGTTTGGCTTTTTTAGTTTTTTTTCATCATTGCTTTCGATTTCATTTTCATTTTCACTTCCACTTCCAGCTCCAATGTTAATTCTAGTCTCAATCTTAGCTTCAGTTTCAGTTTCAGCTCCAATTTCTTTTTTATTCTCTTTTCCACTTTCTGCATCAAAATTCGAGTCCATTTTAGATTTTAGATTATCTCTCGTTGATCCAGCCACATTATTTGTTTTATCCAATTTATTTTCTCCAATTTTTTCGTTTTCTTTTTTTAAATTTGAACTGCTAACTCGAACTTTTTCATTACCGTTATCACCTTCACTTCCATTTTCTTTTTCCTTTTCCTTTTCTTTTTCTTTAAATCTCATTTCATTGCCAGCTTTTCTAGAAAATGGATGTGCTTCTGTATTAAAAACATATTCATCTAGACTCCAGGTATCAAAATCTTCAAATAACAAGTAATAATACTTCAATGTTTCCGCAAACCAAAAACTTTCCAACACATCATCCTGGTTTCTTTCAACATTCAAACTATCAACATTTATCCTCGTAACGTCTTTCAACGATGAAATTCCAATCACCTTTCCTTTTTTATCTTTAATCCCACAGTATCTTATAGTTTTCTTAAACAATCTCCATCCTTTCACTCTCCATTCTTCATCCCCTGTAATCCTATACAAATAAAAAATCGATTCAATAGTTTCAGGTCTGAGAATGAAACTTGGATCCATTTTATTCACCCATAATGGTTGGTTAAAAACATCTCCAATTTTCCACTTATATTCATACTCTCCAGTTTCCCCAACAATTTTTTGAATTGGTGTTGTTGGTTTAAAATAATTCCTAGATTTTAAACGTTTCCCATTTTCAATACTATCAATGCTATTAATACTATCAACACTATCAATATCATCGACGCCATCAATATTATCTAATTCAGTTTCCTTGTCTTCAGAGCCTTCAGGACCCTTGTTAGAAACCTTAGGAATAAATGCTCTCTTTGTAATTTGGTTTTCATTTATCAAAAACTCCTCATCTTGAGTCTCTGAATTTTCAGAAACACTAATTCTTTTATTGATTTTATCTATCTGACCCTCTAATCCATCAACTTCCCCAGAATTATCTATTTTATTTTTATTTTTATTTCCAACATCATAATCAGATAAAATGTTTTCCTTTAGAAAATGATCGTCCACTATCTTTATATCATCACTTGATGAATCCAAGCTCTTCTCGGGGCTTTTTGTAAAATACCTTTCAAGATATTCAATTCTTTCTGCCTCATTGAATAGACACTCAAATCCGCTATCAATTGGATACTCATCACAAGAATCAATATTAAGATTCTCCGGCATAAGACCCATTAATTCATATATCTTATAACACCCATTAGTAATTTTTTTGGCAATTTCCAAATCTTCCTTATTATCTCTAATTCTTGATGATAATGCAAACATTCCGCCAGCAAAACATGATAAATGCTCGATCTTATTCATGATAAAATAACTATTTGATCCATCTTTGCTTGAAATAATTTCATTAATTTCTCCTGAAAATAGAACATCGTCTGTATTTAAATCATCACTTCCATAATTCTTAATCGATGGCAACTTGGCTTTAAATAACATGTATCTCTTAACTTTTTCAATCGACTTTTCATAAAGCATTAAATATTCCTTCATTGACCCATTCAAAAGATGATATTGTTTTATTAAATATTCATAAAATGAATCAGATAAACCGCCGATGGAATATTTTCGAACATTTTCTGAAGCGGCTGTTATATCCGATTTCTTACAATAAACAGTTTGTCCTTTATAAAAAGATTTGACTAAACTACTCTTGAAATCATCATTGTCTTTATTGTCTTCAAAATCTTGATTAGTAACAATTTCACAACCTGATATATCCATATATAAAGGAAACAATCCATTTAAAATAGAATTGGCTTTTAATTTTTCATTGTCTTGATAAGTTTCCAAATTCTTAGTAATTTTGTGAATAAAATGAAAATATGTGTTATTATTAGTTAGTTGAGCCAATCTTGTAAACTCCAATGAAAAGGAACCAAATTCAGCAATCGAAGCAGATTTTGATGCATATTTTGGGACTTTCGTATCTTTACCTTTCCAATAATAATATAAAAGTGGCATATTGTTTGGAGTATCAAATATGCCAATTAGGTTATCTGCCAATTCTGTTGCTTTAATTAATAAAATTTCCTCGTCTGACAAATCATAACCTGAAATTAAGCCCCCGAGTACTCTGATAATAGTTTCAAAAATAGGTATATATTCTCTAAAAGTATAGTTGAATTTGATTGTCGAAATTTTTTTCAATGCAAAATTAAATTCTGTTTTTAGATTCATTAGATACAAAGTATCCAAAGAATCAATTAGAGTAACAGACCAACCGATAAACGAATCAAAAGGTTCTAAAGAAATTGGTAATATTTCATCGTAGTCGATTCCATGAGACATATAATCATCAAACGATAATAAAAAAATCTGTTTAATTTTGTTTAATTTTTCTGTGTCTTTTAATCCATTCTTATTTATGCTGAATTTCTTTGATTGAATATTTGGATAATTTGTTTGATCGTAATCGACTCTAGGCAATTTAAACTGAGATCGATAATTTGAATTTGTTGACATGAAATGAAAACTTGATTCTGGTCTTGGTAATTCAACGGAATCCTCTTTTATTTTATCGTTATCGAATTTATTGATATTGGTTAATATTTTTGAAGATAATCTGCTAGAATGAATAGAAGATGATAGTAATGGCAAATTTTCGTCATTTTCGTCATTTTTATTTGAATTAGATGACTTTCGAGCTCGAGCATTAAAAAAATCATGAGAAGTTATTTTTTTATCATTATCTTTATTGGCTGGGGTAAAGTTAGGATCAAGGGGTTTAATATTTTCATCGATATCTGGGTTAATTAGATTGTTATTGGAGAGTATTGGGAGATTTATTTCAGGATCCTGTTTGAATTGATTTAATTGTTTATTGTTATTGTTATTGTTGTCTTTACCATCATCATTATTATTATTATTAATATTAATATTAATATTATTATCATTATCATTATCATTATCATTATCGTTGTTATTGTTATTGTTATCGTTTTTATTAGGGTTGATATTTAAGTTATTATTAGCGTCTTTGATAATCAATTCCTGATTATCGTTTATAATAGAATTAAATTCATTATTTTTGAAAGTTAGGTAGATAATCGATAACAATAAAAAAGTTAATATTATTAAAAATTTAAATTTTCTGAATTTGACTTTAATGAAATAAAAAGAAAACATTGCTTTGAAGATGGAGCTAAGAAAGAACCGATGTCTTCATTTAAAAAAAAAAAGTTCTTTGCAGTAAAGGAAATAACAAAGAAAATAGAAGCAAAAACGAAGCAAAAGAACAGAGTGGATAGATAAAAAGAGGTAAAACAAGGTGTATTGTCTTCTATTGTTACTGCTGATTGTTCAGTGAAATATCTGGTAAAAACAGGTGAAACCTTAAAAGGGAAAGGGAACTTTATGCAGAACTTGAGGATGGATAAACCTATTAAGCAACCAACGAACCAATAACCAAGAGTCGATATAAAACGAAGCATCAAGAGCCTGAGAAATGATTCCAGTAAGTTTACCCAAAAGGTGCACAGCAAAGAATACACTATCAGGATCAGGACTGGGCTTGAGATTATTGAATCTCAAAAGATACAGATCATACAATCCTTATATTGTGGACAAGAATGGGATGAACTATGATGTATTTTCCAAGTTGTTATCGGAGAGAATAATTTATTTAACAGGAGAGATCGACGATGAAGTTTCGATGTCTATCACAGCACAGCTATTGTATTTGGAGTCAGAGGCGAGCAACAAGCCAATCCAGTTGTATATCAACAGCGTTGGAGGAAGTGTTACAGCTGGGCTAGGGATATATGATACCATGAACTTTATCAAGTCGCCAATTTCCACTGTTTGCATTGGCCAGGCCTGCTCGATGGCCTCGTTGTTGTTGAGTGGTGGTGAGAAGGGCAAGAGGTTGTCGTTGCCTAACAGTGTTATAATGCTACACCAGCCCAGTGGTGGGTTTAAAGGGCAGGCAACAGATATCAAAATCCATGCTGAGCATATTTTGAGTATTCGCGAGAGATTGGTGAAGTTGTATCAGAGCAACATGAGAAAAGGAATAACCATTGAAGAAGTGTCGTTGTTGTTGGAGCGAGACAAGTTTTTGACGCCAGAGGATTCAATTGAATATGGTCTTGTTGATAAGATATTGGTGCGAAAGACAGAGAAAGAAGACAAAGAGAAAAAAGAGGCAAAAGAGGCAAAAGATAAAAGATGAAGAAGAGAAACCCAGTGAAAGAAGATGGCGAATTGGTTGTGTAATCCATGTCAACGCTTACAAATAAATAGAGCAGTTGATGAAGCTGGAGTTGCACTTTTCTTATCGCTGGAGGTTTGTCTGTAGAGACTGATTATATACAAGTTAGATAGAAACAGTACACATTTCAATACAAAACAATGACAGCAGCCAGTGTTAACAACAACGCCAATAGCAACAGCTCACGAAGAAGAAATGGTCATTTGGGTGTTTCAAATATGAGCTCGAAGTATGGCAATGGCAATGGCAATGGCAATGGCAGTTATCTAATCCATTCAATTGGCAATGGCACCAACAATCAATACATGGATCCATTGAAGATTAATTGCAATCACAGTTACTATCACAATAACAATCATAGTAATAATCATAATAACAATAACAATAATAATAATAACTATCATTCTGGTGGAAACCTAAACTCAAGGTATAAGAAACTTAACAAAAAATCCAAAGAATTAAACAAAAAAACCTCAATTAGTTACAATAATCATAATCAAACTCAAATCCATAATCATCTTCAAAATATTACCATCAATGATATTAATAATAATATTAATAAATTTTATAATAATATCCATAATAACAATAATAATAATAATAACAATAATAATAATAATAATAATAATAATAATAATAATAATAATAATAATAATAATAAAACTATTGTCAGCGCTAATCTCAAAAGTACCAAAACTGCTTCTGCGAATCCTACTTCTAATGCTCTTACTGAATCTAATGATAAAAACAACATTTCAATTGGTGAATATTTGAAGGTGGTAGAAAACGACAGAAACTACCACTTGGACTATTTATACAGCTTGAACAATTTGATCAACAGTTCAGATGATATCCAAGTTGAAGTTGAAGCCAAAGATAAGAAAAAAAAGGTTAAAGTTAATGCCAATAACAATGATTACTTGATTCACGAATATATTAACAACTATCGGGACAGTTACTTATCGATTCCATTGTGCTGCTCAGAACATTTTCAATCAAATTATTTTGACTTGTTATACAGCCACAATGAAGCACAGTCTACCAACTCTTCTCAAGCTTCGTCAAACAGCTATAATAGCAGTTACAACAGTGGATCTAGTAGTGTTGGGCACTTCAACAATAGTGGAGTCAACAGCAGTGTTGGCATCGAAGCAGTTGAGTTGCTAGGATTGGCAGTCAAATTAAGAGAATTTATTTGATTACAACTCTATTCATCTCTACCATTATACTATACATTTCCTATACTCTTGCACTACACCACACTCTTACACTTTTATATTCTCATGCTCTTTCATTCCTGTACTTTTGCTCTGGATAACCAGGACTTGCTATCTCACTTGCCTCTGTAGCTCCAATGCACATCTTCTCTTCAACTAGACGCCCCCCCCCCCCCCCCCCCCCCCCCCCCCCCCCCCCCCCCCCCCGAAGACCCTCCGACGACATCGTTCGAAAGCGCTCCCTGGTCCTTCGCGGCAAATGCACTTCGGATAAAACAAGCCTTTTGGACGCACATGCGCGCATAAAACAAGCAATTTAGTGTGTGGCAACCGAAGCCATCTCCGTAGATAACCTGGTTCGTCTTTCTAGGTCTGTTTGTAGGATCAGAAGCTCTTCTTTCTGCGTTATTGAACTCGATGCTTTTACAATTCCTCATGGTTTTTTTTATCTTCCAATGGCAACCTCTCGTTTCTCTTCTTCCAATTTGTAAGTTTTAGACGATTTCTTGAATCTGGACAGTTTTTTTCTTTTTACATAATCCTTCTCTTTCTTTCTACACTGTTGCAATTATCATATAAATACTTTAACTTTTCCGCTGGATTTTTTCTTCTTTTACGTTATTTTATTTTACGTTATTTTATTCTCTATTATTGCTGGTTCTTTTTCCCTTTGCTCCTCTATATTTCAATTAGATAATTTTCACATTGTCTCCTTATTATATTTTTCACAATTTATAATTAATTAATTAATCAAGAAAAAATGTTACCAGCTGGTGTTATTTTGGTTTTCTGTATTGTTTTTATTGTTGCTTGTGGTATTATTGGAATTCAAATTGCAAAAGTAATCAAAAACAGAAAGAGAGCTTTACAAAACTTCTAAGTAACTTATAATGGAAAATCGTTGCTAGTACTTTGATACTTGTATCTTCAAAATTTTATTCAAAAAAATTAAAAAATATCATCTCTTGTTTATGAAGGTTTTCACTGATTTATCTCAAATTTCTGATTTCTTACCAATTTTAATTACTTTTTACTGTTTCTATTGTCATTGTTATCTTTTTTATCATCATTTTATTTTCGTTTTTTGTTTTATCTTGTTGTCTTTCAAAGCTAATGGTCAATTATTCTCCAAACAATAATGTTTTTTTCTTGTTTCTTTCTATAAACACTCTAATTATATAACTAAATTTGATTTTTTATTATTCTTAGTAACCGATGCCATACCAGAAAAAAAACGACTGCCTAAAGAACATTGTTGTATTGTTGTTTACTTATAATATTTTAGTTTTCCTTGATCATTTCCTTGATCATCTTCCGAATCGGGTATTTTACTATGGAGCCTTTTTTCATTTGAGCCAATTTCTCAATAAAGTAATTTCCCGCAGATCATCATTTCAAAATTTCTTGCAGATTTTTACTGACCCGTTTATTTTATTCTCATGAATCATACAGAAACGATCTATAAGATCTATAATTTAAGGTTTATTATTACTATTTTCTATTACTTTCTATTATCGATTTTAAATTCTAATAGGTTTGTTTTTTTCCGAAAAATTCAGTTATCATCATCTTGTTCATCGCTCCCGCTAACAATTTCATTCCAAAAATCAACTTCCAATTGTATAACATCTGCAAAGATCTTCACCAATCTATTCAATCTATTCACATTAATTTTATTTTCATCTTTTTCAAAAACATGTGTATTAAGTAAATTTTCTCCATCCAAACATGCTTGTTCATACCAATCTTCAGCGTAATCATAAAGCCATTGTTTATACAATTGTTTTTTTAACTTATACTCATCTTCTTGATCATTTTTATGCTCAATATCATCGTCATTGGGAAAGTTTTTATCAAATAGCTCCTTACCATATAATGCTGCTACTCTATATCCATGTAAACAAGGAGCCAATGCCATATTGATCTCTAACCAATCTCCTCCATTCTTGGCTATATTCATTAAATATGAATTGTAATTCAAACATGCATCATTCAATTTGATATTGTCCAATTCATCTTCTGAATATCCAATCTTAAATAGTTTTAACTTGTGTTGATTGATTTCATTGATAATCGTACTCAATATCTCAACTTCTCTTTCAATACACATTAAATCCGGTGCAACTGATAAAGCTAATGAGTGAATCTTAGCATAGTTTAACAAATATGAATAATCCTGTTTTAAATAAATTTTAAAATTCGAAAGCTTTAACTTTAAACTCCCCATTCTTTTAATAAATTTATGATGAGTATAAGTTTCCCATTTTTCTGAAATTAATGGATGATTGAGTAGATATTTTAAAAACCCACCCTTTTCAAAAGGATGCGAAATCATTACTTCATCATTAAATTTGTCAAATTTCATCAACTTATTATTTTCGCCGTTAAAATCAAATTGATATTGATAACAATGATTTAATGGCCCATAACCTTTACCAATCGAATTGTCTGCATGAACAATACCACTATGAACATAATTAATTGAATTACCAACAGAGTCAATCAATGTCAATCCCCTCGCTAAATTCGATGCAATTGATGATGATAATGTGCATCCAGTTCCATGAGTCGCTTTACTGTCCACAAACAATGATTTGAAAATTACAAATTTTTTACTTTCGGATTGATATAAAATATCTGTTATATAATTTTTTTCATCATTATTAATAACCCAAGGAATATGGCCACCTTTAATCAAAATATTTTTAGCTTTTGAGCTTTCTGTTATTTTAATACACATTTCTTGAATATCTTGGATTTTGTTAATTTCTTTAGTATTAATATCATCATTTGATTTTTTAGCAAATTTCTTGTTATAATAATCTGAATCAACAATTGATAAGATTTCCCTGGCCTCTTCGTAATTTGGAGTAATCAAAGTCGAGTATTTAAATAGACAATCAATCATCAACTTTAAGTTTTCAGATTTTGATAAATCAAAGCCTGAAGTGCTAACAATAACAGGATCAACAACCAAAAAATTTTTATAGTTGAATTTGATTAAAGTGTCTTTTAATGCCTGAATGCCATTTTCACTTAGCATTCCAGTTTTAATCGAGTCAATTTTCAAGTCACTAAAATTTGCATCCAAAATTTTAATTAAAAACTCGTAAGGTATCTCAAACAGATCATAAACTCTTGTGGTATTCTGAGCAGTTAATGCATTGATACAAGTAGTACCGTAACAACCATGAGCTGTAATTGTTTTCAAGTCAGCTTCAATACCTGCACCACCAGAGGAATCAGACCCTGCAATTGTTAATACAATAGGCAAGCTAATATGATTTGGGGCAAAAGCATCAATTTGAGTTAAGTCAATTGTTTCAACACCTTCCATTTTTAACATGATGGGCTATCTGTGTTCTATTTTCTATCCTTTTATTATAGAATAAAAAAAAAATCAATTTTCCTAGCAGCAATAGCCTATTTATATATGAAAAGAACGGTCAAGAGGTATTTCTTGCTCAGGAAATAATACCCAACAAGATTATCTTTTTGACTCACGGAAGCATAAGAAGGGTTTTTTTTTATGCGGGTGAGTCTTGGAAAACCCATCAAATGAATAAATAAGGAGAATCAGAGCAAAATTGCAAGAGGCAGATATCAAATCAAACAGCTGAAGCCAATTAAGCCAGTGTTTCGCAGTTTAGTAACAAAAGTCTCATAGTATATAGTGAAGATGGCATTTGATAAATCAAGAACTGACTATACTCTATATTTGGTTACTGACAGTGGGCTTATTCCAGAGGGGTTGACAATTTACGATCAAGTTGAAGCAGCGTTGAGAAATGGAGTCACGATTGTCCAGTTAAGAGAGAAAACATTAGAAACTAAGGATTTCATTGAAAGAGCCAATAAGATCCATGAGTTAACTCTGAAATATAAGGTCCCTTTAATTATCAATGATAGAGTGGATGTGCTTCTAGCATGTGGTGCAGAGGGATTACACATTGGGCAAGATGATATGGATCCTATTGTAGCTAGGAAATTGATAGGGGATGATAAGATTTTGGGGTTGAGTTGTAGTAAAGAAACAGAAATTGAAAGGGTTATTGACAATTTGGAAGAATGCAAGATTGATTATATTGGGATTGGAGCAGTTTTTCAAACAAATACCAAAAAATTGAAAAAAATTCCATTTGGAAACAAAGGAATTAGGAGGTTGTTATTAAAATTGAGAGACTATAAAAATGGGATTGGCAAGGATATCAAGTCAGTTATAATTGGAGGGTTAAATAAAAGTAATATCCAAGGAGTGTTATACACAAGTTCAGTCCCAGGGAAAGCCACTGATGGTGTTGCAGTTGTTTCATGTATTATGGGAGAGAAGGATGCTGGAAAAGCAACAACTGATACACTAGATTCAATCCAAAAAGCTGGACCATGGTACAAAAATATTGATAATGGTGAGAATAACAGCGATTTTAAATTGGTTCCAACAGACAAATCAATTTTAAACGTTCAAAGATTAAATCCGTTGGTTCACCATATTACCAATGAAGTTGTTACAAACTTTTCAGCCAATGTTACAATTGCAATTGGGGGGTCGCCTATAATGTCCCAACTTGCTGGAGACTTTAAGGACTTGAAAAAAATACCCAATGCTGGTTTCTTATTAAATGCAGGCACTATTACTGAAATTACGATTCCAATTCAAATTGCAGCAATTAAAGAGTACAATTCGTATGGAGTTCCAGTAATTTTAGATCCTGTTGGATGTGGTGCAACAGCAGCAAGAAAGGAGTATATGAAAAAACTATTAAATTCCGGGCATTACTTTTCGGTTATCAAAGGGAACTCAGGAGAGATTTTAACAGCGTCAGATATCGGGCTTGGAGTTGAAATGAAAGGATGTGATGCTATTGAAAATGAAGATAATAAAGAAAATTTGATCAAAGCAGCTAAAAAATTGGCTTTGGAACAAAGGTGTGTTGTTGTTGTGAGTGGTAAGGAAGATATTATCGTTGATGGGGTGATGGAAGGCAGAGACATAAACTTAGCAGAATATAACCCAAACACACTCATTCAACGAGCTGTGAAAATCGTTGGTGGTCATGAACTAATGGGCAAAATTACAGGCTCTGGATGCTCATTGGGAAGTACCATAACAACTTTTGTTGCTGCCAGGCAAGCACTGGACACATTTTCCAGTGTTGTAAATGCAGTCAGGTTGTACAACGAGGCTGGCTACAGAGCAGGCATTGTTTCAAAGGGCCCAGGATCGTTTATGAGCAATTTTATAGACGAGTTGTATCTTCTCAGCAGCAGCAAGACAGTGACTAGCGATGTTGAGAGCTGGAACAGCAGAATAGTTGAGTTATAGTAGAGATGCTCGATCGGAAGTATGCATACATGTGTATTTACACATATTCACACATAATATCACATCAAACAACATATGTATTATTATGCACATGTGCGGCAAACGCCATGGATTCGGTTCTATCCACCGGCACGGATCTTGCTGCTGTTTCTTTTAGGTCTCAAAAGGAGAATGCTCCACCAAAAGCACCAGAAGCACCAAAAGCACCAAAAGCATCAGAAGCACCAGAAGCAGATCCAGCTGGCTCTCTTTGTCTCTAATTGCACTGCAGCTCAATTGCCATTAGCTCCTATCTACTAATCCTGCAACTTCTCCAACATGTCCTTGTCCTCGTGGCGACAGATCAACTTTTTCAATTACACACCAATCAAAGATCCTTTTTTCAATACTGATAATCCATTGTATTCTGATCCAAATCTATCTTCAATCTGTTCCACTTCTAATCCTGACTATCTTATCATCGCGACAGACAATGCTATCATAAAGATTATCAACAAGACCTTCCAGGTTGTTTATCAATTCCAAGCCTATGAGTTGGGCACAAATATCACTTTTTTAAAGTTTATTGATCTCAACAGTAACGCCAACAATACCAACAACATCGCCAGTCTTCTTAACAACAACGTGAATTCTAATGACAACTTTAACAATGACAACAGTAACAGCTCCAATAATAACAATAACCTGAAATTTCTAGTTTCCATTGGTGAAAAACAAGGCCATCCCATAGTATTGAAATTGTGGAATTTAAACAAATTTATCAAATATATCAATTCTCCATCAAACAATTACAACTTGGAGATTCTTGACAATATTTTTAATTACCATTCCGTTGTTCAAATTCATAATGGTAACAATCAGTATCCTCTCTCAACTTTCTCCAATAATCTAGAGTTTTCATTGCTAGCCTTTGGGTTCACCAATGGCTCAACTATTCTAGTTAGAGGTGATTTAGTGCATGATAAAGGTTCCAGACAAAGAATCATTTACCAATCAAATAATGACCCAATAACTGGGTTGCACTTATTCAAAGTGGATTCAAACTACGATTTCAGCGATATTATTATCAATAATAACACCAATAATATTAACAACAATAATAACAATAAAAATAATGATAATAATAATGGAAGTAACGATCCTAATAATAACATTAACATCACCGCTATTAACAATATCAATGACGATAACCCAATAACACAATCGGTTTTAAATTCTAATGACTACTTGCTTTACATAATAACCACTTCTAAAATTTTAGTTTTTGAAACAAATGGAAAGAGTATCAATAAACCACTACATGTCTTGGAGAATCACTATGGCTCAAATCTTTATTGCAATGATATCCTATACAACAACAACTTAATTATAAGTAACTCCATAACGAATTCAATTGATTTTTATAACTTCAAATACTCAAAAATTAACTCAATCAGCAATCTAAATTTCAATAAACTAAAACTATTCAATTATCTAAATAAATACTTATTAATAGTATCCTCAATTGACACCTCTTTTACTTTAAACATTAACAAAAAAACAAATAATATTTTGAACTTATCTTCAAATAATTCATTTAAAACAACAAGAATTCTAATGCTTGACTACACACATAACTTTATAACATTTAACCTAACCATTTCAAACAACATTTCAAACATTTTCTTCATGTGGAATAACCTATATCTTCTATCAACTAATGGTATTCTATACAAATTATCTGAAAAATCAATTAACCAAAAAATTGAATTATTAATTCAAAGAAACTTATACCCAATTTCAATTCAATTGGTTCAGGAACAATTAATTCTACAGTCAAACATTGATTCTACTACTGTCATTACTACCGCCACCACCACCACAACCACTAATAATACTACTTCCATTGCTAGCTCTACCAATGAGAGCGATGATTTTAATGATTCGGCTAATAAATTGACTAAAAGAGATTTGTTACTAATCAAAAAAAAATATGGCGATTACTTATTTTCAAAAAATGAATTTGAAGATTCAATAAATCAATATATTCAAGCAATTGAATTAAATAATAATAATATCACAATCGATATTATATTAAAATTCAAAAATAACGACAAGATTTTATTGCTAACCAGTTATCTAGAAAATCTATTCAGCTTTCAAAAAAAACTTTTTTATAAAAGTTTAGATGAGGAAAATCAGCAATTACAATCTTTTGATGGCAATTCCATCTTAACCTCTTTAAACCAATTCAACAACAACTCTACAAACTCGTTTAATGAAGAATATTTAACTTTGTTACTATGCAACTATTGTAAACTAAAAGACTTAAATAAATTGAATAATTTCATCCATCAAATTGAAATAATTAAATTCCAATCAATTACAAATAACGGTCTCAATTCTAATATCAATTCAAATGTTGTCATTAATAATAATATCAATAATAATATTCCCGAGCTAAATTTTGATATTGATTTAATTACAGATTTGTTACTAAAAATCAATTTTTACAAAATCGCATTAAAATTTTCTTTAATTTTCAAAAATTATTCATTGATTTTGGAGTTATTGATTAATAAATTTAAATCTTATAAATTATCATTAAATTTTCTAAGAGTTTTGCAAATTAATGATTTGTTGAACTTGTTAATATCCGATTCAAATGCAAATTATGCTAAAATATTATTACATTACTTGCCAATTGAGACGACTAAGCTTTTGATTGATGTTTTCACTGGAATTTACAAACCTCAGGGCTCTGAGGAATTGATATATAAACAATTTGATGCTTTAGTCAATAAAGACGAAATTATAGATAAAAACTCAAGCTCAGAGAAAAACACTAATAATGATGACAAAGATGATCAAAACAAAAATGAAAATGAACAAGAAAATAAAATACTTGATTCCGATCAAGATATCGCCAATCCTGTTATTCAAAGTTATAATTCGTTTGTTCAATATCTTGCGACACTAGGAGGTGCTGCTTCTAATATGCCTATAAATGGATCAGGATTAGCGGGCGTTACTTCATCAAGTCAGTTGGAAACACAATTAAAGAAACAAATTCCAACATATCAACCTCCTAGACCAAGACTAATTTTTTCATCATTTGTTAATAATCCAAGCGAATTTGTCATCTTTCTTGAAGCTTGCTTGCAATCATTTGATAAATTTGATAAATTCAATACAAATGTTAAAGATAAAAAGGATTTATTGATCACATTGTTTGAAATGTATTTAACGCTATCTAACGACTTGAGTTACTCTAAAGACAAAAAAAACAAGAAAGAATGGGAATCTAAAGCAATTAAGTTGTATAAAAGTTATAAAGAACTTATGGATTATACATCAGTTTTGCTAATTTGTAATCTAAACAACTTTCAGAATGATGACCTATTATTAGATGAAAATGAAAATGATAATCCTAGGAGTGTTTTTAGGGGAGAAACATCAACTTCAAGCAAGAAAATTGAATTAATTGAAGATATTGATGAATTGGAAAACTGGAATGAAAAAGACGATATTAATTTTTCATGGTTTGATAATTTCAATTATAGTGGATTAAGTATTGAGAAACCAAAAGACAAAGAAGATGACAAAGACTCTGAAAAGGATGAGAAAATAATTGGAGGAGAAAGTGAAGACGATCTTCCAGGGTATAACCACGTTGAATTATTGCGATCGAGTTTGTTGTCAGGAAATATCTCGAGATCTATTAAGATACTAAGAAAATTCGGGGATAAATTGCCAGAGTTATACAATGTCACATTAATATTGATAATCAAACTAAATTCAAATGACTTTTTAAATAAAAAATTTGGAATTAAAAACTTCTTAATCTTGTTGAATAAAATCCTAAAATACAATTTGATGTCATTAATTGATTTAATAAAAATATTATCGTTGAACAATTTGATCAAAATTAAATTTATAAAACATTTTTTGATCAACTATATTAATTTTAAGAACTTTGAAATTGAGAAGAATTTAAAATTGTACAATTACTATAAAAGGGAAATTGAAGTCAAAAAAGCTGAAATCAGGAATATAATGAATGTCTCAGTCGACAAAAAAAAGCTCAAAGAAGGAAAAAAGACAAGCAAAAACAGTTGGAAAAACAAAGATTTCAGTGGCAATAATACTTACAATGATCCTAATCGAGATGAAAGAGAGAGCGATATTGATCTGAATGATGGAGAAGAAGATGATTTTATAGTTTTGAATAACTTGAAATGCAATGTTTGTTCACAAACTTTAGATTTTCCAATTATTCATTTTATTTGTCATCATTCTTATCATCAACGTTGTTTATCAGATTATAATTATGATATTAATGGAAGTGAAAACAACAATATGTCAGATGATAATGAGTTATTAGACGGCCAACTTGGTATCATGGACAATTCGTTGAATGATATCACGAATACGTATAGTGATAAAACTCGAAAATGCCCCAAATGTGTTTCAGAAATGGATGCTATAAAGGCCATAAGAGCTTCCCAAGATGAAATTGGCGAAAGAAATGACTTGTTCAAGATTGCTCTTAAAGATTCAGACGACAAATTTAAAGTTATTACTGATTTTTATGGCAGAGGGGCAATGGAACAAGTTAGGTATGTTTTACAATAAGACCTCCTGGACCAGGCAACAAAAATTTAATTTAGAAAGTGATAATAAGTAAATAGGGAAATAGATAATACCACAACTCGAGAGAAAGTTTTGATCTGTTATAAAAAGCACACAAAGTCAAAACAAAAAAAGCTAAAGCAGACAAAAACCCCAAATAAGCCTACACCGAGAATTGAGCCAATCAATTTTTTACCCAGCAGAAGAAACAAAAGGAGGTGAAACCGATCATGTCTCACACTGAAATCATACTACAGAGCTCAATCTACATTTTTGTTAATAGTTCATAAAAGTTGGTGGTTTTTATTAAATTGGTTTCATTATTTGCTAGATGTTGGTTGGAACAAAATGCTGCTAAAAGAAAGAGTCGGAAGAACTGAAGAAACAAGTAAGATAACTAAAGATTGATTCATTAAGCAGTTGATAAAAGAATGATAGTAATAAGAAAAGTAAAGGATTAAGAATTCAAGAATTAAAGCTAGATATACAAACAGATATATATATGAGCAGCTAAATAATAAAATATTATTGGAAAAGTTATGGCATAGCAATAACATAAGTAAAATTAAAAGTATAAGTATAAGTATAAGTATAAGTATAAGCATAAATATTAGTATCAGTATCAGTATTAATATTAGTATTAGTATTAGTAAATATCAGTATAAGTATAAGGATAAGAAAAAAAAAGTACCAGAAATAGTGGTTGAGGTTAAATAAAACAATATCAAATAAAATAGTCAAAAATATCACCAAAGTAAGACTTGCAAAGTCAGTAGTTATATTTAGTTGCAATTAGCTATAATTTAGAAACACATTTTTCCTTTCCAAGTGCCTTGATAACTAGCTCTTTCTTCATTCTTCTGTTATACCTGCTGTCTTTATTAACATGGCACAACTTGATATGTCTAGTCAAAGAGTCTTTTCTTGCTGGACATTTTCCACAGATCTTGCACTGGAATTTGGGAGTGTCGTCTGAAGCAGTAGTAGCAGCAATTAATGGGGCAGCGTAGATATGTGTTGATCTTTCAGAAGCACTGTTGGTAGATTTTCTTCTTGGGGCATACGAAGTCGAGGCTCTTGAGGTGTATGGGCTTCTGGAAGTTGGGCTTTGTTTTCTGATGCCTCCTGAGGTTGAGGTGCCTGTGGAGCCTTTGACAACTGCTGAGTTGCTTCTGTTTCTTGGATTGGGCAATTCGAAATTGTGCTGTGACAAACAATGTCTCTTCAATTCAGCTCTTCTTGGTAGCCCAACATATCTCCAAATGCAATCCTCAAATGGGCACTTATATGCTCTATCAATTTTGTTGCTGTCCAAGTGCTCAGCAAAATCAACAAGGGTAGAGAATGGTAGTGAGCAATGAGCACATTTGTAAGAACCCTTCTTGGGTTTTCTTGAGGCAGATTCCCATAACCTTCTATCTTTTTTCAAGCAATCAACGATAGATTGTTCATTAAGACCTGAACGAATGATGGTTTCAAGTTGATTATAATCCATTTTAGCCAATCTTTCTTTTTGGGCATTATTATTGAGTGTATAGTTGACGGGTTGGTTAATATCATCGAAAAGTAAAGTATTATTAAACTCATTGGTACCAACATTAAACAGGGTTGGGCTTAAAGACATACTTGAAGCACCAGCAGTAATGTCATTGATAAAAGTGCCTAAAAGAGGAGACGAAGAGTTGGATGAAATAATAGCTGAATCAACTGGAACTTGGGATAAAAATGGAGCTGCTTGTAAGACTGGGTAGCTAACTGGCCCAGCTTGGATGTGAGGATATCCAATAACATTAGAAGCTGTGAAATAAAAATTGTTTAAGTTATTCAAACTATTAAAATTGTGTATGTTGTTGATGCTGTTTATGTTTATGTTGTTTATGTTGTTTATGTTGTTAAAGCTATCAAAACCATTTAAGTAAAAAGGAGCGGATGAAGAGGAAGAGGAGGGCAATGATGAAGAGCAGAAACTGCTGGTTCCAATGATTGGTGAGTTATCAATGATGTTTTGAGTTTTGGTATTAATTCTCTTGTAAATTGGATTGTTCACCAATTGGATTGGATCTTGATGATTATAGTTGTTATTATTAAAAACTGGAGCAACTTTCGGTAGATTAATTGGAGAGTTAATAATAACTGGATCGATATTACCAGAATAACTTTCAATAGATAAACTACGATCATTATTGGTTAAAAAAACATCCGGAGAAACAACAGCAGAATATTCAGTGCCATTTTCACTAAAAATAGTTGTTGAGAGGTTATTAGATGAAGCAACTGAGTTTATCTCACTGGAAACTTGATGATTTAATACATTTTCAAATTGGATATTATAGTTGGAACCATTAACTTCATTATTGATATTATTAGTGTTAATATTATTGATGTTATTAATATTGTAAAAAGGTGAAGATTGGAGCTCATTTGAAGAAGTGCTGGTTTCATTGCTTACTGCTAAAGCTTTTTGATCAGGAAAAGATTCAAAGTCATCAATATATTTAGCAATTGAATCGGATGAATTCATCAAGTTTGTGTTTGGTGATTCTTGGAATAAATCTTCAATAATATTGCTGGAATTCATGGCATTAAAGTTGGTAGTATTATTTTCGTTATTGCTAGCACAATTAGGTTGGCCAATATAAGGAGTTGATAAATTAAACTTAAAATCCATGATTTTCTCCTTTTTATTTCCTTTTGATGATATTTAGGGTTATTGTTGTGTATTGTTTTGTTATAAATCGAGCTATTTGCTGAGAGTTGTGATTGATAACAAGCTGATTGTAGTGGAGTAATAATGAGTCTGTTTGTTTTGTTTTGCTTGTTTTTTTTAGATAAGTCGCTAAGTAAATTGTCGATAATTGGTCGAAGAGCTTTTCTGGAATTAGAAATTAAATAAGAGTGATTAATTGGCCAAGTGACTGTTTATACAGTATATTAAGGGAGATTTGTGATTATTAAAACAACAAGATAAAAATAAAAAATTACAAGTTGGAAAATAAATGAAAGAAATGAAGCACTTAAATATTATTTTTCTTTACGTTGATTGATAGATGAATAAAAGATTTAAAATTGAAAATATATCAAAGACAAAGTAATTAATCGATTAGAAAAAAAAAAAGTGAAAGTAAAAGTCAAATAAAACTTTAACAACATATAACATAATTGTAATAGAAAATCTATCATATAATGGTCCTAAAGTATTGATTGATTAAATTTACCTCGAATAATTATTATAATGTAAATTAAATTAAATTAAATTAAATAATAACAGAGTGTTTAGTGAATTAATTTATTTTTTTCTAAAACAAAAGAAAAATTTCATTTATTCTTAAAAAAAGAATATTGAATTGGATTTAAAATTGTTTTTTTTTAAACTGAAAAACAAAAATATAAAATTGTCCTATTTTAAGGTTCACGTCCAAAAGGGGAAAGTACAGGATTCAATCATCCAATTCAGATTTAGCTGATAAATCCAGAAACTTCTAACTGAGACGATAGTTCAGTGGAATAAAGAAATCATGTTTTCTCTGTACCAGAAACTGATTAGATTTACAGTACAGTTAAGAACTTTGCATGATATTTGTTTTATCTAACACATAAACGAAGATAACGAGCATGAAAAATCGTTGTGGAACTCGGTTAAAAATCAAAAATTCATGAGTTAACAGAGAAACTATTAAATTAATAGAAATCTAATTTTTGATTCAAAATTTAAATTGCATAAGGTGGTAGATGTTAGTGAAATTTAAATTATTGTATAAATTTTATCTGCAATTTATTTTATTGTAGTACATTGTAGTATATTGTATTATAGTTTGGTGAGTGTAAAATCATGAATCATAGCAAGTTTCATTATAATTAGATTTGTTAAATGTGATATAGAATTTGATTTGAATTGGCTTCCTTTCAATCTTTAACAACATAAGTGATTGAACAATATAATAATTTACAATTAAGTTTAAACAAAATATTGACTTGTAGACCATGGCCTTAAGCAAAAAGTTTCAGCTTAGAACAACAAAAGTAAAAAAGAAAATGAGTTGAGCATTAAACTAACCAAAAAAGAGTAAGAAAGATATTAAAAATGCCAAAAATAAAATGAGTAAAATACAATTCAAGACAACTACAAGAATCCAAAGTAGACTCGAGCGCTTTGCTACAAAAGAAAACAAGCCTGAACCAATGAAAAAAGCAATGTTGGAGCTATTGTTGAGAAAGTGCAAACAGATAATCTGAGAGCAAAGAGAAAGCGCAAGACATGTAGTGTCTTTCAAGATAGTTGGATTACCAAAAATATCAGATAATCACAGTTAGTGGATGTTAACAAGTGGAAATAGTGATGGAATCCTGTAAAATGAAAATGGTGTCTTAGACTCCCAAATCCAAATTTGATAAATTCAGAAAGTAGGACGGGAGAGAAATGTCCCGAAAAGAGCCCCGAACCAAAAATATTGTATGCGTCCCACAGCAGGTGACGTTGTTCTTATGCATAAACACGCCGTGAACAGCATAAAGCGGTATGCATATTTCTGCATATATGCGTCTGGGCTCCAGACTGGAAAATGACTGTAATGGAGAACTTCTTTTGTAGGAAGTGTTGAACTCTAGGAGAGCTGAGCTGAGATTGCTATGATTTGAAACGATGAAAAAGCTTTCTGATTTTTTTAGCTGATTGGAACTAAAGCTGCAATGTGGAACAGTAAAACATAAAAGGTCGTTCAAGAGAGCAGGTGCGCGAACAAAAATAAGGAAAAAAAGAAAGCCTTCAGAGAGATTCGAGCGAAAGACACAGTGTAAAACGAGACACAGAGCGTAAATCGCAATTTGGAATACATAAGATATTATGAATAGAGCCGAATGAAAAATAGAAGTTTTATTTAAATTGGTAGTGTGATCTGGAATGGGATCAAAAACAAAGGTAAGTATGAAAATGTATATTTAAAATAAAAGCAAAAGTAAAAGCAAAAGTAAAAGCAAAATAAGGCTAAAATCAAGGAAAAATCTGGTAGATTTGATATCCAAATTAAAATAGATTCCGATATGTATTAAGAAATTTAAAAGATCTTAGAAAGGTTTGCTAAGTTTTCATTTATACGTTGTGTGTGATATTGTGGAGTCAAGTTATATTTTGATAGTATGAATAATGAATAAAACATTGAAAGAGTAGTTTTATCTTAATACAGTGTATCAAAAAATGTGATGGGAGATACTGGGAAGATAAAATTAGAAAGTAGTGAATTTATGAGAATTGAATATATAGTGTAATGTAATATAATATAATATAATATAATATAATATAATATAATATAATATAATTTTAGTGAACAATTTAAACAGAGATTATCGAGAGGATTGACCAGAAAAATATTTAGAAAATGGGATTAATGAATAAAATATTTTCAATTTCAATTTCAAATCCAAGACAAGGTATATAAGAATTACTTGATTGAAAATGCAAAATAGTTAATGATTTATAAATAAGGATGTGAATTATTCGGTTAAAAAGTTTATTGAATCTTAAAGGATAAATAAAAATTAATGAATGGGGAATAAAAGAATAAGTAAGTAAGTAACTGAATAAATAGAAATGGTAATGGTAATGGTAATGGTAACGGTAATAGAGAGTATTAGTAGTAGTGGTAGTGGTGGCGGTGGTGGTGAAAGATAGTTGATAGAAATGTATATGTAAAGGTTTAAGTGAAAGGAAATAAAGTTTCCATGTTGGAAAGAGAATAGTTAATAAATATTAAAAACCCCAAGTTTAAAAAAACAAACTGCCTAATATTGATAAGAAAACAAGATTAAAATAAGGATAACATTTTGATGGTATTAAAGCAACAAGAAGAAGAAGAAAGGAACAAGAAAAAAGAAAAAAAGAAACAAAACAAATTGAAAGTGAAAGGGGACAAACTGGGACTATTGTGGTAGTGGAAAAGAGAATAAATAAAAAAAGAAATAGGAGATAGGAAACAATGGAGAGAATTTTTAATAATAAAAAGGAATAAAGTCGGTAAGATGAAAATGAAAATGAGAATGAAACCAAATTGAAAAAAGCGATCGAGAATTAATTTCATCTTTGGAATTAATTTGACAAATTATATTTTAAAGTTGAAACAAGTTAAAATAAAGGAAATGAAAAGATATGTGAAGATATGGAAACTGAAAAAAAGAGTGAAAATGATGAAATGGAAAGAACAAATGAATTTAACCGATGAAATAAAGAAAGAAAAAGAGGAAAAGGTATGATATGGTATGGCTAGAGTATTAGAAGAAAATGAAAATGAAAATGAAAGTGAAAGTGAAAATGAAGATGAATTAAATGAATAGATTAATAAAAATTTAGTTGTGGATATGATTGTTTATAATTATTTTCAATTATTTATTGTTTTATGGCGTTATTTTAAGGTATTATTAAATACTATTTTATGTTAAATAATATGGTATGAGATAGACTAAAAATAAGAAAAAGAATTGCATCATTATAGATATTAAGTTGAGATTATTAATAAAAAGATTTTCGAATAGAAAAGGAAATTAAATGGGAAAATAAGTAAAATAATTGAATAGTAATACAAGTTACAAGTTGTAAATTTTTATTATAATACTTATAATACTTATAATACTTATAATACTAATTATATTGATAATACTAATTATATTGATAATAATAATAATAATAATAATAGTTGTAATATTGGTATGTTGAGTATACATTGTACAAAAACGAGGGTGAGTGTAAAGATGTAGTGATAACTTACCATAAATTAATGTGAAATAGAATTAGAAAGAAATAATAATTTTACGTGTGTGCAAAGTAAAAAAAAAACAACAACCAAAAATGAAATAAACTGAAATAAAATGAAAAAAAATGAAAAAAAATAAAAGTGCTTTGATGCTGAAAAGTAGTTTCAAAATAAGAAGTTAGGCAAGTTGCAGTGAGTTCGAAACAGAAACAGAAACAGGGACTAAAAGAGAAATAGAAATAAAAATAACAAACAGATGGAGTAAATACAAGGGAATAATCTCAAAGCAGAGAGACAAAGACAAGAAGCTGATAAAGATAGAAGTAGAATGTAGACCAACCCTACAAGGTAAAGCAGAGTAGAGGAGAGTAGATCAGAATGGTGTAGATTGAAAAAGATTAATAGTGATCAAGGTGGTGGTGGTGATGGAGACAAATTGACTGTATTAAAGATGGTGATAGCACAGATTAATAGAATTACATGAGAGATTGTGGGCAAGGAATTTAAGTTGGAAAACTGAAATGGTTAAAATGTAAGTTTATGAGGATAAGGATAGCAAACAAAGGAATAAAAACAATAAACAATAGAGAAGAAAGATGAAGATTGAAAAAGATTATCAGAGAGAAGAAAAGGAGAATAATAGAGAGAATAATAGAGAGAATAATGGAGGATAATAGAGAAAGAAGTAAGGACAAAAAGGATGAAGCAGATGGGAGAAAAAGCATCAGAGTTCGGAAGCGCAAATAGCCCTATTGTCCCAAAAGGCAGAGAAATTAGGTTGGCTGTCAATAAACAAGCATTTGAGACGTCATTGATGGTGCACACAGGATTTGACCAAGAAAGCAAATATCTCCCGAATTTTTGGAGTAGCACACAGTGGCAGACAAACAAAATGGAATATAGACCGATTTGGCAGAACGTGCATATATTTCGTAGGCAGAGACATTTTGGCGGATAAGCTGAAAAACAGGAAAGAGCCCAAGTATCGAGGTGACAAGCCGGAATCTAGAGGTCGGTATAGTAAGCAAACCATAACATTTGCCCAGCCTTGATGTTATGCGTGAAAAATACAACAGAATGCCAAGATCAAAGTTAATTGGATAAGATGAAGAATATTATTAATGGTGTTTGATAGGGTAACGCGGGATATATAGTTGGGTGCGATAAAGCTAAACATTAAGAAGTGAAGAAACGATCTAGAATTACCGAGACAAAACTCTTAGAATTACTGTTCATGCAAAAGAAAAGCGTTAGTGAAACGTGCAAAAGTTGCAAAAAAAAAAGGGAATGATAAAATCCATAGCACTGGCTCTTGTATCAATCTGCAACACAGCGTTGGTGGTATTTTCCGCACAAACAATACGAAAACGACAGGAAGGAGTTTGAGAAAAGGGAAGAAAAGCAGGTGAATAAGGAACAATCTGGTAAAACAGTGCAGTTGCAACTGGACGATGAGAATTTGCAGCGAATGATGCCAGAGAGCTGAAGCAGGGGGCCACAGAAGTGGGCCCGAAGGTTAGAACTGTTTTTCTAGAGAGGATGGAGCTTGACGAGACGCTTGACGAGACACTCAGCAAACGCTCCTTCACCTGCACCTCGAGGCTTGTTGCCACCACTACAACCAAAGACCAGGTTTTGGCGTCGACACCGACCAGTGTTCGGTGGCGGAAAGCCCTCCGGCAGTGCAACCGCAGAAGGCAGAAAGCGTCCATAGGCACCTATTGAGCACGCGTGGCACGTGCATGCTGACCAATGAGGAACGTGAATGTGGCACCTTTGGCGGGCGTGGCCGGCGCACACGCAGCAGGTCAGCGGATGGTGGAGCGGCGTAGGCGTTTGATCAAAGCTGGGACGAGCAGCTGAAGAGCGAGGTGAGGAAGCTGTGAAGTAGGAGCTAAAGCAGCGAAGAAGAACCAGCACCAGCACCACCTTCTCCAGCATCCGCGTCGTTCCAGCTGCCTCAGACGTCCCTCCCGCCGAGAACCGCCCCAGCACTGCTGCTCCAGCTTCCAAGCTCCAGCTTTTCACCGGCCCTCCTGCTTCCGCTGCCTCTGCTGCCTCTGCTGCTCCTGCCTCTGGCGCACCGGCCCCTTCTGCCTCTACTCCAGACTCTCCAGACTCTTCTCCAGCTGTGAGTCCAGGATTATTAATCATCCAGCTTTCTCCAGCACTGCTCTCTTCCTCAACATCCTCACGCTTTCCACCAACAGTCCCAGCTATCAGCGAGCAACTAGCTATTTCTAGGTAACTTCCTACCATCTCACACTAGATACTATCTCAGTGTATCTCATCTGCCATCGTCCACTACTCTTATCCAGCAGTGTTTGCTATCGCTTGCTACCTCTCTGTCTTTCCATTCAATTGTATCAATACTTTATCAACACTCTCAGCACTTCCATTCCATTCCATTCCAGCTCCAGCTCCAGCTCCAGCTTCAATTTTAGTTTTGCTTTTATTTTCACTTAACATCTATATCTGTATCTGTATCTGTATCTATATCTATATCTATATCTATATTTATACTTATATTTATACTTATACTTATATTTAAATTCAGATTTCTATTTTTGATTTCTTCTTTGGTTTCTTCTTTGATTTCATCTTTGGTTTCTTCTTTGATTTCATCTTTGATTTCATCTCTGATTTCGTTTTTCAATCACTTCAATTTCAATTTCAATTGCAATTGCAATTGCAGTTTCAATTCAAATCCAGATCAAATCCAAAATTAAATCCGAAATTCAAATCAAATCAATCCAAATCAATCCAAATCAAATTCAAATCCCATTATACTATACCATCACACTTGATCTCTCCAATCAAATCATTTAATTCATCTATATATATTCCATCTCGTCATCCCTTAATCTTCTCTTTTTGCCTTCTTTCCCTTTTCGCTTCCAAAAATGAATCACCAATTATTCGATCTAGAACACCCTAGCTTGTCTTCTGCTAACGATATATTTGATTTTGATTTCGATACTCCCATGAGTCCCTCCGAATCAAACAATCACATCAATATCCTACACAACAATATCGAAAATAACAACCATCTCAACAACACAAACCTCTCCATCAATAATATCAATAATATCAATAATATCAATAATGCCAATAATGCCAATAATGTCAATAATATCAATAATAATAATATTAATAATAATATTAATAATGTCATCAATAATAATAATGTCAATAACAACTACTCTAACAACTCAAACATAAACAACCAATTTAACATCAACACCGCTGACAACAATAACTACTCAACATACATAAATAACCACTCAAATTTATCTTCTGATATATTCAACAACAACGCCTTCAACTTCACCTACAGCTCTCCCAATACAACCTCCAACTTGACTTCAAATTTAAACATCAACAACTCCAACAACTCCAACAACAACTCCAAAAACAACCCTATAAACTCAATCTACACTGCCAATAACACATCCTCTCTTAACATCAACAACACCAACAAAAACAATAACGCTTCCCTATTTAGCTCAATTGATATGCAGTTGCTATCAAACACAAATAACACTCCCTCTCTCAATAACAACAATAACAACAATAATAACAATAACAATAACAACAATAACGCACACAACAATTCCATCCCTATTGACCCATCCTACAACCAAAGAAACAGCTACAACCCAAGCTTTCTCAATCCAATAAGAAACCCGAATTTAAATACAATAAATACCAACAACCACTACTATAATCTATCTTTCAATCACAACAACTACAATAATAACAATAATAACAATAACAATAATAATAATAATAATAATAACAACAACAATAACGTCAACTCCAATGCCAACTCCAACGCTAACAACAACCCTAATCACCACCATAACAACACCATCTTCCACAATAACCTCCATTCTGCTAGGATCAGGAGAGAAAGCATTGCTCACTCTCAAGGTATGGGTGGAGTCAGTTGGGGTACCTTCACCATCGGTTCCTGGCTAAAGGATGAAGTCCTAACAAACTCAAACTTCATATCGATGCCCACTGCTCAATCAAACTTCTCAGATGACACTTCAAACTACCTAGCAAATCTTGAAGCTGAGTATTGCAAAGACTATTACTGCTGTGGCGAGTCTCTACCTTCTTTGCACGATTTGCTAAAACACTACGAAGAATCACATCTAACCTCTTCTCCCACAAACGATCCTGCACAAAGAAGAGCCTATGATTCAACTATAGCAAATCTAACAGAAGCTGTATCAACAAACGAAGTTTTCCTATCCGATGGTGAAGATAACAATTTACTCAACAACAACATTCCTACCAATAAAATTCAAATTAACAATCTCAATATAAACTCAAAAAATATCATTAACATTAAAAACAATCACTCCAATCACTCCAATAATAATAATAATAACAACAACAACAATAATAATAACAACAATAATAACCAGATTCTTCTTCAAAACGGCAATAACATTAATATCACTAATAATATAACAACTAATACTAACGCCGAACATCTCACTAATGGAATTTTGCATAACAGTTCTAATGTAAACATACTGAATGATAGCAAAAATAATTACACAATAAATAATAATAATTTCAAGAATCTAGCAAACAATGATGACTTATCCTTAAATATCAATGGCAATATCAGCAAGCACTTGACTGATAACTTTTCTAACGTCAATGGCATCAATCATCTAATACATCACAACAATAGTAACCATAACCTAAATATCACTAACAATAACAATAACAATAACAACAACAACAATAACAACAATAACAACAATAGCAATAACAATAATAACAATAACAATAATAAAAATCAAATAAACATAGCTGGAATTAACTTAAATATAAATGGAAATGATTCAAACTCATTTTCATTAACACAGTTTACTTCCAATAATAATCAACCTCTTCAGAATCATACAAATATAACCAACTTGTCTAATCTAGGCAACATATCTCACCACAGACAAAATAAAATCAGCGAGGTTGATGAAATGTGCATTGACGATCCCGCTAGGCATCTCTATGTTGAAAGAGGAGATTCAAAACCTTTCAAATGCCCAGTCATTGGCTGCGATAAATCTTATAAAAATCAAAATGGTTTGAAATACCATAGGTCTCATGGTCATCAAAATCAAAAACTTTTCCAAAATGAAGATGGCACGCTATCAATTATCGACCCCATTTCCAATGTACCATATACTGATAATAATATTGCTCTAGAAAGAGATAAACCATATAGATGTGAAGTCTGTGGCAAGAGATATAAAAACTTAAATGGTTTGAAATATCATAAAGGTCATTCTACACATTAACTACTTTTTAATTTAACATTCTTGTTTTATTTTAATCACTACAAATAATCTTTGATCATTATTCATCATTATTCATCATCATTCATCATCATCATCATCAATTATTAATATTATAAAGTGCCACTATAGTTGGTGCTGCCAACACCACTAATCTGCCATTACTATTTTTACTCCAGTTATAACTACTGCCAACATCTGATTGTCACTGTTATTCATATCATATTTATTAGGACTCCTATCATCACCGGTAATCTTATTATCACTTTTGTTTCCACTGATTATTAGATCGGAAACAACATTACGTTGTTTTTAATCCCGTATAGATTTAATGGTTGTATTTCTTTACAAATTGGAAATTTTATCGTTGGTTATTGGTTTTTTCAAAGTTTTAAGGAAAAAGAATTTTTTTTTCCTATTTTTAAAATATAATGGTATTTTTTTAATTCAATCAGATATGGATTTTTTTTAAAACAAATCTCAAGTTTTAAGCATACAAAAAAAATAATATTTACTTTTACATAAAAATAAATCAGATCTAATTTTTATCACTTTTTAATTATTAATATGAATGCAAATTTAAAGATGAATATAAGTATGAAAAATAGAGTACTGTACGCCTATGTGATTTAGTAAATTATGGATATATTTTTTATTGAGTGAAAAAGATTGAAGTGATGCTCAAGGTGCTTTTCATTATCTTTTATTATCTTTCATATTTTACTTTATTGTTTTATCTTTTTAACATGGATTGGAAAAAGAATATATAAGAAAAAAAAAGCGCAAGTAATTTTTGAAAATAATTCAAAGGTATTGCTTTTTAGTTCTTAGTTATGTATTCTAGGGTGTTTTCCTTTTATTTTTAATTTTTCCTTCAACTTCCCTTTTTTAATTTTTTCTTTGTTTTACCATTTCTCTCTGTTTTTAGGTTGTTGTCAAAGTTTTCTTTTGTTTCTCTATTGTTCCTCTTTGTTTTTATACAGTCGATTAGCCTGCGTTTATAAAGCCATAAAATATATGTATGTATGCACCAAAAACACCAAAAGCACCATCCGCTGGAGTGCATTATGAGTTCCGACCAGATACACGTGATCCAACAGCAACAGAAAACGTGGAGAATGCTTCTTTTGGTGAAGAAGAAGCTTCAACAGAAACACCTTCCTTCTCTAGCTTGTGTTGACTCTAACATGGCGACTCTCAATGAACAACTTGAAGCGCAGCAAGAGCCTGAGTGCAAATTGCTAGGTTCTTTTTCTATCATCATTCAATCCTTCATGGGCTTATCAGCTCTATCAGTTTTGATATACAAGAGATATCGAGAGTACCCTAATCGAAGACCTTGGAAGATCTGGTTTTTTGATGTTTCCAAGCAAGTTATTGGTGGGATATTTATCCATTTTTTAAATTTATCTTTAAGTTTTCTAAGTTTTTATTCAACATCTCCATCAAACAACAGCAGTAATGATGGTTTGAGTTCCAGTTTTATGAATACTACAATTTCTACCCAACATGATGATAGCTATGTAAATGGATTAGAAAATGGAGTTATACCAAATCATTATTTATATTCCGGTGTTGATGGCAATAGTATTTCCGGTGAAACTAATGGCAATGATGATAATAATGACAATGGGAATCCCTGTAATTGGTATTTTTTAAATATATTGTTTGATACAACAATTGGTGTCCCTATACTTTGGTTATTGATTTACATTATATTTGAAGGTGGGAAAAGAGCTCAAATTAGTGGAATCAGTTCAGGGGAATATGGCAATCCACCTAGTTTTTGGAGTTATCTGAAACAGTTGGTTTTATATGTGGTGGCATTAATTTCAATGAAATTGATTGTTTATATTTTATTGATTTCAGTGCCGATATTTGAGGAGATTGCTGACTGGTTACTAAGCAGATTCGATAATGTTCCAAATCTTCAAATCTTTATAGTGACATTTTTAACACCATTGTTAATGAACTGTTTTCAATATTTCTGTATTGATAATATAATTCAAAGTTCTCAATATAAGAAAAAAAGACAAGAGGAGTTACTTCATGATGATAGCTTTGAAAATAGAGTTCATTCTGATTATATTGATTACAGTACTGGAAATACTGATAATAATCAAGACACCAACAGAGATCTCGAACTGCATAGAACTGATGAAAGTATAAACACTGTTCTAGACAATGCCTCCTCAACCATGAACACATTCAAAAGTGACAATTTGACCCTAAAGATTAATAATACCAGTACCAGTTTTTAATTTCCGATATTATGTTTTTCATTTCTTATCTCTGAATTTTGTTTTAATTGTTAGTCTTTAGTAACTCGGTGCAACCTTGATGATTTTTGTTTTGCATCAACTTTTACACTATTTCACATTTGCATTTTTCACTTCTTTAACCCGTTGTTTTTTCAAGGTTTATTTTTTTCTACTTGGTTTTGAACAATTGCATATTAATCATAATAGTTTGATATGCTACTTTTATTTAGACAAAATGCCCAAAAGGAAAAGGAGAAAAGAGAAAAATTTTTATATAAATTTTAGTTTTAATTGTACCATATTTACATGAATTTCATTGAATAATATCTAATAAGCTTATTTGCCCTTAATAAATAGATTTATTAAAAGGTTTCAAACCCATAACCTTTCATACATTTTTTGTAAGCAAGAATAATATCATCACATTTACCAGAATCTTGACCAAACTTGAGCAAGCACTCATCTCTTGTAGCCTTTTCGTCTTTACACACACAGCATGGCTTTGGCTTGTTAATTTCTTTATTAAAATGGCAAATCCAAAAAGGAAACCATGTTAGTACTAAATCTTTGCAAAGCATCTGGATAACCTCGTTCTCTGACCAGCAAATCAATACATACCACACTGCTCGACTGCTGGCTTGCTGCCAGTAAACCAGTTTTTGATTCCCTCAAACATTCTGCAATAGTGTTTCTGTGAGAGCTGATGTTCCAATAGCGATAATAACCCAGATGAGAGCGATGGAGAGAAACAGAGCTGGGCTTTGAACATGCAAACTTCGAAGGGTTTCTATGCATTACTAAGCTGGAAAAGCTCATCACCGGATCTGGGCGAGAGAATATTACTGGATCGGACTCAGAGCAAGATATTTATTAAGTGTTTTATTTACGAGAAGCTGCTTTTTCTATGAGAAGCTGCTAGCCAAAGAGCCTGAGGGCGTTCATGTTGTCTACAAAAGATAACACCAACTGGTTGAATTCCTGCTCATCGTATAACTGGGACAAGATCACCATCAAGCTGAGAGGAATGTCTTGATTGCTGTTTTCTACTCGCGCTTCGATGTCTTTATCAAGCACATATTCATCTTTGTCGTTTTTGAAAATGCCAATTTGATGTAGATATTTGACAAAAAACAAAATCAACTTGTCTCCAACAAATGAATTGCTGTTGAATAGACTGTTGAAGCTATTTCCATGTGTTTCTGCCAATTTCTCATGGACTTTTTCGTGGATTTTAGCTTTTTCTAAATCAACCAAGCTCCTATATTCTTTGCTTAAAGCTTCTTGATTTCGATAATTTTCATCAATTAAAATTTCCCTACTTAATTCATTAACCTGGTAATTGCTTGTATAATCTTTGTGACAAGAATCTGGCGTGAAAAACAAAGGAACATGATAAACCATTTTGAAATTGTCCCTAATTTCAATCCATTGATCATTGAAGTTATCTGCTAGTAATGGCATCAATGGAAAATACTCTCTTAAAGATTTGTCTTTGTCTTCTCTGACTTGAACATCAAATTTCTTCGAATATTTATCATTGGAGCCAAAAAAAACACTCGAGCTTGAAATATTAGAGCCACTTAGCAAGTCAAAAATTGATGAAGACAACCCAGATTTATCTTTTTTCTTTTCAAAAAAATTCTCTGCCTGGAAAATCATTCCCACTAGCATGTCCTTTGGATAGATATTTAATGTATTGTGGGAGTACTGCTCTTTCCTTGAAAGTTTGAAACAATTATCGCTAACCTTTTCACAAATCTCTTTATTCCATGGTATACCATTATCAAAAAATCCATCCTTTAACTCAAGAGTTATATCTAATCCAATTTTACCATTTTGACACAAATATAAGTGCGTTTCATGACCAATAGCATCCTCACTGGAGTTCTTTTCATTTCCATTATAAATGTACTGTCTATCAATTCTAAATCCAGAATAAAAACTTCTTGATTGACTAACTTGTTCACATACTCTTTCAGTGTTGACATTTAAACTTGGCCCTTTAAACAATTCAATAATTGTTTCTCCATTACTGGTTCTCCAAAATTCTCCAATAATGCAATATAATATCAATGCTAAAGAATAGCTAAAAAACTTAACTAAAAACATCATAATCCAAATATCTATGAAACTTAAAAGATAAAAAAACAACAACCCATAAAACTGACATCAAAAGAAATAAAAATAATTAACCAGAAAATTAGAATGTGAGATTGGTTTGTGCTCAAAATCAATACAAACTTCAATTTATGTTTGTGTTACTTATCCACCTCAGTGGTCAATTTCTTCTTTAAATATTTTCTGAAACTGAATCAGACTTTTCTGTTGAGAAATTGTTTATTAGCATTCTCTTGGACAAACTTAAACCAATTTCCCGATTTGACACACCATTTTTATTAGACCTCCCATAATTATACGTTTTTGTTTGTGTCATGTTCCTATTATTTTTCACATTTCTTTTGCTTGCTCTATTAACTGCAAATTCTTGATTACTTTTGAGAAAATTTTTAATAGATTTTGATAGCCCATTGCTTTTTTCAATGTGATTTTTCATTAAAGTATCACCGTCTGAAAAATCCAGAATTTCATCTTCGTCAAGTTCTGATAACTCGTTTTCTGATAATTCCGAACTATTTTTCACAGCATTTTCAGTATCTTCTAATTTATTAGCTTCTATATTGTTGTCGTGTATATCATTTTTTATAAGAGAGTTAAATTGATTTATTACACTTTTTTTCTTAACATTTGATTTACTATTTTTCATAAAATAACTTGCCCCTCTTGGAGCTCTTGATGAACTTATAATTGATTTTGTTGAAATCATAGGCCTCGTTTGATCAGTACTTTGATTTCTAGGAGCAAAATTAGGCATCTTTTGGTCTATTTTATTTCCTGAAGCAAAAACAGAGTCTTGTTCAACTGGCATCATAGGAAATTGTTTATAAACATCATTTTGTTCATTATCATCATAATTAATACTGTTGTGTCTTTTAGCTAAATCCAAAATGCATTGAAGTTTGAGTTGTTTTGTTTTAATATCCTGCGTGTACGACCCTCCATCTTGATCATTATTATTTATTAAATTATTTTTAAATCCATTATTATTATTATTATTATTATTATTATTATTATTATTATTATTATTATTATTATTATCAGCATTCAAAAATTGAGGTAGATCGGTAATTTTCTCATTTTGATGTTCTAATTTTATCACTGTCAGTTCGTTGAACTTAAAACTTTGCTGTTTATAATTTTTTTCTTTTCTTTTAGTTTTTTCTGGTAATTGTTCTTTTAATTTTAAATTAACATATGGATTTGGTATTATAGTTTCGTTATTTTTCTGTTTTATTTTAATAACTTTTGGCACTGGTGGCGCAGACAATTTATTACCAACTTCCTCGAAGGATGAAAATGAACTATGGCCATCCGATTCTTTTGTACTGGAATGAGATCGGAGTATGTTCAATGGAATATCTATAGGACGAGGTGGCCCATTTAATTTCATTATTTTGGGCTTTTTTCTTACTGGAGATGTCTGTTTGTTTTCAATTTGACTTTCGAAACCCCAATCTGAACTTGGATTAATATCATTATTTGAATCTAAACCTCCAATCTCTTCTTTTTCATAATTTGAATCTTTTAAAGGAAAAGACAATAAAGTGTCAATATCTTTGACTTTTGACGGCGATGAAAAACCTTCAGAGTTCAATATTTTATCTGATGTCATGATCTTTACTCCCAAGTCCATAATTTTTATAACTTTATCTTTGATTTCTTCCCTAAGATTTTCTTTATCGTTTATTTTATGGTTTTTGTTTAATTGAGTTTTTTCCTTTAAAATATTTGAAGCCAAACTTGCAGGACGATTTCCAGTTTGACTGGATAAATAATTCTTAAGTTGCATGGATATACGATCTAGTTTGTCTTTACCATTCATTTCACAAATATTTTCGTAATTTATACTATCGTTTTGATTCACACTATCAATTACCTTTTTAGGTAATTTCGGTAATTCCAGTAATTTATTATTTTGATTTAAAATTGGTTTGTTTTGACTTTTGTTGAGTACAATTTCCTCTTTTTGAAAAATAACCTGAGAATCGTCAATAAATTCGCATCTATTCAGAGCTTTGTTCATTGACGCATTAGCTAATGATATTCTGATATCAGTATATTTATTTTTCTGAGGGTTCTTTTTTGAGGTTTTACAAACTTTGCTAACGCTTTTTTTTCTTTTAGAACTGTTTGTTAATGATAAAAAAGTTTTCAAAGGATCAATGGGAGGAATTGATATTGGTGTCACATAGCACTTTGGTGTTATTCTTGGAATTCTTTTTCTGTTTGAAGACAATTTGATAGAAGGAATCGTTTGCTTTATTGGGGTTGAAATTTTAGATATTGTTCTGTTTTTATTATTTGATGTAGTTTTAGTTGTAGGTATAGTTGCATTTTTAGTTGTATACAGATTTTTTGAAATTTCAATTGGCCTATTGCTTTTCCTTTTAGAAATATTAGTTCGGTTTGAAAGTAAATTGTTTCGCTGCTTTTGATTTTCTGAAGGTAGTTGTCTTGGGAACTTTAAAAATGAAATTTTCTGGACTGGACTAGTAATTTTCTGGTTAGTTTTTGTATCTATGCTGGATGAGTGATTGTTGTTATCCTGACCAATATTGTTACCAAAAAACATAGAAATGTCCCTTTCGTAGTGATTGATTAAGTCTGTAATCTGAATCAAATAACAACTTTTCACAAACCGATTATCAATAGCCAAAAGCCTGTGACTCTTCACAAACTCGACTAGCAAAAGAGCATTTGTCTCGTCATATAGTTCTATTTTGTTATTGAAACTGTAATATTTGACCTGTCCATCGTGCCATCGTTTCAATTTCTGAAAAATATCCTTTGTAAAGAGAACATTGTAGACCAGAACCTGGGCATTTGTCAACGACCTGCCAATGCCAGGATCGGTTTCAACAACATCACCAGCAGTCGTTGGAAGGTTGGGCATTTCAACACAACTCAAAGCTCGACCACAGTGATTTATCTCTACGATTATATCCTCTCCCCAAAATGGTCTGGTGGAGTCGTGATTTTCACGCCGTTTTTCTGATGCGCATCATTAATAATAGAGCGAAATCTAGGAACTGGACGTATTTGTGCAACTATAAAAAGCTGTATCTTGTAGCTCAGACGTGTATATCAGTTTCTAATTTGCTTATTATTGATACAGAAGATGTTTCGTAACTTTTCTAGACTCAACAAATCGATACTCAACCCCTCGAACATCAGAAAGCTAGCCACTGCTGCTCCTCCAGGACCACAGGTTTCAGTACTTGCAAATGGATTAACAGTCGCCTCTCAAAGTGTTCCATACGCCTTGACTGCTACAGTTGGGGTTTGGATTGATTCAGGTTCAAGATCAGAAGACTCCAAGAACAATGGTGTGGCCCATTTTTTGGAACATTTGGCATTTAAAGGAACACAGACCCGTAGCCAACGAGACTTGGAATTGGAAATCGAAAATATTGGCAGTCATTTAAATGCCTATACATCAAGAGAAAATACAGTGTATTATGCCAAAACTTTGCAACCAAATATAAATCATTCATTGGAAATCTTGAGTGATATCCTAACAAAGTCTAGCTTAGCTACCAATGCAATCGATAGAGAAAGAGACGTGATTATCAGAGAAAGCGAAGAGGTTGGCAAAATGTATGACGAGGTTATATTTGATCATTTACATGCTGTTGCTTACAAGAACAACTCCCTTGGTAGAACTATATTAGGACCAATTGAAAATATTTGCTCACTTCAACGAAACGATTTGGTTGAATATATCAAAGAGAACTATAAAGGCGACAGGATGGTGTTGGTTGGTACAGGATCAGTGAATCATGATGAGTTATGTGAATTTGCCAATAAATCATTTGGCCATTTACTAAAATCCAAAATTCCAAATGTATTTGGTCAACCAAAAACAATCAAAACCCACTCTTTTCCAGATTTTAACAGTGACGAAATCAAAATCAAAGAGTCTTCGTTGCCCGAAACTTATATGGCATTGGCAGTGGAAGGAACCTCTTGGAACTCTCCCGATTATTTCACTGCATTGGTTTGTCAGGCATTGGCTGGAAATTGGAACAGATCTGTTCCAGTCAATAACGGTTCTCCTGGTATTCAAATTGCTATTGGTACAGGTCATCATGGAGAACCGCTTGCCAACTCATACATGTCGTTTTCTACTTCTTACATTGATACTGGATTGTGGGGGATGTACATCACCACTGACGGCATAGAAAACTACAAGTTGATTCAGGCTATATTGAATCATTGGAAAGAGTTAAAAAAAGGTATGTTTTACAAACACCAGTTCGAAACCGCCAAGTCTCAATTAAAAGCTTCGTTGTTGGTTTCAGTTGATGGAACAACTGCCTTAGCAGAAGACATTGGGAGACAAATGGTGAACACTGGGAAAATACTTTCGCCTGAAGAAGTGTTTGACAGCGTCAACAAGATCACTGAGGACAACGTTGTGGACTGGTTCAACAAAAAATTGGGCGCAGGAAAGCTCGCTATAGCTGCGTTGGGAAACCAGGTCGATACAATGCCCTCGCACAAGGAGATCTGCAATGAGATGGTTAGATATAATTAGAAGTCAATATTCGTAGCATTAGTTTGTAAATATCAGATACTCAATCACAAAATACGATACATGTTCCAGAACCAAAAGCAGCAAAATAGCCGCTGTTTTAGAAAATTTGAAATTTACAACCAGGATGCTGCAGCTGTGCATAATCCGCGTCGACATGCAGTAGCCTTATTTTCAGAATAACTGAAACATTTCAAAAGACTTTGGAAGCGATTTTGAACTGTTCTCAGAGAGAATTACGATATATCGCCAGACAATTTACGTTTTGGATCTGGGCTGTCAAACTTTGCTGAAAAGCTATTTGTAGCTTATTTTGGTTATTGCATTTCTGGACTTTGGTTGGTGGATCAGTCCAACAGACGTGTTTTTTGATTTATCGTAATTTATTTAACTCGAGTTTTTGATATGTAGCTGACATGGAATGATTTGGAATGGGCCAGTAGATTATATTTTGGGTGTTTAATCTGCTTATATTAGTTGAAAATCTCTACTTATCACTTAGACTCCAGATTACTTCATTTTATTTCATTTTATTTCATTTCAAGTAAAGTAAAGTAATGCCTTTTTTGAGCAACTTTTTAAAATCAACTATCAATAGTATTTGCAACTAATCTTAATTAAATTGAAAGGAAAAATTGAAAAACATGATGAAAAGTATAACTTCATCTCACTATTCACAGTCTTTGAAATATCAATCTGATATTTTATCAACAAATATAAAAAATTGCATAACTGATAATAAACCTAATCCCAAGTCTAATTTTAATGGTAATAACAGCTCTATTTCTGATGAGGAGGATGATCTATATTGTCCAACCTGGTTAAAAAACAGAAACAACTATAAAAAACAATTAGAAAGAGAAAGAATGTTTGGTGGCTATAGAAATGGGTTTTCTCAAAGACAGAGAGAAAACCCCAAAAATGTTCCTGCTCCTTTGGAATTGGTTTCCACTACTTTTAAAGACTACTTTCCATCAGATATTACTTGTACAGTCAACCAAATCAATAAAAATCAAAATTTTAAAAAGGGAAACAATAGTAAAAACTCAACTGATAAAAATCAATTTTTGGCTGCAAATGTCAATCCCTATGCATTTCCTGGCTGGGAAATGATGTCCCAAAATACAGATAAAAAAAATAATAGTATTCATGGTGCTGAAGAGGAAATCATACAAAGCAAAAGAACCATTGATCAAGAAAATGCTAGGAATAAAGAACCTGATTATAAAAACTATACATACAATCAATTTTATAAAGACAAAGACACCATAGGTCTTGATCTCAAAAATGAAAGTTTTGCAAAAGTGTTCGATATTCATGACGATGTTATTCCAAGTCCAAAGAGACTCAAATCTCCCATCACCATGTGCAACTCTTACTTGATAAATAAACCCAACCTAAATGATTTGGATAATAAATATCAAAATGGAAAGTTAATTCAGTCTTTTAGATCAAAAATTAACCAGATGGCACAAAATAACATTTCTGATACAAATTCAAACTATAATCTAATGTCAATATATGAAACAAATATTATAGAATTAATTGCTTCTGAAATTGCATATAAAAGAGATTTGTCAATGATCATTGATATTTATTTAAATTTTTCAAACACCTCTTCCATTTACAAAAATATTTTAAATTCTAATGAAAAGAAAATTATTTTTAGTAACATTCAAAAAATTCATGATTTAACGGATAGATTTTTAAGTAATTTTTTAGATTTTTTTAAAAATGCTGTTAATTATGATAGTCAAAGCGATTCTTCAAGCAATTGTAGTTCTCTTTTAGACTCAAACGATGTTGCAAATGCCCCTCCTTTACTTTCTTTATTATCTCCACAAAATATTCCCGATAAAGTTATTGCATCTCCTGTCAAGCCTAATTTTAAATTATCAAAACAAGCTATTGAACTATTAGAGCCAAATAATGTAACTTCATTTCAGATAAAATATCTTATTCAGGATCCCAAGCTCAAGGACAACTGTAAAGAGCTAAACATTGGTGGCTATTTGGTTGAGTTTTTCAATGATGAATTTTTAGATTCTTATATTTACTATCTTAATAATCACAAAAAACAAATTGAAGAGCTAAAGAAAAAAATCAAGTTTTCAGAGCCAATTGTTCAAAAATGGTTGAATGAGTGCAAATTTTTTACAAAATCCAAAACAAATATTTGGGATTTTGAAAGTTTGTTAAATAAACCCATCCAAAGAATAGTTAAATACAAATTACTAGTTAATAATTTGATAAGTAGCTATTGTGTAGAGCTTGGATCAAAAAATGACGTTGATAATGATAAAATTTTGGAAGATTTGAATACCGCAAGAGAAGAGATTTACGAAATCCATGAGAAAATTGTGACGAGAAAAAACCAAATAACTACCACTTTTGATGCTACTTATAATGGAACTATGGATGACCAAAGGACATTGAATAGAAGCAAAAGTACATCAAATGCTAGTTGTAATCAGAGTCAAGTGCTGAATGACTTTAGTGATTTATTTTCCGAAATTCTACCTGCAGTTTCTTCAGTATCTTTTTTATTTGCAACTTCTAAAAAGAATAATAGAATCACAAGTTCAATCATCACAAAAAAGATTAATGATACCGTTAAATTAGCACCAAAATCCAGACAGGAATACATCAGGTTGGTTTTGATATTCAAATTTAAATATGAACTTTTGAAAAGATACAAACATGATATGCTTGAAGTCATTCAAACAATTGAAAACTTTAGTAATTCACAATTTTCTTTTGCAGAAAGCTGGAGGATTTTAATTGAAATGTTCAATCCTGAGCTTCCTCGGGATTTTGATGCTCATTTCATTAAGTCTAGTTATACGAATTACCTGGAAAAACTAGGCTCTCAAAAACAAAAAACAAGAGTGGTTATTCTGTTGATTGAAGAGAGAATTATTCAAAAATTGACATCAGCTTTACAATATTGCGATGAGGTTAGAGCAAAGATTAATGATCATAGAAGCAAACGCAAGGAATATGTAAAATACATTAAAGAAAACGAAAAGAAAGGTCCTTTCAACAATAAATTATTTGGCCAAATTAATGAAGATGTGATAGCTAGTGGTCTTGATTTCAAAAAGTCAAAAAAATATGAGGTTTCTGACAAGGCTCAGTCCTATATTTACACAGAAAATATGGTAAAGGATGAGCTTCCTCAAATAATTCTTCTTTTGGATGAGTTAGTAAAAAGTTGCTATTTGTCTTTCATGAAGATTTTTGCTGATGAATGGTTGAAAGCTGTGCTTATGGATAATAGGAAAATAGATCAAAAGAAGCTTTATCCAGACAGAGCTATTATCGATGCATACAATATGACAGTAAAATCTACAAAAGAAGCACTTTTAAGAGCCTTGACCAACAAAGAAGATGTGTTGAGTCGTTTTAATAATTCCAAAACCTTTTTTCAGTGTTCCCCAACAAGAAACAACACATTTAAGTTCCTTTATGGTGTCTGAAATTAATTTCAAACAATTTACTACCTTATAGATTTCTATTCTCATTTTGTATTTTTTGTTACTATTTATATAACCCTTAAATTCTCTATATATTTCATTAACTGCCAAAGACCTCACAACCTTTCATAAACAATAAACCACATCTAAATCACGTCTCTTGAATCATACTTCTTGACGTTAAGTATTTGTGAAAAAAACAAACCTAAAAAAAATAGAAAGTAATAAACCACTAAAAAAATGTAGTAAGAAACTAAATCAAAAAATAAAAAACAAACAAACTAACAAATTAGAATATTAAACACAAAATAAAACAAAAAAAACTAAAATAATTAATCAACCAAAGTGTTATTGTAATTGAATTTATTTGAACTTCATAAAACCACTTGAGAAGCACTGGTAGGAATTAACATGGTTGGACATTCATCATTTAGTCCCTCAAAAAATGTAGAAGGTTTTGTCATTGAGAAATCTCCAACTGTATCTAAATCATTAGCAATTTTATTTTTCAAGTCGTTAATTTCTTTATTCAACAACAAAAAGCTTTCGGATTCCCAATATAATGAAGCATCTTGCTTGTTTAGCGTGGGGAGGTAGCCCAAGCTCATTGTTGTTTGATCTGAATGAATGTTATCAAAATTAAAATAATTGTTTGCCAAATACCCAGAAAGATAATTGGTATCTAAACTGTTTTCCAAGTTTATCGGGCTATCAGTGTTAATGTTTAAATTTTCAAGATCGGCATTGTTAAAATTTCTTAGATCATTGAAAGTATTTAAACTTTCAATATCAATTGGATATAAAGTTTTAGAAATAGTAGGATCTGTTGGAGTCGAAATTAGATTATGGTCATTAATTAGAAACTCAAAGTTATTGATGTTAGATGGATATTTATCCTTGAAATAAAAATTAGAAGATAAATTAGAAGATAAATCAGCTGAAAAATTCTTACTGTTGATTTGACTATTCTGAATCATGGAATTAAGAGGGCTAGTTTGATTAAGATGACTGAACTGATTGAGAGAATTCATTGTACCTATTTGATTCATGGAATTTATCGAACCAATTGGAGTCATGGAAGTAATTGAATTCATTGTATTAATTGAGTCCATTGGGTTGTATAGACTAAAATTATTTAGAGAGGCAAGTGAATTTATTTGGCCATCAGTATTCAATTGGCTGCTGGGGGCTGCTTGATTTAAGGAATTTATAGAATTAAGAGAGTTAAAGGAATTGATTGCATTCAATGAACTCAATGGATTTAATGTGCTTAGCGGATTCAAAGAGTTTAATGAATTTAAAGTATTGAATGAATTCAATGTATTGATTGAATTTATAGAATTGAATGGACTTAGAGAATTTAATGAACTTAGAGAATTTATTGTATTGATTGTGTTAAATTGGTTAGAGACTGGAACTGACTCAATCTGTTTTTGAACATTAATTTCATATAAATTTTCATCCAATTTTTGATGAAAATCGAGAAAATTTTCATCATAATCACAATTAAAATTACTAAATGATAAATTTGAAAAAAAAGCAATATCTTTGTCGTTTGCAGACATAACGGGATATTGCGTCATTGATAAACCCAAGTTATCCTTATAATCATTGTTAATTTCAATTTTTTTTTTTTTTTTATTTGCATTTTGTTTTTTGGACACTTTAGAATCGGAAGTGATTGGTTTAGCCTTTTTCTTTCCACTTTCTTTTTTTTTGTTTTTCTTAGTCTTTTTTAAAGTTTTCTTGCGTTTGGTAGATTTAAGTTGAGAAGATATTGGAGATATTTGGTTTGCTGATGATTTATCTTCCGTAACAGATATATCCGGTTGAGATCCCAAGACTAAGCATTCAGCATTTTCATTTATAATTGTTACACTGGTTGGCGATAGTGTTATTGGTTTTTTAACTTTTTTGCTAGGAGGCTGTTTAGTTAATTTATTGATTGATTGATAATTTGAGGGAGATCTACCTCTGATTATCAATGGAGGAGTTTCAGTAAATGCAATTACATGTTCCTGATTATCATTTTTTGTATAAGCGACTAATTGAACAAATAGTTTGAAATGTCTATTGCTTGATGCAGGCTTTCTGTAATTAATTGACGAAGCAAATTGAATTCTTTCGTAACGAGCAACTTTAGAAATTTTATCTTTTGGATAATTTGATAAACAGGTTGAAGACTTATTCAAATCTTCTTTTGAAAAATAGTCATTTCTATTGAAATAAAAAATTTTATCCAGTTTAGCGATTTTATCGCCATTTCTAACATTTGCAGCTTCTTTGATGACAGTGTGATTGGGCAAATCTCCAGGAACCGATGGATAAACTGGAGGAGCAAATTGAGGGCCCCTGTCCCTTTTCGCAGTATGTTGTACCAAATTAATATATGTATCATCTTCTGAACATTTTGAAATTAATTTCAAAGCAAAATAATTAACTTGATGTAAACTATTATTTAGATAAATTGAAAAGTTTCCACTTAAAAAATCAATAAAATCCTGATTTTCAAACTTGAAAGTTGTAACTAAAGTAAAATAATTTCTTTTATAGCCTATCCATTCTTCACCAATTTTTTCAAAACCTCTATCGATTCTTGCAAATATAACTGGATTTAATACAGTACCATTTGATGCAATAACTTGGTGATTAATCCATGTTTTAGTAAATTGTGGACCAACTTTAAATTGCAAACTAGAACGAGGAGCTAACTTTTGTTTTTGTTTTTTAGATTTGTCAAGTTTGTTATTTAAAGATTTACTAGAAAGACCTGAAAGACCTGAAAGACCTGAAAGACTTGCAAAACCGGAAATTCCAGGAATACCAGATAAACCAGAAAAGTTAGAAATACTTGCAAGGCCCGCAATGCTTAAAGGATGAGGGTTTTTAAATATATTATTAACTTTTGATTTTTCGTCAGGTAAGTGATCTTTTTTATTGATTTCATAAACTCTTTCATTATTATTATTATTATTATTATTATTATTATTATTATTATTATTATTATTATTATTATTATTATTATTATTATCATTACCATTATCATTAATGTTTTTATTGATAGTATTATCATTGTTGACACAAATGCTCCTATTAATATCATTATTACCATCAATATCTTTATTACTTTTTGTCTTATTGTTTTCAGTAATAACATTACTAGAATCATTGAAATTATCATTAGTAACTTTATTTCTATTGATGTTATCATTATTATTATCAATATTTTTGACAGTAACTTTATCAACCTCAGAGACATTAATTTCAGATATGTTACCAAGACTATTGATTTCGGTAATATTTTGGGTTTGATCGATTAATGTATTGGTTCTGTAATTATCATTGTTTTGAAGCTCTGGGCTATCATTATCAAGCATGATACCTTGTATTTGAAAATCTAAGCTAACGTTTGGATTTGAGTTTGAATCTAAAACATTTGAATTATTTGAATCATAATTCAAATGATCATCTGAATTAATGATTTGAAGATTATTTTGTGAATTTGTATCAAAATAGTCAAGAATTTTAGGATTAGAATTGTCATTAAAATTGGTATCTAAAAGCTGAGCACTATTTTGGTTTTGATTTTTTTCGATATTTTGTTGATTATCAATGAAATTCTTATTATTTTCAATAATAATATTTTTATCATTATAATTATAATTTTCATTATTGGTATTATTATCCGATTTTACCGCTGACATGATTATGTTAATTGAGTTTTAGATATTACCATAAATAAAAATAATAAAACAAATTCATAAAGAATTAAATATTAAAACCGCCAAAAATAAATAAAAAATAAAAACCCTTGACCTTCAATCAAACTAAAGGAAACAGTTAATAGCCATTATGATAGCATAGGGATATTATTGAAAAAAAATTTAATTGTCATGGTTCAATTAAAAATAAAATGATTATAAAATACCTTATTTTTATATTGTTATCGAATTATTTTTTGTGTCTTTTTTTATCCCTTTGATTTGTTTTTGTTTTTGTTTTAACTTGTAGTGAATTTCGAACGAAATTGAACAAAATAGTAAGAATAAACAATAATTTTGAGTGTTATCCACTTAATCCAGAACTAATCAATTCAGATCAAATCAAATATAATTGAATAAAATAAATTTAGCCCAGTTAAGAATAAATTCAATAAACTTATTATAAGCGCTTTTTCAATTGAGAAACAAATTAGGAAAATGATAGAATCCTCCCCCCAAAAAAATAAAGATGAAAAGATTATAATTGATTTATCAACAGTAAATCAGTGAATTTCGGATACACAGGTAGCAGACAATATTTTTAATTGAATTGAATTGAACTGATTAAATTGAACTAAATGAATATACTGTTATCTTTTGACCAAGGCAGACAATAATTACTGTTCAAATGGAACTAAACAAAAATAAGAATGTTGATAGTAATGTTGGAGGTCAAATATATCTGAAGCAGAGCTAAAGCATTGAAGATGGAGAGCTGGAAAAGCCATCAGAAAGCAGAGAACGCTGAAGCAGCCACAAAAACAACAGGCAGCAGAAAAACCATCCCACATCTTCTTCAGCTGGCCCTGAGGCATCTTTTGTTCTGTTTGTTGCTTCCAGGACACTGCTGAGAAGAGCTTTGCAAAACAACCCACCAGTGCGGTTCATGCATAAAAATGCTATTTCATGTTATCACAAGCACTCTTCAATGCATGTTGTTCTATGTGTGTATATGCAGATAATGCATTGAATCCTTGGTCGTGGGTACGTATTTTTATTTTTTTTTTTCATCAGTTTTAAAATTTTTTTTATTTCAGTCTTTCAACTGTGATCCATCGTTATACTTGCTTTAAAATCGATATATTAATCATAGTCACAAATGGGTAAAAAAGCAATTGACTCGCGTATTCCAACGTTGATTAGAAATGGAGTTCAAGAGAAGAAGAGAAGTTTTTTCATCATTGTTGGTGATAAATCCCGAAACCAGTTGCCCAATTTGCATTATCTAATGATGAGCGCAGATTTGAAAATGAATAAATCTGTTTTATGGGCCTATAAGAAAAAACTATTAGGTTTCACATCGCACCGAAAGAAAAGAGAAGCAAAGATTAAAAAGGAAATCAAAAGAGGTATTAGAGAGGCTAATAACCAAGATCCATTCGAAGCCTTTATTTCAAATCAACACATTAGATATGTTTATTACAAAGAAACGGATAAAATTTTGGGTAATACCTATGGAATGTGTATTTTACAGGATTTTGAAGCGTTGACCCCAAATTTATTGGCAAGAACTGTTGAGACTGTTGAAGGTGGTGGTTTAGTGATTATTTTACTAAAATCGTTAACCTCTTTGAAGCAATTATATACAATGACAATGGACGTTCACTCTCGTTATCGAACCGAAGCACACAATGATGTTGTTGCGAGATTCAATGAAAGATTTATTTTATCTTTAGGTTCTTGTGATTCTTGTTTAGTTCTCGATGATCAATTGAATGTTTTACCAATATCCGGAGGTAAAACCGTCAAGCCTTTACCACCAAAGGACGAGGAACAATTAACTGAAAGAGAATTAGAATTACAAGATTTGAAAAAGAGTCTTCAAGATATTCAACCGGCCAGTTCATTAATAAATTTAACTAAAACTGTTAACCAAGCTCAAGCTGTTTTAACTTTTATTGATGCGATATCTGAGAAATCTTTAAAGAGCACAGTTGCATTGACCGCTGGTAGAGGTCGAGGTAAATCTGCTGCTTTGGGTATTGCAATAGCTGGAGCTATATCTCATGGGTATTCAAACATTTTTGTTACATCGCCATCTCCCGAAAATTTGAAAACGTTATTTGAATTTGTATTTAAAGGTTTTGATGCATTGGGATTCACAGAACATTTGGATTATGATATAATTCAATCGATTAATCCTTCATTTAACAAAGCAATTGTCAGGGTTGATATCAAAAGGGAACATCGTCAAACTATTCAATATATTTCGCCAACCGATTCTCATGTTTTAGGACAGGCAGAGTTGGTGATTATTGATGAAGCTGCAGCGATTCCATTACCATTGGTTAAAAACTTATTAGGCCCATATTTAATATTCATGTCATCAACAATTAATGGATATGAGGGCACAGGGAGATCATTATCATTGAAATTAATTGAGCAACTACGAAATCAATCGAATAATTTGAATTTACCAAAGGAAACAGCATTAATAACAAGGGACAAGAAAAACTCGAATTTACTGAACAGTGGCGAGATGGTTAATAATTATAATGGCAGAAAATTAAAAGAAATTGTGTTGGATGAGCCAATTAGATATGCAATTGGAGATCCAGTTGAGAAATGGTTGAATAAGTTGCTATGTCTTGATGCCACATTGAGTAAAAACTCGAAATTTTCAACCAAGGGATGTCCACATCCATCAGAATGTCAGTTGTATTATATAAACCGGGATACGTTATTTTCATATCACCCAGTGTCTGAAGCATTTTTACAAAAAATGATGGGGTTATATGTTGCCAGTCATTATAAGAATTCGCCAAATGATTTACAGTTGATGAGTGATGCGCCAGCACATCAGTTATTTGTATTGTTACCACCAATTAATGAAAATGACAATAGGATTCCGGATCCATTGTGTGTTGTTCAGATTGCATTAGAGGGAGAGATTTCAAAGGAAAGCGTCCGAAATAGTTTAAATAGAGGGCAAAGAGCTGGGGGAGATTTAATTCCATGGTTAGTTTCGCAGCAGTTTCAAGATGAAGAGTTTGCTAGTTTGTCAGGAGCGCGAGTTGTTCGAATTGCTACGAATCCAGATTACATGGGGATGGGATATGGTAGTAAGACATTGGAGTTGTTGAAGGATTATTATGAAGGTAAATTTACCGATTTGTCGGAGAGTTCTAGGAGAAGGTCTGGGAAGGGCAGGTATAGTATTAATCGAGTTAATGATGAGGATATCAGTAATAAATTGACGTTGCAAACGGAGGAGATAAAGTTGAGAGATGCAAATAAGTTGCCACCATTGTTGTTGAAATTGAACGAATACGAGCCATATTATTTGGATTATTTGGGAGTGTCATTTGGATTAACCAAGAGCCTACACAAGTTTTGGAAAAAGTCAGGGTATTCGCCAGTGTATTTAAGACAAACAGCAAATGAGTTGACAGGGGAACATACGTGTGTTATGGTGAATGTTTTAGAGAATCGGGAGAAGAAATGGTTAAAGTTGTTTTGTGAAGATTTCCACAAAAGGTTTTTAACGTTATTGTCGTTCAATTTTCGAAAGTTCAGTGCTATTCAGTCATTGAATATCATTGAGAGCTGTGAAGTTGAAAGCGGTGATGAAAAAGAAAAGGAAAAGGAAAGGAGGGGAATTGTGTTTGATAAAGGAGAAATGGATAGGTATTTCAGTCAATTTGATTTGAAGAGATTAGAGTCGTATTCGAATAATTTGATTGATTATCATGTTATATTGGATATGATACCTGAGATTAGCAGGTTGTATTTCAACAAGGTGATTGATGAAGAGGTCAAGTTGTCTAGTGTTCAAAGTGCTATATTGTTGTCAATAGGGTTACAAAATAAAGAGATTGGGGAGATATCAAAAGAATTAGGAATTGAGAATAATCAGGGATTGGCGATATTTTCAAAGATTATTCGAAAGGTTTCTGTATATTTTCGAGAAGTTTTAAAGAAATCAATTGAGGTTGAGCTACCTAAATTTGAAGAAGAGAAAAAAGAGGAGAGGTATATCAAAGAAATGGACGGAATTGAAGAAGGAGAAGAAGGAGAAGAAGAGGAGGATAAGGTTGAAAAATTGAAGAGAATAGGAAAAGAAATTGAAGATGATTTGGAAGAAGAAGGAAATGAGGTTATAAAAGAGATGAGAGAGAGAGAAAGGGAGTTGATAAATTCATTAGAGTTGAACAAGTATGAGATAAATGAGGATATTGAGTTGGATGAGAAGAAGGCTAAAAAGGCGATTAGTCAAGATGGAAGTGGAATAGTTTCAGCAAAAAATACGAATGTTAAACGAAAGAAAGAAAATGCAGATGAAATATATGAGCAGGAAATGAAAGTGAATAATAGGAAGATGAAAAAAAGCCGAAAAAACAAAAAAAAATAAAATAAGAGATGAAAAAAGTTAGTTAGTATAAATAAACAAATAAGTGAATAAGCGAATAAGCGAATAAACAAATAAACAAAGAGCGAGCCTAAAGGGGAGTGTGTGGCGCAGCAATGTACTAAATGGGATGTGTGTGGATAAAAAGAAGACGGGAGTGTGGCAGCCAATGAAATAGACGGAAAAGAAGGCGTGATGAGAGAAAGTAGAGCAGTTGAAAGAGGAAGAGAAGAGGAAGAGAAGAGGAAGAGAAAATTGAGAATCAAAGTATAAATAAATCAGAGAACGAATTGAAGAAAAGTAAACAGAACCGAGATGAGTTCGATAAGATTTGTTGGAAAAGTAAGGTGATTGTTTATAGAAAATGTTAATGTTAATTTTAATTTTCTAATTTTATATGGATGAATATTAACATGGGAATATAGAGATTGATTCCAATTGGAATTGGGAGTTTATTGAGTTATTCAGTTGTTAGTAATAACAAGAGAGGGATAGTTTATTGCGATAGCAAACGAGAGTTTTACAAAGATGATGAAGATATTAAGAGGAACATCAATTTTAAAGATATTAACAAAAGTGGGATAAAATATGGAAACCGCAAAGAGGAAAGTAAGGAGGTGGATGAAAACAGTAAGATAATTGATGGAATGAGCATTCGAAGCTATCAAATACTTGAAAAGATATCGTTGAGCAGCAGAAAATATTTGATCAATTTTTTTGATTATTACTATGCAGAATATTTGACAGGCAAATCGTCGATGAAGAACGAGATCAAGAATTTACAAGAAGGAATCAAGGGTATTGTTGTTGAGCCAGTGTTGCCCAACTTTATCTATATATTAACTGGAGCATTGGGTGGATCGATAGCTGTCAACCGAAGAAGCTTGCCCATTCGATTTTTGACGCCATTTTTTGTTGGATTGGTGTTGTTCAAGAAGATGATGCCGGAGAGTTTTGAGAACAGTTCGAGATTTGTGATTGGTTTGGAGAAGAAATACCAACCCGAAGTGTACGAGAAACGGGAAGAGATTATCCAGAAGATTGGAGAGGAAAAGCGAGAAGCTGAAAGATACATTGAAAATAAAAATGTGGAATTGCAAAGGGAAATCCACAAAGCTCGAAAATACATCAGCGATGTATTTGATTTTTAGACACAGGAAATATATCTTTTGAGATTCGTGATCCTTGAAGATAGCGAGATAAAGTATCTTTGAATCAAGGATCCTGCTTACTCACTGCTATGACTAAAAGCAAATAAGATTCGAAAGCTAAGATTCGATAACTAGGACTCAATAACTAAGATTCCAACACAGTTGCCCAAACTAGTCACATCGGCCGGTGAGTCAGAAGTGACGCAAACAGGCCGATCGCGTGGTGTGGCCGGTTGCGGCGTTCCGGAGAGGATAGACCCGCATACGTGGCTCCCAACAGCACATGTGTGCTCACGCAACCGCAGCAGTGCGCATGCCCAGCGCAGTTATGCGCGTTGTTCAGCCTGTTTTTGCGCGGAATGCTCTAGTGTCTTCTGCGGGGGCCGGGGTCACGCGCGCGGAGTCGCGTGTGTGCGGCGAACAGGCTGCAGTCTGGCGAGCGGTGCGCTGCAACGTGAGACACACAGCCCAGCGGTGTGCGAACAGAGGACGAACAGGGAGCAAACAGGGAGCGAGCCCAGACGAACCGCAGGCATCCGCAGACGAACCGGACGGGTGCGCTGGTCGTTTATTCCAGACCGTTGCTTTTTTATTTATAAACAGCGTTTTCTCCTGTTGCAACTCCCACAGAAATTCCCTTCGCACTATTTCACAGACTCCCTAAACACTGATAGTAAAGTCCTCCAAGCACAAAGATTCAAGATATAATACTAAAGAAAAGAGATTAAGATATAGACACCAGATTCAAAGACCCACTCAGGACACTGTAGACCTCAAGATCCTTCGATACATCCTCCTCTTCCTGCTTCTTGTCAAGTTGTTTCTTCACCTCCATACGCTTCTCCCTCGTCAAAGTTTTCTGTTTACCTTTTCAAATAACATTACAACTCAATAAATTCTTCACCACTGATCCAGATTTTTTTGTAATCTTCCTTTATAATCTCCTTCAATCTTGAAGTTTTTTGCTTTACTTTGTTTTGTTTTGTTTTGTTTTGTTTAGTTTTATTGTCTCACTGTCTTACTCTTTAAGAAAAAGTTATAGAAGTATTTTCTTCTTGCTCTAGCGGTTTTTAGCACTTACTTTTATTCCTTTTTTTTATTAGATTCATTCAGATTCTTTAAAAAAAAAATTTATCTTTAAATCTTTTTACTCTCTCAAACACACAAAAAAAATAAAATCGTTTGAAAAAATTACAAAAGATTTTTCTAACTCAATCTTCATCAAATACAACTGTTCAACAAGTAATTTATTTGGGCTATATAACTCTCGCCTATTCTACTTAAATTCCTTTTGTTAATATTTCAATTTTCAAATTATAAAATTATAAAATTACAAAATTACAAAATTACAAAATACAAATTACAGATTACAAATTACACTAACCACTTGACTTTTATCCCAAAATGAAAAACTACTCTAACCTTTCGTCTCTCTCTCACTCTTCGAGTTCGAAATCAATCTCAGACTCTTCGAACTCTTCAAACTCTTCAACCTTCTCTGCTCAACCTTCCAACCGTTATCAATTTAAGAAAAACCGTCACTCCTACAATTCCTCAAACTCTTCAATCTCAGATATTAATCACTCTCAATCTTACTTCAATTCTTCCAACAAGTTCTCTTCTAATGTTGATTTTAGCCCTAATTCTAATTCTAATTCAACTTCAACCCTCACTTCCACTTCCACTTCCACTTCCACTTCTAATTCTAATTCTAATTCTAATTCTAATTCTAATGCAAATGCAAATGCAAATCGTTCCTCCATTTCTCGCTCCCAATCTTCAAACTCGATTAATATTAACGAATACAAATCTTACGATAACAACACCGCTCTTTTAAACAACCGCTACAGAAAAATCAGAAACATCCAAAATGGCTCCTATGGTATTGTCACCCAAGCCTACGATATCAACCTAAAGAAAAACGTCGCCATCAAAGCCATGAAAAGATCCATCAAAAACGTTGGTCCTGTTGCCAGACATGAAATCAAAATCCTATCAAAACTAGGCAACCACCCCAACATTTGCCAACTCATTGACAACTTCCAAACAAAAAACTACATTTACATTGTCTTGGAATACTGTGCCAATGGCGACCTCTTCGACTACCTCAACGATAACTCTTCCCCATCCAACAACCACTCCTCCTTGCTAAAACCCTACGAAAACTCTTATGTTTTCAACAACTTTGCCAAACAACTAGGCGACGCAATCCTATACTCCCACTCAAAGGGCATCTACCACAGAGATATCAAACCTGAAAACGTCCTCATAACTGCTGATGGCCACGTCAAACTCACTGACTGGGGCTTGGCCACTTCCGCCAGATACTGCTACGATGGCATGATTGGCACTGAGAAATACATGGCTCCCGAAACCTTCTTCCAAAATGATCCCAACGAAAACCACTCCAAATACACAAAACCTGCCTCTTCCTCCTATCACAACAGGAAGCTACATGGTATCACAAACTACAAGTTAAAACTACACTCCTACGACGCTGTTTACGCTGACTACTGGTCCTTTGGTATCACCCTTTTGTACACCCTCTTTGGTACTTGTCCTTTTGTGATGGCTGATGAAAAAAATGACTCCTACTTTAAAAACTTTGTCAAAAACTCATACTCCATTTTCGATATCTATCCAGACTTATCCTCAAAGGGTTTTGAGGCAATTGTCAAGCCCTTACTCTCCAAATTCCCCAAATCCAGAAGCATCAACACTGCAATTGACCGTTTGGAACAGTACTATTCCTATGGTTTCACTATTCAAGAAGAACTAATGTTGCAACAACAACAACAACAACAACAACAACAAAATAACCACGTCAACGATGACGATGACGAATTCAACTTTGTCGATGACATTAATCACTCCGACTTGTATTTTGATGATGAAAACAACGAAAATTTTGACTATTCAACCATCTCAAAACCACTTCAATTAACCTACCTCGACGACAACTACTACAATGATCCTTATTACAAAACCTCCTTGAATAATTCCATCCCTCAATTGATCGATTCAGAAACATCCTCTACAGGCTCAATCGATAACAAATCCTCAATCAAAGTTAATAATAATAATACCGCAAAAAACCTTAACATTGATATCAATCCTTCAAACCCATCTTCTACTCACAACCAAGCTACAAACAACATCGTTGCAAGCCCATCCTTTTATTCTGGTGTTTCTTGGAATGATTTCGATGAAATTGACGATGATGAGTTTTTTAATAGTTTTGTTCAAGAAAGCAGTCTATTAAAAAAACCTTTAACTCCATTGACAAACTCAAATTTAAGTAAATTGTTATCCAATTCTGCTTCAATTTCTTCTCCAGCTTCTAATCTAACTATCAAAAATGAAAATTCAAATTCAAATTACGGATTTTCTTATAATAATTATAAAAATACTGATGATTTCAAATGGTGTTAAACTAATATTCTTTATTTAATAATGTTATATTATTATATCTCTTTAAATGTTTTTATTTTTCTTTTATCTATTGTTGATTTTGAACAATTTTTTTTCTTTCTTTTTTTTTCTTTTTCCCTTTTTTTTTTCTCTTTTTTTTTTGGTTTTTATTTTCTTTCACTTTCATTATTTTTGTCAACAAAAAATTAAAAAATTCTAAAAAAAATTAAAACTTTTTTTCACATCTCTCCCCCAAATTTCTTTCTCAAAATTTTTTTTGTCAAGAATTTTTTTCAAACTACTATCAATATTTTTATCATTCACTTTTTATCCCTCATTCTACATTTTTATCAACTGTTTTATCTACTCCATTAACTGTTTAGTTTGTTTTGTTAAAATTAATTCAATCAAAAAAAAGATTTTAACTATTTTAGTCAAAGAAATATATTTATAAGGTAATCAAGGTCATGGTTGTTCTATTTATTATAAATTAGTCATTTTTTAAATTTCAACAAAATGTTTTTATCCAAAAGAATTTTTTTAAAGTTGTTTTTCCTTTCACTGTTTATATTTTTTTTAATAACTTTATCAATACTTTTTTTGTTTCATTTTTTTATTTTTTTATTTTTTTATTTTTTTTTATTTATTTTTTTTTTTTTTACATTCATATTTTATATTTTATCATTTATTTTTGTTTTCTAATCTTGAATTATACTTTTTGAATTCAAAATTCAAAAACATCAGCTCTATGATCCCTGGTGGTTCAAAATCCTTTTATCTTCTTTTGATTCTTATAAATATTTGAAGTTAAGCTGGCTTAATTTTGGTTTTTCTTTAAAAATTTATTTTAGCGATAATTTTTAAAGAAAATGAAAGATTAAAGATTATAATGGCTTTTTTTTTTACAATATTGGTTTTTTTTTTGAAGAAGCTTTTTTTAAAAGATTTTTTTTTCCTTTTTCTTAATTTTCTTAATTTTTAATATTAATATTAATTTTAATATATAGTTTTCTGCATTTATTTTTATTATTTTTTAAATCTTATATGTCAATGGATAAGAAAGAAGAAATTGATATAAACTGTCATAAATACATTAATATTAAAAATTGAAAGATTAAAAGATTGAAAAAGAGAAATATAAAAAGTGGATTATATTATTTAAAATTATTCAATAAGTTAGAAAAGTCTTCGTAGTAATTTTTAGTTAATATTTATTAATTTATTAGTTTTTTTATTAGTCTATTAGTATTTTTTACTAGTTTTTTTACTAGTTTTTTCACTAGTTTTTTATTAATTTTTATTGCAATTATTGATCTTGATTATTATAATTAGATGTCATGAAATATTATGAAATGTTATGAAATATTATGAATTAGCGGCAGTCGATAGGATCAGAAAGTAGATTACAACGAGAAAAAGCCTGAAAAGCCTGAAAAAACCTGAAAAAGCAGACTATTGTTCACAATCAGAAACAATCAATCACAATTGTTTATTCTCCCAGTAATTAAAAGCGCAGCAATAGAGTTCGTGACCAATAAAGATGAATCATAAGTTGATAATAATAAACATCATTTATGGTGGATTTGAACAAGACTAAGCTGGGCAGTTGAAACAGCCCAACAATCGCACAATCTGATCAACAAACAGTGATTGCAGCAAGATTAGGTTTGAGACTGGAGCAAGAGTTGTTTTGGTAACAAAATAAGCAAGCGAGAAGAGCCAAAAAGCAGATATAAGGAGAACAGATGAAGACTCGCTGGAGAAGTTGGGCAGATAAGGTTACGAGAAGAAGGTTAAGTAAGTTTTAGCAGTTTACTGAGAAAGCAAGATATTGCGAAAAGATCTAGCTCTGGCTGCAAATTAGGTTAAGGGATGGAATCAGTAGCAAACAGTTAGCGAACTGATGAAGAGAGAGGCAAGTGCTGTGGAAACACCATGATGTTGAGTCAAGGCATGGACTGATCTGCTCTTGAAATGACAGTTCGATGTGATTTGACAATTGGAGTAGCAGCAAAAGAAAGGTGAAAACTGTTGATTTTAGAGACAGTTGATAAATAAACACTGGCGCCAGAGCTGGGCGTCTGATTGGCCCACTCCTCCAGAGGGATTAGAGAGTCAAATGAGATAGCTACTGGACTATTCGGCTATTGTGCTAGGGGATAGGAAAATGGATAAGACAGAATGGATAAGAGATGGATAAGCAATGGGCTATCCTAATGTTTCCTACAAGAATACAAGGAGAGACTCAAATGGCTCTGATGTGATCAGTCGAAGTTACATGAGAAACATATAATAGAATACCAGAACTGGATGGAACAGAATAGAATGAGACAGAACTGCGCTGGATAGACTGTTGATGATTGTATGTTATTAATTTGCATATTTGGGAAAACTTAACCAAGTTATACAATTATATACAATTGCAGACACTGGGAAACACAAAACACAAACAAAAAAAGAAATTATCGCTCAAAAGATACTGAAATTAAAAAACTAAATCATCTAAAATTAAATAACCTAAAAAATACTAAAAAAAATACTTAAAAAAGGGATAACAAAAATATGAGAAGTAACGCAGCACTGAAATGATAATTTATTGAGTAAATTGCAATTCCTTTTTATGTCTAATTGATTGTTTCATACTGTTCATTTCAGCTTGACTGGCATTGAAGTTTATTGTGTGTTGATTGAAAGGATTCTCTGGAGACTTTTGGAACTCTTTATATATCAATTCCTTCACTTGAACCAATCTTAAGCCAGGCTTTTCGCTTTTTATTTCGGGCAATCTTCTGGCCTCGTAGGCATTATAGGCAGCTTTGAATCTTCTTTCAGGGTGTCTGTCTATATCCTTGTTAGAAACACCGGAATCTTTCTCTAGCAAATCCAACGCATCGAGGGCAGAGGATAAGCCTGAAGCATTATAAGTATCAACGTCATTACCCTTCAAGAAAGCATCCAAGCTGGCATTTTTCTTAACAGCCATTTTAACAGCACCACCTTTACGCCTGCCTTTAGATTGAGGCAAAGAGGCCTCTTCCTCTTTTAAAAGTCTTTCTCTTTCTTGCTTCTTACGCAAGGCTTCTTGCTTCTTTGCCTCCAATTCCTCCTTTTTTTTATTTGCCTTTTTAGCGCCCTTCGACCATTCGGCACTTTCGCTGGCTTCAAGTTTGGACAATTCTTCTTGCACTTTTTTGTTTAATTGCTCTTGTTTCCTGGCATTGCCTGCAATTTTCTTGGGATTTTCTCCCTTTCTGAGTGTTTTACCCATCATGCAAAGGTTGTTGAGATGTGATTAATATATCGTCTTCAAGACTGCTTAGAAATATATTGAAGAAGTTCAACAAGTTGGATCAGTTGAAAGCAAAAAAACTAATTAAAAAGAGACCCAAATGAACAGCTCTGTTTACACTACCTGATTGTCTATTTCAGACCCTATTTATATTGTCCAGGCTTCTGATTTGCTTTACTTCCTTTAACTGAGGAGCTCTTTCTTCTGTTTTTCTGTGCTGATTTCGAATCCGACCCAAAATCCATTACAAATCCGACTCGAAATCCATTACAAATCCGCGCCGGCTCACCTAATCCACACACAATTCCGCTTCAACTCCGTGCAAGCCGGATTCACAACAAGAAGTTCAAGCCTTGAAAGCACGTGCATATAAGCCGTATCAACTGCTCCGGCCAGTTCCGACGAGTTCCGGTAATGCTTCTGCTGCTTTTACTGCTTTTACTGCTTTTGCTACTTCAAATGCCATGTATTTAAATGCTATGTACTAATTTCTATATACAGCTTACTTCCTGTTCAAGCAGAGGCAAAGTTCCCAAGCTCGCTATCTACATCCACAAAATCAGACTTGTCTATCATTTCCACTTTATCTACAGTGTGCACCAAGACCTTGTTGTTATTGAGATTCAATTCAAAGATAAAGACTCCACTGATGATTTTGTTCTCGGTTTCATTTTTTGTACCATTACTATTCCCAGAATGATGAGTCTCGTTCAGCTTGTCACTCTCGCTGTTTTCCTTGCTCTCTCTATGCATCATTTTATGAGCTAGGTTGGATTTGTCGATGCTCCTCAAAAGGCTTTTTTGTAAATACTTCTTCAACAGCACAATCAAACTGGAATTCTTTTTGAACAATTTATCTATCAATAGATTTAGATCCATTTTCTCCTTTCCCCCATTTTTCTCGTCTTTATCCCGAGCTTCTTCTCCATTGTACTTTAAATGCTCGCAATTATCGCTGCAAGTTCTCCATTTAATAATGATCTTGCTTGTCCATGGAAACAACCCATAAACTCTTATCCCATTCTCAATTGGATTCACATTAATATTATTAAACATCAAATCTTCTTCGTTATCGTATTTATTATCAACAAAATTGCTCTCGATGATTTTGATACTGCTAATGTGTAATTTGACTTTTCTGTTATTCAACACAAAATTTTTAACGATCAAATTTATGGTTTTGCACGTAGTCAAATATGATAAATGCCCTGGTAGTATAGGCAAATTCGGATAGCTTATAGGCAATATTCTCAATATAATATTTTTCGATAATAGTTTGGAATCAATTGCTTCATTTAGTATATTTGGTACCATTTCTTCAAGCTTTTCTACCATCTCTCCTAAATTTGCCAACTTTTCTTGTTTTTTCAAATTAGGTTTATCCCTTTTATCACCATTATCATTACCATTATTATGTTTATTATTAACATCGCTGTTCTTCATCAAATTCTCCTTAAAGTTCACTTTGGTGATATTATCATACTTCAAATTCTTCGGAATAGACATCAAATAAAAGTTCAAATTGGAATTAGGATACCCAAACTCGTTATCATTGACTAATGAATAGTATGAGCTGTTGATTATCGATATCTTTCTTCCACTATTGCCACCATTATACTCGTTGCTATTCTTGAAATTACTGTTGGAGAATAGTCTTGTTATACTTCGATTGCACCTATTCCCCAATCCTATTTGCTCTGCTTGCTTGGAATATCTCACAATCTGTCTCATTTCTCATTATATTGTGTTGATCAACTGTCTTACTCAAATAGTCTGCCCAACTATGTCTTCTGGTTGTCTTTCGTATCTCTCTAAATCTTCTAAACCCTCTAAATCCCTATCGGTTTATCAATTTGATCTTCAAGCACACTTGCTCAAGTGCCTGGAGATGGACTTTGATTCCATCCGCTGCGATTTCCTCCTCTGTCCTCTGTCCTTGGTGCTTTAAACTTTCAACTATAATTCGACTTTTGTTTTGATCTCGTTTTGATCTCGTTTTGATCTCGCTTTGATCTTGCTGCTGTTGCAACTGATATCTCAGCATATATGCTATATGCTACGTAAATTATACAAAACTGTGCCCAAAACTGGTTTTCTTAATTCGACTATCATCAAGATGGCCTTCAGTTCTTCTTTGTCGGTTTTTTCTCTCCCTCATCATCTGCTCCTTCATCTCCTCTTCTTTAGCATGCCCTCTAGAAATCTTTCTTTCCGAGTATGCCTTCTTGAATACTGTTATATTTCTTCTTGAATAATTGTAAATTGATTTCCACATCCCAATCACAACAATAGCAACACTGAAAGGCACTGCAATTTTCCAAAAAAAGCTTGAATTCTGCTGTATTTCTGGAAACACTTCGAAATTCATACCATAATACCCACACCAAAACGATAATGGTGAAAAGATAACTGTCACTATCGTGAGCAATTTCATAGAATCATTCGACTCATATGAAACTGTGTTGAATATCAAATCAATCAAATTCTCGATATTATTTCTCATGATCTTAATATCTTCAGTGATTGACTGAGTGTGATCTGCAATATCGCTTAGATATAACCCACATACTTCTGAAATAAATTTTATTGACATGTTATCCTCATAAAAGCTTTTTGAATTCAAATTTCTCTCATTTAAAGAGTTATTGCTATTACTGTTATTACTGTTATTGTTCTTATTGTAAATACTCGGATATCCACCCAATGTGCTTTTGCTTAAATCTTTTAAAGCATGAACCAATGAGGTTACAGGATTCAACGTGGACACCAATATTGATAACTCACTGATCATCAAGTGCAAATTCTGGGTATGTGAAACATTAGGATTCGACAATATATCAAATTGAAATTCCGAAAATCTTCTTCTATAAGCATTCAAAACAGGATATGTTAAATCAACTACAGCATCGATAATGGCTTCTAGTAATAGTGATCCATCACAGGATTCTCTTAATATAGTGTATTCTGGTATTAACCTTGATAATATTGCATTTTCAATGTCGTTTGATGAATGCTCAAAAAACGATATAACTGTGTTGTCATCTGTTAAAAATAACGAGACTTGCTCATTTCCAACTGCTAAATTTCTATAACTTAATGGTTTTAAGCTATCAATCAACCTTTTTTTATTTCCACTTATTTTATAACCTCCATTAGATCCGATTAAAAAATCATCCAATTTGTTTATATTGCTATGACTTGAAATATTTTCATAAAGGAATTTATAAATAACTCTATCAATATCAACGTTGTCTTTTTTATTCAGTTGATCAATTTCATCGATTTGATCCAATCCATTGTTGTTATAATTATTATCATCCATCGTATTTTTTCTGTGAAATCTAAACAAGGTACTGAAAGGTTTTTTATTAGATTTTGAATTGGAATCAGTATTTGAAGCTGAAATCGAAATGGGGCTGGAACTAGGTTTGTTTATAACAGTTTTAATCAATTTGATCAACGGAAGACAACAGTAAAGATGTGTTTTATATGAATCAACTTTTGCTCTCTGAGGAATATCAATCATATCTTCAAGGGCCAATCGATGCAAACCATAGTAATCAGCTATATGTGATATTGTTTCCCATGATAGCCCTTTAACACTTATCCATCTGACATTTGACCAATTTGGTTGAGTTCCCAATTTTCTGTCTAATTTTCTTATCGACTTTCTAGCTAGTTTATTATAATATTTGCGGTTATGTCTATCTTTGTTGATATCAATTTCAATATCAGTACCTTGATTATTATTAACAGTATTAAAATCATTATCGAGATTATTGGCAATTGAGTAGTGCAGAATTTGCTGAATTAAAAACAGTTTATTCTTTTCACTTTTAATATTCAATTCATCTAAAATTTCAGGTTTAAAAGGGGTATTGATAATTTTCTGATTTTCATCGAGACTTTTAATTGGAGATAAAACATGAATTTTTTCAATTTTATATCTAATTGGAGAATAATCAACTACTGTAACTAATGAACCAACTGAGCTTAAGACAACATCAGTGGTATCAATATCAATACCAGGTTCCCAATCAGCTTTTGCCCTAGCAGCAGTTGAAGAAAAATTTGAATTGGCATATTTTCTGTTTAATTTAATTGTTTCAATTTTTTCTTTTTTATTTGTTTTATTAATTTCAAAATTGGGTGTATTGTTGAAATTGATAGTATTTCTTTTTGACATATAAAACCTTTTCCTTTTATTTCTTCTTTTAGTCAAAGTTCCTTTTCTTAAAAAGTTTAGATTAAGATGAGAACGATGAAAATGATTGTATTCAGCCTCATAATTATTTTCTTTGTTCTTATTTTTTAAAAGGATTAACTCATCTTCTTCAAATTTTGAATTGTCATCATCGTTGAGATCAGGTAAATCATCAATTTCATCTTCTATATCACCATAATCGTCTTCCTCGTCGTCTTCAAAATCCTCAAAATCCTCAAAATCCTCGATAATGCTGCTATTATTCTTTTTGATATTAGACGAATAACCAACACCATCTAACTTAGTAGATTCTAGGTTGTTTGCTGAGGTTGATAAACTTTTGTTTTGATGGTTATAAGTTTCTTTTTCTTTTTCTTTTCCTCCCAGATTACCTATTTGGTTAGCACCATCACCATCAGAGCGAGACTCATTGTGTTTTTTCTTTTTGATTAGGGCGTCATTGATATGAATGATGGGGATCTTCAAGCAGTTTGCAAAAAAGTTTGGTTTTTTAGAAGAAACAGACTCATTGTCGGAATGACTTGAGCTGGAGGAAGAGCTGAGCGATTCGTTGTCAGTGAAGACATAGTTGATATCTTGCTGAGCAGGAGTCAAAGGATAGTTGGGCAAGTTTGGGTCGCCTGAGTCGAAAATATTGCTATTCATTATGGCGGTGTTGATCTTGCTGTTGGTGGTCTTGCTGGTCTTACTGGTCTTGCTGCTTTTGAGGGTGTTTTTGAGAGTGCTTCTGTGGACTCAGGAACGATGGAATTGGGTACTATTCAAACGAGCCCTTTACGACTTGGCACAGCAGGACCCTTTTTTTTTGAGGCTGTTGGCGAACGAGTGCTGTGTTGCACAAATTCCTGGTCTCAAACACGTTCATAGAGAAAGAACGACTTTTCTGCCTATTCGTTGAGCGATACAAAAAGCAAAGCAACTGCTGCATTAAAGCATCCAGTTCCTGTGTGGATTTGATGCTGCTCTAAATACGTCTATTCTACTACAGTGTGTATCTACTCTTGCAACAGCCATAGCAAACATTGTTTTAACCAAGAGTTGTTATTGTGCCAACTATCTCATCGTCGCTCTCTAGGCGGCTTCCCACAAAAGCACAAGAAACACCAGCGACTACACTTAACAAAATCTCCCAAAACTGCCAAAAGATGGACTGTTGAGAAGCCTTTCTGTTGCTGTCTCAGCATGCAAAAACACCTATGAGTCTTTTATCTTAGCGATTATGACTCTAAATATCTGGTGTAAGTTTCCTCCCTCCAAAATCCCTGAAATGGGAGCCAATAAAAGTAATCGATTCTGGAAAATAAGCACCAGTTTCAAATTTTATTTTCGTTGTTCAGAAAAAAATACTGTTGGAATAAAGTTGAATAACGTTGAATATCGCAGATTTTTTTCTGTCCCTTCTTTTCTATCAATATAAATTAGGCTGAGATTGCTCCCAATTTTTGCATTTATTCTTGTTCAATATCTATTACAACAAATATCGTTTGATTTGATTCTGCCTGTTTGTTGAACAAAGAACGTTTTTATTCCAAAATGTTGTCGTCTGAAGCTGCCAACGCCATTACCTATGTCACTTATGCCCTCCTTTTGGTTTCTGGGTTGGGTTTGGGCTATTACTGCCTTGACAACAAGACCTTTTTATCTGATAACAAATCCCAAAAAGGCTTTCCTCTTGCTATGAATTTCGTCGCTTCAGGTATGTATAACGTTCCTTTGTCTGTTCAAATAGGGTCCCATGAAGTATAACATAAACATAACAAATATTGTCAGTAGCTTTCTTCCATAACATCAATTTCAGTACTCGATGTGATAATCACTTTTAAATCCTTTCAAAGCCTCATCCAGTTTTTCATTCTTATTACTTTATTGCCCCATTCTTACTTTTTCCTGTTATATATATGTATAGTATGGTATTTTATTACACAATACCTTTTATTGGTGCAGAAAAGTTGTATTTGAATTATTGATGTTTGGTATTTGTCGTTTGTCGATTGCCGTTACTACTAACTTTACTTTAGGTCGTCTTTTATTATATAGCTTTTCTTTCTTTTGTTTTCTTTTGTTTTCTTCTGTTTCTGTCCTTTTTAAAAGCAATATTCTACGGGTGCCTCATGATTTTAATTTCTAATTATGATCTATGGCTGAGATTATACCGTCTACTGGAACTCGATCAAGTTAATACTTGCGTGAGGAAGTAATATTGTTATATTTATTAACCACAATTTCTGTTATCACTTTTAAAAAAAAGAGAAAAAATATGTGAAATTATGAAAAGTGTATCTTCTACAAAAAAACAGGTTAAAATCATGTTTAACAAAGAATGAATGAATAAATTCTTCTTTCTCCTCTTATAATTTTTATTTTTTTTGTTTTTTTTATTAAAAATTATTCATCATTTTTTGTTAGTAATATGACTTTAATTTAATCATGTTTTTTTCTCTTTTTTTTAAAATTGATTTTTTTACTTTGTTTGCCTTTTTTTTTATGTGAAAACTAACCTATTTAGCTACTGGTTGTGGTGTTATTACGACTTTCTCTCAAATTGGAAACATTGCTGGTCTTCATGGCTTAATTATCTATTGTCTTTCATGCTGTTTACCAATGTTCTTGTTTGCGTTTTTAGGCCCAATTATTAGACAAAAATGTCCAAATGGTTTTGTTTTGACATCCTGGACTTTTCAAAGATTTGGTTTAATAACTCAGTTATACTTGTCACTATTCACTTTATTGACCTTGTTTCTTTATATGATTGCTGAATTATCTGCAATTTATTGGGCCTTTAATTCATTAACTGGTTACGACGGTTTACCAGTTGTCATTGTTCAATGTGTTGTTACTACTTTATACACATCAGTTGGTGGGTTTAAGGTTTCCTTTTTGACTGATAATATCCAAGCTTCCTTTGTATGTGTTTTGGTTGTTGTTGGTGCTTGTGCTTTTGGTGCTTATATCGAGCTTGATCCCTCTATCCCAAAGGCTCCATTATTAGAAGCAAATATATTGTCATGGAAATTGCTTTACATTTTGCCGGTTGCAATTTTTACCAATGATTGTTTTGTCAGTGGATTTTGGCTAAGGACATTTGCATCAAAAACTGACAAAGATTTGTTGATTGGCTGTTCTCTTGCCAGCTTTATTATTTTTGTTATATGTTTTCTCTTTGGATGGACTGGTATTCTTGGTGTTTGGACTGGAGAATTGGAGAGAAATAGTGAGCTTGGATCTAGTTCATTTTTCATTTTATTATCAACTATGCCCAAATGGATTGTTGGTCTTATGCTAATTTTTTCAATTTGCATCTCAACATGTGCGTTTGATACATTGCAAAGTTCAACTGTTTCTCAAATTTCGAATGATATTTTTAAAAACAAATTAAAGATTCTTTATGTTAGATCGTTTGTTGTTGTATTAATTGTTCCTTGTTGTGTTATTGCATTAAAAGTTGCTGATGATATTTTACAAATTTATTTAATTGCTGATTTAGTCTCAGCTTCAATTATTCCAATGATAATGTTTGGATTATCAAATAGATACTTTTGGTTTTTGACTGGATGGGAAATCTGTATTGGAGGACTTTCGGGTTTATTTTCAGTTTTCATTTTTGGATTAGTTTATTATGATGGAAATGCAGAGTTGGCTGGAAAATTATTAATTGTTTCGGGTGGTATGTACATTGATGATTGGAGTACATTTGGAGCATTCGTTGTTGCTCCAGTTGCAAGTTTAGTGGTTGGATTTTTTACATTAGGTGTCAGATTATTGATTAGCTGGACTTATTGCAGAGTCACCGGCAAAGAATTTACTGCATTGGATAAAGAAAGAATTATTAGCAAAATCCAGTCAGATATTAGTCCAGCAGAGTCCGAAGCTGAATCATTTAACAATCCTCACAATGTAATTTACAGAAATGAAACAGATCTTGAAATTAGTAAATAGAGGATTATTGGCTCCTAATGGTTATTTCTGGTATTTAAAGCGTTTTTTATTTGTTCAGTATTTTTAAATTTGTTGAACTGATCAAATTTCTTTCTTCCCTTTTTTCTTTCTTCCCTTTTTTCTTCTTCAATTTTTGTTTTTCAATTTTTGTTTTTCCTTAATTTAATCAAACGCCTCAAGACATCATTCATAGCAATTCACTTCTCTAGGAATTAAAAGAGCTTCAAACCAATGTAGTTGAAATAAAAGAAAAAGTTAAAAGATACCAATCAGATAAACTGTTTTGGGTAGTTACTTTTTGTAAATGAAGAAGAGCAACTTTTGTCCTTTCCATCCAGTCCGAATGCAGTCCAGCATACAACAGTGAAAAACTGCAGATAAAAGCACGTGCTATACCTGTATAATCAGATTTATTATTCATTAACTCACCAAGCTTCGATATCTGTGCTGCCAATCCCTTTGTGATTCGGATACAACATTTTTAATCACGTGCTACACGGGGATGCTTACAAATTGTGATTTGCTTATCAAAATAGACATCGAACTTTGGATATTCTGTTGATGAAATAAGTGGTTCTTAAAACCTTTAAAACCTTAATGATTGATGAATAATTGAAAATATATATTAGAATATCATAAAAGTAAATAGAAACAAGCAAAAATTAAGTGAAATATGTTGTTGTAAATGACAGTGAAATTGTGGTATAAATATAAGCAGATTTCTTACTATGGGGCGTGTTTTTGTTTTTTGTTTTTTGATTAAAGTAAATAAATTAGATACAATCGAATACATTGTAATTTAGCAGGACTTCTAATTCTTATTGATTTCACTTATCTCTTTTATTTTTTAATTTAGCAAATTATTGCAATGGTTTATCCAGAAACATTTCAAGGAATTGGTGTCAATTCACCAGAATCATGGCTTGAACCCAAAAAATTTGAATTCAAACCTCATGGATTCAGAGACTATGATATTGATATCAAAGTTGAGGCGTGTGGTGTTTGTGGGTCAGATATCCATGCTGCTTCTGGTAATTGGGGAAAGACCAATTATCCATTGGTTGTTGGACATGAAATTATTGGTAAAATTGTCAGATTGGGATCAAAAGTTCGTAAAGATTTTAAAGTTGGAGACAGAGTTGGTATTGGCGCTCAAGCTGACTCATGTGGTGTTTGTAAAGTTTGTAACACCTTTGATGAAAACTATTGCAAACACAACATAGGAACGTATATGGGAATATATGAAGATGGTACAAGTAGTTATGGTGGATACTCATCATATGTCAGGGTCCATGACAGATTTGCATTTAAGATTCCAGAGAAGCTAGAAAGCAAATATGCTGCTCCATTATTGTGTGGTGGTATTACTGGATTTTCGCCATTACTTCATAATGGTGTGACAAAGGGAACTAAAGTTGGCGTTTCTGGTATTGGTGGCATTGGACATATGTCTTTATTATTTGCTAAAGCATTGGGAGCCGAAGTTTATGCTATTTCCAGATCTGACTCGAAAAAGGAAGATTCATTGAAGATGGGAGCTGATCATTATATCAGCACATCCAGTGATGATTGGGTTGAAAAGTATAGTGGAGAACTTGATTTAATTGTTAATTGTGGCAGTTCATTGACAGGTACCAATTTAGATCAAATGTTGGAATTACTTAGACCAAGAGGAAAATTGGTTTTCATTACAGCCCCGCCGATGGAAGAAAAAGTAACAGTTGCACCATTTACCATGTTGAAAACCGGAACCTTTATTGGTGGATCAGGAATTGGTGGATCCAAAGACATTCAATTCATGTTGAATTTTGCAGCAGAACACGACATCAAACCTTGGGTTGAAGCGGTTGATATCAGTGAGGAAGGTGTTACTGAAGTATTTAAGAGAGCCTATTCGGGAGACGTCAGGTACAGATTCACATTAGTTGGATATGACAAGGCGTTCAATTAGATTTAGTGTGCCCTTTATATCTGTATATATTTAGTAATTCTTATGAGAGTCTCAACAGTATTTTGAAATTTTCAAGATCAAAAATTGCATTGCTAAATGGAGATAATGCGAAGAGTGGAGAAATGTACAAAACGCAGTTTCTGACATTGAGATACTTCAACACACATCTAATGAAAGATTCCGTTCCTTCAATAAGGTCACGAGTAAGCAGACCCAGAAAAACAGGAACAAAAGTACCAGCCTTATGGGCCCTGTTTTAAAGAAAATTTTACATTGTTTTATAAACACAACCTACAACTAAAACAAAATGGAAACGGAGAATGCAGCTAGACTATCAACTCATTAGTGTTCGGTGCTCCTGCGAAATCTTTTCGATGGCTCAGAAATGCTTGGGTGAATTTTCCTCAATGTTCGGGAGTACTTTTCCAAACGAATTCAGACTGGTGCACAGCATATAACTCATCACCGCAACCGAAAAGATGACCATGGAGCAGGAACAAATAAAGAATCATAGTAAACAGTGTCTAACTACCAATCGCTAAGTGAGTCTGCTGGCGTGTTATGCAGCATACCCAGAGAGCTGCTCCAGCAACGAGCACTACTCTTTTCTCTCTTGAGGAAGCTAAGGAAGCTGAAGAGATAAACTCCCAACCGGCGCTGCTCCTTATATACTCGTCACGCCGGTTACCCGCTCCCATCCACGAAAAGGGCTCTTCTCTTTCCCGAAGCAGACAGGCCCCTCCACAGCTGAGCGCCCCTTCCGCATCCGGTAGGCTTGATCCAGTCTCAACTCGTTCTCACACAGAGAAGGATTGAAATCGTGGAATCTGCTGAAGACAGTCTATTTATCTGCTCTCCAAGGCCTGTTTTGTTGTTGGATGGCAAGTGTCGATGTGTTTCCATTCTCCTTGATTAGCGACATAGGTGTTTATTGTGTTTTACTTCTATCCCCAAAACAAGACAAATGAGCTGTGTATTTGGTTCACTTTTTCCACTTGGCTGCAATTTAGGGTTAATTCTTATTCATCAGATATAATAATTCAGGACAGGAGAACCACATCAAATGCTGCCCAATATGTCTTCAACCATATTGTCCTCAGATGGCCAGAAGACTCAACAACTAAACCAAGAACTACAGAAGTTGAACCAGGAACTAGACGAACTCGATCAAAAGTTGAACCAAGAAATTCTCCTTCTTCACTCAAAAAGTAATATTCAACTCCACAACACTATTCCTAATCTCTATCATAATCAAAACCTCCATATCGATTCTACTTCTGATTCTGATTCTGATTCCAAGTCTGCCAATACTTCTCAAGATCACCCTCCAAATAATGCACTTGCAACTTTATCAAAACATATGGCTCAAGATCAAAAAAGATTCCACTATTTACAATTTAAGCAAATTCAACAAAACACTACTTCTAATCGTACTACAGATAAAAGTGACATCCTTATTTCGGAAAACAAACATTTGCTCAATCATCACAAAAATGATTCAATACTAAAACAGAACCATTTATTCCAAAATACTTCAAAAAAGTCCATATTAAGTAATAATAATAACTTGGGCATTGGCAACATAAGAAATTCAGCTTTGACCGGTAGTAGAATCTCAAATCTAATGAAACCAACTTTATCCTCTTTAGCGAGAGTCAAAACCCCTGTTCACAATAACAGCACTGCCAATATACCCAGCAGCAGGAATAATCATGAAAATGACAATAACAAAAATACAATCAACAACACTAATACCAATAATGTTACCTATAAAGTCAAAGCTGTTGAAATTGAAATTCAAAATCAAAATCAAAATAATAAAAAAAACCAAAGACAGAAACAATTAGAAAAAACCAAAGAGAAAATAAAAGAGAAAATAAAAGAGAAGATAAAAGATAAACACATTAATAATCATATCAAATCGTCTTCTGTTTTTATTCCCTCTTTGCAAACATCCACTGAAAATTCCATAAATCTGAAAAATGCCCTTGCTACTAAAAATTTAATTAAAAAACATTCACCATATTTCGATAATAACAAAAATATAAATCAATTAGCGGACTCTGTTAACAATATCTCTTTATCTTCAAAATCCTCTATAATATCTTCCAATTCTTCAATTTCATCCAGATCTACCAAATCCTCAAGATCTTCCTCAATTTCTCAAAAAAATCTCATTAAATCAAAACCAATTTCCAAAAACTATACAAACAATATAATAAAAAGAAAAAACTCAAATCAAAGATTACCTTCAATCAAGCTAAATAAAAATTTCATTTCAAATTCAAATTCAAATTTAAACTCCGATTCAAATTTAAACTTGAATTTGGATCCAAACCAAAATTCAAACCAAAATCAAAATTCAATTTCAAATTCAATCAAAAAATCTTATAATCAACAAAGAAATTTTTATTCTTTCAAATCTCCATCAAAATCAAAATCAATTTTAAATCTATCTTTATCTCCAGATTCAAATTCAAATTCAAATTCAAATTCAAGCTCAAATATATCTACAAGTTTTGACTCAAGCTCAAACTCAAAGATATTGTATAATTATAGCTCAATAAAGGCAATCAAAGCATTGGAACATCACAAATCTGTCTCAATTACAACTTCCAAGTCATTGAAACATAATACGACTTTAAGCAAAATAGATTTAGAACACTCAAATCCAAATACTAACAAACATATTTTCACTCAATCTACTTATAATAAATTCAATACCAACCATAAAGATTATAACTCAAATCCAAATACTAACAAACATATTTTCACTCAATCTACTTATAATAAATTCAATACCAACCATAAAGATTATAACTCAAATTCTGATGCAAATAAGATTGTGATACAAAAACATAAAAGAGAAGTCAAAAAGCTTAGCGAAAATAGTCAAATTAAAGAACAAAATAAAACCATTGAATTAAAAGAAAACAAAAGCGAAAGAGAAAGAGAAATATTTTCAAAGCATGTTGATAATCCCAAAGAAATCTCCAGGCTCAAAGAGCTTTTATCTGCTTCAACATCAAATGCACCCACTGTTAGTCGCAAGCCTTCCACTTATAAGCTTTCTCAATCTACTTCAAATAATTATAAAAGAAGTTCTACACAGAAAATCGATATCGAAAATAGAAAAAGCAAAAATGGATTTTATTATCATCAAAATCTTCATAGCCGCAACAATAATACTAATATTCTTAATAATTCGAATACCAATATCAATCCTAAAAGTGCTAAGAATACTAACAGTATGAACAATACCAACACCTTTAATACAAATACAAGCAAAACTTTCAATAAAAGTAATACTCATTCATCATCAACAAAACCAAAAACTTCTGATTATTCCAAAAATAGGCCTAATCGTACCAATACGATAAATGTAAAGCCTTCAACTTCAAATGATCTAAATAAAAAATCAACCAACTCTAAAAGAGATATTTCTTTGAATATTTTATCAACTTCAATTTCATCATCAGATTTAAATTCTTCGCTACTGTCAAAATCCAATGTTGGCTCTCCAAGAAATCCAACTCGTACTAACAAACTATCTTTGGAAAAATCTAATTTGAGACATACTAATAACGGTCACCATTTGAGGAATAAACTGTATATTAATCAGTCTGTTCAAGACAATATCCAATCAAAAAAAAATGTTGCTAAATTTTTGCAATCTCCAAACAAAGCCTCTCCTAAAAAAGTTTCGTCTAGCACAATTAACCCGAGTAGCCCTAAATCCCCTTCAAAAATCAAATACAGTTTTCCTTCTTCAAATCAGAAAATTTCTTCAATATCTGATTTATATGTTGCATTATCGGAATTTAAAGATACAGCTACAATAATAAAACAGTGGGAAAAGTCTACTCTATATAATAATCCGGAAGAACACTGGAAAAATTTACCAATAAGTCCACTAAAATTAATTTCTGATGAAAAATTATCTGCAAATTTAAACATGTATGAAAGAGATGAATGTAGTAGGAAAAAAGAAATATTTTTTAGCGGATTATCAAATATTCAGAAAATTCAGGTTGAGTTGTCTAGCTACAAAAAAAATTTTGGTTTTGACGATGACCAACAAAATTATAAAGCAGTTATTGGAGATCATATTGATTACAGATACGAAATTTTAGATGTTTTAGGGAAGGGTGGGTTTGGTAGCGTTTTAAAGTGCAAAGATCATAAATTGGGTAAAGTTGTTGCAATAAAAATTGTTAAAAATGACACCCAATGGTCTTTTCAAGCTGTTTATGAGATCAAGGTTTTAAAAAGCGTTTCCAAATCTAAAATAAGAAGAAGTTTGGCAACAAATCCAAACTCGAGTTTTTCCAATGATGTTTCGTTTGACTATAAAAGTCATCTTTTGAATTATTTTGAGCATTTTAATTTTAGAAGTCATATGTGTATAGTGACAGAACTATTGTCGGTTACACTTTATCAAGCAATTGAAGCATCCAATTTCAAAGGGTTTTCTTTGCAAATAATATCAAAATTATCAGTTCAGCTACTAAGTGCTATAGATTTCATTCATTCATATAATATTATTCACTGTGATCTAAAACCAGAAAATTTGATGTTGGTTAGTCCTAATAAATTTCAAGTTAAAATTATAGATTTTGGGTCAGCATGCTATAAAAATGAAATCACATACTCTTATATCCAGTCTCGTTTTTATAGAGCTCCTGAAGTATTACTTGGTGGAAGATATTCTACTCCTATAGATATTTGGAGTTTGGGTTGTGTCTTTGCTGAATTATTTACAGGAAAACCATTGTTTCCCGGTCGTGATGAATTAGAACAGTTTGCACTAACAGTTGAATTATTAGGTCCTCCAACTAGAAAAGCGATTTTTCAACTTCGAGAAGAAATTTCAAAATATGGGCATATTGACAATATTGATAAGGATAAAGGCAACAATTATACTCTATTAGGAACATTATTTGATTTGGATGGTAAGATGAAACAAGAAATTTTAAACAGTTCCAAATACTGCGATAGAAAAATAAAGCCATCATCAAAATCTTTATCTATCGTGTTACAAACAAGAGGAAGAGATGGAAAACTTTTTATTGAATTTTTAGAAAAAATTTTGATTTGGAATCCACACAAAAGAGCAATGGCTAAAGATTTGTTGCAACACCGATTTCTCAAAGAAGTAGGTAGAAAATTAAATGATAAAGATCAAAACAAATCTTTTGATGCAGACGAGTATGAGTTTGGTGATGACACCTTTTAAGCTTTTTTTCATATAATGATTTTTAGGTCTGGTTAATTTGAAATTATGAAAATTTTCTTTTTTCTCTTTTTATTTATTTATTTATTTATTTGTTTGTTTATTTATTTATCTGTACCACTTGTACTTTTATTTCATTAATTTTATATTTTTCTTGGTTTTAATTTTTAGGTTTTCCAAGTGATTATTCTATATTCCTTTTTAATCTTCTTTATTTAACTTCCATATTTTTTTTCCCAGTCTTATATACATTTGCATATTTTTTTATCAGCCCTCTTTTTACATTTCAGTTTAGGAATTATGAAAAATCTCTATTTTAGCATTTTTAGTTATATATTGGTGATGTTTTGAACACAAGTATTGCTCATCGCTCTGAATTTAATTATTTGTTAGATTGTTTTTATTTTATGGCATATTATTCATTTTGATTTTTAAATTAAAATTTTATTGCCATCTACAATAAAATATAAATAAAGCATTGATAACGAGATTCTATAAAGTAAAATGCAAACATTTTATTTATTGAGCAACTTGACTTTTTTTGAAATTACCACTTTTATTGTTTTGTTTTCCTAACCTTTTTCTTTTAAAATTTGAATGGTTGCCATTTGAGTCGATTTTTTCAATTTCATTATCATTTCTCTTTCTTTTTTGACTATTATAGATACTTCTGGTAACATTTTCATATTTTCTACTTCCATGTTGACCTGTGCTATATTCATTTCTGTTATTGGAAGAATTTTTCCCCAGATACAATTGTTTTGTCTTCGCTTCTCTTCTACGTTTTGCAACCAAAGAGTTTTCCACAGCAAACTCTACAACTAATCTTCTTTTATTCTGAGAATTGTATTCAAAACTTTGAGTTCCTTCTTCATCTAAACCTTCAAGAATTTCTTCTTCTGTGACCTCATGAGCATTAAGCCATCTCAAACCCATTAAAGCATGTTTATGGTCTCTAAATTCCAAAAACCCATAACCCCTGGATCTTCCTTCTTTTCCACCATCTTTTATTTCAATCATAATTTTAGCTTGTTTAATGACACCAGTGTTCTTTGTTTTCTTTTTTTTCAAAGCCGAGTTTTCAGTAGTATTATCATTAGGGATTTCATTGATTTGTTTAAATCTAGTAGATCTTGTAAGTTCTTCTTTAGATAGAGGTTGTCTTTTGTTTCCTTTTACTTCTTTAGCGAATTCCACAATTGCTTTACGACCTAAAGCTTTCAAACCTTTTTCAGTCAAAGATCTGGGAATATTTCTTACAGCAAGACGAGTAAGAGATAAGTGTAAAGAAGAGTTTTTGTTTAATTGGAAAATTCTCAAATTGTAGGATTGTTCTCTAATCGACATATCTTTTTTAGATATTAAACCTAATTTAAAAACTTTTGAATTTTCAGTTATTCTACCTTCATTCAACAAAAACAAATTTCGTTTATCTTTCTCATCAGGCAATTTTCCGAGATTTTCTAATCTTTTTTTTGAGTTTTGCTCAGTTAATACACTTGCTCTTTCTTTTGAAACAGCTGAAGCTATCGACAAAATCCTTCCCTCAAAGACATAAAGTGGAGGAACATCATCAGAAATCAACATAGATATGTGATTTGCATCAGGAGCATTGTTAAGACAGTTATCAAAAGATTCTTTTTCATAAAATGAAATAAAGCCGGTTCCCTTTGCCAAACCCGATTTTTTGTCAATAACAGGTAAGGCATATTTAATTTTACCAAATTGTTCAAAGTGTTCAGTTAAGCTTTTGGATGTAGCATCGTATGGAAGATTTTTGACAAATATTAGATAGGGTTCGACTGTGTTTTTAGGGGGTCTTTTTTCAAATTGGTTTTCTTCATCCTGATTATTTGATCCAATGCCTGTGCCATTTTGAGGATGATTATTTGAAAGCTTTTCCTCATCAGTTACCGAATCTTCTTCATCAGATTCATAATCGGATTTTTCATCAAGAGTCTTATCATCATTATCATCATCTGATTCTTTAGCTGAATTCCCAGACTCATCTTTTGAGTCATTTATGTGTTTTTCAACAGTTTTACTATTTTTGCCGTTATTGCTAACGCTTTTATCTTGAAGAGTTTTCCTATATTCTATCCATTTATCTTTTGAAATCGCAAAATCTATTGCAACTTCTCTATCAAAAATTTTTAAAGGATTTTTAGAATAGTAATCTACAGCTGCTTTAGCTGCTTTTTGTTTTTTCATTGTTATTATGGCAAAGCCAGACATCCGACTGTTTTCACCTCTTGGTATTATCGAGTTTAAAACACTACCAAACCTTTGAAAGTATTTTAATATCAATTTTGGTTTCTTTACCTTCCAGGGTAAATTTCTGATAATTAATCTTGGATTTCTCTTTTCTATTTCAGTTTTTTCAAAAAATTTTGTTTTGCTTTCATACACCTTTGTTGAAATATCTTTTTCAGGTTTTTTAGTTTTATCATTATTATTTTCATCATCATTTGCACCACTATTATGTGTGTCATCATGGTTATCATGGTTTTTAGTGGTGATATTTTCATTTAGATGTTTATCTTTATTATTAGATTTAAGCATAGGTTTTCTTTGTCTTTTCTTAGCATACTCGGCTAGCAACAATTTGTCATTGTATTTATGCAGTTTGCAACTGTCCAAAGCTATTTTACAATCTTCATTTGTTGGAAAAGTGACAAAGCCGAAACCCTTTGAATTATTACCTGCATCAGTAACGATAGCAGAGTGCTTAACTGGAGCAAAATTCGAAAAAAAGTCAGTCAATTGTTCACCTGTGGTAGTATATGGAATAGCTCTGACAAATAGGGTCTTCTGATCTGCATCATTGCTAGTCTTAGACTTAGTTTTGGGTGGATCCATTGTAATATTGATTTTATATAGGAAATTTGAATAATTCAATAAGATTTCAAACACAAAAATTTTCTGTGATGAAAGAAAAAAAAATTTAAACATAAACCAGATCTGTGGGAAAGTGCAGAAAGATGCAAAAGACACTTGGACTTGCATCTTTACTGGAATAAAACAACTATCACATGATAAAAGCAACACTTGGTTTCCCGGAATACACTTATCATGTGATATTTTTTAAAAGTTGCTCACGTGTATTAAAAGTCCGTCTGTGTGGTTATCCTTCCAAAAATGGCAACTGAAAGAAACATCCAAATCAAAGCTCATATTCAGTTTTGTTTTCTTACTTATTGCTGATTCTGTCTGCTGTGTTTAGTTTTTATTCCAGCAAGGAAATCATTGGTATAGTGAGAGCTGTTGCTTTGATTCAAAATGTCTGCTCTTGTCAAAAACAATCAGAGCTCTTCATCCTCCCTATCCTTCTCTGCCAAAAAGGCAAATACTGCACTTATCTTATCCGAATATCAAGACATAGAAAAAATTAAGAATGAACATTTTAAAATTTGGAAGAAAACTGTTCCATTGTTATACAACACAATTCAAACTCACGTTTTGAACAATATTTCTAACTCTTTTGAATTCATTGATAATGGCTTGAACAATGTTGAATATTCCAATGATAGAAATGAAGTTTTTTCAAAATTCATCTTGACTAATAATTTAAAAAATTCCTTGATTTTATCTTCAATCAGACTACCTTCGACTTTATTATATTCGAACACAATCAAACAAATTCCTATTCCAATTGGCTCTTCTTCTATTTCTAAATTAAAATTTACCAATGAGCTCTTTTTATCTGATCAAATTAATAAAATTTCAATTTTGAATAATTCCAACACTACTGCTAGTGATAATAACCCAAACATTGTTTTTTCCTTCTTGAAAAACGGGTCAATTAACCTATCCTCCATTAACTACTCTGCAAATAAATTGAAAAATTTAGATTATTTAAATTATCATAGAACTGAAGGTCACGCAATTGATTCCTATGTTAACCATTTGATTACTGCTGATAATATTGGAAAAATTGCTTTGTGGGATATTTCTTTAAGTCCTTTACCGCTTCCACTTAAATCCTACAGCCAAGAAGATACAGTCATAAATGATCTATCAATCAATAAGCAAATTCCTTCAATTTTTGCCTCTGTTTCAGATGATAAATTTTTGAATTTATACGATATTAGGTCAAACAATAATTCTTCTTTTTTCAACTCAAATAAATTTCATACTGATAAAATCAATTCAGTTGAATTTCATCCCAACATAAAAACTTTATTATTAACTGCATCCTCGGACAATACCATAAATATTTTTGATTTAAGAAATTTATCTCAACCCTTTAGAACTTTATTTGGATCATCATCATCCATAACAAGCTTAAAATTCAATCCATTATCCCCAAACTTGCTTGCTTCTTCTTCAACAGATAATAAATTGTATATTTGGGACTTAAATAATATTAATGATGGTTTATACACTTCTGACATCTACAATCAAGAAAAAGAGAAATACAATATGATGAATAATAATAATAATAATATTAGTAACAATAACAACAACAATAACAATAATAATGGTAGCAATAATAACAATATTAATAACAATGGTAGCAACAATGGTAGTGTTACCAATTCAAATATTGAAATTTATGATCCTTGCTTGAAATTTATTCATGCTGGTCATCTCAGTACGATTGGTCAATTTGATTGGAATCCTCATTTAAATAATGTAATTGGAAGTGTAAGTAATGATAACTTGTTGCAGGTTTGGTCTCCCCATTTAGTACTAGATTATGAAGACGACAGTCATCTTGATCAACCTGATAATTATAGTAGGATTGATAATGATAATCATCAAATTGAAAATGATATCAATGATGATAACGATAACGATAATCAAGATGAAAATATTAATGATAGTAACCAAATGGAGGTTGAAAATGAAAATGAAAATGAACATGAAAATAATGAAATTGAGATTGAAATTGAAAATGAGAACCAAAATAAGCATGAACATGAACATGAACATGAACATAACCATCAAAATCAAAATGAAGATAATGATAATGATAATAATAGTCGGATTGAAATAGAAATCGAGAATCAGAATGAAAAAAAAGTGGATTTTAAAGAAAAAAATGATACTGAAAACGAAATTTTAGGTCTGAATAAAATTGATGACAAAATTATCTCTCAAAAATATAACAATAAAGATGAAGTTAATGACAATAACAATGATGATGAGAATGGTGATGAGAATGATAATAACAATGACAATGGTAATGAAAATGATAATGAAAATGGTAATGAAAATGATAATAAAAATGAAAATGATAATAAAAATGAAAATGATAATAAAAATGAAAATGATAATAAAAATGAAAATGATTTTGATATGGATATTGAGGATACAGAGGAAACTGAAATAGACAATGAAAAAGTCATTGAAGATAATAACCTCAATAAAAATAAAAATAATCAGAATAAAACTGAAAATGAAAAAAACACTATAATTGATAATAGTAATGACATTATTTATAAAAAACAAAACAACAGTGAAAATAAAGATGATGAAGATGATGGAGATGATCATAAATATAACAAAAATAATGAAAAAAGTTATCTATCTAAAAAACGAGGTGAAGATAAAAATCTAAGAAATAATGAAGGTTTTTTAAAACAAGAAGAAAACAAGTTTGCAAATTTAATTCTATCTGCCAACAAAATTGCTGAAAATGAAAAGCGAATTAATGAAAATAATGTTGAATCTCAATTTCTGACATCTAACGAAAATGAAAATGAAAATGAAAATCACAATGAGAAGAAAAGCGATGCAAGCGCCATCAACACATTGCTTGATTCAAAAAAAAGTCCTGGTAAATTTATTGATGTTTCCAATACTGATGATAGTAAAGATGGAAAAATTCAAAATGAAGTGTCGGAAAATAGAAAAAAAATTGAAAAAAAACCCATTAAGCAAGTTGAACGCTTGGCTTCTTATCAAAAAGAAAATTTGGAAAGTAGTGATAAAATTCTTCAGGAAAAAACAATAAGGAGTGATACACTGAGTAATTCTACTGAGACTGAAAAATTAAATTTTGGGAAATTATCATCCAAGGAAGTTGAAAATTCTAATAATGGTGGTGAAAAAAATCAATGATAATGGCAAATTTTGACTGATTATAACATTCAATATACGTTCCAATTTTATCTGTGATATATTAGTATCTATGTAAATTAATAGTAAGATTTTTAGAAGATACATTGTTTTTAGTAGAATTTATTGAAAATTATAAAACAATAAACGCTATTTTTAAAAGTATTAGATATAACAAACATAATAATTTTTCAATTTAAATTACAATAAAAAGTTATAAAAAAGCAAAAAACCACATTGTTTATTATTAAAAAAACCAATATATAGTTTCAATACTACGATTAAATAATAATTGAAAGTGTACATGATGTATCATTTGAATTAAAAACAATCTTACTATCTCACAAAAATGAAAAGGGCGTTATTGAATAAACAGATATTACTTTTTATAATTTTATAATTTCATTCCTTTATTTTAAGATTAAACAAAGTCATCATAGACTAACTCTTTGATTGAGGTATGAAATTTTTTGATAAACATAAATTAATGTTTAAAAATAAGCTTACCATCTATGGGATTCATCTCCAGAAATCCAAATTTTTTCTTGATAGCCCAATAGTTGTTTAACTTTTTGAACAGTGGCAGCATCGCCCATATTTTTGCCAATATTGTCGCTAATTTTAATTGCATGTTTACCGTCAATTTCCTTCAATTTGATGACAATGTTTAAAGGATTGCTTTTTGAACCGTTTAGATTATGGAAGTCATTAGTAAAATAAGTGCCAATTCCAAAAGTTGGTTTCAAACCCAACTCGATAGATTTATCGTGATATTTTATGCATTTTTCAACATTTAAAGAGTCTGAAAAACAAATTATTTTTGAAAACTTTGGTAATTTACAAACATTAAAGTAGAAATCTGCAATTTTTTCAGCATAAAGCAACGGATCACCAGAATCTTGTCTTACACCAATGTAATTTGAAATATAAGGCTCTTTAAAATTCTTTAAAAAGGCGTCTGTTCCAAAAGTATCTGTTAAGGCTAAACCTGCATTTTGCAAGCCAACAGTATCACACCAAAACTTGAGAGAATTGAAATTAGCATTAAGATAATCACCTGTAATAGCAGCGATTCCCATAATCCACTCATGAGCTACAGTGCCGATTGGTTTTAAATTAAATTTTTTGGCAAAGAAAACATTGCTTGTGCCCAAAAGTAAATGCTTTTTCAGCTCAGGAACCTCATGTTGAAAGTAGTCGACTATTGATTGAAGCACAATTTGCTGAGAATGAGTGGATCTTCTTCTCCTGGTTCCAAATTCGGAAAAGGCACATCCATGATCAACCAATTTTTTGCATTTTTCCTTAGCTAATTCATACTGGCCATCGAAATTCCATTCAGTTTCAACAAATTTAAAATAAGCTTGCGACAATATGGCAAGTAGGGGAATTTCGTATAAAATTGTGTCCTGCCACTTGCCTACAACCTTCAAGGAAAGCTCAAACGTGGTTTGATCATATTCCAACCTGACATGTTCTCTTGGAGTGAGTTTAAAAGTTTGGAGATACTCAAAGTAGTCTGCAGGCAAGTACGAGACTTCCTTTTTCAAGTAGCGAATCTCATCAGTGGTAAACCTCAAAGCGCCCAACAACTCGATCTGGCTCTTCACATACTCGTACGACTCGAGGGAAAACTTCATCAAAGGAGTACGGTTTGTGTATTTAAACTCGACGTCTTGGGGAGAATTGACAGATGGCAAATGTTAGTAATGTGTCCAGCATCCACCGGTTGCAACAAGATACTCACCAACACTGGGAAAGTGCCTGTGAACCGCAGCATGCATCGTCAATTTGTACAAATCAGTGTCCAAAAGCGACGAGATAACACATTCTGCTGTACACGAAGCCATTGCTGCTCTGAGTCCTGCTCTGGTCGTGCTTGTGGAGCGAAGAGTATTTGCGCTACAGCAGTATATATTCCGAAACCTCACCTCCGTACTGGAAAATACACGTCATGCATATTCCAGCACGGCTCACAAACACCTCATTGCTCGGTCGAACAACGACTCCAAGGGAAAGTCGTCAAACTCAAAGTCCTCCTTTATCACTGCGTCGAACGTATGGCTGTTGATGTTCTTGCCATACCAGAAAACGTCCTCCACGTCTGCACTAGGTGGGTCTTCTTCTCGCAACGAACTCTGCGCCTTCACCACTGAGCTTTTCTGGTCAACTGCGCTCTTTAGCAAGCTCCTGAACGACGTCTCCATCTTCGCATCAGCAATTTTGTCCTTGGTGTTGTTATCCGAGGTGAGCCTGAGTATATTGTACTCGAAATCAAAAAATATGAAATCGTTGGTATTTGGCACCCATTTCAACGAGCATATATAGTTTTCAACTTTCTTCACACTGATGAAATTCTTGCTTGTGGTTTGGCAATCGATCATAAAGATTTTGGCATTGTATTTATAGGTCTGTGGATCGATATAGTTGACCGCCAATGCAATGATATTATCATTCTGGCTGACATCAATCAAATTCTTGCTATGAATCGACACTAAATTGTTTAGTTTGAACTGCCATTTGATCTTGAAATTTAACAAGTTGAAATTAATCAACTTATTTTTGGAAAGAATGATAAGATTGTTATCATTGTTTGTCAATTTTAATGATCTTATTCTGGTTTCGCATATCAACGGTAAAAGTTCTATCACGCTACTTCTATTAATATTGTTCAACTCGTGAAAATTAATAATTGAAATCTTGTTTTCCAACGACAAAAAAATAGTTGATGCGTCTTTTGACCAAACAGCTGAAATAGCGTTGGTTTTTAATTTAGGATTTCCCATAAAAAATTTCGATAATGACCAAATATGATTTTGCAAAACGTTACTATTATTAATGCTATAGTTTTCTTTCACCACATTGGGTTTCCATACTTTCAATCCACCAATATTATCAACCGTTAAAAATGAAACGCCCTTGCAATAACTTGAAGGAGCAGCCAAAATTTGATAAACATAGTTATTCGGCCCATGGGGATTCATAATTTTAGTAGTCAATTCCCAAGAATTTAGCACCTTATTAAATATCCAGAATTTTAATGTGAAAATTTCGTCACCTATTAAAAGTTTATTTTTGGGCGAAGAATATTTAAATGAATCAAATGTACACATCCAGGATCCATCATTAGTAAATGACACTAAATGAACTTTGGCTTCTTCAACATCTTTCTCAGATCTCACCTTACCAGCCGATTGTATTGCATTAATAAGATTTTGCGTAAAAACTTGCTCATTCTTGTTTAAATTAAATGCCTGTACTTGAGATCCATTGGGTATATACATGTAATTGGAGTTATTGTTAATTTCAAATGAACATGTAAAATCATGTTTCACCTTGACTAAATCTTTCAGACTGTGCTTATTTCCATTCACTTTGCCATTATTTTGAAAATCTTTAGATTTAGCCTTTAGTTTCTTGAGATCTTTATAATACAGTTCATAATTGGAAATTTCTGGTCGAATTGTATTAATCGATATCCTAGATGTAAAATCAATTGCGTTTAATACTAAATACTGAAGATCATTAACTCCATTCAATTGTAATGTCAAATTGAAATAACTGGTAGAATTAGAAATATCCAATATAGGTCCTGATAATCTCGGTAAAAATTGTTTCTTATCTGAGTTTAACTGCCAAAATACTAACACTTTCTCCAATCCACCGGATAAAAGATAATTATTGTCGGATGAAAATGAAAGAGCATTCACTTTATCAACATGCCATCTTAATGCCCTCGATTTATTAGAAGAATAAAATAAATTTATAACTCCAGTTTTAGATCCTAAAGCTAACACTCGATTATTTGATAATGCAATCGATGTCAAACTCGAATTAAAAACAATAGAAAATTGATTTTGCTGATTTTTATCGATCGTGTAAATCTTCACTAAAATATTATTATTTGTTGCAATTAAGAAAGCAATAGAATTCTTATTAGGAGAAACACTGAAAAATGAAACGTTGCTAACTTGTGTCAAATTCTTGTTTTGATATTTAAATGCCTTGTAAAATTCAATAAAATCTCCATTCAGTTCTGAACTGCTTAAATTTGAAGTCAATGTTAATTTAGCTGCGCATTTTATATTTGGCTTTTGACCCTGAGTTATAGCTATTATCTCATAGCTTGAATTAATCTTCAAAACTTTTAAAAACTTTACGCCTTCCACCTTTAATCTTTTAACTTCACTTTGGCTGTTTATATTAAATATCAAAATTTCCCCATTCGAATAAAACAACCATATAATATTAGTATGAACTGGATCATATTTCAAGTCAATAATTGAGCTGAGTTTCTTGTTGTCTTCAAATGAAATAGTTTTTATGCAAATCTTGTTAAGTAAATTATATATTTTGATTTGGTTGGTAAAAAGAACCAAATAAGTTTTGTTATCATTAGAAAATGCTGTAGTTGGATTGGATGATCTAACGAGTTTCCCACCACCTGCTGATATTATATTGTACTTTGAAAAATTGTTAATAAGTACCATTTTGATATCCTGTAATAAAAAACAATAATAGTTTAATATTTTATAAAAACCATGAAACTTTTCCACTTTTCAATTGAATATATTTGAAATTTTTCAAAAAAAAATCTTTTATCGCGGATATAACATTTTCAGCAAAAGTCCAACGTGCCAAAATCTCCGCGATAACCTCCTTAATTTCATTTCCAAGCTTTTTCATTGAATCTTTCAAAACTTGTTTTGTGGGCTTTATAAAAAATATCTATAAAACGAATATATCGAAATTCTATATACTACAGGCAATAGGAACTAACTAAAAAATTAACTATGAGAAACACAAGCAAAAAACACAGCATTAAACAGAAAAAATATGGAGCTCAAAAATAAAAAAAACTTAAACACCAACAGTTAAAATAGTAAAAATATGACAAAACAGAGGTTGAGAATAAAATAAAATAAAATAAAATAAAATAAAATAAAATAAAATAAAATAACAGCAATTGGGAAATTAAACAATTCAAATAAAGCAAATACTTAACAAGCTGAAAAATTAAAAAATTAACAAAATAAAATTAAAAAATTTAAAATTAACAAACTAAAAACTGAAAGGTTAAAAATAAAAAAAAGAGCTAAAAACTATATTTGAATCAATATTGAAAAATCAAAAATTAACTGGCATCTGTTTCAAAATCAGCTCAAAAAGTAATATATGGTTATGTTTTTCTTGTAAATAATCTGAATCCTTTGTTTTTCTTGGGTCCAGATATTGGGGTTGATACTAATTCTTGATTAAAACTGTAGCCAGAACTTGTAGATGATGCTCTTCTGTCATTTCTGTTACTTCTCATTTCTATTTCTCCTGATAAGTGGTAGTTATGGTAATTATCTTGGTTCAACTTTAAAATTTGAAATCCATCTGTTGTTATCCTTTTATATTTTGAAGGTAGCTTTAATGTTTCAAAAAGAAAGGGCATGGAATGAAAATTATCAATGTAAACCACTTTATTCGAGCTTGAATCATAAAACGAACTGTCAATAATACTTTTCAGAAAATTTTCCCATGAGTTTGAATTTGTTGCAATAAAATTTGGGCTTTCTGCATTATTTAATGCATTTTTTAGTCGCTCAATTCTATTCACAATATTAATACATTCACTTTTAACTTCCTCTAATCCAATCCCAATATTTAATGATAATTCAAGCCTTTTATATTCTTTGTGTTCTTCTACCTCGGTTTCACTGCCAAATGATGTATTGAAACTGCTTTTATCAAACAAACTGTTAACAGGTGAATTAATCGTACAGGTCTCAAAATCAAATTGATCTGTTTTTTTATTATGAGTGGAACAAATCAAACTAGAAAACTGAGTCATTCTTAAATATTTATCAATCAAAAACGGATTAGATGGTAATTCTTTTGCTAACTCCTGATCTTGAATGTTAATTTCGGGCCTAATAACTGTGTCACTTAAGTCAAGGTGTTTTTTGAATGTTTCAGGTTTTCTGTTTGTTATCTTATCCATGTAGTCTTTTAGTTCTAGTTCATGTTTTTCAATAAATTGATTCATGGGAATTAACCAAGGTTCTTTTGCACCAAACCTTCCTCTATTGGAAAATGTCAAAAGAATTTTCGCAATCAAAGTCAACGTTCTTTTATTAGACCCAACCTGATGATCTTTTGCCAATAAAAACAATTTAGGATTTAGCAAAGCCGGACAAAAAAATCTTAGAAATATAAAACCAGTTGTACAATTCAAAATCAATTGATACGCTAGTTCCTTTTCTAAATTTCCACATGATTCTTCAAATTTATCTCTAAATATTTTCATTTCGTATTTTATTGGATGAGGCAAGTCTGCACTTGAGGAGTAAATCGTTTTCCAAGTTTCTTCCATATATTTTAGCAAGTTATTAAAATTACTTTTTAAAATAGCGTCTCTCATCAAGGCATTCTTTTCATAAATTCTATTAGGATCAATTTCACAATTTAAGCCCTGGTTACTAACTTTGAGTACAATTTTGCCTATAGTTTTTTCTAAGTACTCTTGACCAATTCTAAAGTTATATTTTTCAATTGATTTGGTTAAAATAGAATTGCCTCGGAATAGAGTATTAAAACAATTAGCTGAAGCAGTTTTCATTAAGACATCATTTTCCGTACTTTTTGAATGTTGATTTGATGAGGCCTTGTTAAAAATTGATTGTAGATCATTTAATTCTTCTTCTATTAAGGAAGAAAACCATTTGTCTTCTATATTTAAACTTTGAAAAATATCCAATAGCATGGAAGAGTTTTCTTCTAAATTTTCCATTCCATCAACTAACTTGTTTGATTTGAAAAAGTTTATTAATTTTTTAAATGGCAATTGTAGTAATAAGGATTCTAGTTTTAAATAGTTTGTAGGAGATAATATAAATAATTCATTCAAAGAGATTCTAATGCATATTTGACCAACTTTGACTTTATTTCCATAATAGTTGTAAATCGGTATCCAAATTTCGCCATTATTGTTTGAATCTTTTATTATTGTTTTGGTGATTTTGACTTTACCAATTAACAAATCATTGAAATTGTATTGTGATTGTTCTTTTGGATTAAAGTTTAAAAATGTTTTTTTTAGTTTGAAATTTTTTGAATCGTCTGAGTCATCAGATTTCAAGCAAGCTTTTATTAATATTTCAAAGGATTCCCATGATAGGGGAGCATCGACATCAAACTCTTCTCTCCAAAATGGGGATTTTGAGCTTTTAACTACGGAGGAACGAGCCCAGGTGCAGTTCCAAAAATGTATTGCAGTGTAAATTCCCAGGAAACCTAAGAAATCTTCATCAATATCATCGTCATCGTTATTGTTGTCATTATAATATTCAGAATCGTCATTATTAAGATTTTCATCGTTATCGTCATTATGAAGCACAGGAATATCATCACCGATTTGTTTTAGACTTTTTTGTAAATTTGAGTTAAAGGTTGCTTCAATGACATCGATTTTAATTTTTTTTGATAGTCTTAAAGAGTTGCTTTTGTTATAGGAAGAGTGCATTCCGACATATTCTCTGCTTGTTAAGGACAATAGAGCTACAAACCAATCTTCGAAATCGATATGTAAATCGAAATCAAGAATAATTCTTTGATTTGTGCAGTGTTTTAGTTCATTGAATTTATGCTTTGAATTTTGGATAAAGAAGGGAGAAGAAGGGGTATCGATTGAGATATCGTTGATGTTAATAAAGGGTTTGTTTGATTTATTAAAGTAGTCGCTTCTTAGCTTTTTGATTATTCCAATATATAGGATATTTGAGGATTGGAAAATGGAATGGTTAATTTGTCTTATTTCCGAGGATAGTAGAGCCTTTATATTGATTGAATATAGTAAGGTGCCATCAGATTCTGAGAGAAGATCAAGAACCCCATCAAGTTTTAGTACACCCATTGAATAGAACCAGCCTTCGTGGACCTTTGAGGGATCATTTGGGTAAATGATATTTGATTCACTATTGAAGATTTCCATTGATTTTTTTTGTTTTGGAATTGGGCCATAAACTTTGAATCTGCAGACTAGTAAATTTTTTTGGGTTGAATAATTAGTTGTGGTTGGAGAAGGAACAGTCATGTCTAGGCTGTCAATTTCGTTAATATTTTTGTTGATGATTTTACTGGTAGTTGATATATCTATGATTTGGTCCACTATATTATTTGTGTTTGTGTTTGTGTTGAGATTGAGATTGAGATTGAGATTGGGGCTAGGATTGAGATTGGGATTGGAGTTAGAGTTGGAATTGGAATTGGAATTGGAATTAGTAGTAGGATCAGTGATAATATTTGAGTCGTTATTATTAAAGATATTGGAAGTGAGAAGAGAATTAAAAGAATTAAAAGTATTTATTAGAGGGGGGGCAGTTAATAATTTGTTTTTCAAGCCAGACAAACCCATATTTTGCCAGATTATCAAAGAAGATAATAGTTTGAGAAAGGTTAGTTCCATCTTTTCAGAAACTCTTAGGAAGATGGAATTAATTTTTTCATGTTCCTTTGGTATAATTTGAATTATATAAGAATTTTTAAGATTGGGAAGTTTAATCGTTGATGAGTGTAGGGAGTTTATTAGTATAATTTCCTTAAGTGGTTTTGGGTTATTGGTGTTATTGCTATTTATAGGATTATGATCATTTTGAGTCAGATTGAAATTATTTTGTATGGGGATAGTTTTAGAGGCGAATGAAAAGTTTTTTGGGGATGTGGGAGTATTTGGAGTTGAGAAGGATTTCCAATTGGAAGCATTAGATACGTTTGAGATGCTGGAGATATTAATTGGGTTGATTGATTTATTAGGAGTAATTTGCTTGTTTAGTGTGAGCTGGATAGACTTGTTATTTTGGTTAGATAGGTTGTGTGGTATGTTGGATACAGTTGATATAGTTGATATGTTTTGAGTGATCGAAGTGGTTGAAGTGGTTGAAGGGTTTTTAATTGTGATTGGAATATTTGAAACAGCAGTTAAATTGGAAGCGTTTTGATTTGAAGTTGAAATTCTCAGGATGATCAATTGGCCTTTATTGTTGATTTGAACTAGATCATATCGCCATTTGTTTTGGTCATTAATGGAGTACTCTAAGTCGCCGAAATACGAGCCTTTGTTTTCTTTCATAAGAAGTAGTAATAAATTGCCAAAGGAGTTGAATATCATTGCGAGGACGAGGGATATGAAACTGGAAGGATTATATATAATGGAAGGATAAAGTGATTAGACGATAGAGGAATCTAAAGAAAGAATAGCAGCGAGAGATTGGGGGTATTTGGATGTGATCCAGATGCCAAAAAGGACGGGTTGGGATGAGATAGAGATGGAGGTGGAGGTGGAAACAGCAGCAGCAGGAAAGTGGTTGAAGAAAGGAAAGGCGATGGAGAATCAGTGGAACAAACAGGATACAAAAAGAGTCGCAGATAGGGCTGTGAGAACAATAGAGCTCCGTTTTCGTGAACAATGCTGGGCCTGTGTGGTGAGCTATAAATAAGATCGATCAGTTCAGTTACAGCAAAATGAGAACGAGTTGTGGTATTTATCCACGTCCCGATCTGTCCTGATTGGCGTCCCGTCCTCATAGACAGGACAGGCCTCCCGCATGTCTCGATCCGTCCAAATTCCTGTCCCAAAGCGCTTCGAGCTCGACTGCGTTTTTGGCTGCTTCGACCTGCGTTTACAGCACGTGGTGCTCAGCGCCTTTGCCAAAGATCTCGAATTCGAACCCAAGTAGCAGAACAAAGCTTGAAACGATCTCTCATTCTTTGCTGGGAGATCGCATCTCCTTTTTTGAAATTAGGATGCAACTGGTCTTTGGGTTAATTTGAGAACCACTTGAGAGCCACCTAGCAGTAGATGAAATTCGATGCTTTGGGAGCTATTTGCTGAGTTGCCTTGTGGCCAGAACCCCGAAGCGAACGGAACCCAAACAGCAAGATAAGCAGAGCAGAAACTTGACAGACATTGCAAGCCGTGCAAAGGGTGTGTTGGCCAGTGGAGTTTTACTATCAAACACGCGCTTGGCTCCAGGACACGAAACGCGTGCCAGCAGCGCTGTTTGGCTCAGGTACCGCACCGCGCAGGCAAAAGTCCTGTGGTGACGTCACTACACTACTCGGTACTCACAGGTCTGTTATTAAAGTGTACAATATGGTGCACAAGTAGCTGCACAAACATGTGTGCAAGCAAGTGCGCAAATAAATGTGCAAATAAATACCCGGCATACCGTGCTCCTTGACAGGCACTGGCAAAGAAACATCGCAAATCCAGGCAGAACACAACAAGACTTACTCTCAAACAGCCAGAGGAGAATCCGATTGTGCTCGACAGCATATTTGCGGTCCAGTTTCATATAAAAGAAACAAATCAAACAGAACTTCTGGAGGAATTTCTGAAGCAATTCTTGAAACAATTCCTAAAACAGTTCCTAAAACAGTTCCTAAGCCAATTTTTCAGTTGGTGATTTACACCAATAACAACCAATCATATTACTCTCGAGCTTGAGCAGGTGTAGCTAGACTCTTTTCTTCCAATATATTTTTCATCTCGGCTTCTCCAATCATTGAATTCTCGAGAATTGACGTATCTGATTCCATTTCCTCTGAATTATTTGGATCGCATGACACCTTTAGAGCCTTTAAAGAGTCCAACACGCTGAAAGTGTCTTCATTCTTAATAATCTCAATTATTTTGCTATCCTTTGGTGTATCATCTTCGAGTTCCAAATTCAACAACCTTTTCAAGCCGGAAAATTGTTTAGCATTGCTATAGTAATTAGGAAAACATGTTAGAAATTTATCTTTAATTAAATACACATCAACAATAGATTAATCTTTTTTTTTATTCACTTACTTTTTAAATATTCTTTGTTTATGATAAAGCAACTGTTTAGAACAAGGCGACGCATTCATTTTGTCAGATGGAGAAACATAATGGTTGGTTATTCTATTCGTTCAATAAGCGTGTCAGTATTCTATAAACCCATTCAATCAACGCTTTCATCTGACTAATGCATACCTGTTTGTTTTATTCATTCTGCCAATATTGCTCTTTTGAATATATCTATCCTTTAATAATGGATGAAATTTCTTTAAAGCAAGTGGTGATGCTGCTAATTTACTTTTAGCTACCATTTTCAAATCCTATTTAGTTTCTTTCTTTCTTTTTTAATTGTATATTATACTATTACTACTACTACTAATAATAATAATGATAATAATAATAATAATAATAATAATAATAATAATAATAATAATAATAATAATAAATTATAATTAGTTATAAATTTTTGTATTATATTTATGATATTAAAATAAAAAGATCTTGAAATAAAATAATGATATTCATTTTATTATAAATAAATTCCACCTTTCAACATTTCCCATGAATTTTAATTTTCGCTCAATAGAATTTCTCTTTTATTATTAATTTTATCATTTTATCACTCGATAAAATGAAAATCGCCTTCCTAATTAAGCAATACATAAATACCATCGCTGAATAGTTCAAATTAGGCAAAATGTAAATAATCACGTGAAAAATCTTCATTATTTATCTGTCTTTTTTATTATCATTACCATTATCACTATCACTATTATTATCATTTAACATTATCATTACTTTTCATATTTATTTGTTATATTTAATTCAATTAAATGAATATTCGTAAGATTATTAGCTCATTTTCTTCCCATCTGTCTTTGTTCTTCTCCTTGTTTTTACCATACTTTGTTTTAATAATATCAAATGTATAGTATGATATTTATTCAGTTTTTTCGCTGTTGGCATCACCTAGATGAGAACTATCATAAGTTATTTACTTGGAAGCAAGCGACTAGCTATTAAACATGCTATCTTGATAACGTTTTCTGCTTTTCGATTATTTTAATTTTAATTTTAATTTTAATTTTTATTTTTATTTTAATTTTTATTTTAATTTTTATTTTTATTTTAATTTTTATTTTTATTTTTATTTTTAATACATATATCTTTGGATTAAAATTTTAAAGCAAAATTAGAACCACGCACCCACACTTCAGTGTAGAAGGTAAAAGACTCATTGAGCTAGAAATGTGTTTCTACGTTGTTTTAAAATGGGCAGAGGGAAATAGAGTTTGTAAAGAAAATTAGACCGTAAAAAAGTTATGAAAAGTGTTCAAAGCAGATCATGTGGAGGATGGATTTTGAAGTAATTTGGAGTAATTTGGGATGGAAAGGGAAATAAGTAAGAAGGTGATTGGACACAATGTCTTAAAGGACTGAGATGGACCGAGAAGAACTGAGAAGAACTGAGAAGAACTGGGAAGGACAAAGATAGTAAAGAAGAGGAAGAAAAGCGAGAGATGAGATTGGCAAACTTTGAAGGAAAAGCCGAATTTTATTCCATGTAAAATGCAAGAAATATTTTTTAATCTATTTGAATTGAAACAAAATTGATGAAAATTATGAGATTTATGAAAATGGGAATAGATATAGGAATAATAATAGAAATAAGAATAAGAATAAGAATAGGAATAAGAATAGGATCAGGATTAGGATTAGGATTAGGAATTAGGAATTAGAATTGATCGAATGAGTTGAAACAAAATAAATTTTACCGATTTTTAAGGTGGTAAAAAGTTAAAATGGAAAATTCAAGTGTTAATAGTTTAGAATATTAAAGTATAAAATTTAAAATAAAAAATAAAAAATAAAAAATAAAAGATAAAAAATAAAGTAAAATAAAGTAAAGTAAAGTAATATGAAATACAATGAAATAAAATGAAATAAAATGAAATAAAATGAAATAAAATGAAATAAAAAATAAATTGAAAGGCTTGCGATGTGTGTAATATAAAATTATTAGATCTGATTCATTTTAATACAAATGTTTTTAAAAATACTAATATAATAATACTATAGTATGAGATTAAGAATACTAGTTTAGTTTAGTTTTGTATTTATGTACTAATGTAATTTAATAATGAAGCAAGTGTATATGAACAAACAATCCATTTATAGAAGTTTAAAGTGGATAAAGAAAAAAAATAATATAAATAAACAATCCTTAGCATTTGATTGAAATTTTTTGCTACATTATTTGAACCTTTGCTATTAATACATTAATACATTAATAGAATAGAATAATAATAATAATAATAATAATAATAATAATAATAATAATAATAATAATAATAATAATAATAATAATAATAATGAAGGATAAAATCAATTCAATTTTTCACAAAATATTCAACAAGAATAAAGATAAAAAGGATAAAAAAAGAAAAGACAAACATGTTTCAATTACTTCAAGGATAACTTCAATAACTGCGTTAACGATGGATTCGAATCAGAGTAATAATACCAGTGATAATACGAGCAGCTATAATACTAGAACTAGGAGAAGAAATAATAGTAATGATCAAGAGAGTAATTTAACAAATTTGACCAATTTAACGAGTTTGAAAAGTCTAAATTCGATATACAATAAAGAAAATAAAGAAAATGAGAGGTTCAAATATGTAAGTGAATATGATTATATCAATGATAATTATCGTAAACTCATTAAACATGACAGTAATAACAATAATAATTATTATTTTGCTTATGGTAATCATTACCAATATAAATTAACTAGTAAATATCATCACAACTACAATGAAATGGATTATCAAATACAAAGAAATAGCTACCACTCGAAGAATAGCAAATTCCGACAGTCATTATCGAGGGAAGAAAGTGACGATATGGATTATAACACATATGAAGATTACAGCTTGGATATAAACGAGATAGATGAGATAGTGGGAGTGAATGACAGCTATAGGAGTGAAGAGATTGATTACAGCTATTATCCAAGTCCAGAGACATCAATTAAAAATTACAATGAAAGCAATGAAAACAATAAAAACAATGAAAGCAATGAAAACAATATTCTCTGTGCTGGTAATTATTTCGGTGATAAGCTTGATAACCAACGAAGCGAAATATTAAAGATCCGCAAACTAAAATCAACACCACAGCTAATAGCGGAAGATGGCGTGAAGAGCTGCAATGGGCTTTATGGAAGGGAGTTGAACAGCTTCAGCGATGGAAGCAAAGGCTACAGAACATTGGACTACAACTACTACAATCGCTTGAACCTCTCTCTCAACAACATTAGCAACTACCGGAGCTGCACCGTGGAAGACGGCAATCCGGAAGACGCCGTTTCGATCCGAAATCCGGGCAGGCCCGTAAGCAGGCTCATCGCCAACCACTCCCTCCACCAGCAGGAGTTCGCGCAGGAGCTCTCGCGCGCGTCCGGGCTGCAGTTGCAGAACAAGTTGCCGGAGAAGCCCTCCTTGTTGAGCTGGATCCCCGAGATCCCGTTGGACAGCGCCGCCTCGAGCAGCTCGTGCAGCTCCCGCGGCTCCTGCGCCACAACCACCACGCGGGCGGAGCGCTTTTCGCTCTGGCAAAATGCCGTCGCGTACCGCCGGGCGCTCGCCGCCGAGCACCGGTTCTGAGCTGCTTGCTCTTTTGCACTGGTCTTTTGCACTGCTCTGTTTCCTCCACCTCTTGCTTCTTGAGCCTCTCGAGCCCACTTCTGTGTCGACTTCTGCTGCCTCCTCCGAATAATGTATCGCGATGTTTGTCTACTCAAAGCCAGCTACTCCTCCTGTCGTTAATCCGGCAGCCACCATATGTCCCATCAACTACTTGGAGGTCAACTCAATCAGCAACTCAAACCCACTCTATGACTTGGACTTTGACAACATCGATGGCTACTACAAGCAGACCCTCTCCCTCATTGTTCCCAGAACACCCTTGATGCACTCTGATCCAAACACTTACATTGCTCTTCCAAAGGGCTTCAATCCAACAAAATCGAAATATGGCATACCCTACTCCAATCTCATCACTGATGCCAATCTAATTACCAGTTCTTCACTTCTCAATGACTCAAATGACTACAAAAAAACTACTCCAATAGTCGCTTCTTCTGCCCCCAGCACTGATTCAAATATCCTCAATTCTCCCAATCCTCCTGATCCTTCCAATCCTTCCAATCCTTCCAATCCTTCCAACACTCCAAACACCTCAACTCTAAACAACGAAATTCACCCACAAACAGTCGACCACCCTTCCGATAATTCAAACAATTCAAACGATTCTGATAATTCAAACAACATCACTTCCAATTCAAATTCCACTTCCAATCCTCCTTCCAATCCTATTTCCAATCCTATTTTCAATCCTTCTTCCAATCCCACCTCTACTTCTACTTCCAATTCAAATCAAAATCAAGTGCAAAATCAAAATCAAGCCCCAAACCCATTAGATCGTCTTCCCTATGGCTCAAACTTGAACCCTTTATTACCTGATCCTTTCAAATTTGTTCATTTAACTCCTGGATGTCTGCAAATCTATATAGACTTGAGTCTTAACCAAAACTCTTTTTTAAATCAAAATTTCAACCTCATAAATTCAAATATATCTTTGCAAAATAAAAAACTAGTTCCTTGGGCTTCTTCTAAAAAACACTCTTCAACCTTAAACTCGATGTCAAAAATTATAAATTCTTCAAATACAACCTTAACCTCCTCTCTAACTTCTTCTACAAATAACCTTGCTGAAAACAATTCCACCACCACAATTAACAACAGCAACAGCAACAACAACAACAACAACAACAACAACAATAATAATAATAATAATAATAATAATAATAATAATAATAATAATAATAATAATAATAATAATAATAATAATAATAATAATAATAATAATAATAACAATGCTGTCAATAATAACACAAACACTGTCAATAATAACACAAACTCATACATTAAAAACCAAATATATGCCTCAAACTCCTTGGCTGCCTCTTTAAGGAAAACTCCAAAATCAACAATCGCAAGAAATAACTCAAATTTTATATCCAGAGCAATCATAATTGAAAATTTCAATAAAAAACTAGCCCTTTCTTCTTCTCTACTAATAGCATACAACGGTAGAGTATTTAACCTTTTTTCTCTAAAATTAAACTCAAGCTTCGTCTCATCTCCAACAAATCTTAACGACAATGAATCCTTATTCGAAAACCCTTTAATAAGACTCATTTTTCCCTCTGTTATAACAAAAGTTTCCTACTTCTTCTCAAGAATCATATCAAACTCGATATCAAACTCAACCTCAAATAATATCTCATCCTCAAATACTTTCCTGTCTCTAAACCAACCCAATTTTGAAAACCATTTAGATATCCTAATCGGCTTTGCAACAGGAGATATTATTTGGTACGATCCCTTCATAAACAAATACTCCAGATTTAACAAAAATGGTAAATTCATTTCCTCTCCAATTCTCGACCTTAAATGGATAAGAAATGGCCTCCAATTCTTAGCCGCCTTTGCTAATGGCTCCATACTAATCTTTAATCGTGATAAAGATGATCGTAAATCCTTAAGTTTCAATATTTCTCCCGCCTCAAAAAAATTCATTAAAATTTATAACTCAATTAATCAAAACAGCCAGAACAACCAGAACAACCTCTCTGACTATAACCCAGTAGCCTATTATAAGATATCAAAATCCCCAATCACCTCAATTTCCATTTCAAATAATAAACTACTATTTGATGAGTTTGTCTGTTTAACCTCTGATGATGGCTTTTTAAGAATATTAAACATTAAAAACGAATCCATATCGGACATCATTCCTTCTTATTTTGGTGGCCAACTCTGTTCTGCTTGGTCTCCCGACGGCAAATATCTAGCAATTGGTGGGCAAGATGACTTAATCAATATTTATGAAATAAATTTATCTACAATCTTACTACAACAGCAGCAGCAACAACAACAGCCAACTGAATCAAATTTGGACAACGAAAACAATTCATCAAATCAGTTCAAAATTAAACTAATAGCTAAATTACAAGGCCACCATTCTTGGGTGAGATCCGTTGCTTTTGATAATTTAAAATGTCCTCCAATATCAAAACAATCTCCAACAACTTATAGATTAGGCTCCGTTGGGGATGATGGCAAACTTTTATTATGGGATTTCACTCCTAAATTGTTACCCAAAATTAAAAACAGGCATAATCATCATCATCATCATCATCACCACCATAATTATAATCGTCACTCTAATAATAATAATAATAATAATAATAATAATAATAATAATAGTCGTTACACTTCTAATAATAACTATATCAATAAAAAATCTCAGAGTTATCAACATACTAACACTAATTCAGTTTCTGTAAATATTAAAAATACAAATGTTAATAACATTAACCAAAGATCAAATAGTAATCCCAAATATAATTTTACAAGATCCACAAATAACAGACAGATCTCTAATAATACTTTCAATCCATCCAATACAAACGTAAACACTAGAAGAACTGATAGCGGCAATTCTATATTATCTTTACAACAACAGCTACAAAAGAACCAGGGACATCCTATATCATTAACTCAAGCAATGCTCTCACCTGTGAATTCCCATGTTTCGGCAAATACAGTTACGTTAAACAATAAAGGAACGAATTCCATGGCCGATAATGAAATCAACAGCAATAGCAAAAATATCGACACTGGTAATAAAACTGCTCAAGTGAACGGAATTATTGTTGATGGAACATTTATTCATAATGTTATTCCCAAAAGAGAAATTCCTTCGATTCAGCCTTTTAGCTCGTTGAATTGTGGCCTAGATAGATTAAGTAGTGTTGAATTCGTTCAAACTGGAATATGGGTTAGCAGTTTCGGTGGTGATATTAAAAAATGGATTAGACCTTATTAAGATGAAATTTGTCGCATATTATTATTTGATAGTTTCATTTCTCCTTTAACCCTTAACCCTTAACTTTTCACCCTTTATCTTTAAATTTTTGTTTTTATTATAGCTATTTATATTTTTTTGTTTTTTGGAAACCCCAAATTAGATTTTCTGATTTTTAAAAATTTTAAACCGTTTTTTTATTTTTAGAAGAGTATTTTTTGTTTTTCGTTTGTTTTTTATTTGTTTTTTATTTGTTTTTTGATTCTTTTCTTTTTATTGTACTTATTTTTATTCATATTTTTTCTGCTATTCTATTTATTTCGATGTTTACAATAAATTTTTATGATTGATGAAATTTAATGAAAGAAAAAACAAAGATAAGACAATATCAGTAAACTAGTAAACTTTTAAGCTACTTTTGGGTTGTTTTAAAGTTCAAATGCAATAAAGCTCAATTCGCCGTACATATGAGAGACAATAGATAGAAGCTATTTCATAAATTAATGTCACTAAAGAATTGTTGTTTTTCATTTCTTTTTCGCTCAAACTCATTAATAGCCTTGAAAAGAATATTATTCAGTTTTTCAGTGACAAGCTATGGACCTAAGTGAAGGTTCAGTGTTCCATAAGTACTTTCCTAGAATTGCTCCAACAACAACCGAAATCATAGCCCAGCCATTATAGGTCATAAAAACGAGCATTAGCATAAAAGAATAACCGACTTGAAGACCATATAGGAATGAGTTGATTATCTTTTTTTTCTGTTGAATTTTTATTATATCTCCTGTGGATGGAGTGTTGGGAAGCAAAGCATCTGTTTCGGCAAAAGGAATATTAGTATCTTCTGTTGTATGCAAGAGAAAGTTGTGTTAGAATGAATGAAGTTTGAAGAAATCAAAATGAAAAAAAAAAACAAAAAAAACATAATGATATAAAACTGACAAGTTTAAGCAAAAATAACCCATTGACTATAACATACTTCCAGTTAACGACTTTTCGTATTTCAGAATTTTGTATTTCAACCACTCGTAACCTGCACTGATCAACACAAGGAGAAGCAAGGAGAAAACTAAACCCAACAATGATCTGATATGCCACCAGCTGAAGATAATACAGAGATTTTTGTAATTCCAGGTGAAAAGCATGTCCATTGAACACATATCGTCCATATCATGGCCATCGCCTGGCATTCCTGGCATTTCGTGGTCCATTTCCAGTGCTGCGAGCTGCTGAGGGATCTGTTTGCAATAGCTGGAGCAAAGAAAGAGCACTCACAGTTTTCGAGCAAGCGATTTATATCTTGATAAGTGAGAAGAGGGCTCTGGAAAAACGGCTAAAGCCCTGCCGAAACGCACTGTAATTGGCCAATGAGCAGAGAGAATATTTCCTGGTTTGAACTTGGTGGATTTGGGGGATTTGGTGTTGGTGGCAGTTATGGAGCAGAACAGAGAACAGTCGTTTCTAGAGATCGTCAAGCAGGTGGACACTCTTCCCTACCCAGGCGAGAAGGACTACGAGTTGTTTTTGCAGAATACCTACGAATTGATCACCCATGATGGAGAGCAGACAATAGGCCATATTATCACCTATATTGTCCAATCTCTTAAGAAATGCATGGAGTTGACAAACGACGACTGCTTAATCTTCGACAATAAACAAAAAAAATGCTTTATAAACCCCAGGCTTGATACCTTTGACAAAAGAAGTGGCGCCTTCAACAAAATTGCCACGGTTTGTAGAGACGAGAAGATAATCAAAGTATTGGAGCATGGCTGGCGAAATGAGTCGTATGTTATTTATTATCCAACGTCAGTTCCATATATTGCTGTTGAAAGGGCATTCAGTGTTTTATTAGGCGTGGTGACTTACGGGGTTCATTTGGTTTGTTATATCCCTCCTCATTTATCTTCAACGAATGAACTAAAATTCTGGATTCCAAAGAGGTCAAAGAACAAACCAACGTTTCCATCAATGTTGGACAACACAGTTGCCGGTGGAATAGCCTATCCATATGGTGTATTCGAGACATTGGTTAAAGAAAGTGAAGAAGAAGCAAGCTTAAGTTCCAAGTTTGTTGAAGAGAACTCAAAAAGTTGTGGGGTGTTATCATATACATATAAGAAAAATGGTGCCAATTATGATTCCGCGAATTGCAATATCCAGCCTGAAACTGAGTATATTTATGATATAGAAATGAGTGAGGGCGATATAATTAATATTCCTAAACCCAATGATAACGAAGTTGAATGGTTTAAATTATTGAGTTTAAATGAAGTATTAGAAAAATTAAAACAAGGTGAGTTCAAACCAAATTGTGCGCTTGTTATAATTGATTTTTTGATAAGAAAAAGTTATATTACACCAGAAAATGAACCGTATTATTTAGAGATTGTTCAGAGAAGCCATAGAAAGTTTCCTTATCCAACAAGATGAATAAACGTTTATAATTAGCATTGAATTTACCTTTAGCTAGGGTTTTTTTTTTTTTTTTTATTTTTTATTTATATATTTGCTATATTTTGTATAAAAATCGCGTAGGTTTGAAATTCCGTCTGAAAGTTATTTTATTTTATTTTATTTTATTTTATTTTATTTTATTTCATTTCGTTTTCCGTATTTTTCGTATTTGTTTTTTCTTTTTTTTTAATTTGATTGTTTGAAGGGTGATGATAAACCATTACTGTTAAGGAGGACATGAAATAATTGATAAATTGAATATAAAGATAATTTTAACTGATAATGAGTGAAAGAGGAACGAAAAAAAGAAGAAGAGAAAGAAGAGAAGAAATCGAAGAAATTGAAGAGATATCTGATGACAATTCCAATGAAGAATCAAATATAAACTATGAAGATTACGAAGAACGACAGATTATTGAGGAGAAAAACAAAATACAGAATGAATATGATAGGATGGCGTATAAACTTGTTCGTGGTGTTTTGTCATTAGAATTTCAAAGGACTATTATAACCAGGGGACAATTACAGAAAGTTGTTTGGCAGGACAAAACATTTAAAAGTATTAAATTTGATAAAGTGTTTGAAAAGGCTCAAAAAATCTTAGATGAAACATTTGGAATGAAGTTGGTTGTATTGCCATTAAAAACAATTAGCTCCAATTCCAATAATTCGAAAAAAGCCAATGTCAGACGAGCAAAGATCGCAATGGATAGCAAAAGACGAAATGATAATAGTAATGAAAATTCCAATCAAACAGAGAATCAAAATACAAGTTCGAATGCAAGTTCGAATGCAAATACAAATACAAGTACAAATGCAAATGCAAATGCAAATGAAAATGAAAATGACAACAATAACAACAACAACACCAGCAACAGTAGCAATAATGGACAAACAAGCTCTCAAAAGAGCTACATATTGGTTTCCAATTTAGAAAACAAAGACGAGATCGTTTTGCACAAATATTGGTCTGAGTCTTCGAATAAGTTTTTTGAGAATTTGTTTGATCACGAAGACTCCAGTTCAGGGTTTGATTCACTTACAATCTCAAAAGATTTAAACAAAAATTACAACTTGCCTTTAAATTCCGATGAGCTCATTTACAACGGATATGTTTTGTTGATAGTTTCGATCGTATCTCTCAGCAATAACAACATGAACCAAACCGAGTTGGTAGAGCTACTCAAAAAACATTTTGGGATCGAGGGCTTGTCAAGCACAATCGAGGGATTGAATCTCAACAACAGCGATGTGACGTTGGAGGACTTGTTGAAAGCACTAGAGAAAAACGAGTACCTCTTTAAAAGTGTGATACGAGACGACATGGACGAAGTGATCGAGTACTCAATCGGGCGAAGAGCAAAGGCCGAATTCCCGAAGGAAAGCATGGTCGAGCTAGTTCGGTTCGTGTACGGGCTGACGGACGGGGATGACGCGGTTGCCGAACTGGCCCGTTACAGCTTGACCGAAGCGTACAGCTAGACAGCAGACCCACCGTGCTGGAGCGGTGACAAGAGAGCCCTACTGCGTCCCAATGCGTCCTAGCGCCGTGGCCGCAGCGTGTGTTTAGGGCTGGAAAAGAAAGGAGGTGTTTTTGGTTTTGTTCAACGTGAAATGAAAAGTGCGTTTTTCTCTGATTAACAACTGCTCTCGCTGCTTTTGTGGTCTGTGGCTGTCTTTCGCTATATTATATCTTAGTTTTTTGTATCCCTTTTGTCTTCTCTTTTTCTGCTATTATTTTGTCTTTCTTTTCCCTCCCAACCACTGCTCTTTAAATGGACTTTAAATCCACTTTTTAAAGATACTATCTGAAAAATACCCCAAAACATGAGCCAACCATCAACCCCCATTAGCCAACATTACAGCTCCAATTCCAATCCCTTCGCTAATTCTACTCCTATTTCTACTTCCAAACCCAATTCCAATGTCTCAATTCCAATCCAAAAAAAAAACAGGCCTCCCAAAGATTTGACTGTTCATTTCAATTCCCTCAAAACCTTTCTTGACTCTACTTCTGATATCAAAAGAAAAGAGTCTTCCACCACCAGAACCGAACGTGCAAGAGAAAAGCTAGCCAAACTATCTGTCACCCAGTTTTGCGAGTTAAGCATTGATGTTTACGATGAATTGCAAAGAAGAATTAACAACGACAGAATCGACAACCTATTGAAAAATAACGCTCTAAATAACGACTCTCAAAAAAAATTAGATCATTTGTTGCCCAAGAAAAATCTTCACCCAAATAGAAATCATGCAAGGAAAAAACTTGCTTTTTTACCATTCACAAGATTCAGAGATTTGGCAAATGATATCTCTTACGAAATTCAACGAAGAAATTTGGCTAATAACCCTAATCTTTCGAACTACAATAACAATCTTCACCATCAAAACAAAATTGATACCGAATTCACTTCTGCTCAATCTAATACCCTCATAAACCAATCCACAACAAGCTTTTCTACGCCTAAAGAAAAAGAAGATACTATAGATAAAACCCAAATGCCATTTTCCTCCCCCTCAAAAGATAAAAATGTGCTAAATGATATTCATGAAACTATTGAAAATCTCAATAAAAATACTTTTAATAACGATAATCCCAAATTTGAAAAAGATAATCCCAAATTTGAAAAAGATAATCCCAAATTTGAAAAAGATAATCCCAAATTTGAAAAAGATAATCCCAANTTTGAAAAAGATAATCCCAAATTTGAAAAAGATAATCCCAAATTTGAAAAAGATAATCCCAAATTTGAAAAAGATAATCCCAAATTTGAAAAAGACAATCCTATAATTGAACCAAATATCGAAAATATTAAAAATGAAGATACTAAAGATACTAAAGATATCAAAGATACTAAAAATACTAAAGATACTTCTAATGACTCTAAACTGCTTGAATCATCTATTCCTACAATGCCTGTTGGTGTGCAAACTGGGACTGTTATTCCTACAAAATCAACTTTGGCTTGGAGTAGTGATGAAGAAAGTGATGAAGAACTTGTTCCAGAAATTCAAAAAGAACCCCCCAATGATCAATTTCAACCTTCAATCCCAAATAATCAAAATCAAAATCAAAATCAAAACGGAAAAGTTATTCATCAAAACTTACCTTCCACCAATAAAATAATCTCTCTTGAGAAATCCATCTCTGATCAAACTTCACCCGAAAAATCCACATCAACAAAATATTCACCCCAGAAAACTGTTCCTCTAAAAATTGACGATCATCATCAAATTGACTCTCCCCAAGAATCTACTCCAGAGAATGATCTTCTTCCTGACTTGAATGATATAACTGACCTCAGAAGTCATTCAAATGCAATCTCAAAATCTCTTATCCCTGAAAATTCCTCCGAATCTCCAACAAATTATAACTTTCATTCCAATTCTCATCAAAACTCTAATAGCTTGGCTTCTAGAACCTCATCTATAAAACGTGGTTTATCATTAAATACAAATAAAAGAGATAAAGATAGAGAAATCGAATTACTTCTAGAAGAAGGAACTAAAATGGATCAAACTATAACTAACTTGGAACAAAAAATCATAACTCTAAATAACACCATTTCACAAAATGACAAAGATAAATCAAATCTCAATTTCAAACTCGCTAAATTAGAATCTGATTTAGCTAACCAAAAACAAAAACTTTTACTATCAAATGATCAATTCAATCTATTTACTAAAGAATGGGAGGCCGAAAAGGTAAAGTATGATTCAAAAATCAATGACCTTAATATTATTCTTGAACAACGTAATTCCAATATCTTGGATTTGCAATCAAATCTATCCGATCAAAAATCCTTAAATCATTCTTTTAATGAAAACTACAACCTATTAAAATTAGACTTTAATGATTTAAAAACCCAAAATACTACTTTGATTGACCAAAATAAATCTCTTCAAGAAAATCTCGACATCTATAGTGCACAAAATGAGAAAGTTTTTCTAAAAAATAAAGAAATGCAAGACCAAATTATCTCTAAAGAAAAAGACTTAAATGAAATTTTAGCCAACTTACAATCAAAAAATATTCTAATTGCCGATTTAAGAAATGAGATAGAAAAAAACAATATTGAAGTTGATTATCTTAAAAATGAATTGGAAAATAAAGATAACGAAATAGAAATCAAAGATTCACAAATTGAGTCACATAGGTCTATAATCAACAAAGATAGAGACAGAGAATTTCAACTTCAGAAAAAAATCGAAGATGAAAAAGAGCAAATAATTAAAACTAGAGAATTAGAAGTTGCAGACTTGAAGAACCAAGTAGCTGAATGGAAAACCAAGTATTCAGATTTACAAGAATCCAATGAAAACCCTCATACTTTCAATCTCAATTCAAAAGAAATACAATTCCCAGATTTATCTGAAAAATACCTGGCTAGATTTTTTGATCCTAATGGATTACTTTCACTAAAGTCTATTATGGACTTAAATCATCATATATCATGCTTTTTAGTATCTATTCATCAGGAACCGATTCATATAGACTCACTTTTTGAAATCATTTCCAAGATTTCTGTGATATCTGGCCAGATTGCAAATGATGGAGCCAATACTAAACATGGTGAATACTCCTCCTTAATAAAAGCTGCTATTTCCCATGCTATCACTTCCATTAGATATTTTTCTCTTTATCAGTCGACTTTACCTCGATTGGTGATTGACAGTGCTGTTGCCGAAATATCATTTTGTGTTTGTAATTTGATTTCAGAAGCAAAGATAAATCCAAATGGAGTAAGCTTTGTTAATTTCTCCAATAACAATATACAATTTGACAAATCTTTAATCAATTCCACCAATTTTGATGATGCACCAAGACCTTTTAGAACTGCAAGAAAAGGCAGCTCATTAGGCTTGACATCAAATGAAGGAAAGAATTCTTTTGGTAAAAACAACTTGAATTTCAATTCTAATCAAATAAGAAAGCCTTTATTATCTATACAGAGTAAATTCAATACCGAGAAACCTGACAGTCTCACAAACGGAAATTTAGAAAAAAATGAAATGTTTTACAAAAAAGGTCTCAAAATTAGTACTCGAATAATAGGCAACTCTGAAAATATGAACATTGAAAATAATATATATACAAATGATAGAAGTGAAGACGATCACAGTTTTGATCAACATAGCAGAAATATTTCGGAATTATTAGATATAGACTCGAACTTTATTGAAGAGTTTAATTCAAACAAAGATTTAACTCATAATAACACCAATAATGTCACTTCTCATAATGGTTTTAATGGTCAATTAATTACCAATAATGTTAGCAAAGTTTCAATTGTTGATATTAGTAAGGAACCAATTGTTTACGATGTTAGTCAGGACTCAATTGTTGATAATAGTACGAGCAAAAACTCAATTACTAACAATATTATGAGCAAAGACTCACTTTTTGATAATGATATAAGCAAAAACTCCACTTCTGATGATGGTATAAACAAAGAATCAGTTAGTCACAACAATGAAAGCGAACAAACGGTTAGTCTCAATAACATGAGCAAAGAATCAACCGTTGACCATATTAATGAAGAATTAAAAACCTCTGGGTTTTTAGCACAATCAACTACCACTGATAACAATTCCGTTTCTTTAAAAAATGCGAGAGACTTTCCACTTAAAAAGTCAAATGAAATGCTACCATTGGCTTCCAGAATTACTTCAGGAAAAATTGTTCAACAAACAATTATCTCTCCTTCGGTTTTAGGTAAAGTCCCTCCAAATGGTAATCAAAATGAAGAGGTCCCACGTCCTCTAAACCACACTCCTAAATCACTTCCTATAGACTCTATTGCTTCAAAACTCACATTAGAAAATCTGTACAAATCAAAGGCTGCAGCAAAAACCGTTGTACATCAAAAATCCACTAGCATTTTGAATTTGTTAAAACAATTTGAATCACCTCAAAATAAAATTCAAAATTTAAGAGCTCCACCAAAAGTTAGTAAAATAAATGGTAGCAGGAAACCAAGCATTGGCGTTTCAAATGTAATTAGCAACTTTGAGGCAAATTCAAGAAAACCAAGTTACAATTCTACTGCACCTGCAAACAAAATTGCAAATTCTGATTTTCATGTGATGACTATTCAAGCTGAAATCGATTCATCTGCTCTTAATAATGAAATTTTACATAACTCTGTTTCATCGGGAATGGCAGAAGTTTTAAGTGGTCTTGCTGTTTCTAAAAAACATGAGATTCAAGAAGGTTCAGATGATAATATTATCAAAAATAAATTGACAGAGGACAGTATTAAGAGTTTTAATTCAATGAACAATAAGGGAGATAACTATGAAAATAGGTCTAAGAATAGTGTTGGTGGTGAAAACAGTGATGGATTTGATACTATTTACGATATTGAAGAAGAATATATTAAGGAAAATCAAAAAATTGATAATGCTAAGTATATTAGTTCTACCATCGATAGAAATGGCGGCAATGAAAATAATAACATTAGTGAAAAATATGAAAAATATGATCAATATGGTAAATATAATAAATTTGACAAATATGAAGAATATGAAGAATATGAAGAATATGATGATAGTGATGATAGTGATGATAGTGGTAACACATTGGATCATAATGAAAGGAAAAACTTTTACAATGATGTTAGTAACAACCAATATGAAAGCGACGAAAGAAAGATCAGTGAAAGTAATGGAAACGCAACAAAAAATAACAATGAAGGAGATAGTATTGATAAAAGCATCAAGGTCATTGACAACATAAATAATGAAAATATTAATAACCAAACCAAAGATGGTAGAAATAATAATAATGAAAATTTAGATTACATAAATCAAAATATTAACGAAACTGCAACCAATGATTGTAAAAGTAACGTTATGAAGCCTTTTAATACTTTAGATGGTCATTTTCATGAGAACACAAATGGTGCTGACGATATTAAAAATAGTGTCGAGAAGAGAGATGATGATGACAATCATCAATTTAAACCTATTGAGAATTATTATATAAGTGATAATCTTTATAATACAGAAGGTATTATTGATAATAAAATCAATTATGAAGACAAAGGCAACAATAGTAATACGAATGGAAAATATACTGATAATAAAAAGAAAAATCAATCAGAAAACAATCTTATTGAAGATATAAACAATGAAGAAGTGAATGAGCAAAGCCAAACAAAGTTGGTTGAAAACAAAATAAATATTAATCAACAAAACTCTTCTGATATTCTAGCAACTTCTAGTATTCAAAAATCACAAGGCTTAAACGCAGAGAGTAATAATTATTTAATTGAGCAATCTATGGTTTCTAAAGGTATTATTACTGAACAAAAGAACTCTGATTCTAGCTTTCATTTTTCAGAAAAAATTGAAAGCTCAGCGTTAAATGATATTTTTACTAACTTTAATAAAAATAGAAGTTCTTTAGACCCAAAAATTTCAGAACCTTTGGATAATACACAAAACGATGGCGACGAAACAAATAGTTTCATTTTATCCAGTTTTGATTTGAACAAAGAAAAGATTTACAATTCATCAACAAATGTTTCTTCAACTTTTAATTCAAACACAAAATCATCCAAAGTTAAATCTTTGGAAATAAAAAAATCATATAATTTAAATAATAGTACTCAGAATAATTTTTTAGAGTCAGCAACACAAAAGGAAATTCATGTAGTTGAATCTTCTATTTTTAGTCCTAGTGAGAATAGACACCTAACTCCGAGTACCGATAAACTGACAGAAATAAATGACATTTTCAGCTCGGATGAACAAGCTCACAAATATAAATTTAGCCCTGATGAAAGCGAATTTTTCACAGACAGAAGTTTGAATACTGGTGGAAGCAGTGCCAAATTTCCATCGCAGTTACACAAAGAGGCATCAGATACTGTTCTAGCCCAGAAAGAACTGTCTGGTAATGAGTTTGCGTTAAGAGCCAGCAACCAGGATTATGCCCCCATTTATGATGATAACAAAGATTATCATTCAATTTCAAGTTTAGATACTACGTCAACACATGAGCAGGATTTAAAATTGAAAAATGAAGTAATAGTAAATGATCAGTATAAAAATGTCAACAAAGATAATGTAATTTCTATCAACAATAACAGATTTTCTTCTTCTTTAAGCTCTTCAAGTTCATTAAAAGATTTTGAGATGGAAATGAAATATTCACAAGATACTAACTTTAATAACCATCCTTCTCAAAATTTTGTTTCTGATTCTAGAGTTGGTAATCAGACTCAACAACCATCTTATATATCAACTCAAGAAATTGGTTCAGATTTTAATAACGAGTATGATTCAGATTCGGATTTTGAAATTATGAATAGTGGATTTCAAATTCAAAATAACAACTTAGAAAACCATTCAATAGACCTATCTTTAAGCCGAAACAAAACAGATTCTTTGGTGGTTCCGGATAAAGTTGAATTACACATAAAACATCCAATACAACCAATTGTTGAAAAGTTCGATAAAAAAAAAGGATTTTCTTTTTCTTCATCCAGTTCTTTTAAACAAATTAGTACTACAAAAAACTCACATACAATAGCAAATGAACTACAAACTCAAGAAGTTGAAAAAGATAATAAGGTTGAAATTCCTAAAAAAAATCTTAGTTTTTCTGATGGTCTATCTCTTCAGCCAAAAGAGTTTTCTTCTTTAAAAGCTGAAGCCTTGAATCAAAATATGCTTTTAGAGAACTCTAGTGATGATCATACAGAATTTGAAATGGTGAATATTAAGCCGAAAAAGCTTGATATTTTATCTCTGGAGGTTAAACTCAACTTAATTGAAAGTTCTAACAATTTGCAAATGAATGACGTTAACTCCGACAAAATTGGATTTTCACAGCAAAAGATTTTAGATATTCACCAATCACTGCTTGAAAATCCTGATTTGTATAATTCTGATTGCAACAGTCACAATGTTGATTTAACTAATCATTTATCAGAAGTTGATATTGATCATAAAATGCTAGAATTAGATTCTTCCAGGGGTTCAAAAGAAGGAAAGAATTTGAAAGTTTATAATGAAACCAAAAAATCTTTTAGTAACCTTGAAGAGTCGGACAAGACTGATTCTTTAGTTAAAGCCTGTGTTTCAAATAATGAATTTGACAACAGTCATCAACATTTGCACAAAGATAGCGAGAATAGTTCAACTTCTAACTTTGAAATGTATAATGGCTCAACCAAAAGATTTGTTGATTCAAAAAAATATAAAACCAACCAAAAAAGTTTTGTGAATGAAAATTTTGCTTATAAGTTTGATCACAAAAACAATGATGATAGTGATTACTTATCAGATGATAATGATTATAGCGATTTTTCGTTTCATGAAAATGCACACACTGAAAAATTTTTTAAGGGTCAAGGATTGATCTCTAAAAACATTTACGATAGCAATCACAATTCAGATTTCGAGTTTTCTATTGGTCCCGATAACAGGAAATTTTTTCGAAATCAAGATGATTTTTACGACAGTGACAATATAGAAGATTTTTCATTTCCTCAGAAAAATAAAACCGCTAAACCTGATCTGTTTGATGAAGGAACTTCTTTTGAGAAAAATGTTTTGGACTTGGATATAAAGAATAAGAGTAAGCTACAACAATCAGATGAGCAGTCAAGCAATCAAACCAATTCCAGATCAAAATTTGTTGGCTTTGAAAAAGCACAAAAAGAAAAAAATGAAGAAAATACTCAAAACATAGGTGATACTCACTTCGAGAAAGATGATTATAATATTGAAGAAATATTTTTAAAAGATCCGTCAGAGACTGTTTATGATGTGGAGGGTGAAGGCATTACTAAATATTCTCAGAACTATCTGAATACTGATAAGGTAGATACAGACACAGACATAGATGAAAAACCAAAAACCAAATTTGAAGACTACAAAAATGAAAACAGTGTGAAGATGAAAAATGAAAAAATAAGTTTGAATGGCAATGAAAAGAGTTCAACAGAGTCACCGAAGCCTTTAGCATATGAAGATAAAAATAAAGAAAGCGTAAATAATAAATGTTTTTCTACAGCAGAGGAGGTATACTCAAATGAAATTTCTGAAAATGATGCTTCGGAAATTTTTACTGAAAAAAAAAATTTAAATAAACACACGAATAATAAATTTAATATTGATCTTAGCCAAGATTTTGAGAAGTTGACACCAATTATTACGAATGGTGGTGATTCTACAAACTCGATTAAAGATCACGACTATGGTGATATCTGTATTCCAAATATTATAAATCGGAAAAATGATACAGAAAACTCTAGTTTAGCTCATTTTAACGAAATTGATAGTATTAAAAATGCTAAAGAAGAAAACGGAAATGTTACTAAAATAATTCCTAAAAGTTATCCAATGAATGTTGCAAATGTTAAACAAAATTCGAAACCTATTAGACTCGATTTAAATCATGAGGAAAAAGAGAATAATAAATTTTTAAATGATTTAGGTTATCAATTAAATGTGAATGGAAATGAAGTTGGTGATAAAAGGAAAACGCTGAATGAAAAAGACAAACAAGAAAACAATGATAAAGAAACTTTAAAAATTAAAGAAAAAATTAGAAGTAATTCATTGGGAAGTATTGCTGACAAAAACTATCAAAAAATTATAAATGAGAATGGAAATGATTTAGAAACTCAAGATCTAGAAGCGAACCGAGAAGTTGCAAGTAAACCCTTACTTTTAGACAGCATTGATAACATTCATGATACCAAAATAAAACAAAAAAGTTTAATTGATCATGAAAAGAAAATAGAAAGCGGTTTTTTTGTTTCAACTCAAGAAAGTTATTCTCATTTAGATAATGAGAATATTGTGAACACTGAAAGCAAATTTGTAAAGAGCGAACTGCAAGTTATTAGTAATAATGAAGACCACAGTATAATTTTCAATAATCAAAATGAATTAAAGGAAGATGAAAAATTAATTGGAGAAGAAATCAATAAAAAGGATGTTATTTCTGATTTCATTAGAGATAAAAAAACAACTAGTAACATAATTAATGAGATAGATGCATTTGATATTGATGAAAAAAGTGTTGATAATCAGAGGCAAGTTAAAGAAAATCTATTAAAATCTTTTGTGGATCAAGACTGTTATCCACCAATGACAAACAATCAAAGTAGCATCGAATCAATTGTTGAGCTAAAAAATGATAAGCCTGAAACGCGAGAAACCAATAACAGTGTTGATATAAAACATCCAAAACAGGAAAATAATGTCAAATATATAAAAGAAAATAATAAGAATATGCTAAATATTGAAAAAATATTGGGTCAAAATCATAACGATACAATAAATAAAAGTGATCCAAGTGAAATTGAAACCACCTCAACTGTTGATTTTCAAAAAAATCCTGATAACAACTCAAAAAGTGATGAGAATCACATAGATGATAATAAAAAACTTTTGTTAGAGTTTAAAGAGTTGCTGAATAAATCAAATTCCAAGAACACAGATATTGCTTTGGAAGATCTCAATCAGGTGGGAAATAATTTAAAGGGAAGCCTTTCTAAATTTGATTACCAGACCAAAGATTCTCAGCTTGATAAATATCAAGAAAACAAATCCATTGATTTTAATGACAATAAACAACCTAGAACTATCGAAAATAATAAAAAGGCTTTGAATGATGACAATGAAACTGAAACTGATTATCCAAATAATTTTAATGATCAAAATTATCATAACAAATACTATGATGTACAAGATCAAAAAAAAACTACTTTTGAAAATGAAAATAATACCTCAAATTCTTTTATTCAAAAAGATTTAAACATTTCTAATCAAAATTTAGATTTAGTCATTCAATCCTCAAATAAAGTAGCAATAAGAAAACAGAACTTTTCACCGAAGTTGGATTTAAAAAATGAAATAAAGAATTACAATGATAAGTATCAAAAAACTGACATTTTGCTGAATCCTGATGATTCAAAAATAAAATTAGACTATTTACCAGAATTGCAAATTGGATTACAGGAAAATAACTTCGGGCATGATTATGAGACTTTTAATTCAAATAACGATGACTTTTCTGATGATATAACCAATGAAATAGGCAACCAGCTATTTCAAAATTTGGAGAAAAACACATATTGTTTTACAAAAGACATAAACAGTGAAAATATAACAGACAGCCTGCAAAATAATGGAAAATTCGATATTTCTACAGAGGAAAATAATAATGGTTTTACAAAAGAAAAGGAGATCATCGTTTTTGAAGAATCAAAAGATATTCATCAAAGAGAGAAAAAGGAATCTAATTTGAACCAAACTATTAATCATCAGTATAAAAGTGATTCGGATAATTCAAATTTTAGCTCTCAAAATATCTTGCTGAACCCAAGGGAAATTCCCGGGGAAATTATATCAAACAAAGATGCTACCAATGAGTTTATTCTTTTTGGTGATAATGGTAAGATAGAAAAAAAGATAAATTCAGACTCTGAAAATAATTTACAAACAATAGCAAAACTTGACAAAGATACAAATGAGTCTGTTGATATTTATCATGAGAACGGGAATCTTAGGAAAATAGATTTTACTTTTTCTAGAGAGAGTATTGATAAGCTTGAAATAACAAATAAGAATGAGTTATCAAGTAATAATAATGAATTCATATATGGTAAGAATGAATTAATATTTGATGAGCATGAAATAACAGATAATATTGCTGACTTAGTATATGATAACACTGGGATAAAAAATAATAATACTAAATTAATTCATGATGAGACTGAGATGGCAAATAATGAGAACAAATCGATATATGATAATAATGAGTTAAGTAATACAAATAAGCCAATACGTAATAAAATTGAAACTAAAAATAATAATACTAAATTAATTCATGATGAGACTAAAATGACAAATATCATTAATAAATCAGTATATGATAATAATGAACGAGCAAACAATAACACTGAATTGCTACATGATGATACTGAAATAAAAACCAATAAAACTGAATTAATACTTGGTAAGACTGTAATGACAAATAATGAGAAAAAAGGATTATATGATAAAACTGAGACTAAAAATAATAACACTAAATCCACCCACGATAAGTCTGAAACAAAAAATAATAACAAATCAGTAGATGACAAAACTGAAATTGAAAATATTAACGGTGAAATAATAGATGGTAATAATGAGTTAGCAAACAATACAAAGCAGATTCTATACGATGGGAATGAAATGTCAGATAATATCGCTGACTTAGTATATGATGAGACTGAAATGATAAACAATGAAAATAAAGCAGTATACAACAATAATGAGTTAATAAGCAATACAAACAAGCCAATACTTAATAAGACTGAAACTAAAAATAATACTAAATTAATTCATGATGAGACTGAAATTAAAAATAATAATAACAAATCAGTATACGATGAGAATAAAATGAGGGATAATAAAAATACAATAACAGATAGGACTGAAATAACAGATAAGAATCAGTTAGTAAGCAATACGAATAAAATTGGAGATACAGATGAACTAGTAAATGATAAGGATAAAATAAAGAAACATATGAATGAAGTAGCAAATGATAGGAATGAACTAGCAAACGATAATAATGAAATTACAGATAATAATAATTTTACAAATGAGAATATTGGATTGAGAAATAATAAGAATAAACTAACAAATACTCAAAATAAGATTATCTTGGAAAATCTTGAACTTAATTCAATTAACACAGCTGTGATTTCCAAAAACAATTCTTCTAAGAATGTGGAGATAAAAAACAATCAGAATGTTAAAAATATTCATCAAAATCCTTTTATAGAGCAAAAAGCACGCAATAATGATAGCTTTTCTTCTTTAACAACAAATCTTGATGGAACAAGATATTCAAATACTAGTAAAGATCATACACCATTTCTAAAAACTGATAAAGAAAAGTTAGAAAATAAATCATTAATTTCTCAAAACAAAATAGCTTCTGATGATGATAATGATGATGGTGATGATGATGATGATGATGATAAACTTGAAAGTGAATTCAATGATAATAAATGCTTTGTAAGGACTTTGGATGAATCAAAAACTAAAGTCAGTGAGGAAAAAGCATATCCAAAGGCATTTATTGAATTGGAGAATAAATACAAAGCAGATTTAAAAACAGATAGCAAAATAAATAAAAGTAAAGAAACAAATAATTCTGGATTAATTCAAAATCCTTTGATACTTGAAAACAGTCCTGAAGAGTATTTGGGTAAAATTAATTTTGAGTCTGATAGCACTGAGATGCCCTTTAATCAAAAAAGTGATTTTGAAGATTACGAAGACTTGAATGAAAAAAGACAAGAAGAAAAATATCGTGAAGCCCAGTTTCCACAGTATACGTTACGGCAGAACACTGAAAACGATAAAACTTATATTCAAAATCAAACTTGCAAAACAAAAACCGAAAAAGAAAATACTTCAAAGACTAATTATCAACAAGAAAATTATGGGTGGAAAACTTATACACAACCAGATCAACAATCTTCAAATTATAAACAGCAGCATACTGAACAGCGAAATTTTGAACAGCAAAATCAACAATTTAGAGATAATCAACAGCAAATTAATCAACAACAAAATATTACACAGTACAGTCCGGAACTTCAGAATCACCAACAGCAAATTACTGAAGAATATGACTATAAAGAGTTAAGCGAAATAAAAAATAACCATCAACCTAAAGCACAAGATTATCAAGAACAAAAACACAAACCAAAAGAATATCAATCCGACGGTTATGAACCGAACGAGCCCAGCCCAAAAGCTTACAATTCACAAGCATACCCAAATAAAATGGATAAAAATGTAAGCAATGAAAATGAAATTGAAAAGAAACAAGAAAAAAGTGGTGATATTATAACAGACAAAACATATGGAATGGGAAAACTAGACAGCACTGAATTTTCTCATCCAAGTGTTCTTAATGTAATAGTTAATGATAATGTTTTGGAACCGCATAGTGTTTATAATGCTACAAATTCCAGCTTTTTAAAAGAGAATCAAGTTGAAAAAGTTTCATTCAGTGATGATACTATTCACACTGTCAAATATAATCAAGTTGATAACAGCAATCATGTTTCTCAATCTACACTTAAAGGCTTTGGTGTTGGTAAAGAAACAACAAATAAGTCCAAATCAAATGAAAATGAAGTTGAAAATGACAAAAGCAACTCAAACGAAATTCAAAAGCATATTGTGGAGAAAAGTGAGGATTATGAAAACAACGATAATCGAACATTGGGAAAACTGAGAAAAACTACAGCTTTAAATATTGATTCAAAATCTAATTATGAAAATAATTTCGTTGAAACTCTGGATATACACTACTATGATGATTTGGTAGAGGAAGATTCAAGTTTATCTGGATTTAAGAATCATAACAGAAATTTATCTGCAAAAAATTCTAAAGCTGAAAATTTATCCCAAAGCAAATATATTGATGTCCAAACCAATACAAAAAATCGGCTTATGAATGAAAGTAAAAATCTAATGATGGATCAAACATCTTGGCATGAACAAGTTCTGAGCAAAAATGATAGTGTTAGCAATAAAGAAAATATGGCTACTGTTCTCAGGTTGCCTGTAGATTCCTCAGCGGCTTCATATAAAGCACAATTGCAACAAACTGATGCTCTCAGTATAGATGGTAGATCTGAAAATTTGAGACAAAGTGATAATTTTACTGACAAAGACCTTTCCAGTGGTTCTGATGAAAGAGAAACTCGAGCAAATGAAAGCGATGGGTTAAGAATGGTTATTTCAGGTAGTGAACCTCTTCTGAACACTAATTTATCTATTACATCATCGCATAAGCTGCTAGGTACTGATCGAACTCATAATATGAATCAAATGCAGTACGAGTATCAGAAATCTGGATATGGCAATAATTTGGATGTTAAAGGAATTAACTATAATAACACTTTGTCTGTTATGGGTAGTTCCTATGATAAAAAAGTGGATGGTTATCAATCAGGCGAGTCTGTTAAGCCAAATCCTATAGAAATTCCACATTCGAATTATTCTGTTCCTAGCAGCGAAAACTCTTCTCTTCCGCCACTGAGAGATGATTTGGATAAAGAAGCCGAGGAATTTGATATTGATACGTTTGATATTGACGATCCTGATAATACATTGGCACATCTTTTGTTGTATTTGGAGCACCAAACCATTCAAGTGATTTCTACGATCCAGGCATTATTAACAACTATCAAACTACCCGATTCGACCAATGGTCAATTGAGAGATAGTTCAAGTGCAATCACAAAGGTTGTGAATCAAATGTATGATGCTACTCGGGTTTCAATGTCACAAAGCAGAAACTACCAGTTAAAAGAACATGGCATTTGGGTTACACAAAACTTGTATGATTGTGTCAGAAGAATGGACATGCTTTGCAACAATGGGAAATTCGATAGAGATTATGCCGATAAACACTTTAAACAACGGCTTGCAGGAATTTCATTTGACATTGCTAAATCCACAAAGGAACTTGTTAAAACAGTTGAGGAGGCGTGTATTAGAGAGGAAATTTCTGCTATTGACCAAAAATTGAATAGATTTCAGCAAATTTGAACAAATTTGGGTGGGTTATATTATAATTATTTTTGAATTTTTTGTTTTATATTATTTTTTTTCTTAAATGATATTTTGATTTTTTCTTATAATTTAATACAAAGTTAAAGAGTAGTATTAAAGTGAGGAAGGAGAGGGAAATAAACAAAAGAGTTACCCTCTTTTAACTTAAAATAAGGAAAGGTGAAAAGCGCAGTTTAAGAGCGAAAAAAATACTGGCAGCTATCAGAGATCAGTTATCGTAATCATAATCATAATCCCAAATCTAAAAAATGAGATATCAAAGACTCAAGTACTGATATCAATATGATAGAGCTAATTAAAAGAAACGCATTCTGGAGGTATCCTATAAATAAAGAGGTGTATGAATCATGCTCAGCGAAACATATCTCAACTGGATCGATAGTGATACCTTATCCCTTTAAATTTATGAGTGAAGATCTAAGTGCTAACGAGCTATTAATTCATTACAAGCCATTTTGTTATTTTTCCAAGCCAGTTTATCTGTCGAATAATATGAATGAGTTGTTCAACAACCAGTTAATCGATATCCAAAACGACTGGAACAAATATTCCAGAGATCCAAATGACGGGCTGTTTTTCTATTCCATTTTTCCAACTATTTATTCGATAACTGCTTCAACAGTGGTGACAATATTTTTAAGCATAATAGTATTTACCAATTTCAATTCCAAACCAAGTTTTTTGTTAAAGGTGGGAACAGTGTTAGCATCAATCAATTTGACGTTACTATTAATTGTTTCAATTATATTTCTTGAAAAGAATCATGAGGCTCTTAATTCTAACAGCGGAGATTTATTCATCGATTTTCTAAGCAGTTATAAGCCCTTTAATATCATTGATTTTTTGGCTATATTGATTCTACAATTTGTGCAGGTTCAAATTATCATGCGAATCTTTTCAAGGCAAAAGGAAAAAAGATTTACATTTTTCATGGGAGGAATACTATCGATTATTTCTCAGGTAATTTGGGCAGTATCAACCTACAGTTCTAGCCATGGTTCAATTCTAAGCTCAAAGAGCATTGCATTCAACAATGTGAAAAACAACTTGCAGTTCAGTAACCAAAGTTATTCTAACCTAAGCAACTTCATAAACAGCAGTGCAGTGTTTGCTTTGTTGCCGGCGTTTGTTTATTTACTACGAATATCGCTATCGGTTATTTTCTCGGTGTTGATTGGGATATACTGTTTCATGAAACGAAAAATCATCTTTCAAAAAAAATTGATCTTAATCACAACGTTGACGTTTCTCACAATCAACTTGGAGTTTGCATTTTTCATTGCAGATGTGTCAAATCTATGGGTTAGTGAGCTCAGCGAAATTTTCAACACTTGCTGTTATGTGATCAGCACAGTGTTGGTGTGGGAGTGGATCAACCGGGTGCACCACATGGAGAAAATCAAGGAGAAGAGCGGTATCTTGGGCCGGCCCTTCTACGAAGAAGAGGAGATCAACAACAATAACTACGACGACTACTACGACAACAACAACAGCAACACCGGCAGCAGCAGCAACAACGGCATGACCGCCACCAAAATGAACACCAATCCCCTGAACAGTGCCAATTTCAGCAGCAACGCCGATGGCAGTGATTTTATTGCAAACTTTGGTCTCGAGCACTCCAATCACAACATCGTTGCACAAGCCCCTCAGGACAAAACCATAAGAAAGGTGCACAAGGTGTCCATTGTTGACAACATCATGAATCTCACAGACCAATTGATATTGTATGGGCTTCCCATCCCCAGATCCACTTCAGTCACCTCCTCATTGAGAGAAAGAGAGAACAGAATCCGCAGCAACTTGAAGAAAAACTACAAGAAAAACAACAAAATCAACAAGCTCCGGAAAAACAAGAACCGGGAAATGCAAATCTTCATCAATCGACAGGACGACAAAAAAGACAGCACCCACAGCAACGATGGCGGTCACAACAACAGTAACACAAACACGTCTGCCAACAACGGAAACGCCAATGTTTACACCTACAGCGTGAACGAAATCAACTGCGACGATTAGTCACATGCCAGTGCACTCATGCCAAGACAAACTTGGCAGCTGGCCTGCATTGAGAGCTGGTGCATTGCGGTGCATGGGCACTTTGACATGTGAAAGTGGAGCAACTTCTGGATTGGGCAGCAGTGTCATTGATGATGCTTCGACTCCACAGTTGGAACTTATCTTGATTCAATTTAAATACAACAACTGCTCTGTTGTCCTTCATAACCTCAGAAGTTGCAGCATTCTTGTTTCCATCGGCGCTTAATCTTCTTGAAATGTTGGGCTTAGTTTCCGTGAACCAAACATACAATTTTTCCTTCTCAAAGTTTTATATAAAGAACAGATCCCTAATTCTAAAATCTTCCTATATTTTGCTACTTTTTGCTACGGTGAATGGTGACTTCAAATTGTCAAATATAAGTTTTAAATCTAAAGACCAGACTTTGAATAATAACGCCAACACTACAGCTGCTAGTACTGTTTCGCGAAATAACTCTGATGTTAACTCCAGTGGTGGTTCCAGTTCCAGAAATGTCCCTTCTAATATTTCAGAATCCACAAATCATCGGGACACCGGTTTGAAACAACAGCTCAAGAGAAAAATCACTAAAAATTTTTTTTTTGATTTAATAAAATTGATTTTACCTTATCACAAAAATCCAGCAGAATCAAGAAAAATAATTTTTATATTAATATCTCAAATAATTTTATTGTCATCAAAAATATTTCTAAATTTAAAAGTTGCTTCATTAGACGGAAAACTAGTTTCAAATTTAATTTCAAACAATTTCAAAAATTTCATCAAGTTGATTTTCATTTGGCTAGTTATTGGAATTCCAATTTCGTTAATTAATTCCACTTTAGAATACTTATCGAGCAATTTATCAAAATTGATTAAAATTAATTTGACTTCTTCTTTGATTGAGGATAGCTACTTTAAAAGAAATAATTTTTATAAAATAATTCATTTGGATAACAGAATTTCCGATCCTCATCAGAGAATCTGCAATGATATTCCTAAGTTTGCTAAATCATTGAGTACATTGCCAACACGATTATTCAATCCTTCTATTAATTTATTGATTTGCGCCAACCAATTGGCTAATTATGGTCAAAATATTGGTGGAGCTGAAGGCACTTTATTGCTTGGTTTAGTTGTTCATTTTTCCACTTTGTTTTTAAAATTGGTTTCTCCCAAATTTTCCAAAATCACTGCCGAGCAATCTCAAATAGAAAGTGATTTTAAAACTCTTCATTCTAAAATTATAAACAATAACGAACAAATCGCCGCTTTACGAGGCTATCATAAAGAGCTATCTAATTTAGATTTGGCTTATTTTAGAATTGAAAATTTTTTAAAATCAACTTTTAGGAAAATCGCAATATATGACTTATCTAAAACTTTCATTATCAAGTATACTTGGGGTGCTTTAGGATTGATTTTATGCTCCTTTCCAATTTTCTTTTCAAAAAATATTAACAAGAAGACAATATCTCAAGATTTTATTAGAAACAGAAGACTATTAATGAGTGCTTCGGTTTCTTTAGGTCAAATCTTATCTTCCAAAAAATATGTCGACGAGGTAATTGGCTTTTCATCAAGAATTATTCAATTTAGACAAATATTAAATGATTTACAAGAAAAGGATGACGGATTTCCTTCGACTAATAACTTAAATCACAATGATAATTTGATCTCTTTCAAAGATGTTCCATTAACAACCCCTACAGGTCAAACCCTTATTCCAAGTTTAACTTTTAAAATAGATCACGGAGATAACTTGCTAATATTAGGCCCAAATGGTTCCGGCAAATCTTCTTTGTTTCGAATTTTAAATAATTTATGGCCATTTACCAAAGGTGAATTGATTGTTCCAAATTATTCTCTGATTTTTTATTTACCTCAAAAACCTTATTTAATTAAAGGAAAAACTTCTCTAAAAGGACAAATTATCTACCCTAAAACTTTAATGGAATTTAATGATGAAAACAAAGACCTGAAAATAAGAACATCAACGATTGATAGAATTTGGAATATACTAAATATTTTAGAGTTGGATGATTTAGTGGATGATGGTCAGGCTTCTTCCAGTGATGGAGAAAACGATCCTTTAACATTCACACTACGAAATAAAACTAATAATGCACCTAGAGATCAGAGAAAATACACTGCTGACAATGGTGACTTAATTTTGAACAAACAAAACACAAAAGATGCTGAAAATTCGGTTTCAATTGATGAATTTGATTTGATTAAAAATTGGTCTGAAGAGCTATCATTAGGATCCCAGCAAAAACTAGCAATGGCCCGGTTATACTATCATCGTCCAAAATTTGCTGTTTTAGATGAGTGTACTTCGCAGGTTACTCCAGAAATGGAAACAGCAATGTACGAACACGCCACAAAAGCGTTGAAAATATCAATAATATCTGTTGCCCATAGAACCTCTTTGTGGAAGTTTCATAATTACTTGCTACAGTTTAACGGTGATGGTACATACATTTTCAAGAAATTTAATTATAAAAAGAGATTGGCCTTGCAAGATGAGAAATTTTTGATTGAGAAAAACTTGAATAATGTCGGATCTCTTCAATCCAGAATGAACGAGTTGAAAATTGTCAAAGAAAATGAGTTTATCAAACAAAAATCGCACTCAGATCTATCTTCTTTAAGCAATAATTCTACTCTTATAAATGACATTAATGGAACTTACGTCGATAAGTTGAAAGGTTTAAGATAGTTGAACAGCTCTTGGGCCATTTCGCGTTCCCAGAACCCTCAATTATCTACATTTATAAATCACAAGTATAGTAAAAAAATAAACGGTATATAAACTACAAATTTAAGAAATCCAGATCCTCTGTAGGAACCAAGTTCAGACTCCTGCTGTCCTCCAAATTCAGAAGGCAGTTCTTCAAAAACACCATTTTTGCCTCTCTGAATATCTCACGGAGCTTTTCCTCGTCGTGGCACACGTCACGGAAGTCTAACATAATCTGCTGTGAGTCAAAATCGTCAGACTCCTGGCTGGAGGGAAGGTGTGGGCCCGTAGCTCTGTCACTATACAAGTTGAATATGGTGATTCTTTTTCGGTCCAAGTTCACTCTTGCAATGTGTGTGTTGTTTGGTGCTAGAAACAAATTGCCCTCGTCCATTATCTCTGCAATATATGCCCCAGAGAAGTGAACGTATTGGCTGTACACATAGCTCGGAACTCCCCATGAGTACTTTATATTGAACCTTTTCTGGTCTTTGGATGTTATTGAAGCTGGTTGATTGTCTAATAGAAACCCGGATTTGTTCAAAAGATATCCATGGTAGTAGAATTTGTTCCTGGAGAAAATCGTTCCACAACTGCTTTCGTTGAACTCCTCATCTTCCCAAGGATTCAAAGCTAATTTAACATCGACAAATGAGTGAAATGGATTTTTGTTTGTAATTTCATACAACTCATTCCATGGAATCTCAACTAGTCTTAGGTTATTCATTTCACATCTTCTTGCCCAACTGGAAATTTTATTGTCAATTAATTTGCTAGTGGCGTTTAACCACTCAATTCTGAGATGAAAACAATGATCTGGATTATGAACTCTATCATAATGAACTGTCAATAGCTCTTGCCTGTATGATTTTGTTCCTTCCGGGTCCATATCAATAACCACTGATTTGCTTAGTTCAGCATACTCTGCTTTGTGTTCGATATTTGAGTTGGGGGTATCAGGTTCTGCCCAATAATTTGTTCTTGGTGTTGGTGGTGGCATGGTAAACACAGGACTAGTATTGTTTGGATTTGTGCTACTGGATAATAGTGTAGCAGCTGAGGAAGTTGATCTGATTCTCGTCATTTTTTGAACTACATTCGATGTTGTCCCACCAATTAATACATTGCTACTCACTCCATTTCCGTTATTGTTTCCCGCTACACCATTAGTCGTGCTTCCTTTATCATGTGAAGAATCCGTTACTAGTGGGCTACCAAGACCATTATTAGATTTTTTATTTTGCATCGACTTTTTTCTAAGATTCTTGATTTCAAATTCTGGCCTCAATTGATAGAAATAATTACCATCCAAAAATTCATTTCTTTTTTCAACATGAGCAAATAATTTTTTGGCCATATACTGTTTTCCCAATGCAACAGCTTCTTCCCTAGTAGAAATATCTTCAATGTTCTCAATCATCCAGTTTACCAACTCACTGGCAATAAAACAATTTGCATGAACTTTGAAATGCCATGTACGATTGATCAAATTCACACCATTAACGCTTTGTAACTCTTGAGCAAGTTGCACCAAACTTATTTGCTTGGTAAATTTTTTCTGAATTTTAACTATTGGATCTTTTGTTTCTTGTAGTTTATCGAAAATAGACTTTTCAGAAATAAAATCAGCTAGAGATTCTGTATAGAAATATGGTTCTCTTATAAGTTCTTGTTTCAATTTAAATCGGTTAAATTTATCTTTTTCTTTCAATTTTCTATTTTCCTCCACGGTTTTATATGTTTCTCTTGTCAATTGGGCTACAAAATTTCTAATTCCTTCAATTGTTTTTTCTTCCAGATTAAAATCATTCAATTGATATCGAGATCTCATTGTACCTGACGTCTTATGCTCATCAAATGAATACTGCATTGGTAAAATAACATACTTTGCTCGGTAGAGTTTAATTTCATCCCTATTTCCTGCTAAATAATGATCTATTCTGTTCCAATCGTGAACTATTGGTTCAGATTTCAAAGAATTGATCGTAGAAGGAGTGTATTGTTGGGCATATCTTGTTCTAATGTATGGTCTGTAAACTTCTTTTTCACTAATTGTTTTATTGTTTTTTGGTGAAGGTGAGCTTCCAGCACCGGAAATTGAATAAGGACTTTCGTTGTGGCTTCTTCTTTTACGGAAAATCATCACCACACACCCAAAATCCTCGGCATTGATTCTGTGAACTTCATCGTTTAGAGATAGATATATTACAGAAGATTTTGGAATGATATCCGTTTTATAAGATCGTTTATCTGGAATATATCTATTTTTATTTACCGGATTTCTAGCAGAACTTTTATCAAATGAATTACTAATATCAGTGATTGGCATGTACTTGATTAGAAGATTATTTGAGTTTTCGAAATCCGAAACAGCTTTTCCTTCACATATTTGAAAACCTAATGAAAGTCTTGTGTATATGATTTCTCTCATTAAGTCACTATAACTGATTTTGGAAGAGATAACTTCATAAGAACCGTTTGTATAATTAAATTCAAGAGCATCTTTTGTGGGGAAAATACTGGTAGTTAAAGGTAATGCAGCAGGAGTTGATAGTGATTTCCATTTGATTGAGTCTTTATTAATTGTTTGCGATCCAGATTTGGGAAAAACATTGCTCCATTTTCCATTTTCAAATATCCCAGCAGTCGAGTTAGGTTTAGCAATTGACTTAGAAGGGTTTTCGATAAAAGTGCCAAGATGATAATCTTCATTGGATGAGCCGTTTTTAAAATCAATCTTCCTGTTAAAAGAGGAAAAATTATTGTTTGAGTTTTCAGTGACTCTGACGTAATTTTTTGGCTTGAAATTTCCAACAGTATTCAAGTCCTTTTTAATAGATTTCTTGCCAGTTAATGGTTCTTCATTATTGATATTTCGGTTATATTTCCTATTGTGAGATCTAATAATATTGAGTTCACTGACTTTATGTTCTTTAGAACGAGAAGGGTGATCATTATTAGAGAAAGATGTCTTAATTGATAATATTTCATTTCTTGTTAATGACTTGTTATCTAATTCACCGTTTATATCCAAGACTGAAGCAGAAGCAGAATGAGCAAAAGAAGAATTGGAAGGAGTGGAAGAAATTGTACTTTTGGAAGAACTTAATCCAAGCAGAGAAATTCTTTTCAAAGAAGGATAGGCTCTAGAATTTTGAGTTTTAATTTCACTTTTAGCATAGAACTTTGTTTCTTCGGCTGTTGGTAGCCCCTTTGATATGTTATGTTTTAAAGCAGAGGATAAAGATCCACTATTAGTTAAAGATGTGTGAGGTTGATAGTATTTTGAGTGCAAAAGTGATAGTTTACCTTTAGTAGAAGAGTCATCCTCACTACTACTTTGATCATTGGAAAATACATTATTATCGTAATTTTCCATGTAAGAGCCCACTGATTTAACATTTGAAGAATTTGTTTTTTGTTTTTGAGAAAACTTAATAAATAGATTTTTCAAATCATCCTGCATAACACCCATCATTTGGATTTCATAAATTTTACATCTGGGTTTCCAAATGTAGAGGTTGTTATTATAGACATTATCATTTGAGTTAACTTGATCTTCCCAAAATGAAGTATCAACCCAGCTTGGAATTCTATGAATGAGATCATTTTTTAGAGAGTATCTGAATAAAGGAGTTGGGTATAGTGGAGGTTGACTGAGACAGATAATATCAAAGGAGTTTTCTAGAGAAAGCATTCTTTCAGATGTTGTTTTGAATAACTCATAATCAACATCGAACAAACCACTGCCTGGGGTTATTAGGATGAAATGATTTGTTGTGTGTCTAAAGTCTGGATCTTTAAAATAGTCGGCTACTAAAGATGTACTTAAATTAATTGCCTCTAAAAGATTACCCTTTATTGTTGGTAGAAATTTTCCACGAATATAGTATTTGTCGTCATTTTTATTGTGTTGATATAATATGTCTTTTGCAAAATTAGCAAATTCGTAACGTAAATAATACATGATTTTGTCCCAATGAATAACGTTGATTTGATCTACAACAACTCTATAATAATCTCTAGTTAAATTTTTGGATAATCTTTGACCAGGTGTTAGCTTGTTCCAATTTGAATCTAAATAATCGATTGAATCAGATACACTTGTGAACAAAACAATTGTAATTAAATGGTTTATTTTTAGTCTTGACCAATGCTTTAGGATTTTGGGAAAAATGGAGTTTATGACTTTGTGGAACATTATCTCGCCATCTTCTTCGAAATTAAACATTTCATTTGATAATTGAATCAAAAAAGTTAATCTAGCAGACTTTGATCTAAAGATGATTTTTGTATTTCGATCGACGTAACCACTGAAAAACTTTTTATTGTTGACGTAGATTGAATTGATTATTATATCATTTGTTGTTGAACTGAACAAAGAAGAATTGTTCAAAGGCTGGTTTTTATAAACACAATTGTTCACTAAAAGAGAAGATAAATGCCACATATCGCCTCTTGTCAAGTACATGTTTCTGATGTTGATTTCTAGTAAGTCGATATTGTATTTTTTTGAATTTGGTTCAAGTAGTTTAATCAAGATTTGAGAGTTTCTGTCTATGGATAATATATAAGGCAAACCCTTTTTCTGATCAGATTTGGGTGTTAAGAAGGAGATTGGATGTGCATGGTTGGAGAAAGTTGGAGGATAGCTTTTCAATTTGAAGATTAATTTCAACCTTCTGTCTTTGGGTCTAAACTGAAAACTGTGGATGATATTTGAAGGGATTTGTTTAGTATTGAAAACATTCGCATCAGTAGGGTTTGAAAAAGCAGTTGTTGTTGCCAGCGCTGTCTTAGAGATACCGCCTGTGGGAATTGGAGAATTTAGTTTGCCTGTTAAGTCAAATTGATTTAGCTGATTTGGTTGATGAAGTTTATCGGCGTGACTAGAAGTAATTGGTTTGTTGGAATCATCGTTAGAATTGCTGAAGTTGCTAAGATTATTGTGATTGCTGGAGGCTTTCTTTTTCTTGAGATCTTTTGCAATTGATATTTTTTCAAAACGAAGCAACTGGGCCAAAGAATCCTCAGCGATATCCTTCATAAGGTCTGGAAACAGAATCCTTAGTGCATCGATATCAACAAGAATTGGTTCTTTGGAAATTTGGATGTCGTGGAAGCCGCAGGATAGTAGAACGCCGCCATCGTACACAGACATCAAGCTGGGAGTCGAGAGCTTGTTCATTCTCAGAGAATGATCACCTTAGCTGAAGAAGAGTAGGAAAGAGGTTGGTGATCAGTCGCTCTTTTGGGACAGAGGCTGTTGCGCCCATAGCGCTGGCGCATGCACTCAGCAAGCGCAGACGCGCAATTTCACAGACAGAAGCATACGCACTCCCAGCACTGGACCACCGCAGGCCGTACGCTGATTGGCTGCTTTGTTCTGTTGCAGTGCGTCCCAGTTAGGAAGGCGTGGGCTGCTCTGCTGCTTCTGCCGGATTTGGTGGATTTGGTGGTTCTGGATCTACCGTTTTCAGGCGTGTTTTTGCTGCTGCTGCTGCTGCTGCTGCTGCTGCTGTTCTCTCTGTAACCATCCGAGCTTCGCTTTCAAATCCCACCGTAAAAGTTATGGCATAACCTTTTTGCGGGGTCACCGCTTCTTATCTCATTCTTCTCTCATTTCTCTATTCTTTTATGTTATCTCACTGCCCTTTAGCTCATTTATCTGGATTTGATATATATTTGGATTACATCTTTCCTTTTTCTTTATACTAATATCCACCACTCTCTTTCATAATCCACTTTGGCTTTGGTTTTTATTTTCACTTGTCGCATTTTACATCATGATCACCTTTCTCACTGTCTTATCAGCTTATCTATTCCTCGAATCTGCTTTCGCCTTTCCTACATCTTATCTATTCGACTCTGCTCCACCATCTCTTTCCTCGTACTCTTCTTCCTTTCAAAATATCTTTAAAATAAATAAACAGCCCTCTAGCTTAAATCCAAACTACAAACCTCCGTTGAGAAATCTCACTTTTGGACAAATCAACTTTCTCCATACGACTGACACTCATGGGTGGTATGCTGGTCATCTAAATCAGAAAAACTATCAAGCAGATTGGGGCGATTTTGTTTCCTTTTCTACTCATCTTCGCAATCAGATAGAATCTCAAAACTCAGATTTGCTTTTGATCGATACAGGCGATAAACATGATGGAAATGGTTTAAGTGACGCCACCGAACTAAATGGTGAACTATCAAACCAAATTTTTGTGATGCAGGATTACGATCTTCTCACTTTGGGAAATCACGAATTATATCTCACCAACAACACCATTCAAGAATATAATTTCGTTTATACTCAAAATTTTCCTAACAATTTTGTTTCGTCCAACGTTTATTACATCTCCGATGATGATGATACTACTTTGCTTCCGTTTGGTAATAAATACAAACTATTTAAAACTAAAAAGACAAATTTAAATGTATTAGCTTTATCCTTTATATTCGATTTCACTAAATTGGACAGAAATTTAAAAGCAAAAGTCAACCCTTTATCAAAAGAAATTCAAGAAGACTGGTTCAAAAACCTTCTTATTGACAATAAGGATAAACTCGATATCATAATAGTCTTTGGTCATTTACCAATACAATCCCATATAAATGACTATAAAAATGATGAATTTTTCGTTCTACATAAAACTCTTAGATCTTACTTTCCAAATATTCTTATTCAATATTTCGGCGGTCATTCTCATGTTAGGGATTTTATTCAACTAGACCCTCTTTCAACTGCTTTGCAAAGTGGTAGGTACTGTGAAACTGTTGGTTTTTTAAGCATAGATAATGTCACCGCTTCATCTCCACTCTTCAGCCGTAACTATATCGACTTCAATTTGCACTCATTTTATTATCACTCAAAAAAAAATATTAAAACTTTTTCAACAAAATTGGGCTTACAAATTTCAGAAAAAATTGATCAATTTAGAAATTATTTAAATTTAACTCAAGTATATGGCATCGTTCCAACTACTTATTTGACTGAGGGCTATCAATATCCTTCTTCTAAAAATCTTTATACGTTTGTGGAAAAAAATATTCTAACAAACTTACATCCAACTGAATTACAAAATAATACTGATATAAATTCCAGAGTTATTTTAATTAATACCGGTTCAATTAGATATGACTTATATAAAGGTCCTTTTACAAAAGACTCAATGTTTATTGTTAGTCCTTTTCAGAATAAATGGAAATATATTTCAAATTTACCTTACAATTTTATTATGAGACTAATCTATAAGTTGAATCATTTAGACTATATCATTATGACTAAAAATGAAGAGGAAAGAAAAATAATAAATGATAAATTGGATTTAATAAATCTTGCACCTCCGCAAAAAAGAAGATTTTTGTTTAATAATAACTATATTAAGAATAATTATGTGGATAATACTGATTGTATAGTTCAGCCAGATAACCCTTTATATAAACAATTAACCAAAGGTTATATAACTTTTGATGATTATGGTTGCAATGGAGATGACACACCACATAAAAAGCTATTTTTTGGAAATTCACCAAATGTCATTAGATCAATTCAGATTGATGGGGAAAATTATGAAAGTGTTGATTTAGTATTTTATGATTTCTTGGAGCCATTTGTACTTTGGGGGATAAAAGAAATTATGAAAAACGATATCAGTAATAATATGATTAATGTTAAGACCGAGATTAATAAAGATGATATTAAATGGTATGGAGGTGAAACCGTGGCAGAATTACTAAAAGAACATATTGTTAACAATTGGTCGAATGATAAAGAAGAAAATGAGGAGAGAAAACCATGATTATAAACAATACTATGCAACATTGTAAAAAATATATAATTATTAGTTGCAATGATGATTACACTTAAATTAGTTAGACTATTACTACTAATATTGAGAAGCAGAACATTTGAATAGGATAAACAAAGAAAAAAAAACAATAAAACCCATTCAAGATGGTGTTAACCATTTTCATTAAAACAATTTGTACGATGGAGATTTAAAACATGGTACTACATTGATTAACAAAAGAAATAAAAATTTAATAATAGATTTTGGAGAATGAGTAACAGGTAGATATAATCCTTATTTTATATTAGATGAAGAATCTGAATGGGTTTGGTTAAGGATGATTAGAAAAACACCGAGTATTAATTAACAACCTTAAAATCAATATGAAAACTATTTCACTTTTTCAATTTCTCAATTCTATATCTTAATAATACATTGTTTTTTTATTGGTTATTTTTTTTTGAATAAAAACTAACTTCGAGACTATTGTGTGCGTTGTTAGATTAGAAAGCTTCTCTAGTTGGTTTGTTTGTTTTAGTATGATAATGATTTATTTTTTATTACTCAGCTATAAATGTTATCTACGTTTATATATCTTTTTTTGAGTTAATTAATTTTCATGTTTCATTTTGATTCAATCATAAGTTGTTATATTTTACCATAAAAATACTTTCTTTCTTTTATTGAGGCAAATATCGCATTTGAACATCTCTCAATAGAAATTTACCATCTAATACAAGGCTTGTGACAATTCCAGCATCGGTTGTGAGACTAGGAATCGCATGCAACAGCGAATCTAGTCACCTTCTTACATTTACAGCAGGTAATGGCGCCTCCATCTCTATGATGGACCTGACCAACACAAACCTCATACCAAGTTGGAATATGGCCTAATGTTGCTTATAAGTATCGAAGGTTTGTCCTATTAAAAGCAAAGGCAAAATTAAACTATTGGTGGTTTTTATTTGATGAAGAACTGAAATATTACAAACAAAATACATAATATTTAGAAACAAACATTTAGCAAAAAGCTATTAGCTTAAATCTATTTGAAAATTGTTTCGATTATGACTGGAAATTATAAATAACAGCACTTATATTATCTGCAGAACCTATTTCCATAACTTTTGGGGATACTTAGAAACAAACCTGAAAATTATTATATATCTTTTATCTTCATCATCTAAAGGAAATGAGGTAATTTCAAGGGTTATATCGAAAATGAATACTTGAAAATGACATGAATGCTTAAAACTTCTTTATGAAAAATAAAGAAAGTTTTTAGAACAAAAATTAAATTTGAAATCGCCAAATAAAATAAATAGAGAAAACTTCACTTTCTAGCAAACCATACAATGCTGAGAGAACTAATTTTCCTTTCAAAAAAATTTTCAAAAATAAAATCCATTACTTAAATATTATAAAGCTGAAAAAAAAAATCAACTCCAAATATTAATTGCAATTCATTGATTATTATTAAATTCATTTCTAAACAGCTTTAGGCAAATCCAATCAGCTTCTTTATTGAATATGAATTCAGGATTGTATTCTTCTGTTGTTCCTCCAAAATCAATTATTTTGATTTCATTACTATTATTAATCAATGTATTACTGGGTTTAAGATCTTGATGGTGAAAATTATTTCTGTGCAACTAATTAATTGCATCTTCAATCTGTCCCACTATTTCTTTTTTTATTCTGTTCAAATGTCCTCTTTCAAAATATTCGAGCCCAATTCCAATAGCCCTTTGATTTTCATCCACAATTAGGCCCTTAAATCCAATTATATTTTTATGTTTGGTTTTACTTAGAATTTTCACTTCTCTTTTCAATTCACGAACAAATCCTCTTCTTTTTAATAATTTACAGACAATATAATCCTTTAATATTTTTCCTAAGTTTATATCTTTCTTAAGTTTATATCTTTTGCTTATTCTTTAATTTTGGTTTTATCTTTTTTATAATATCTTTTTATATTTTCATCAAAACAAATCTTCCATGTGTTCGACAAATTCTATTGTTTTAGCCTCTCGATAGTCTATTTTTATTATTTTCTGATTTGAAATGGGTAAACTATCATTATTTTCAGTGTTTATGTATTTGTCGTAATACTCAATAAAAATAGAATTAATAGCTTCATCGTCATCTTTAAAAGTCTCATTTTCAAACTCGGTCATAATCAATTTTTTATTTTCATTTTTCTCAAACCATAAATGAATCTCCTCTATTTTGTGCTTGTGCTTGTCATAGAATAGTTTTGTTCTAAAATTATCGTAATGAGACATTAAAAATAATGTTACAGTATTGCATTTATTATTTGATGGTCTTCTGCAAAAAATAAACAGTATATTGTTAGTGGATATACTCACCATAAAAAAATTTGAAAATATCTAACAGAATTGACTGCTGTAGTTCAGTACATGATTGCAACACCATTTGAGCCTTTTGAATAAAATGTTGTTGCAAAATGTACTTAGTAAATATAAATCAAAAAGAATAATATTTGTGTAATATTAAATTTTGGCAAAAGAACATGTAAGAATAATAGAAGATGACATTTTGATTTAATTGTGATCTTATCATGTTGAGAACAAAAACTACAATTCAATTACACTGTTTATAGAACGCTCCATTTGACAAAAGGATATCAACAACCTATCAAAAATAGGTTCAAAAAAGTCTAATAGAGATACAGCCTCCCAAAAATTCTACCAACAGTATTTTTTTGCTGGTGAACTTCAATTCGTTTCAAGATATCTTGTGATTCATCACATCAGTTTGATCTACAGCACTTCTAATAGCTTATTAAACCCGTTCTTTTGCAATGGATATCAGTAGCCCAACGATTCTTGGGAATTTGAGAAATCATTGAATCTTGACTCTTGACTTTTGATACCAATCATCATCTACTGAATGAAAACGTCCAGATATGATTTGATTATTATTAAACAAGAGTAATTGATCAATTGTATTTGAAACTATTTCTGAAAATTTGTAATCATTCAAAGGGATACTTTCAATGGATGTAACGATTTCATCTGCTAAAGTGGCTTTTTTATATAACAGAACTTCATTTCATTAAATGGTTAAGATCGAAAATTGAATTACCAGTTCTAGCTTTAATATCATTAATGCCATTATTGTTGCTATTTGAGCTGCTAGTATTGCTATTAGATGTAGCAGGGTTTCCTAGCTGAAAAAAAAATTCCTTGCATTTTTGTCAGTTTCAGCACTTGATTTTTGCACTAACTCTTCCAAACCATGTTTAGAATGAATTCTACTAGTTGCCTCATCATGAATGGTATTTCTGGAAAGAAGAGTCTGATATAAAGTTTTCTAATGGAATGAATGAACGTGAAGAAAGTATCTCATAAAGCTCATGAATACCACTACTCTCCAACCACTTTACTACTTTGCAACACCTACTACAAAAATAGCTAGTTCTTCAGAAGCACTTCTCTTGTCAATAATGCATCACCAAACGATGATTTTTCTTTCATTTCCAGCAAGATCAACAATTTTTGAAAATATATCTGGTGATAATTAAAGTTTTTGATTCTACATTCGGTAAAAAGTTGTCTATCAAAACTATTGGTAGAAATATGGTTTGAGGTGTTGAAGATATTGCCAGAAGTTTTGAAATCTAGCTTTATAAGATTTTAATGGATATATTTTGGATTGGATGAGAAAAAAATATTGGTAAGAATAGCATATGAAAAATTGTAGTATGGGGGATAAAATAAATTATGAAAAACGATATCAGTAATAATATAATTAATGTTAAGACCGAGATTAATAAAGATGATATTAAATGGTATGGAGGTGAAACCGTGGCGGAATTAATTATGGAATATATTATAAATCATTGGTCAAATGATAAAGAAGAAAATGAGGAGAGAAGGGATAGATCATAAACAATAATATCAACCATCATGTAAATATACAACTATTGGTTGGGATGATAATTATTTTCAAATAGGGCATAGGGTTTAATATCAGGATTTAATAAGGATAAATAAAGATAGTTATTTAATAGAGCAGAAAATACAAGAATAGAAAGTGAAAAGTATAGAGTGATGAGTAGATAGATAGATAGATAGATAGATAGATAAATGTAAATTAGATGATAAATAAATTAAAGTTGTATTTTATATTATCATAGCTTTTTTATTTGTTTTTGATTTATATAATTAATTAGTTTGGAAGTAGTTTTTTCTTATTTTTCTTTTCTTCGACATAAGATTTGGCCAAATCACCTAAACCAACCATGACTACAGTTTGCCAAACACCTAGTAAGACTCTTGGAGTTACGCCTGTGTAGAGACCCTTGATACCAGAAGTTTTATAAATATACTTGAGGGTACCAACGGTGCCTAAGTTCTTTGGTTTTTTTGGATCCGAACTTTGAGATTGCATTTCCACTCTGATAATTTCAATGGGTTGGTTCCAAGCAGATAGACCACCACCTAAAGCCGAAGCAATGATTTTGTCAGAGAAGGATAAAGTGTCATTGTGGGATTTACCTCTTAGACTTCTTATACCATCTTCAATTAGTCTTGATAAACCGAATCTTGAACCCCAATTAGTGCATTGTCTTATGGCAACTGCATTGACACCTTTATTTATGCCTCTAATACCTTCTTTCCTCCATATGTCCATGAAAAACTGAAAAGTTGACTTTTGAGGACCCAGGCCAGCAGATTTAGCTCTGGTGATTTCAGCGGTTTTCATACAAGTGCAAAAGCCCATGGTGGCATAAGCTTGGGCCACACCACCCAACATACCACCAGCGATTCCAGCAGTGAAGTTACTAGTGCCGAATCTCAAGAACTGATATTCTGCTTCGGAAGAAACGAATAGTAGAACAGCACCTTTGGTTCCACCCTCGATCCAAGCCCATGGAATCAAACCCTGGTAAAAGCCTAACGGGCCCCCTCTTGACCAAATGTGTTTCATTGCCTGGAGGATACCATAGGATCTATTGGCAGCCATTGTGGTCTTTGTGACTTCCAAGGGCTGGCCCAAGGTGGAGACTTCAAACAAGTTCAAAGCCGAACCAAGCAAGATGTTTGTCCAATTGATTGGTTTTTTATCGAGTTTAGCAGGAGCCATTATTGAAAATTGCAGGATTTGAAGAATATAATGATAGAGCAGTGCAGAGACACAATAGAGTAGTAATATAAGCAGCAGAACTAAAAGCAACAGATGATGTAGCAAATTGAGAAAGCAAGAGAGGAAGGCAGAAAGTCAATTGAAATACAAACAGGATATATATGGGTTAATATAGCAGGGAGAGGATGATCTAACCACTGGCAGAGAGCGCATTGTAATTGGCAGATGGTAATTTGATGCTGATAATTTGATGCTGATAGAGTGAGTGCTGAGCTCCAGACCGCAGCGAAAAAGAATAATACTCAGAAGCGCAACAGAATAATTTCCACAACCACGCCCGCGCACAGACCCAGCGCGATGGACCACCGCGATTGGCGCGCTCTCCGCGGTGCTCCAGCCGGGAACCACGCGGCTCTCCAAACGTATTCGCCGAAGGTGGGGATGCCCTGCACGCCTGCGCAGCCACGCAGTCCTGCGCCCGAACGCATGTTGACAGCAGCTTTATCCGGCGGTTATTCACAAAGCGCTCTTCCCACCAAGGGCGCAACCTGCTTGCGGCTGCCCTTGCCGTTCCGCTGGTGATACGCTCTCCAGCACCCACTGTGGTGCGTGTGCTGCGTGTGCTGCTCGAGCCGGAGCTCTTCAACGAGGCCTGCAGACCCTTCCAACTGCCCCACCCGGTCCTCTGAGCCCACTACCACCAACTCCCGCTCAAACTGCCCCTGTGTGTTTGTGAAAAACGCCATCACAAGCATCATATCCATCTGCTTTTGCTCCATGAACCTCCTTATCTTCTCTTCTAAACACCTCTCGCTGTTGCTGCACTTGTTTTCTAAAACCCATCCTATCGACGTGGGCACCGATGATATTCCAACTCGCATCTCTTGTTTGTTCGCAGTGTAGTGAAACTCTTTGAAATCCTTCTTCAAAATGTTCTCAATAGATAGGTTCTCAAGGTTGCCCTTTTCGTATTTCAACTGGTTGAACAAATCCTCAATGTCGACACTCCCTTCCTCGCCTGTTCCATTGATTTCATTTACGGTATCCTCGTAAATCTTCATCATTCTGAAATCGGGCTCTTTAGCTTTGTATGTTAAGTTCATCGTGTCAACTAACAACGCACTTAACCCCAATAGAACTATGTCTTTCGATTTAAACCATTTCATCAATTCCTCCTTTCTTTCCCCAGGCTTACTGTTAAATATAATTTCATACCAATAATTCATAATTAATGAAGAACAAGAACCATTTTCTTCTATTATCAACACATTCATCTCTTTTCTCTCAACCCTCTCTCTATATTCTTTTAATATTTCGCTTTTAATCGCATGATGATCTATAACCCCAATCACTTGCTTTTTCTCAATATTCCTGTTCTCACTGTTCTTCTCAACTTCGTTATGATCGACTAAAACATACTTTAGTTTACTCCCGCCATCTTTATCGTCATTGTAAAATCTCCTGACGGTTTTGATCCATTTATCGTCAATATAATTTAATTCGTCCTTTGAAATACCAATTGTTCCCATTAAATAAATCACATCTTGTCGCAACTCTATCTCTCTTCTTCTAATACTAACCAACGGAATAATTGTACAGCCAGGATTCTTCTTTTTGAAGAAAAAACTAAACAACAAACTACTAACAATTGAGTCCAAGTCCGCAGATTGGTTTCCCATAGTAATTATCATCTCTTTCTTTATCCATTTCTTTTCTTCACCACTCTCAATTTTCTGACATAACCCTATCAATTCGCTTCTACACTCTGCCAAAAATGCTTTAGCACATAGTTTATTAACCCTGCTAATATCTTTCATCACTAAAGACTAGTTTATCTTAGTTATATTATATTTTACTATATTTTATTATATTTTATTATATTTTATTATATTTTATTATATTTTATTCTAATCTATTGCTTTACACTAGTTTATACTCTTAAACTGTTTGCTATCCATAATATCATATCAATCATACGACATCCTCACCGCCACTAAGGGTAACCACTTTCTTTGTTTCCCAACCTTTTCTTTTCTTTTTCTTTTTCTTTTTCTTTTCCTTTTCCTTTTCCTTTTTCTTTTCCTTTTCCTTTTCCTTTTCCTTTTTATTTCCTAATTCTTTCCACCTTAAATGCTTCAACTTCTTCATGAATTAAAACCTTCAAGTCTGTCATAGTAGTCGCTGTGTTTTCGAAACTAAAATCAAATGGCTTTTCTAAAACTGGTTCATCATCACCATTTCTAACCTCCTTTAAAAATGCATGCTCCAACGCTTTTTCAACATTTAATCGCCTACTCGAGTCCCAACAAATTAATCTTCCAATCAAATCAACTGCAACCTTAGAAGCATATGGATAAACATTGCTCCACAAAACTGCCTGATATTGAGGTTTAGGCGATGTGAAAAATTCAAATGCAATATTGGACCCATATCTCTTTATTATATCAATCGATGGTGTTCCCAATACCTTAACTATCTCCGTAATTTGATGTAGTTGATCATTTCCAACAAATAATGGCCTTCTACCATAAAATTCCCCCAAAATACACCCAACTGCCCACATATCAATCGATTTACTATAGTTCCTATGACTTAATATTAACTCAGGCGCTCTATACCATCTGGTTGCAACGTAATTAGTAATAGTTTGTTGAGACTTGTTTTTAAAAAAATTCGGATTAATTCCTCTTGCTAACCCAAAATCACAAATCTTTAACTCTCCTTGAATCGTAATTAAAATATTTCCAGGCTTTAAATCTCGATGAATCACATCGGCTGAATGAATGTATTTCAATCCACATAAAATTTGATACAAAAAATTTTGAATATGAAACTCGGAAAATTGAACTGGTGAATGGATAACTTTTGCTAAGTCATAATCAACCAATTCTTGAAAGCAATATAGTCCATCATATGGCTTAATATAAACAATATCCAAATCAATCAAGTTAATTATATTTTTATGACCCTTAAAGTATCTTAATAATTTCAACTCCCTAACTGCTCTTTTCAATAATACTTCCTTATTGAAAATGTTTGAAACTTTCTTGATTGCAATTTTAATAGGCTGTTCTTTATTGCTTCCATCATTCTGGTTCGATCCTTTACTTATAGATAAACTGGCATCAATTGCTGAGCAAACGGTACCATATGATCCTTTCCCTAAAATCTTTTGAAGCTGATACCTTGAGTCAATATAAAAATTGGCTTTTTCATAAACAACATGCCCTGGTTTAGCAAAAGTATTAGATTTGCTATTTTTAATAGCGTTTAAGCTTTGATGTTTACGTATTTGTCTATGATCAACTGTTGTTCCTCCCATAATTATTTTATAATTTTTGTTATTATCTCTGATAATGAATGAAAAAAAATGACCTTAGTAATTAAGAGCAAAATTATATTATTATTACTGTCAATTTGTTATTAACTCAAAAAAAATTATAATAATGCTAAAAATTTACACCTGTTTATTGTGCTGAACAGTATTCTTCTATATTATTTGTTTGTATGAATTGCTTAAAACTCACCACAATTGAGGTTTCTTAATCTATTATGTTTATAATAAAATATTTGTTTATTGTCTTGTTTTGTTATCATTTTTAGGGTTTTCCTTTCAAAAAATTGAAAAAACACAAATACAACTCAAAAACCCAGAAAAGCTACTTAAATTATTTTTAATTACACAAAAGAAACAACAGGATCAATTAGTTTCATCAAACAATAAAGCATAAAACATATTTCAAAACCGCCATACAAGCTCAACAATGTTCTCAAGGCAGCTTATATTCACTAGAAAATCCTAAATTTGGATTTCAATGCTAGATAGATTTAATAATGATATTGTTGTTGTTATCTCAGGCTAAACTAGATTACAAAAATTTATCCATACTAATGACTGTTCTCCAAGAGACTTCTTTTGATCCAATAATGGCTCCACTTTGCAATATAATTAAATCAGAAAGCTATGCTGAAAACAACAATCAAAAGATTCAGTGTATAGGAACTCAAAAAGATAATAATACAGCTTACAGTAATCATGAGCAGAATAAAATATATATTTCAAATGAAACCACTTCAGACTTAGACATAGTTTTGCATTTAAAAAATAAAAATAATATTGTCAAAATGAATTCAATTTCAAATGTACTATCATCAACACCAAATTCCGATAATTTTGAAAATAATTTAAGCAGTTTACAATCCCTTTCTCACTCATTATCTTCTTCCATGTCTTTATCTTTATCAAGCTCTTCTCCTCCTTTTACAATGTTGTCCCATTCACCTAGTTTAAACTCCCCAAATCACAAAAGATTATTTAAAAGATATAAGTTAATTGAAGAACTAATTCAATCAGAAGACGTGTACATAAACAGCTTAAAAATACTCTGCGACGTTTACCTAGCTGCCATGCTAAATATGAATAACTCAATATTCAAAGATTGCACTCCAATTATTCAAATGATCCAAATCTTGAAATTGCTAATAAAGAATCACAGCTCTTTTCTATCAAAAATAAACGAATTCAATACATTTTCTTCCTTTTCTTCCCGAAGTACACCACATTTATCTTTCTCTTACAAAAATTCTAATTCTGCTACCATTTCTTTGATCTCACAACTTACAGTAGAAAACGCATTTGTTCTTTACTATTATGAAACATATTTTAATCTGTATCATCAAGTTTTTAACATTATAAAAAACAGCAAAATCAATTCTAATGATTTGGTTATCGAAGGATATGGGATATTTCTTGAAGCTTTACAGTCAAAGTCTAAGAAAATGGATTTATCATTACTTTCTTTATTACAGTTTCCAATTTCTAGAATTTCAAAGTATAGGCTTTTTTTGGAAAATTTATTAACGAGTTGTTTAATTGAAGAATCAATATCATATTTTTCAGTTCAAAGTTCGTTGAAAGCGCTGTTAGTGAAGCTTGCAAATATGAATCAATCTTCAACATATACGATGAGAAGCTCAGAAGCTTTTTTTAAGAAATTCATATTGAGTTCAACTAGCACAAACGACAAAATCAAATTTCCTTTTGAATTTTTTGGCACACCATTATTAGTGGGCTCATTATCTTGTTGTTGGGTTGAAAAACTTCATGGGAAGATGTCCTTGTTTATTGATAATCTTTGCTTATTTCTTTTCAAGTCGTCTCTTATTGTTGCTGGATTAATGAACTATAAAAGTTCAAAGTTTGATGTTAAATTTATTATTCCTTTATCAACCTGCACAATTGTACAAAGTAATGGACAGAAAGAACAAGAGAAAGAAGTGGAACAAGAGAAAGAAGTAGAACAAGACAATGATTTTTTAGAGAGCGGATTGCATCTAGTAAGTGGCATAAAACGATTAAAATCATTCAAGCTTATTTTTGAAAATAGATACAAGTTGTATGAAATTTTATTTAATGGTTGGATTGAAAAAGAAATTGAAGTATGGGAAGATTATTTGAGAGTTTTAATTAATTTTATTAATGGGCCATATAATCTAGATTATTCATCATCGGAAAAGTCTGAACAAACTAAAAATTATCCGACATGTGTGATTCCAATCAATATAGTTCCCCAAGAGATGTGTGTAAATAAAGTAAAATTTGATCAAAAAATGGGATTTGAAAATTGTTACTTTTCTAAAATAATTCCTATCAAAATTCCAATTCTTGAAGTAGTTGACTATGAAAATAAGAAAAATAAAAAGGCAGTAAACGATAACATTGGAGATTCATCTAATTATTTTGGATTTAAATCAAGAACCAGTTCTTCTAAATCTTCAAAGTACAATACTGTTAGCTCTTCGTACAATATCTATAAGGAAGTTTTGGACAAAGAAAGTTTAAACTGGAGGGAATCGAAAAGTGATAATATTGAATTTTTGAATTTGAAGAGATCGTCGAGATACTTGATTGAGAATAGTTTATGTGATTATTGGAGCTTTGAGTTGCCAAGACTTCAACAGCCAGACTTGGAATTAATACAAACTAGAAATGATAGAACAAACAAACCAAGTTTAATGAGAAGAAGTTCTTCATTGATCTCCTATGGGGGGTCATTTAGAAGAAAAACAAGTGAAAAGTCTGAGAATTCCAATCAGCTCATTCATCAAATAAACTCAAAAGAAACAATTCAGTACGAGAAAGACAATGAAAAGACTCCTGGTCTTATTCGAGGAGGTTCTAGTGGATATGAGCTACTTCGAAAAGCTTCAGTTTTATTAGACAATTTTTTCAAGCAAAAGATGCCACAAGATACAAAATAACGTAAGCGATCCAAGTGGATTGGGCAGAGAAACGTAATTCATTAATATATAAATAGAAAGACAAACAACTGAAAAATAAAAATATATTGAAAACTAATTAAAAGGTAAATAAAAATTTCAGATTTTAAAGATACCTATTAATAATAGAGCGACCCTTTTGTGTCATTGGTAGAACTAAACGATTTTCTTTTAAAGCTTTTGGAGGTTTTAAAAGATCCTTCTTTTATAATTATTTTGATAATTTTGTCTTCATCAGTGGTGCCAAATTCGGATTCTAATTCAATATTAGAAGCTTCTTCTAAAACACCAGAGGAGCCACGATGGACAGAAGAGTTGTAAATTTTGAAATTGGAAGAGACTGATGATAAAGGAATGGATCCATCATCATTCTTTCTGTAATTTTCCACAGCTTCTATTGAATCGGCAAAAGCGATAAAGTCATTATGTTTGCCTGGATAAACAACTTTGATCTAAATAAAATTGCAGTCAGTATCAATGGTGTTATATAGAAAATCCGGCAAGAAAAGAAGAAAAACATACTGGACTAGACATTTTGTCAGTAGTGATAGGAGTTGATAAATTTTTCAGTTAGTAGAATTGTTGCGATATGTTAATTGTATTGCAGCTAAAAAAGACTTGGGTAGGTATTGGAAATAAAACAAGAGTTGAAGCGTTGATAGAGATTAGCAGAATAATATATATCACAAAATTCTGAGAATTGAGCGGCTGCACAGAGATTGCTTGTGTGGGGTCTGTGCAAGCACTTTGTTTTAAGTGTGGTTGGATCTGCAGTTCAAGGTCACCAGACATAAGAAAAAGCAATCCTATTATTTGAGTTTGGGTCATGTGAGTTAGGATTATTTGAGTTTAGGAAAGCAATCACACCCAGACCTGAGCGGCTAGTCCTGCCTTTTTTGGCATACTGGGCAAAAGCGAGTCGTCAACAGGGTTCGAACTGCAGAACATTTCTGAAAAGGGTAACCCCTGCCGTTCTTCAGCCTTTTTCAAAACCATCCAAAACCATCCGATGATGTGCTCTGAACGATTACTTTCATGAAAAAAAAATCAAGAGACCGGCAAATAGTATGGAGAGTTTTTCAAATAGGTTTGATCCTAGCTCACTTCCTGATCAAAAACCTATTAGCAGTACTGGAAAAAGGAAAAGAGATGTGGGAAAAACATTTTTTGAGAACTCTGGCGAGATTAGCAGTGATCATCTGAAGGAAAATGGTGATCCAGTACAAGGAAAGCATAAAGCAGTTTTGCAAAGATTTAAACATGCAAAATTTTTTCTGTCTTCTTCTAAACAAGAAAAGGAAATTGTTCCATTGAATGTCAATTCTTTGGAACCTTTACCTCAGCCACTACCTAGAGCAAGTCAACAGCTATTACAAATAAAATCTAATCAAAACACATTAGATTGGCTACCAAAACAAATTAATTACAATAAAAATAAAATAAAAAATTTTAAGGAATATACAGATGACAATTTACTAGATCCTCGAATTTTGAACAATTTAGTTGAAAATAATTTTGAAAAAGCATTTTCTGTTCAAACTGCCGTACTAGATACTTTGTTGCTTGATATAAAAAAAAAAAAATTGTTGCCAGACTCTGGAAATGATCTTCTTATCAATTCACCCACAGGCTCTGGAAAAACAATCTCCTATCTAATCCCAATTATCCAGTATTTATCAACTAGGATAATTCCAAAGCTTTCTTGTATAATTCTCGTCCCTACAAAACCATTGATTACCCAAGTGTTTGATACTTTGATAAAAGTATCACAAGGTATAAACTTGACAATTACTCCTCTTAATAAAAACAGCCTTTTTGCTGATGAAGCTGTCAAATTACGGAAAAACGTTTCAGACATTATTGTTTCAACTCCAGGTAGATTGGTAGACCATTTACAGTTGAAAAATATATCTTTGAAAAACTTAAAGTATCTTATTATTGACGAAGCTGATAGGCTATTTAACCAATCTTTTCAAAATTGGGTAACCGTTTTATTCAATGAAATTGAACAAACTAATATGAAAATCAATTTGAAAACGAAAATACAATTTCGAGTTGACAAAATAATATGCAGTTCAACTCTCTTTGGATCCCTTCCCTCATTAACATCAATTCCATTGTTCAAACCAAAGATAATAGTAATTGATAATGAATTTGATACTTCTTCTAATCATGAATCGACATTAACTACTGCCGGAAACTTTAGCAAAGCAGTATTTTCTTTGCCCTCAAATTTAAAAGAATTTCAATTTTTTCAAAATTCTTCGAATTCACTGTTCAAGCCCCTAATTCTACTCAAGTTTTTAATCATTAATAATTTCAAATCACACACATTGATTTTTACTAAATCTAATGACTCGTCTTCCAGACTTGCAAGATTGTTGCAACTACTAGCCGTCAACTATTCTTTTGATTTAAACATACAATGCATTAATTCAACTCTTTCTCAATTTAAAAAGCAAAAGATTTTAGATAGGTTTTCTGCTGGCGAAATAAATATTTTGGTTTCCACCGATTTAATGGCAAGAGGTATAGATATTCTAACAATTAAAAGGGTTATCAACTATGACTTACCAATGAGTTCAAGGGAGTATGTCCACAGGGTAGGAAGAACTTCGAGAGCTGGAAACACTGGAGAGGCAATAACTTTCATTTTTGGAAACGGTGAAAGAAAGTGGTTTAATAGAATGATGAAAGACATAATTCGAAAACCCACTAGTAAAATTGAGATAATAACAATGGATCAAAATACAAGCACTTTGGTGGAAGCAGATCAATCAACCCCGTATGATTCTATCGTTGATTCCAATGACCGCCAATTATATAAAAGTGCCTTGGAACATTTGCAAAGAGAAGTAGCTGGGAAATAACCCCACCAAATTGACGCTACAAAATTTACTCAAGGTAAAAATAATTATTAATAAAAGAAAGTTTCTTTAAAGCATTTGTATTTGCCAAATTTAGTTTCTTGTAGTATATAATAAAAACTATTAAAATATTGATTTGAAATCGCAGAAAATGTTGCAGGATACGAAAAATAAAAATAAAAATAAAAATATCAATTTACTGTTGTGACAGTTAATTTCCTTAATATGTTGAGCCCTCGGAAGGTTGACTCAATCTTTTATTCGAAGACGAGCCCATTTCTCTTCTTAATTCTAACAAAAGCATCTCCATTGTATATGTTCTTTTCCAATTCTTTAGCATTGGAAACTTTTTGGAATCAATTACACCGTTAATATTACTCACACCAGGCAAGTTAATTTTTGAAATAAATCTAACAATAGGAGGGTTATCTGGATAATCTTGATTGCATTCTAGAGAAAGACTGTAAATACGATTTTCATGAACACTGTGTGGAGGACCTAAAATAGTTCCATTCCAATGAGTCATCGAAATATCATCATTGTCAGCTAGACCATATGAACAAGATTCAGCACCTAGCCCTTTTTCGCCTTTCTCTAGTTCCTCTAATAATCGAAAACTTCTTGGTCTGGAAAAGGAGATGTTGTTAATAACACAAACAATTTAATTAGGCTGAAAAACAAAAACAACTTTTGACTTACACCTTAGCAGACATTTTAATTTGATTAGTCAATGAAAGTGATTAAAAGGAGGACTTATCAGCGAAGAAGATTGGCTCCAAAATCACTATCATCATAACGTTTCCATTGAGCGTTTCCATTGAGGAGGATCTCAGAAAGTAGTGGCTTTGGTACTTAATGATGTGTGTGCAAGATAGTCACTACACCTCAAAGATGCTAAAGCCACTACAAACCCTAAATCTTCTACTGCCACTACTAACAAACATAATATATTAAATGGTGATTATTCTGATGATTTGGATTACGGGCTCTGATTGTAGTATCAATAACAGCAATGCTTATGACTGAACTTCTATGGTATCCCAAACTCAAAAAAGCAAATGTCTTCAAATATGTTTTCCAATTTGCTCTCGGTTGATACCGATTTATATGATATATATACAATCCGAGCCAAATTTACACATGAGATCCTTACCAAGTTATTCTTATAGGTTCTTAACTTCTGCTTATATCATATTTCAGATTGTTGATCCAACCGATTTACCTTTTTTGACTTTTCAGCTTTTCAATTATAAAACTATCAGATGATGTTTGAACGACACCCAAAAAACTCAAAAATTGATGAAGATATCATGCTATTGGGAGTATCTACACAACCCAAGTCATTATCTATGATGAAATCTTTTTCAAAATGATATGATATGGTATGATATGATATGATATGATATTATATGATAGGTGGCTATTTTTTTGAGAGAAATTATCAACTCTAAAAGTTTTTGAGACCATTTCAAATGGATGGTTATCATCAGCATTATTAACCCTTTGATGTTCCTTTGCTTTGAAAATCTCAAATTCATCACTCAAATTTAAAATTATAATTGATTCCAATACCTATTTGCTACAATGACCAAACAGGTTCCAATTCAGTAAGATTTAATTATGTTTAGCAATTAATAAATCAGGAGTAACTACAAATAGTATTTTGTTTTTTGTAACCTGGTATAAAACTTTTTAGCTGTAGAACATCTATTAAAAGAAAATAAATTGCAATAAAAGTTTTCTTTGAAGTACTTTTTGAAACAATCTAATATTTCTAAAGCTAAGTATAATAAAAGAGTACACTTTTCTTAGACTTTCAATTTTACAGATAAAAATGGTTTTGATGAGATAAGCATATATTCTGTATGGAACTATCTTTGCAGGTTTAGTTGGCTAAATTCTTAGTGGACAAATGCATTTCTTTGATAAAATTAGCATACATCAAACTAGAAAAAGACTGAAATTATTATTTACTGCCATTTTTAACTCCCTAATGGTTGGCTAAACTACTATTTGAGTCACTTATATTTGTCTTGAAAAATCAAGCAAAGTTTTAAAGCATAAAACTTACACCATTTATAACAGTACAAATAATAAATTCGTGAATTTAAATGGTGAGTTCTCTATCTGGCAATGATAGTTACTTTAGTAAATAAAACAATCAGGTCCTGATGTAAGAATAATATTAATAAATGGGTAATTCTGCTGTTGATAACAAATTCAAAAACTAATCGTTTTTTTTTGCTTTATTCTCTGTGTTAGTAATAACAATCACCGGTTTGACTTTAAACAACCCAGAATCATCAGTATTGCTTATTCCAAAAATAAGTAGCCTGTTACTTGAAATGGCTAGATTTTTCACCTTTTTTATCACAACTAAACCTTCTGTGATTTAACTTAAGTCCAAAATTATGGGATACTGCTTTAAGATAAGATGCTAATTCAATTATCCCTAAGGAATTTTTTGCTTGACTTATTGAATTGAACAATATTTCTAAAATTGCATTGCTATTCTTTTTCAATTTTGATAAATTTATTGTTTCATTTGGATTTATATCAAATTCGTAACATAGACAGCTGAGAGGAATGGTCTAAAACAAATTAGGTAAATACCCAGCAAGAGCAAGTTCAACCGCATCCAGCTGTTGACCACCATCATCTCACCATGGCCTCTTGCAATGAGAGCAGATTTTAGCCCAGTTGCTTCTCACCACGCAGCATCGACAGCAGCGGCAGTCACGTTTGTGCTGAGAAAGAATACAAATACTGCCACCACATTACGTATGAGACTATATGCTGCATATTGCTGCGGACTCCATCCGTAGTTCGTCCTCCCTCTTCGACAGTGACTTCTGATTGCATATCTGCAAAACCTTAACCTTCCTTGAATGTACCGAGGATAGCAAAATTGCTGTGGTTTAACTATCTTTAGTGTCTTATTATTGTTGTTAACTGTCTATATATCCAAGAAAGAAGTAAATATTGTGTGCCTCTCATTCGGTGAAATAACTTAATGCTGTGACTTTTCACAAACTGCAAAATATGTTGTTTGCTCAGAAGATCATTTAATATTTGGAAACCAATAAATAATATCATTTCACTGTTTGAATAAGATCTTGCTGGAAATATTATTACTTCCTACAACAAAAAGATAGATAATGTTAAATGAATACTTTGAAGACCATGATGAAGTCCTAGATTATGTTTTTTTCAAGTATTACGATAAATATTTAGATCTGGATAATAATGATAGCCTATTGATAAAAAGTAGAGAAATAAAGAGAATTTAATATTTTAAATATTGTAAAACATAAAAATATAATTGAATTTAACCGATTGATTTTAAATGAAAATGGAACAGTTATTAGAATTGACCTAGAATATTTTGAAGGGGAGCATTTAAATAAAATAAACAAAGAAATCCTCAAGCAAATTAAAGATGTCATTAATTATCTACACATATATAAGGCTTTTTATGGCAACTTAAAACCTAGTAACATTGATTATTGATTAATGATAAAAATGAAATTAAAATAATAGATTTTGGAGGAGAAGTAGCACCTAAATACAATCCAAATTATATATCTGATAAAGAAGCTGATTGGATTTGCTTAAAGATGATTAAAACAAACCTCAGCAATACTATGAATTGAAAATTTTTCTATTCGTTTGATGGGTTTGGTAATACTCTGTAGTACTTTATATTTGGTGATTATTTCTCTTCAGCTTTTTTTATAAGATTTTTCTTTTTTTTTTTTGGTTTAATTTTTCTTTCTCTACTATTGCAGTAATGTCATTCACTATAGTATGTACAAATCTTTCGTTATTAGGTTTTGATACATTTTCTTCCTCTAGGATTTGATCAACAACTTTGTGACGAGCTTTATTGTCTGCTGGAATCTTTTCTTTAGTTGACTGACTTAATAGTGCTTTAATTAGAGAATTTGTTGCTCTTTAATTTCTTGGGTAGAGTCGTACAGTGGATCATTTAGCTTTTTCTTCAATTCTTCAATTCTTCAATTCTTCAATTCTTCAATTCTTTAATCCTTTAATTCTTCAATTTTTCAACCAATGAAACATGACCTTTAATATCCTTATCAAGGAAATATATTTTACCTTTCAAATTATTAATTAGGGCATTATCGACTTGATCACTGAACAGATTTTTCAGCAAGAGCAATCTTTTATGTGTTAACTCAACATTGTTGATTGCTTTTTGAATATGCTCAATAGATTGGAATTTGCTTTCTCAATCTTCAAAATTGAATTCGTATGATAAAGATAGTTTGCAAAGGAATAATCAAACTTTTCAAGAAATCAGCACTGGATTGTTTAATAAACATCACCAATTTTTTTCAAATTTATACATTTTAAAAATTATAACTCTTGTCAATTTTTTCCTATTCTTCAAACCGTTTCAAATACATCACAAGCTAGTTCAAAATTGGTGCCAATATTATTTGTATCGTCATCAAAATTATCATCTGTACTAGAAGATTCTTTTTGATCATTTTCATTGTTGTTTACCTGAAAGATACCAAATAAAACAGTGATTATTGTCACTTTCTGCCAATATAATAATCTCCTACTACCCAATTGACTTTTCCGATTACTTCAATGTTTTGAAAAACCTGTTACTTCAACCAGCTTAAATCATTGGGTAGGTACATCAAATAAAGAATCTCAGGATATCAAATGTTCATTTTGAATAGATTTTGTAATTTACTGAATTTTCTATATGATTCTAATTTCAATTAAAATCTTTGAAAAAGACATAGGAGAAACATAGAAAACTCTTTATGGCAATGATTAGATACGTTTATACAAAGAAATAATTAATTCATATTCAAACTAAATGAAAAATTTAAATTGCAAGATTTCAATTTCCCAATTGAATATCTTGTGTTGTCTTGAGAGTTTCTCAATTCCGAAGACGTTTGGAAAAAAATCAATGTTAATTAAGGCTAATCTAAAAGCTAATCAAACAGTAAGATATAAAAAAAATTGAAACTATCAAAACCCTAATTTAAAGAAAATTAATAGTAATAGGTAAATCGAAAATTTCTACCAAGTTTTCAGTTCAAAAAATATTCAAAAAGGTATTAAAGGATGTTAGTGAAACAAAGACTTGGGAATGAAAAGAAAAGGAAATTTAGGAATAAAAAAAATTTAGAAATGAAAAAAACATATTAAAATGATGAATTTGAACTTTGGGAAATATGTGTACTCTTAAATATGTTCTTAGCATAACGATTGACGCTGATATAGGGTAAAATCTTAATTGTTGTTAATGGCTTCAATTTCCATTACCATTACTGTTACCATTTCCATTACCGTTGTTGCCTCCAGCACCATTTTCGTTACCATTTTCGTTACCATTTTTGTTACCATTTTTGTTACCATTTTTGTTACCATTATATCCTGAATAGCCCCAGTAGCCACCATTAGAATTACCATTATAGTTTTCATTCCAGCTGCCAGCACCATTGGCGTTACCATTGACATTACCATTTTCGTTACCATTGTCACTACGTTTTTTCAAGTCTTCAACAATCAATTCTGCTTTAGTTTCAACTGTAGGCTCAACTGTAGACTCAACTGCGCCGGCTGATGCTTCAGCTTAGGGTACAGGGATAGCGTTTGCAGCAACAAAAAACGAAATAATATAGTAAAGAACTTGAATTTTCATCATTTTAAAAGATAGGCGTGATTATAAATTTGGTTGTTAGTTAAATTAGTAGTTAATAGTGGTTTTGAAGATATGTTTTGATTAAAACTGCTTTGAAATCGTGATTGTAACAAAGAAGAAATTTCAACTAGTAAATTGTGAAGGATATTTCGTTCAATTTATAGAAATTTCTATGACCGTAAAAAAAGAGAAAAAATGAAAATGAAAATGTTAAAGCCTCCTGCGGTTTCTAGAAATTTGGTTACTTTCGTCAACAGCATAAAAGATGCAATTTTAAAAAATTAATTATTTCTAAAATGGTGTATAATAACAAAGATTATCCAAAACTCAAATTGTAGAGACGTATTATTCTCAACAATCTACACAGTCCTAAAGAAATAATTCAAAGTCTAGAATGGTTATCCATTGTTAGGGGTAGTTGATAAAAACAATATTTGCAAAGTGCAAGAGAATTCTGAAGGAAAAGAATCTATTAATAATTGAGTGAGACCTTAGCTGTGAAATTTGGATGTTAAATTTCAAGTAATGAGTGATAGAGTAGCCAATTCGCTTTTTGGTTTGTGGTCAGCCCTGCTAGTCCTTATTCTATTTAAATTTTTAGTACGGTTGTTATTGTTGTCATTGTTGTTACTGTTGTTACTGTTATTATTGTTGTTATTAATATTATTAAATTATTATTATCAATATGGTCATTGTTATCGGTAGTAGAACAAATGGTAATAATGTTCAGTTACCATTTTATAAGAAGTTGAAAATATTAAGGGGTGTGGACCAGTAATAACGACAAATGCAAAAAAGCAGAAAAATTGAATCTGATTGATGAAATTTGATTAACATCAATTTTTTTTTCTGCCGGTTAAGGAAATTGTGCTGATCATCATTATACTTTTTCCAAAGCTCATGCGTAGCAACAGATAATTAACTTCTTCAATTTGTTTGCAATTACTAAAAAGATACAGCTGAACTTGTTATTAAGAAAAGGTGTTTGGTAGTTGGGGAAATTCATGAACTTAAGACAAACCAAAAAAGATGATGATCGTAATGTAAAAATAGTAATGGCAAATTTTGGATTTATTTTTTTGAGTAGTAATTTGGGGTAGAGACGAAATAACAGGTTCTGTGACGTTCTCGGTCGCATAAGATTTAATAAAGTTGCTCCAGCCCCTTCCAATCAAATTCAATGGAAATAGATATGCTTATTATAAAAAATGTCTAGTTTTAAGGAAGTTTTGTTCTTTTCTATTATAATTTCTGTAATGAGAGAAAAATTTGCCATGGTGATTCATTTCAGAGCTATGAAAAAGCAAAAATTTTAAGATCAATTTGATATCAGACCAAAATGATCGTTGCCTTTATTTTGTTTTTTTTTGATTATTTGTGTTGATGAATGAAATAAATAAGAGTGATGATTTTCTTGATAAAATCAAGACGCGTGTGGTAGTGAATAATTCGGTTTTCACTTTCAAAGTAATTTGACCGAATAAGTCCTTATGAAGAGCATGGTCGGAAAGACAGTCAACAGTAATTTTCAAATTAGGATATTGCTAAATAGTTTGTTGAATTTAAATAACTCAACAGTACTATTGAGGAAAAAGTTTATTGTAATGTAGTGGAAAACAAAAGGTTTTCTTATTCAAGAATATTTCTATAAGTGGGTATATTTCAGTCGACGTCTGTCTAAAATATGTCCTGGAATGTGGCCATTGCAACAACCAATCTGGTCAAGATTGAAATTCGGCTCAAAATTGGTAAAACGAAATTTAGTAAATGGTTTTTGTTTATAGATTTCGGTTCAGTTATCCACAGATTAGGACAAGTCTAATAGAAGCTGGAGGTGACACAAACCAATTGCTAGAAAAGAAAACGAATGAACGTGGCTAACATCAGGGCCAAAGAGCTGGGATTTTGGGATAGGGAGATATATTCATCCTTTGACCTTAAACTTGCGAATGTTGTCTTCAACCCAAATAGCCCAAAACCAATGTTCGCAGTGCTGTCCAGTTTGTGTGAGCTTGATGGAAGAAAACGATGCCCATCTTGTGTTGCTTGGCCAACCTATTTGAGGTGTCCAGCTGGATTTCCAGTTCAGTCAGCAGTGGCTCCATGGCCAGCTCCTCAACTGCGTGGATGTGAGGTTGGAGAAGGCAAATATGACGAATCTGGGGTCGTAGAATGAAATATACAGCGGGACCAAAAAGAACAGACCGGGTCCATTTCTTATTGTGGTGGTTTGCACAAGTGGGCCTCTGCGAGGAGGTTCTATGTGTATCATGATTTTGTTACTGTAATCACTTTCATTTATTAGGTCGGTTCGAATCCAAAAGTAATGATGAATTGGATATCGTTCTCGACAATTTCATTAATTTCATTTGCCTTTTTACCCAGTGATGTATTTATTTCAACAGTCATTCTATTCGAATTGGAAAGAATAACATCTAGCAATGAATTGAGTTTATTTAAGTTTAGTTTGTATTGGTTCTAATCTTCTAATTATATTGCCCAAATTCAAATTGTTATCTGGAATCATAGGTTTTTTGACTTTTTGCGAATCATTGTTGATCAAATTGAATTTGTCAATAACTAAACTTCTCATTAATTAAATTGGTTTTAAGAAACCTTTTCAATTATTTTTCTTCAAGATCTACATGATAAAAGCACACTTTGAAATTTTCAACGATACATTTAAATTTTTTCACAAATTCGTTTGATTCAAAACTAGTACTTGAACCAACATATGACTTTTCAATGTTTAAATTCTTGAGATTAATTATAATTATTATGCTTTTTAGCCAATACTTCAAAGCTATTACAAAATGATAACGGTTTTGAATTTTTCAATTCTATTGGCTTTTCCACAATATTCAACATAGGTTTTGATGAATCTCATATTCAGCCTTATTTGAGTAACGACTTTGATTTCTTTTTTGCAAACTCGACCCCAAAAGCGTCTATTTCTGTAATACTAAGGTTGGCATCAGATTCATTGGAATCAATTCTTCTATTGTTGTCCATAATAATACTTGTCAAAAAAAATGGCTGGATTTCTCTCTCATGTTCATCATTAAGATATGTGATGGCATTAAACTTAAATTGATTTTTGATGATAAAATATTTTTTTCTTTAATATCAATTAAATTTGTTCAAAATCACCTTTTTTGTCTTGATATATCCTCGTTTGTTTGAATCAGAAAACTTGAAGGAAGGCTTTTAATGATAATAGCTTCATCACTATTTTCTTTTTGTAAGGGCTTAAAGATATCATTTTTATTTTTCAATAAATTATAAACTTATATTCAGTTAAAATTACAGTTAGTCGTTAATCAAATTTTCTAGTGGAAATCATTGGATGCTTTTTATTTAGATACAATAAAAGGATTGGTAATTTTTAACCAAACTTCCTCTTTTGAATGTATTTTTGATAATGTTTATGCCTGTATTATTATTCTCATAACTTTTACTATTGAACTTCTTACTTTTATATTTGCTATCATTCATATTTCTTAAAGAACTAATATTATGAATTATTATCTGTGGATTGTGTGAGTAAAGCCCACTGGATTAAATTCTAATAAATCAATGTCTGTATCAGGAGGATTTTTGTCATGAGTATTGATGCTACTGTAAAGAGTACCAGTAACACCATCATTGAGATTCTTAGTGTTCATATCAGCATCGCTTTCGGGAATCTCCAAATAAAGATCATTATTTGAAAACATATTAGTGAGTAAGTTTGTTCTTGGACCCACAAAGCAACTGGAAATTATCTCAAACTGATGAAATCCTTTTTTTTGAACAGTAGATGTTGTCGGTATTCTTACCGTTATTAGATGTTGGGTTTCTCGCTATATCTTCATTAACACTCTTAGTGCTGCGGATTCTGACTGTGTTGGTAGTGCTACTTCTAAAAAATGAACAGAACTTAAGAATCACAGTACGAAGCCTTCCCCAATTTCAATTGATTGAGATCACTCAGATTAGGCTTATATCAAGTTGTACAGGATAATAAATTTAATCACTAATGGAGCCAAAAACCAGCAACGATCATTGTTGGTTTAAGCAGTAAGCAAAGAACAAAGTAAATAGTTCAAAAGTACTTGAAGAATCTGAATTGTTAGTAGGAATTGAGATCGAGATCGAATAATCAAGGAAGCACTTCTGGATAACTCTTTATAAAAGCTTCTACAAGTCTCTGTCTGTAAAATGTGTATGATTAATTTTGAGATTGAAGCATTGATACTTCCCACAAGAATCCCTCAGTGCTCTTGTCTTCACTTATTACTAATAATTTTCAGTATCTTTTCACGGTTTTTGACTTGTAAAAACCAGTTGAATTAAAAGGAAATAAAACATGTTACAAATGGTGAATCATTAATGGTATCGATACTGCCTGATTTATGTTGATATTGACTCAAAAACCAATTGGTTTTTGGTGCCATCCGCTGTATAGTTTAGTATGTTTGTTGTTCCACAAGATTAAATCAGTTTGAGATATGAATATCAAGTATTAGATTAAATGGATTTGAATATTAAGTTGAATAATAATTTAAGATTCATTATTAACATTAAACGAAATCTAAATTAAAAAATAAATTAAATTATTGTTTAAATACAAAATAAAATATTTGAGCAGAAGTATGAAATAATAAACAAATGAAATCATATAGATAAGACTAAAGGAATAAAAACTAAATGGACCAAAGCCAAATGATTATGATTGAATATTAAATTACGTATATCAAGTTAATCATGTAAAAGTTTAGACATAACCCTGTCTGATACCAACCAATACTATAAATGATTTGCGGAGGAAATGCTCACATCCTCTTGAAGTTGTTCACAGCATGGAAAGTACATGTTGATAACTCGGTTCGGCGACACTTGCGTCTTTTTGAGAAATACCCATCAAGCTATCTCACTTTGGCTGAGATCACTGAAAAATAAGGTTGCTATCAAAAGATCCTAACAACATCAAACAGAAACATCTCTGCATATAGCGCGCATGATCAGCATGTCCCTGCAGTCAAGCATATCCTTGCTCAGCAGGAGACTCTTTCTTTGGTTGGGGAGAGTACGTGCCCCAACTATAATAGAGCATTGCGGCTCCATAGCTGAAATACTCTTATGTCTACTTCACCTTAATAGTATTTTAGAATAGAATTCTGCTGACTGTGTTGGATTGATAAATATTCAATTCGGGTTATTTCCTAAGTAATTGCATTTTATTTTCCAAAATTCAGGAATAACACAAATTAAACTAACTGTTACAATTTCACAAAGTTGAGCAGAGGTTTGTCCTTTCACTATCCAAGCGGCCAAATTGTATCAACAAGACTGTGAAAGATAATTCAAAAAATATCTATCTCTGACAATTCCCAGATTATTTTGAAATCTATAGTATTTGCTATTGTGATTATTGAATTATTTTCTTGAATGGCAACTTTTGGGACTCATCTGTTTTATGTGAAAGTGCTTGAGGTTAAGCCAAAAATGAGGTCTTACGTTTTTTTCGAATCAGAGTCTCAACCTTGTTCACCAATAACCATCGTTGGACTACTCAGGTTTTGATTTTAATTTCCAATGTTTTTGGTTTTTATTTGGTGATTTGTACAATATTAATTGTATTACTGGATATGCTGCTATCCCGATTTGTTTGTAAAATTAATTGTTTCATAAAATTGTTTCCTAATTGAAATGAATTTCGTGACATAAAGCTGAGTTATCTAGTAAAGAGGTTTTAAACTCTACTTCTTCAACATATTTTAAGACCCACTCTTATATATGTATCCAGTGACTATTTGATTGAAGCAAGTTTGATTTTCAATTTATGCTCTTTAACTGGACTATTTTTGTTCTTAGCTATTGTCCGATCACATTTTAATTATATTTCTTTTGAACCTCTATTTCTGAGCTGCTGCAATATTAGCGAGATTGAAAAAACAAAACATTATTTGGCAAACTGGAGAAAATTATATTAATTATTGTTACTATTTGCTAGATACTTTTCAACTATTGAACTTCAAAAAAAACTATATTGTTTTTTTGTTGAGTTTTATTTAGTTTAAATTGAGCAGCAAATAAACACAAAATGTAAGTACAGCATTTTCAAAACAACCGGGAACTGTTCGAAGTTCTTCAACACAAAAATCGATAGAGTACTATTTTGATATTCTTTTTCTTGAAATATTTAACAATTTGAACTTTTAATGAATTTTAAATCTTTGGGATACTCAGCATGGTAAACAAAATTTGAAGGAAATTTGTACTTCAAGAAATCTTTTATAGGGTCATTCAATTACCGATAAAAAGTAAAAAAACATAGAAATGGGGAATTAAAACCCAAAAAATGTATAACGAGAATTGCATCATATTACACGTATAATCTTTCATTCTGTAAAACTAAACAATTGGTAACTATGTATCAAGAAATATGATGCTCATCTGAATTTGAACCTGAAACCGTGACATTTTGACACTTGAATTGATTCTAATTCTTTGAAAATTGAATTTTTCAATTGAGAAAATTACCCAATAGTTTTTCAAATCAAATGATATAATATTTTTAATGTCATTAATCAGCTGGCAAGCGATACCTGAATGTTTTCTTGTTGGTAAATATTATTTTAAAATAAACATGAAAGTGCTTTGAATTGAGTGATAGATACATTGAAATGATTATAAAAAAGTAATTATTATTATTTTAGTTAGTGAGCTATCAGCAATTTGGAATAGTATGATGATCAACGAAAGTAACCAATTTATAATTAATAGCCCAACAACAATTCTTATCTGACAGAAACTGCTTTTCATTTATCAAAGGTCAGATAGTTCAAGATTAAATAGGAAACAAAAATTTTAGTAAACACAGAATGCTATTGCTAAACCAATCATAAATAAAATAGAAATAAAAAGAAAGATATTTGTGAGTTCAAGAAAAGTTTATAACCAACGGATACTAGCTAGAAAGGGGAAAACTCGGATTGCAAGTATTTTGGTCTAAGCAAGATATAAACTATCCAAATAATTAATTTCCAATAAGTTCTCAATTTTTTATTATTGAAAAACAAAACTAAATCCAACTTATTGAGCTTTGCGTAGCTGGATAAACTTTGAGCTATATTAATTAAAGTGTGAGATAGCTAATACTTCCTTGTATTAATTATCAAAGACAAACTTTCAATGTTATTCATAAAACAATAAGATAAATGAAATTTTTTAAATTTGTTATTGGGTACAAAGTGCTGGTGCAAAATGATGATGAAAAAAAAAATTTACTTCTTCATTAACCGAGGTAGTTCTAACCTAATAATGAAAAATTTCTAACTATATCATTCATGATTTATGAAATATATAAAACTCTTAAATGAATAGGTATAGTTGACTTTCTAATTTTACTTACAGTGGTTGATCAGCTTATTTGAACCTTTGCGATCACCTTCAACAAGACCAATTTTATAAGAGGACATGTAAGCATTCAGAAAGTGGTTATTGTCAACAGTGAGGTTGTTAGTCTTGAGATAATTATTCCAAAACAAAATACATTTTGAATCAGATTGAATAACATTAAAATAATCCTTCCATATCTTCATCTAAACTTATTTCAGGTTCTTTACTTTAAAGTATTCAAGATAATTCAATCAATTTAACTAATATAGATTATTAGATATTTTAACATTAATCAATTCACAAACATTAGGTTTCCAGTTTAAATTTGTTGATGCAATTTGTGAGTAATATACATAACTGATATAGGTCACTATACATAACAACCATTGATTATTAATTAATGGTATTCTTCATTATTCAATAACAAAACCAAAAGTAACAGCTAACTAATTTCTTACTGATTTCTTACTGATTTCTTTGGTAGGATATAACTAAAAACATTTATCTTAAGTTTCTAGAAACCAAAACAGCTAAAGGAAGTTGAATTTAGATAGGGTCAATTGCACAAGCATGGGATATTGAGCTATTAGACATAAATTGGGGTTTTTAATTAAATCTTTGAATTTCTCTAGCTGTACGATGGTATTATAAAAGTTGGTCTGGTTGTATCAATTCCCCTTTTTACTTTATTCTTTCTATTGTCGATAAAATTATGATGACTTTCGTTTTTGCTTCTAAGGTACATTTTGGTAGCACTCCTTGGATTGCATATTAATATTATGTTATGTATTGGGTCCTTGATGTTTATAGATCCTAAAAACAATCTCTACAATACTTATTGGGTTTTGTGCCAAAGAGTTTCGAAAAATTTGTAACAATATCAAAAATCAAAACTGATAATATTTTTATTTCAAATCACTCTAGGGCACCGGAACTAATAAATTTATTAGATATATATATATATGGCTCACTATTTTAAAATATAAAAATGAAAGTGTATAGACCCAGTCGCAAGCTCAGGCAACTATTATTCCAGAATTCACAAAAAGCAGATCAATTAAAGATCCTTAAAAGTTTTGATTAGTTTAGGATAAACATAAATTTTGAAACCTAGAGAACTAGTTTTATTTAAAAGTCCTGAGAAAGAAATCCTGAGGCAGCAATCTCCACTATTGCATTTTCAACCCATTGCTGGCAGATGAAAGTAATTCTGTTTGAATTCAACGGAACATTTATTGTCGGAAAAGGAACATTCTCAAGCATATTTTCAAAGTAGTCGATCGTACAGTGAAGCACGCTTATGAAAGCTAGCGATGCAGGAATTAGAGTTACAGACCGCTCTAAATTGAAATTTGTTATGCATTCAAGGATAAAGCCCGAAAAACTACTAATAAGATGATGAAGAGTATATGTATTTCCAAACTGGAGAAGGAGTGCTGGGAAAACCATCTTGTTTCCCCCAATAAAATCAGCAGTTGAGAGATTCATTTTTGAAAATTATGTTTAATGTTAACTGCAATACCAGCGATTGAAGTGAGCTGTCTACTATGAATGGTCAAATAGAACTATTCAGCTTTAAACATTCAGAATCCCAAAGATCATGTTTTAAAGGATATTTGGGCATTTTATAATAATTTTATTCTAAAAAACATTAATGAATCTTATATGTACTTTTACCACAACCCAAAATTTTCACTAACCATGGCACAGCTGCTGAACCAAAAACACAAACGTTAGTTCTGTAGAAACATATTTGGGCAAATCCACAGCAAAAATCCAGATCACAAGTCAAATTTTGATTTCAGAGTTGAATTTGGAGAATTTGATTTGTTAAACCTAATAATAGAGTTGAACTGAGAGGATGAGTTTGAGTTAGACAATGAGGATATAGAATTGTTAGAATTATATGATTTATTACTTTTTGAATTTTTTATAATTGGTATCATTATTACATTTCACCAATGGATGTAACAAAAATTAATTCATTGCTTTCACTCGTCAGAATTTGTTTCACCATCCCAATAGTTTCTTTGAGATTCGACAGCACTTTTGAGGACGTATTTGCAGTTGAATCGACTGCTTGCTTTATACAGCAGTATCGAGAACGTATAGTATAATAAACTTGGTTTGACAACTAATTTTATAAATCTAAAGTAAAATGCAACATCTTTTATGATTGTCTATCGTGAATTGCAAAGTAATAATCGAATTACTGTTGACAAAATTCAAAAACATTAGCAGTCGAAAAAAACAATTCGCACAGAATCACAAACTTGCTGTGAATCACAAACTTGGTGTAGTTCTATCAGG